ACTATTTTTGGCTGGTGAAGAGTTTTCGGAAGGAGTACACTCGGCGCCTCCGTAGTACAACGGAATCACACGCACATTGTTCTCCCTGGTATACCGACCGTCACAGCCAACACCCAGAGAATTTACCATGAGTTCAGCTTGTTTACTTCCATCTGGAGGATGCATGGCATGAACGAGGTGTACAAAAGCCGCGCAAAATGGTCCGCATGTGTCGGTCACGTCCCCCTCAACGAAAAGAAATGAGTAATGAATGCCTATAACTTTTCTGTTTTAGTAAAGCGTACTTGATCTCTACCTGTAGACGGAAATCGTCCACGGGCTATTTGATGTAACGTGGCGACAATAACCGTCATGACCCTACATGATCGTACCTGGAGATGCTAGCTCTGTATGCTCGCACCGACGATCCCCCTTGGGCCAAGAGCCCTGCTTCCACAACACTGCAGTCCGCTACCATTACACAATAGGCCCCCAAGCACCAATCCTCTTCAAACACCATCGCAAGCAAAGCGGGTATATAGAACAATGACGAAGCGAAATGCACAGCAGATGTGCTGGTAAACGCGAAACGTTGGATCTGACCCTCCAGAACCTCCGCAAGTTCCAAAGAGCGCTACGCTCGCCAAATGAGGCAGCTTCCCAGGATTGAAAACAAAAACGGCTGAGCTGTTGCGACAGAGGGTGCAAACACACCTCCCACGGAGTACCCGCGGGATGTAGACTCGCGGCTTTGAACAGCCATACATAATGGAAGCCGTCTATGTACAGATAGAGGCCCGCGATATGTACGGGTATTGCGTCCAGAGGCCGAGCTCGGAACCAGACCTGCTTTAGATTGGGGGCCGAGGATCCATGCAGGAAAAACACATGGTTGGGTACCAAACGCCGTAGACAATGCCGAACCAAAACACAAAGGCCTTCATCGAGACATTATTGCGAACAGATGCAGTGTTGAGTCGTAATCATAAACCGCTCTCAGGACCCCGTCGTGGTTGTGTACGGCTGTGCGCTCGACGCGGTTTCCGTAGACCCGTCTCCCTCGATTGTCCTCCTCCAGTGCTCAGGAAGACACACGCACACGAGGGGGAACGCCTTGATTTCGCCGCTGGCTGGCGGTGAGGGATCTTGGACCCTGCCGGATGTGTTCGAGACGCCACTGTCTCGCTGAGCCTGTCGACGAGCTTCCCACTGCTCGGCACGTTCGTCTACCATGACACCCGTGGCCCAGCCATCGTCCCAGATGCCCACAACCTTGATCATGTCACCGCGCTCCAGAGTGAATTCGTCGGCAGCTCGTGGCTGGTACGCCCACAGGACAGCAACGCGGTCACCAGGATGAATATCATCTTGAGAGTAGTAGTCCTTGAAGAAGGGCAGCTGCTCGGACTGCTGGCTCGTCATTCCTTGGGGAGAAGACATGCCCGCACTGGTGGGGGACTGCGCGTCTTCGACGCCCAGCGCGGAACTGCTGGAAAGCGAGCCGTTCCTTCTTAAAGTCGTCGGGGGTGGCCTGAGCACCCCTGTAGCCCCACGATCAGACTCGGGGCTCTCGCCAAACCCATCAGAGGACGAATGGTCGTCGCCTCGCCTCCTGCTGCTTCCAACATAACCTGCCACCGTTCCGCCTCGAGAGGAACTTGCGATGTCCCGGCGTGTGTGGTGAGACGGGGCATCGCCGGAGTGTCCTTCCAGTGCCGACATTCGGGCAATTCGCCCACCAGGGAGAATCTCGAAGCCAGGTGGAGCACCGGCCTGCGCCATTTGGGTCGACGCTGTTCCTTGCCGAGCTGGTGACGGCTGGTTGAATATGCTTGAGGCAGGCAGGGTACGGCGCCTCCTGGCGTAAACGATACACCCAAAAATTATGGCGGCGAGAAGGGCGGCTCCCAAAACAGAGCCAATGACGATGCCAGCAATCTGGCCCCCAGAAAGACCTTGGCCGGCTGCGGCTTCGGCTCCGGGATCGTTCGTAGCAGAAGGGAACGCCGTCGCCGTCACCGTCGGCAGGGTGATTGGCGTAATTGTTGGCAGGACAACGCCAGCACAGCGAGTCTCGGCGTCGGCCTGGTAGCAGCAAGTATCAGTCGAATTGATACCGCCCGCGGCGCAATAGGAACACAGCCCTATTGTGCTGTTTCCATATCCACAGTTTTCGGGCTCGTTGTCGACGCCCCGGATGCAGTCCCTGCTAGATAGCGCGTTGGCTGGCAGGGCGCAGTTGGTGAAATCGGCCCGGATCTGTGACTGCGCATTGCTGCCGGGACTGGCACAGAGATTGCTGTCACCCACAACATACGCCTCGGCTTGCGCAAATTGGGCCTAGAGGTGAAGTTAGCCGCAGAACAGAGACTGGCAGTGAAGAAAGTCACTACGCACGCATGTCTCGGCGCACACCGGGCGAGAATCCTCCTGACGGAGATTGCAGCTCTGGATGGAATTCTGGACAAGATCATTACATATTACGGTCGTCGTGAAGCGCGCATAAAAATCAGTGGTGTTGGTGAGGTCGATGCTGCTACAGCCAAGCAGGATGGAGTATCTGTGGAACTGTCAGTCTAATCTAATCCCCGGCGTTTGGTTTTCCTCATGATACTAACTTCTCTCGCACGTAGTCAGTTTCTACGTACGATTTCAAAAGCTCATCGAACGTATGAACGTTCGAAGCGAAGCTTAGGAAAGGGCTGGGCGGTAAGAATTAGCTTCGAACTTGAAAGAACCATAGGCGCAAGTTGACATACTAGCGCCCCACCAAGTGACTATCTGTTGTTGACACGGAAGACGAGTTGAAGGCAGAGCATGTCTTGGAACCCCTAAGCGAAATGCACGCGGCCATTGTCGAAGGAGCGGTCGACAAGAGGAAGAAGAGTATCTCTCTCGTTCTGAGACGACTCGTCGGCCTCCTTCCGGAGAGCACTTGGGGACTTGTCATCCCCTCGTCCCCAGCCAGCCTTTCCCCAATCGCCGCGTCGCTGAGCGACCAGTGGCCGCTTATGGTCCTGGAACGGTTTTCCGTTTGTTGTGTCACCGTGCGCCCGTATTCATGATCGTTCTCGAGTCCTCTCATGGCTCATGGCGTTTGGAGCGCGGTGAATTGGGCGAGAGGCCTTCAAGGTAACAGGCGATTTCGGGCTTGCTGATGTACCTTGAGCCACGTGCTACGCCAATGCCGACAGCAATCTTGCTGGGTTGAGAAATAGTAAGCTATTTGGCGTTACACACCAGTGTCTTGACGCCGTCGAGGGCTGACAGCACGAGTCGTGATGCGAATACTGGCCGCCGAAATGAGTGGCAGAAACCGAGGTCGGGACAAGGGCTCAGCTGGGCAGCGTTGCACATATATGCAGGCCAGCGGCAACGGGAGTGGGAGTCGCTCTTGTCGTTTATGGTGTGCTGCAGCCGTGGTCGCACTGGAGTGGACACACCAACAAAAACAACTCCAGTGCTTGGGAAGACGCCGGGGTAGGAACGGCCGGTGCGTGGACTCGCGTCCGATGGGAAGGAGCGACCGTGGCTAGCAGGTTCAAGTCCCGAGTGAGGGACTAATACCAGCAATTGATGGCGGAGACAAAAAAGGGCGATCTGAAAAGAGCGGCAGAAACGAGCGAAAGAAACCAAAACGTCGGTTCTGGTGGTGTGCGGACCGTGGGGTCCAGTTTCACGCCCCTCACGACTGGGAAAGAAAAAGGGAGTCAAGAGAATTGATGAGAAGAGAGACGGAGGTGAGCGGTTTGGGTGAGGTCAAACAAAACAGAAGGGGAGATTGGTGCAAGACCCACGCCCAATTTCGCTTGCTGTTAAGGTGCATCTGGAAGCCCTCATGCCCCATGTGGCTTAGAACCATCACGACTAACAAGGGGATGATTTGCTTGGACCCCTGTCCGGCATGTTCGTTTTTCTCGACAGCTCGAAGATAAAAGATCAAGCTCTAGCTGCGCAATGCAGGGGCGCAGAACTATCGAAGTACGAAGTCGGCCAAGCGAAAGCAAAACGAGGGCAAAGAGAAACGTGGAATGGCGGGAGGGAGAAACGCAACTAGGGCATTGCGATATAGCTCTGGCTGTCTTAAGATTTGCCTGCATCAATGCCTTCCTTCGCAAGACAACGAACACTTAGACAGCAGGTACTGCAGCCTTGGTACAATACATAAGGTATTCTTCTCCTACTTTCTATTGCTTGACACTTTCCAACGAGGTAGATATCCCAGCAATTACTACCTTACGGTATGCATTTTACACATGTAAAGCTCAAGACGAACTGTCTGCTATCCCACTACCGCCGTGGCCTGTCATCTTGATGACAGCTCTCGGCGCCCCCTTCCCATTTCCTATGGGTCAAGCTGTACTGTACGCACAGACGAAACAGTAACTTAACTGAGCGGAAAGCAATTCTCTCTGTCGGCCATTATAGGGTCGAAGACGCAATTCATGCATAACTAGTGTGCACTAGCATCTCATCTGGAGCATTTACTTGAAGATTGAATTGCTCTCGTCCTTTCTAACTGGGCTATAGTATGTGTGAATGATCATATCACGAACGCGTCGGGATAGCTTGGGCCAGCTTGAACTCAAACTACGTAGTGTAAACGGGTCAAGGACTGCCTGTTCTGATGATGGGTCCAGCACCACGTTTCGGACCCAGCCCTGAGAAACTGCTGACCTCAGGCCTCAGGGTCCCCGGTCCACCTACCCAAAGCCTTCGTCCCCGCCGCTCCCGTCCGAAACCCCACCCCATCTTTGCTCAAAACCCAACTCCCGCACTCACGTCCTCCAGCAGACGATGCTTGTCACGGGCGGGAGTGAGGTGCAGAATAATATACTTAAGCGCCTCGTTGATGCTGGTGTGGTCAACTGGGTGAACTTGAGTGGTTGAATGAACGCCATGCATCGGGATAAGGCCCCTCCAGCCGCGGGTTTCTCCAACCGAATACGGATACCACAATCGGTAAAGAGTTATTATTGGCATAGCGAGCATCGCTGCGAAGCCCTACACCAGAGACCGATCACCCACGGCTCGGAGGGCACATCACTGGCGCCCCAAACAGTCCCGTCCGTGGGACACCACGCCGATTGCCGATCCAGCCCGTTTGTATGACTATATTTACAGTAGCTATGCATTCATACATAATGTAAGTATAGTTCCGCTCAGACCTCTTTGCCTACATTCAACATCTCCCAACGTACAGCCCGCCCGACTGGCTGAGCAACCGCCGGGACTGCTGCAATGCGATATGAGGTACGGAGTAATGCCAACACTTAACCACGGCCGAGGCATTACCTTTTGTTGTCAGGCCATGACCACCGAGAACAAAGTGCGGACGGAGGCTCCCGCGGCTGTCGAGTCGTATCTCGTCTCACTTTACCTGCAACAACCGCTGTCTTGACGTTATGACAAGCAGACAGAGCACCGCAGTGTGCCAGCGCGCCGGAACTTTTACCATGAATAGTAGCGCGGGCCCGCGTTTCCACGCGTTTTAACCACTGCCGCTGTCTGTCTGGGAGACACAATACTTGGAACATGGTCAAACAACTCTGTTCTCAAGAATCAAGACACTCCGCCCTTCACCACTTGCCAGGGGTCTCAAAAGTCCGGCTGTCCCGTGCCGCAGCTCACCGGGAAATTTATGCGGCCCCGTTACCCTCAAACCATTACCACACCCCGTCCCGGGATTGCCTAGAAGAGCCAGGCACATGTTCATGCGAACGAACTGTGTATGCTCATCGTGAACCAGGAAACAACAAACGCTTCCCCAAACGACCCCGAGGTCTTGGCTGGCGATCTGTGTCTCTTGTCAATGCCGACACGTCCCGCACCGCCAAACGTCTTGTTAGAGCCAGACCCTACTCAACATAGGCCTGGGGACGAGCAGACCGGGTCCCGAAAGACCGCCTATGTTCATCGCTGGTTTGGAACTCTATTTCCCGGTGGTGAAATGAAAAGCGAGGATCACCAGAATTGATCTAACCAAGATAATTGTCTACGAAGACTGGTATTACTCCTGCGGCACTGCCTGACTACAGAGATTTTGTCCCGCTCGGCTTTTCATTGAATATATATATCCTTGAAAATTGTTTTCTGGGCATGAGGAGCTCAGCATGAGGCAGGGGAAACGGAAAGCAACCACACTTTTACAACCAGCCGTGTTTCCACTCATCGTCGTCTTCGCCGTATAACTCGCGCTGTTGAGCACCACCATCGCCGTTAGCATTTCCAAGCCCTCTCGAGACGAAGATCCGCGCAGTAATAGTGATCATACGTACCAAAGCCCTCGCCATCCAAGCCAGGTCTGCATCTCTCGCCAAACTGTTCCTCGCGCTCGGCCCTTCCACAATCGAGCTCCTCCTACTCGCCTCAGCGCCGACGCGAGCACTCTTTTCACTCCTGCTGCTGCTGTCCGGGTTGATCGACCTGACCGTCGTCCAACCGGGCTCACCACCACCCCTAGCCTTTCCACCACCAAAAAGATACGACCTCCTAATATCAGCCGCCGCCGCAGCAGCAGCAGCGATAGCCGCCGCCTCGGGCCCAAAATCCTGGCAGGAATAGTGACCCGGCGCGGAGCTCCCGTCAGGAACATGGAACCGCTTGTCGAACCTCCCCAAGGCGTACGTAAACACCACGACCAGTTCCACCCCGAAGTTGAACCCATAGTAGCAAGGCCGGGCATGGTACCAGGCCGGATCGTTGAGGGGGCGCGCCGGTAAGTAGGCCGTGACGGCGCGGAAGGTGGCGCCCGCTGCCAGCAGCGCCGCGGCCGCCGTCAGCAGGACGACTTTTGTGCGGAAGGGCCCCTGGCCGAACTTGTCCAGCCTCGTGCGCCGCGGCGCCACCACGGCCGCCATCACCAGCGGCACGGGCAGGAGCGCGTAGGCCGCCAGGTACGTCGCGCAAAACAGCTGCACGCGCCGGTCGATCAATTTGGTATACCGATCCCTTGTGAGGGCGGCTTGCACGGTGACAGTCACAACCATGGCGAGCACAATTCCCGCACTGCCGAAAAGCGTCCAAAACGCCGCCGTGACAGAGGTCTTCCACCCAGACAGGGGGTGGTAGGCACGGAAAATGCGCTGGGCAAAGACGAGGTTGGTGACGTAGAGGATGAGGACTCCGGCGGCGGTGAAGACGTTTGCGGCGAGGGCGAGCCGAGCGTTGCGTGGATAGCACGCCCACGCGATGCGCAGGCTCAGCGCTACCACCCGGGCCATGCAGAAACCAAAGACGAGGACGGAAAAAATGAACTTGTACCGCCGCCGCCGGTTGCGCTGGAACAGCGTCATGTTGGCCGCTGCTCCGGCTAGGAAGAGGCCCAGCAGCGCCGCCGAGATGGGCACGTCCGGCAGGAGAGATGGGATCCCCCCGATTTGTGCTGTTGTGGCTAGGTAAGGCGGTCCTGATCCTGCGCCTGCTCCTGTGGCGGGAAGCGTCGGGGGCTGAAGTGGGAGTGGATATATTATGCCCGGGTTAGAAAGGGGCTGTTTGTTTATTGCCGGGAAGGGCAGGGAGGTGTTGCTGTAGTGGTGGGATAGGGGGACAATGAGTGCTAGGAGGAATAGGGGGCGACCCCTGGAGGGACTCAAGGACTCAAGAACGCAATAGGAAAGTTCAAAACATTACCTCTGACACTTCCGCAGCAACAATACCCGTTCCGAGAGTAGTCGGCGGCGAGCCGGAAGTAGTAGGAGTGTATTCAGACATCCTCTCTTCTCGTACCGTCGCTCGGCAAAGGGATCGAGGTATGCCAGTCCAGAGTTGCAAGGAGGAAAAGGGAGAATGGGAACTGTATTCTGGATGAAATGCTACAAACTGGCAAACTTAGAATACGCGCTCGGCGGGTTGAGAAGCAGGTGAGCCAGCACGCGGACATGAAGTCGAGAAGGAGATCAGAATGTGGCCTCGAGGAAGTCACTTCCCTTTCCCTTCCTTTCTTTACCTTAGCTTCTTTGCTTGCTTCCCCCGAAGAAAGGGTAAGGCAGTCAAGCGCCTGATAGCGAGCAGCAGATATCGAGCTCCCCGAGAAGCCCGGCGGCATGGGGCAGGTCTGCGTTATCGACCAACGTCACCCGCAGCAGAGCCAGATTCCAGTCCTGTTGAGATGAAAGAAAAGAGAGCAGGACCAAAGCATTTGTTCTCCAGTTCCCTCCGATCCAGCGTGCTTTTTGTTCGAACTCTGTCGCAAAAGCCTATGTTCCCCGTGACTTACAGTATCAACTCAGGGGCTGTGTGCATGTGAGAGCTGGTCACGATATACCGGTACTTGCAACCCCGATTACCTGTACCTTCAAGTTACTCCCCTCGCTCATCATTCTTCTCTCCCTCTTTCCGCCCCCTTTTAGGCCGTGAAACCGTAACTAGTTTCCCCTCCAGCAGGTTTGTAGGTATTGTTTGGATCATATCCAACTCCAGCAGACCCGGGTGGGCCAACTCTAATCATGGCATCGCCCTGGCGGGTGCCCAAAGAACCAGCTTGAGGGATCCAGAGTTAGGTGGCCAAGCTAAGTACCTACCTAGATACTCAACCCAAACCTTGACGCACCACAGATGTAGCTAACACTGTCGGTGCTTGGCAAGTGGTCAGCAACGCGCATGCCTTTTCGTCATCTGTCTGTTTTAAACTTCAGCCCAGGCCTACCGGTAGTACCTTACCCTAGTCGGCCGTCGTCAGGTGTGGAAGGATCTCGCTGGCTACAGTACCTTCAGCAAGCCCTCAGAGAGCAAGATGCTTGCCTCACTTTCCCATGACTGTAGACCTCTGAAGAGCCCAGAGATTGGGCCGGTCTGGCTCTTATAAAGAGGCTAGACCTTACACCTTACGCTTCCCTTCCAATGGGGCAAAGCATATGAGCGACAGAGACCGGATGTCCATGTGTCCAAGGTCCAATACCCTCATCCCATGATCGTGAAGAGGATAGCATCAGGGGCCAGCCCTCGAACTTTGCCTTCCCCTTCCACCACCTTGTCCGTCCAACGCCTACATCCTACCTACCTACTCATCCCATATACATAACAAGTTTGCATAGAAGGTATGACACAGCCCTCAAATTCAAATGATACCTCGCTGCCTTGGCTCGCTGGATCACAGCATACCAACTCTAGACGTCCAGACAGACAAACACAGATTCGCATTCGCATTAGTAGGTAGGTAGGAGAAACAGCCTCCGCGTGCCATGTCTAGCCGGATCTTTTGTCCCAAACCCACTCACAGCGGCGGACGAGAGCAGTAGGTAATCTAACAAAAATGCGGTAGTAAGCGCCCAGCTTTGTGTCCTATTCCTAATGGATCGTTGTATTGATCCCGATGGTCTAGTCACTGGACCCTCTCTGGGCGCCCGTTCCCCATTTGCCACAGGGAGAAGCGGAGCAGTTGTTTGATACATCACCTCCCGCTGCACCAGAGTCCCTCCGCAACCATTTGTCATATCCTCCTCGCCAAAGCGGATGAGACTCCGCACCCGATGTACCCCTAGCTGCCGCTCCCACTTCCCGGCTAGTCCCTGCCGTTCGCAGCAGCACGCCCGGAAGCCGGTGTGATGTCCCCAATTAGAGGAAGTAGTCTGGAGTCCCTGCAATTGCCTGTCAGTATTCTTCCACAGGCCAGCGTGAAATGGGCTCCCTTACTTCTTGAGACCATGGGTTCACCAGCTCTCGGGCAGGGGTCAAATTGCAGGCTGAGACCGTGATTAGCAGACAGATCGGCTCACAAGGAGGGCGCAGAAAACGCACAATGTATATTTCAGATGCTCGTCGATCTCCATAATCGCGGCCTGATTACCACACCTGTAGCAGTAATTGGGAGCTGCAGTTCATGTTAGTGATGCGTGGCAGCCACCGTGGCGCACAATGGCAGCGTACCAGAGAAGATTGTGACGACATTACGATCCTGGGACCAGTTGTAGCCCTCCATTACGAGCTGATGCGCTCTGGCAATCAGCGTCAGACCGTTGTTGTGGTTGAAAGCCTCTGATATGTCTTGGCCAAACGTATATCCTGCGCCACGAGGGGAAATGCCCCAGCCGCACCGGTCGTCAGGGTCCGACCAGAGGAGATCGCACATAGGGCCCTCATGGGGGACTTCCTGGATCCGGTCCAGCGCTCTGATGTTATCAAGCGTGTCGATGCTTGGCGAGAGCCCGCCGTGGAGGCAGAAGATCTGGTTGTCGATGAGGGCGGTGAGGGGGAGGTAATCGAACAGGTCGGTAAAGTACTTCCACACGTTTGCATTGCCGTACTTGCGCAGGCACTCGTCGTAGAAGCCGTATACCTGCGTAATCTGGCGCGACTCGTGGTTGCCTCGGAGGATGGTAATCCGCTGCGGGTATCGAATCTTGAGCGCCACAAGCAGGGTGACAGTCTCGACCGAGTAGTACCCTCGATCGACATAATCCCCTGCGCAACACCCAATCGTCAGAACATCAACAGGCCCTCGTCCGCCAACTTGGGGGGATTATCAGTCAGGCCGAGCCATACCCATGAAGAGATAGTTGGTGTCCGGGTTGGGCCCGCCAATCTTGAAGAGTTCCATCAGGTCATGAAACTGTCCATGGATATCGCCGCAAACAGTCACGGGGCATTTCTAGAAGGATTAGTTTCGGGAGCTGTTGGAAATGTTGGTCGCCTGAGCCGGCCGGCAAGAGGGGCACACATACGACGGGTTGTACGTTGGACTCTTCTTGCAAGACCTCGCGTGCCTAGAGAAAAGCGACATGTTAGCCTATCTGGAGGTCATATAGCGTGCGCACGAGAGTAGTCATCGCCCCGTCAAAGGTATTCTCGGCGTAAAAGCCTAGTAGTGCGGGGATAGATCGCCTCGGCGATGCCTTGCACATGCTGCGGGGAAGAGAGGGCGCGATAATAAAACAAGAGATGCACACCTTTTCACACAGTCTTTGGACATCTACCTCTGCCAGTTGCTTGCAGTTCATCAGGCTTTCAATCCAGCCGTCGACAGTCGGAATCGTGGTTGGCTCAAGGTTGACCGAAGTCAGCTCTGCGGGAGCGCGCCCAACATCCTCCATGTTTGTATCCATGGTGGCAATTCCTCCCGAGACAGGCTATGCGAAGTCGAATGGGGAATGCGATAGGCGAGGGTATCGAAGTATTGTATTGCAGCTGTGGTGTAAACAGCGTGATCGCAGGAGTTGGCGACAATGACGTTTGTGTCCACAGGAACGTTTGTGTATCCAGGCGCGGCGCGGGTCCTCAGGTCTGGGTCAAAATTGGGCAGGTGGGCGGGTGGTCAGTTGGTCGCCTCGGTCGCCAAGGGTCCTGCTGTTTTGCTGCTCACTGTTGGCCAGATCTATCAGCTCGATCTCACAAAGAAATCGTAAAGTTGAACCGTGATTGAACAGTTTATCCCGTGCAGGCGTCGCAGAAAGCCGACTCTAATACAGGAGGGGTATTATAACAGGTTTTGGATTCGATGTGTGAAGAAAGCCAGCCTTGATCGTTGGGAGATTGCATCAAGAAGGTGGGAGCTGTGATGATGGATTTGTGGTCAATGCGTCACACTATCTTCAGCTTGTTCAGGTTCTGAGGGAATCAGTGGGACCATGTAATCAGCGTAAGTACCAGGTATCTGGGTGTAATTACAGAGTAACGTCGATGAAAAGGGGTACGCCTTGATTGCCCCCCCACTTGAGACTTTGAAACCCGCATTTGAAGTACCACAAAGCCCGTCCTTTCATAGCTCTCTCGACGCCCATCTCAAGGGACAGCCTCGTCTGCATTCTGGAAGGACTCTGGCCTGAATCAGGAGTGAACGTAGCTCCCTTGTGTCTCATTTGCCGCAATGTTGTATACGTACAGAATTAAGTTCACAGCATATCCCCAGAGAGTTCGGAAATGTTGATGTTGGACCCAGATCACGACAATCCCAACCCAACCGGTGCATCCGATGACTTGTTCCCATCCGCCGTCTTGATATTCTGGCCGACCAAGCTGCGGAAGTCGAGGCCAACCTCGGAAAGCAGCTGGGCATGCTCCTTGGCCCTGTCCATGCATTGCGTCCAGACGGGGCTACCCTCCTCCTCACCGCTCAACTGCCGGGCCAGGATGGCGTTGAATGCATCGACCTCCTCCTTTGCCCATTTGACGCAGGCGCTCATCATGGGCTGCGGGAAGCATGCCTGGAAGCATTTGACCGTGTTCCGGATGATGGTGAAGTAGACAAACGAGATCTCCCAAATGTACTCGTCCAGATTGCCCTGGAAAATGCACTGCCTGTCTTTTTTGTTAGCCAAGAGGGCATGCCGTTCGTGACACTGAAGTACTCACCGAGACCGCTTCCGAATGATCTCGCTACGGGCTTCCAGATATGCCTCGCGAGCGCGATCCTCAAACCCCAACCGGCTGAGCCAGAAAACATTCTGCTTGGTCTTGGTCTGGTGATTGTGCGTGCTGACCAGCTCCCGCACAACCAGTGCCGCCAGCTTCGCCCGCCTCTCGTCGACTTTGAAGGAGATAAAGTCCTGTGCAATAGCATTGTTTTTCAGCCCATATGCCAGGCTTTTCAGCTTCTCGATCAGAGCAACAGCGGGCTCGATTTGCTGAAGAGCGATATGGATGTCCAACTCGTCCATCTGGCTCTCTACCCAGCGCAGGTTCTGCTGCTTGCCATCGACCTCGATAAGCATGTCCTTGATATCTGAAAGCGTCTCGAGGAGCTCCGTTTTCTGCAATAAGCCAGGATCGCGCGACGCAAAGTAGTTGATCGTTTCCTTGGCCTTATTTGTTGCCTCTCGTTCAGACTGGAGGTTCCTCCTCAGCTCCTCTACGCGCTTCCGGATATTGAGCATCAGGGCAGGCTTCTCAGGGTCCTCAGGTTTCTCGGTCCGGTAGATAAAAGATTCATTCTGGCCACCTCCCCGAACCATGATAGCATCAGCAAGCTTGTTCCTGCCGCTTGAGGAATCGTTGGACCCGGCCATGTCAACAACCTCAACGTCTAAAAGATGCCAGCAACGGTCGGCAACAAGTTTCGTCATGGGCGCCCGGCTGTCAGCGGCATTCGGGCCGTCCACCTTGCGCTTCTTGCGCGAGGCAACCAGCAAATGGTCATTCAATAAAAAAATCTGCATCGCTCTCCTAGAGCGGTAGGTAGCGTTGTCCAGCTCTACCCATAGGCCGGCGTTCTGGACAACATGGCGCCCTGGGGTGTTTGGGAGGAACTTTTGCGAGCCTTCAACGTTCTTGTACAGGGCCTGCATCTGTGAGCTCCAGAGCGCGGTACGGTCAGCGACAGAGCTCCGCTTATCCCGTTTGCTCAGCCCCATGGGGATATCGCCATTGAAGCTCCCGCCATCGACATTGTTGGAAGCCGATCGGAGAGCAGTGGTGTTGGCTTTCAACTCTGACATGAGGTTCTTGAGCGTTCGCATCTCGCCCTTGAGCTTCTCTGCCTCTTTGCTGATCTTGATGAACTGGGTGCGGTTCTGATAGACATTCTGCTGGAGATCGGTTGACGCTCGGGCCTTGAGATCGCGCAGGGCTGCCTCATACTCGCGGATCTCGTCCTCAGTGGCCTCGCTGAGTATCTCGGCGACATACTGCTCGGGAATGAGCGACGGGTCTCGGAGCGATCTCACATCGACCTGAGGCCCTGCCCCGCCGCCTCCGGCACTGACGCTTCTCCCTCCTCTTGAAGGCGGAGCGCGTCGATCTTGGACCCTGGACTGCGCATACATGTCAAGATTTGGTAAGGCAGGCATTGGGTTCGCGGTGGGATCAAAATCGGTAGGAAGATTATTGAAGCGGGACGAGTACCGTCGCTTGACAAGATCCGAGGTCTGTGAAGAGAAGTGAAAGATTAATTACTGCTCAGTTGGGCGCGCCGAAAGCGAATAGTGCGGTTCACCTTGCCACTGCTCGGCGGGGGAGGGCGCGGCCGAGGAGGAGGACCATTCTCGGCGACAGCCCGCCCCGGCGGAGCTCGTGAACCCGCATCGCCTTGCAATATAGGCCCCGAGATCTTGATTTCTGGCCGGCCCTTCCTCTTTCCCCCACTTCTCAGCGAGATCTTTGATCGTTCATCCGACATGGCGATCAGCTAACACAGGCAGAAGCGTGCAATTCAGCGCCGGAACGTCTGAGTTTTTGATATCGATCCAAGGTCCTCGGACGGAATAAAATGAATTACTGAACGCCCCGGCGCCAGTTGGTCCAAAGAGTGAGACGCGAGCAGTCCAAGCCAATTTGGTTGTCAAAGCCGTTGACGTCGTTGCATTGATGTTACCTTTCGTTGTGGACAGCCCCTGAGTAGTGTACCGTTACTTACATTTACGAAGCAGGATGCACGAACGTAACACATGGAGACGATAGCAGGAACCTTAAGACCAGTTGGCTCGTGCACGCCAAGCAGTCCAGCCAAGCACCACGCAAGGCTTGGCTTGGCAAGCGGACTCGGCCGGCAACAGGGATCCAAGACCAAAAAAACTTACCTGCGATCAAGCAGCTTCAGCTGCGATATGATTTCCGTCCATTCACCAACCCAGAACAACGAACCACCTAAACAACCAAGCGCATCCCGATTCTGCGGTAAATCCGATATTTTCAAAGCCCAGGGTTCTGTGCGACCAGCGTGCTTGATTCCCTCCCCAGTTCTTTCTTAACCATCGCATCCAAAATGTCATCATCAAGACCTGTCGTCATAGCGACTGCAACCGTCGCGGCGATAGCCACAGGCGTACTGGGTATGTATTGAGCTGCCGAGGCCTTGCAACTATGTGGCTCGAGCAGGAGAAAAGCTAACTACCTACCCCCAAACAGCGTACGCAGTATACTTCGACTACCGCCGCCGCCACGACCCCGAGTTTAGGAGACAGCTGCGCCGCAGCAACCGGCGAGCAGCCCGCAGCGAAAAGGACCGCGCCGAACAGGCGGCCAAGGCCCAAAAGCAGTCCATCAGGCAGGCCGTGGACGAGGCCAAGGAGGAAGGCTTCCCCGCCAGCGCCGACGAGAAGGAGGCCTATTTCCTTGAGCAGATCCAGGAAGGAGAGAGGTTGGCTGCTAACCGTACGTTTCACTGCTCTCTTTTCCCTCTTTGCTCTGGCTCAGAGACACCGGCTGATATTCCTGGTTTCACACAAAACCAGCTTCCCAATCGTTTGAGGCCGCAATCGCTTTTTACAAGGCGCTCAAAGTCTACCCCACCCCGGGGGATCTGATCAACATCTATGATAAGACGGTACCCAAGGTGAGAAAAAGAACCCAGCAACAGGCAGCCCCAGCCCGAACCAGCTGGCGTTTTCTCGTACTTACAGATCTCTTACAGCCCATCCTCGATATCCTGGCCGAGATGATTGCGTATGACGGCCGGATCGGAACGGCCTACACGGGTCCGGCGGAGGTCGACATGGCGGCCCTGATGCGAGAGATGGGCGCTGTGCCGGGTGTTGGCCTGGACTAGGCGCGCGCTCCGAGCTGGACTTACCCCGGAACTACAACGGACTTTCGAAACGAGGAGGCGCCCAAGTTCGGATTGGGCGAGAGAACATTGAGCAGGTTCTTGATGTGCCTGGTTGGGCTCTCACTTGCTTTCTCGCGCCGTCATGACAGAGCCTCTTCCACCAAAATGGCGAGACGGCGACATACTTGGCATCAACAAGCGAAGTTCTACAGTGTTGTACGATATAGTGTTGCTCCCATTTTCCTCCGCATGGCGCATCAGAGACGAGTGCGGCCAGTATGCATCAAAACCAATGTACAATAGATACAGGATGCAGGTGGCAGCCAGGGATCAGGTGCTATCTCAGTATAATGGCCCCAGTATAGCACAACTGAGGCAAGACCAATCTTTCCTGACACTCTTGTTTCCGCCAGTTGTTGCACTCAGCTATTTCCCAACTACGTCGCCTCAATGGGCCGTCCCTTCTTATCCACTCTCTGATCTCTCGGGTCAAACCCGCCATTGCCCCACGTCGCCCATTCAGGGGTTGGAGGCCCCATGTAATCCTCGGGCGCAAAGTCCCCATCGGGGCCCTTCTCTTCAAGCAGCTGGAAGAACTTGTCGTAGTCAATCAGCGTATGCCACTTCCCGTCGACCTTGAACCGCTCGCTTGCGAGCAGGATACAGCAGCTGTGAGCGTGCTCCGCCGCAATGCCGTACTGGAGCCCCCTCTTCTGAAGCGCCCTCTCCAAGGCCGTGACGAAATCACACACCTCCTGGTAGAAGGGCACGTTGGCCATGGTCAGGCCGGCACTGCTCGACGTTGATGTGCCGCAGTATGTGACGCCCTTCACCTCGACAAAGCACGGCAGACCCCTCTCGACCAGGTCCGCGTACCCCTCGACCTCGTCCTCGACATTGAACCCCTTGACCAGCGTCAGACGGAAGACGGTGCGCTGCCGGAAGCGGCGCTCGCGGAGTATGTCGAGGCAGCGCTGAAAGCGCTCCCAAAAATCTCGGTGCAAGGGGCGATCGATGCGGCGGAGCGATTCGCGATTCGAAGCGTCAATGCTGACGTACAGCTGTGTGACGTGCTGCAACGCGGCGAGCTGATCCGGGTGCTGCGCGTTGCAGACGAGGAAGGACGATATCCGCTCGCCGTGCAACATGCCCAGGAACTCGTTGATGTGCGGGTAAAAGATGGGCTCGCCCACGAGGGAGAGGGCGCAGTGCCGGATGCGCATCGCTTCGGCAAAGCGCTCAGCCCGTACGCCCGGGACGCCGCGCATCATCTTGATCTTTTTGTAGTGGTTCTCTTTGACGCCATCGAAGATGAGCTGTGGAGGGTCAATCACCCACCGCCAGGTCGTGCCCACCGGATTAGTACCGTGGCGCCAGCAAAAGACACACTTATTGGAGCAGGATAGGGACGGAGTGGTTTCCATGCATTGATGTGAGTTGATGCCGTAGAATGAGAATTTGTAGCAGGAACCCCGACCGCGTAGGGCCGATTTGGTCCAGCGGCAGATTTTGACCCCTGAGTGGGAACCAACGATTGAGTAGCCCTGCTTGGTCAGGGCTGCGTAGGTAGGCGAGTTTTTCGGCACCATTTCCTTGACCATGGCGGTTGCTGTCGCCTTGGCCCTCGATTTGCCCTGCGTAGTAAAATCAATAGCCAGCGGCGTCCGTGACTTCTGGCCGGTCGCACTGTCTGGTCTTGACATCTGCATGATCTTGCCTAGGTCCTCCACATCTTGTAGACTTCCAGAGCTTTGTTTCTTCCCAGCTTTGACATCTGCGACTTCCTCGAAAAGCACTTCACCGTCGTCTTCCGCCTCCGCCTCGTCGTCGCTTTCAAGGGGGTCTCCTGAGCCGGGCACACCATCGCCTAAGCTTCCAGTCTGCGACAACTGGGTGAGGACATCCACCAATCCAGTCTGCCACTCAGACAGTCTCTCCTTGCCATCTCTCTTCCAATCACCCATGCCGAGGGGATATGCGCGCTTTCGACCGCTCAGCTTCGCCATCCATTTGTCCACCTCCCTTGCTTGGAAACAAAACCCCTCCTCTTCAGTCGGCCACCCCTCCCTATCGCCCAGACCAAACACGGAGTAGCCCAGAATTGGCGCCAGCGGTGATGTATCAATGCGGAAATCGTGGTGCGTTTCTTGAAGATGCTCAAGGAAGCTGTCGTTTATGCTGTCGATATTGTAACTGGGGATAATGAAAAGGTAGAAAAAATCGGTCTGCTCGCCTTCGGTCTTCGGGGGCGTGATAAAATATTCGTCGTAATCAGCCTCAGCCAGGTCTAGTACTCGTGGCGACAAGAATGTGCTGCCATGTTCCTTCTCGGCGGAACCCCCAAGCGAATCTCCCAATGCTCGCGCAAATGTATGGGCGATCTTTTCCGAGCTCCCTGTCAAAGACGAGTAAAACACGAGCACCTGGATCTTTCGCGCTTCCGTTCCGGCCTCGACGGTGCCATTGCGAGCGCTCCTCCCAGGTTCGCCCTTTATCCTCCTTGGTCCACGCTTTAACCTTCCAGTCGATTGAGATCCATCACTTGTACTGTCCTCCCGTTCGTCTATCTTATCCTTCTTGGGCTCGGGCATGAGTTTTGGCTTCTCATCGCTAACAACCGGGGAGCCATTCTGGCTGGGGGCTTTCTCTTTCTCGTGCAACTTCGGTAGCACTAGTAAGTCCTGTCGCTTGGCTGTCGAGTGAAGGTATATGCGTAGCAGGCTCAGGAGAAATAAGCTGGATATTATGATCGGAATACGATGCTCGTGCCATAGTTCCAAGGCGTCTGTCACCAAGGAGGCGTTGTCAGTCTTGCCAACGTCATGGGGGAGGATACTACGTACAATGTGTGAATCTCGACATGACTGTCAGGTCACCACCACCTTGGCCGGGGCGAAGTCCCGGTACTGATTGTGGGAAATTCGGCCACAACTTTTCCATGGCTTCAGGATTTGAGGTGTTGTAGCCGCAAAGTTTTGGTGGGGTCGAAACCAAACTTCGTGCCCCGCGATGTTCGCATCAATCTGGCCTGTGCGTAACGGCCCTCGAAATCAGCATCCAATGAGAATTGTCCATTCCCAATTTCACATGTCGCGTGCAACCGGATACGGTACCCGAGCATCCATCTTACCCTGTTCCTTCGGGCGGGGCAACATAAACTTACAGCGTTGACTGGCAGTGTTTCAATGCTGCTGTTATTGAGCATGTATGCAAGTCCTACTACCTTATAGTAGATACCTTATATACCATTTTTACTAGGTAAGTACAGGTCTAGCCCTAAGCATCAAGTCTCCAACTGCTTTTGACACGGAGACAGGCTCGCAATCACAAATTCACAATTATATACTGGGCTAGCCACACGTTCTGAGAGATTCAGCCTGATCTCGAAGTTTGATACAACGTGGCCGGAGAGACCTGTGGTCCAGTTTTGGCTCGCCAGCGCGATATACGCCTTCAACACAAGCCCATCAATCACCAGACTGCCACCGCCGGCACAAGATTGTGCGCGGGACACATTGCAGGCCCGGCGCTGAAAGGTACGGATCCCCGCGAGGGCTTCGAGATGAACAGAAAACAAGCCGCGGCTACCTACGTAAGGTAGGGATTAACTCTCTAACTGCTTGCTTTCTGCCTCGACGATCTTCTTTGAGTAGCTCTCGATCCCCTCGTCAAAATCCCAGGCCTCTTTGAGGCCGAGCTGCTCAAAGAACTGAACAATAGTCTGGTTTTCACAGTACTTTAGGTCCGACCCCTCCTCCTTGAGCCCACGATACGAGCGCTGCATGGCCAGCATAGCCGGAATGAACCCCGTACACGGGTAGATGGCTGCGGCAAAACCGAGGCGCTGGCAGTCGTTCGTCGTCAAATCTCTGGTCAGTCCCTGCAGTGATGATGAGAGTCTTATGGTCAGCGATTATTCATGTTACGGTGCTCAACCAAGCGAGCAAGGTGTGGTAAAAGCCCCTGTAGTAAACAAATGTGTTTCACGCACGTGGGGAAGGACGTTGATCAGAACAGGGTGCGGCGCGAGCTCCTTCACCAGCGTCGCGCACTCATCCTGAGTCCTCGGCGATTCCATAAACGCCATATCAGCGCCGGCGTCGAGCGCGGCCTTGAGACGCCTGACACCCTCATCAAACGCTTCACGACCCGCCTTCTCCCCGCCAAACGACTTGGCCTGCCTCGCGTCGGTGCGGGCAATGATGACAAAGTCCGGGTCGGTGCGGGCCTCGACGGCACTCCGGATGCGTTCCAGGTACACCTGCAAATCCACGACATCCTTGCCCTTGAGCTGCCCGCAGCGCTTGGGAAACACCTGGTCTTCGATGTGGCAGCCTGCCAGGCCGGCGTGCTCATACAGCTGGATGGTCCGGCGCACGTTGATGGGGCCGCCGAAGCCCGTGTCGGCGTCGGCGATGATGGGGATGCTCGTGTTCTGCGCCATCATCTGGCCCACGTTGGCAAACTCGGTCTGCGTCATGACCGACAGGTCCGGCTGGCCGATGTAGGACCCCGTGGTTCCGCTGCCGGCGAGGTACAGGAAGTCAAACCCGACGGAGTCCGCTACGCGCGCAGATATGCCGTCGAATATCCCCGGCCCGATGAGACATTTTCCTGTGGGTATGGACAGGGCATCATCAGAAGCTTGTTTTCTAGTTCGATATGTGCTTCATCTTGGTACTGACCGCTCTGTAGCCCCTCTCTGAAGCGTTTACCCGCGCTTTTCATCTGTTTGGCCATGCTGTCTGTTTTCAGGTAGGTATGGTACACTGACTTCAAGGAGCAAAAGATATTGATAGAATGAACTTCAGGGGGCTGGGTGTCTGAAATTTGAAGGAATATGATGAGGCTTGATGCTGGCAAGTACTTTCTTTACCCGACGCAGATGGAGGAATCACGCATTCAATGAAAATGGATGTCACTTAGGTATTCATACCTCCCTTCCTGGAAAGGGAAACAATCCTGAATTCCTTTGAAGACCTCATGGATCATTACGTCATTCGATGCTTGATTGAACAACTGGTCAAGTACACGCTACTGGTTGGCGGTGAGCCGGTGACTTCACGTGTAATGGTTGCCGATCCTATCACACTGCAAGTTTGCTATGATTCTATGTAGAGTGTCCGGGTATACAGTGTGGTGCTCGCTTCACTAATATCAGTAGCACCCGGACCTATTCAGAAGTCAACGTTTGGAAAACATCCTCAAGAACTCCAACCTCAGGCCTCATAATTGTCTCATGTGTTGAACCGGGTGCCGTACAACTCCGATACATCCAACTGTCCGTAGCCTCGTTCTTCCAGCACTCGTCAAACCACTCGGAGCCATGCTCCCCGGCAGTGTTATCCGCTTCCGCAAAGTAAACATCCACCATCAACTTCCCGCTTTCTATCTGCCTATTAGTAGCCTCACTCTTCCTCAACAACCTCAGAAACTCATCATAATCCTCCCAGTCTCCCCAGATCTGCTTCGACCCGCGTTTCAAACAGAACAATGCCTCTTGACTGACACCCTCGATATTCTCATCCAGGGCGTAGCGGAGCACCTTCTCGTCGATCGCCTTGATGAGCGGGTCCGTGTCCTTCATATCCACCCCGGGACGCGCCGTGCTGGGACCCAGCCGAGCCGACACCCCCGTGCGGGTCAGCAGGTTCGTCGTGTCATAAAACCGCTGGATGGCCCAGTCGGGGAGCGCCGAGGCTATGGTCGCTTGCACGGCATGACTGTGGGAGGGGTGAACCCATGGCGCGACAAGCGCCACATAGGGCCGCTGAGGGTGCAGGAGGTGGCGGAGGTGGAGGACGATGTTGAGGACGTAGATTGCCCCGGAACTATGGCCGAGGAATGTGACGGGCCCTAGACTCAGCTGCTCGACTAGCGCTTCGGTAATGTCTTTGGGTGCAATACTGGTCAGAAATCGGCCGTAGCCCAACCCCAAGCCAGGGGTGATTCTACCGAGTACGGATAGTATGAGGCAACCACGTACCAAGCCACGCCCATACCTTCATCTCAACCTCCACCGCACTCGTGCCCCCTATCCCAGGCTTGTCGGGCGTGATGAGCCGCACGCCCCGCTCTCGCGCCAGCCTGTCGGCCAGCGCGAGGGTATACCTGGTGCCGAACAGGCCGCCGACAACCAGCAGCGGAGTCCCGTCGGGGTCGCCTAGATCAGAGTAGGCCACCCGCAAGGGCCGCGACGGCGGCGAGCCGCGCGCTGCTTGATGCCGGCATTTGTCTGGCGCTATCCACAGCATGCGGTGGAAGCGACTGTCGGCTAGGAATTTGGTTGCTCTATGATCAAATGAAGGAAGGTAAGCAACTACCCGGCAGGTAGGTTAATACCGCGTGGATCTGGCGGTTAAAATCGGTTTTGTCTCATACTGTTTCTCAACGGACGGGTCACCGTCAGCGTGTGTCCCGTCCATGAGGCGCCAAGGGCTCCAACTGGTTGCAGGGTACGCGAGGTATAGTCCGTATACCTGGTGGTATCTGTGAGCTGATCGGGCTGGGAAAGCTCAAATCACTGTAAGTCGCGAAGTATATCATGACCGTTTTTGGTATCTCGCCGAGGGGTTATGCTGCATGATTGAGGTTGAAGGCATACCGACCCGTGGACGTCTCTGGCAGTGACGTCATCGTCCGCCTTGCATTAGGAGAGACCAGCTCTGGTACCATGCATACTTTAGCATAAGCCGTGATAGGCCCTTTGGATTAGGAAGGGCATCAAGGGATTTTCCATGAGGCACTCACCATGTGATAGTCCTGGTTGAAAATGATATAGCAAAACGAAGGTTCAAATGCCCTCTCCTTCATCCTTGTGCCGTGAGGTGAAGTAAGTAGTACGCCGTCCATAGGTCCAACTGGACTGTTTTGGAAGCTCTTCTTCGTGCACTGCAATGTCTATATGCTTACATACGAAACATCGCTCACTCGGCCTCTATATCTTGGCCCAGATCTATCACATCTTCGTCTTTCTCCTCTTCCTCCTCCTCGTTAGGTGTATCCAGCCCATGTGCAACCGTCCGGCTAGAAGACGCTATGATATCTTCGGCCCCAGACACCACGGTAGCACCGTGACCCTCATGCACTGGCTCGGGCTCATTCTCCGCCACCTTGGGCGACTCCCCCTCGTCCTTACGCCCTACTATCACACTGCCAACGACAAGCAGAGCGGCACCAGCCCACCACATTGGTGGCAAGGTCTCAGAGAAGATGATAAGACCGAGCAGAGCACTAAGGACAAAATTTGAAGACGTATTTATAACCGAGACTTGGGTGGTCGAGTTGCCCCTGGCCAGGGCTGTTGTGAACAGAGTCCACATCTGAAAAGAGGCCCAGTTGTTAGCATTGCAGCGGTTAGAGGAAGATGTTTGACCAAGTTTAGTCGAGACTGGGGTTCTCATCAGAGAGGAACGTGCTCGGAGGGGACTAGAAGCGAAGCCGTGCCAGTGGTATGTGAACAAGTGGCGCTCGTCAAAATCATGGCGTTATCCATGATGCAAGACGGCCATAGAAGCAGAGAAATCATGCAACCTACCACACCGTTGAATGTAAGGTTTAATCCAAAAAAAGCCTGGTTCAAGATACCCGGTTAGCCTGACATCCATCCTATACGGCACACACGCTCGGCAAGTCGAGTGATCAACCCGCTGGCAGAACCGGCGAGAAGAACTCACGCATCGAACAGCAATCTCAACCACGCCATGTACATTCTCTAACCTGAGCAGGCGAGCAATGGCCAGCGCAAAGCTCGCTGTCAGTTCCGTGGTTGTCCTGCATCATGAGGGTAATTCAGATGTCAGCAAGTTCATAAGCCGACCTCTAGGCATTACCCCCTTGGAGGCTAATAAGTCGGCCAGGATGTTAACTCACAACTTGGCGAAAACGCCATTAAACGCGGCGCATGCTCCGCTGGCCAGAGCAAGAATAATCCACTTGTTCTTCTTTACCCAGCTCAAAGACTCTGCCGGCGATGGTGAATGGTGCTCATCTTCCTCCAACGATGCGCCGCCGGCGCTGTCCAGCAGCGGCCGTTCCTCATCCGAGCGACTCATCGTGTCCGTGTTGGCGTGGTCCTCATGCTTCGCTGACTGGGGAACAGCTCTCTTCCTGAATCCCGAAGACGCGTTTGAGGCGCAGGGGGCTTTGGTTGCTGACGGAAATGAGGAGGGTTTAGCTGCAGGTGCCTGGGTCATTGCTGTATCTTGGGCTTCAAGCGATGCAGCCCCGGGGCAAAGTAAACACCAAGTTATACACCATAGCCATCCGCGGGAGAGGCGTCGTGAATTGGGAATTGGGATTCCCGGTTTGAGACGTGGGAAAACGAGAATCCCATGTGCAATGCGAAGTGACGGTTTCACTGCCATTGGAGTGGAGCGGGAGCTGCGCTGCTTCGCGATCGGACACCAACCCTAACCCTCCAATCGTAAAGTGCACAAGCAACCAAAAAAAGGCGTGATTGAATCAGTTGATCGAGGAATCGAACCCAAAAAGAGAGGCAGGCGTTCGAGCCCGGGCAGCAGTCTGGGACAGTCTTTCGTCAACCAGAGGCTATCTAGGAATTTTCTCAACGCCTACGCTGGAACCGCTACACCACAACGCCGTTGAAAGTGTAGTGGTTCCTGTTGAAGGCCTACTGCCTTCCGCGTGCCTATATACCTCCGCCCACCGCCCACCACACCGTCACCAGCCACCTCCGCCCTCGCCCTCGCCCTCGCCCTCCGCTCGATGACCTGTTTAGGCAAGTAGTCACATCTATACTACCTTTGGCAGCCAAGGTATCACCAGTAGGGTACACATTATGCTGGGGTTACTTGAGTACCTAGACAGCGGATCGTCAGATTCAGGATCAGGGCTGTCAGCCTTCCAGTAAGACTACCTCCTACATGAAAGTCATCAAAACCCGTGAGCATAAAAAACAGGGGCATACTGCATGATACCACGAGACTTGTAGCCCACATTCATAACCCTGTATTCATCGCCGATGTTAGAAAGCCCCCGTACCCTTAAGATGTGTCCGAATCACCGAACGCCTGCTCCGATGCCCGCCCAACGCCATTCTTCAGTCCGTAAGGCAAACAATAAACGCGCCGATTCTAAGCCACATATAAGAAACCTTTCCATATCTTGTGATATGATCTTGCCGAAGGGACCATAGAGGAATCATAGATTCCGGCCACCCACCCGGCGGCTCTCTTAATCACCACTGGCTACTTCTCATCGGTCCGCTTCGAACTGCAGCTGACGATCTTGACCTTGTCTGCTTGAATCATTTGGCCGCCGTTGTCCAACTTGAAGGTTACGTTGCGGATAAGAAAAGTCCAGACTTCGTCGCAGAAGCGGTAGGTGTCGAGGGAACCCTATGTGCCGCAGCAAGGTACAAACCTGGCGTCAGCCATACTCGGCTCCAAACCACGGTTCAACGAGCGGGCAAGTTCACCTTGAACGTTAGGCGGGCCTTGACCTTCTCTTGCAGCGTCTCGGCAATGATGCGATCAAACTGCGTGAGGACCTTCATGGCAAGTTGCGGGTCGATGCGCTCGTCCCCGATGAGCTCATCGAGCGCATCCGTCAGCGACAGCCCAAGGCTGTTTCCTCAAATTGTCAGTCTTCTGGAGATGCAAAGAGAGAACGAGCGGGCCCGCCCGCATGGAAATCCATCGGGAGCATCTACCTTCCATGACGATATAAATCGTAAAAGTTGGTAGAGCTGGCCGCCATCTTGATCGAGTGTCTCGCCGCGAATGCTGACGATTTGATGGCGATGGTGTTTTGTATGAGGCAAGTGACTCCGATTCCAGAGGGGCGGGATGTTGGCGCCAGCGGTGGGGCTACCCCGTTGAATACTCGCACGTGATTCTCCAGCCACAGGCAGTAGGCCTTGGCGGTTGGCGGCGCTGCTCCAGCGGCCAAGTGAACGACTCCCTGGAACACTCAGTGCAAGGAAGCTCTGGAGAGCGAACGACCAGCTCGACGACAGCTTCAACACCGCAACAAAAATCACCCCCGGGGCCCGACCGATTGCAGCGCGGAAGCTGACAAGATGAGCTTGAAATACGGGGCCAGCGGGATTGGATCGACCCTAGCCATTGTGGGAGCTTGTGAGTTTCCCGGGACATTGCCCGCTGTTCAATAATCGAGTCGCAGGAATGCGCCTGCTAACTGTCTCTCTCTGCAGATATGCTCTTCACTGGCAGCGGCGAATCCTTCAATGTATGACGACTCTCCCGAAACCAATCTCGAGGATCAGGCTCTATGCAGCCATAGCTAACGCGACAAATTCACCAGGTCGGCACTTTCCTCGAATCCGTCTCCCCGTACGCATGGGCAGACCTGGGTATCGCGCTCTGTATCGGCCTCTCGGTGGTTGGCGCGGCATGGTAGAGCACCTTGACTCCCCTCGTCCCAAACCTCTATGCTAACATACAAACTCGCCCAGGGGCATTTTCATCACAGGTTCATCCATTCTCGGCGGCGGCGTCAAGGCGCCCCGGATCCGCACCAAGAATCTGATTTCCATCATCTTCTGCGAGGTCGTAGCCATCTACGGCGTCATCATGTCCATCGTCTTCTCCGCCAAGCTGAACCTGGTCCAGGGCGAGGCGGCATATTCAGCAGACAGCTACTACACGGGCTACGCGCTCTTCTGGGCGGGCATCACCGTGGGCATGTGCAACCTGGTGTGCGGTGTTGCCGTCGGCATCAACGGCAGTGGCGCTGCGTTGGCGGATGCCGCCGACCCTACGCTGTATGTTGCTGCGAATCAGGCTGTTGATGGAGGACATGCCGCTAACAAGATCTTACAGATTTGTAAAGATCCTCGTTATCGAGATTTTCAGCTCAGTTCTGGGCCTGTTTGGCCTGATCATCGGTCTTCTCGTATCTAGCAAGGCGTCCGACTTTGGAACGGAATAAGGCGCCCCTGGCTTCGGGGTTAAGCTCGGCTCACGCATCTATAACCGCATTATCAAGGATTCAGAGCACGACGGCGAGCGTGTCTGTGTAGTTCATTGTCTCCGGCGTTTGGGAAGAAGGGGTAGGGTTGGTCAAATGGCATGGTTAGTATTGTATCTCATGGTGTAGAAGGCTCAACTGTACAGAACTAGGTGTCCCAATGTCATATATTTGTCCGATGGCTTATCCGCCGCCCCGATCATGCGCCATTCCGTATGTTACTCATCAGCAGTGCGTCCACCTTCGCTCCCTTGCGTAGTGGCTCCGGGCCGCTCGGCATGCAGAGCAGAGCATTTGCCCCCTTGAGACTACCGACCCGCGAGCTCCTCTGCCCTCCGGTGCTGGTGGCAGACAGGGTCCCATCACTCCCCACAGAGACGATGGCCCGATGGTACTCAGGCCGGGACTTGTCGAGAGGGAAATCGTGGGCGAGCGTCACGGGCACGCTTGTTAGGCCAGGCGGCGAGATGCCCGACATTTGATGCAGAGACGGGAGCACAAAGAGGTGGAACGTCACCAGCGCCGAGGCTGGGTTGCCTGGCAATGAAAAGATGACCTTGTCAACCCGCTCACCGGCATTATTCTTCACCGGGACAGTCGCAAACGTCGTAGGCTTCCCAGGCTTCATGTTCACGCGTCCAAAGTGTATCGTCCCGCCCAGCGCCCGCTCAATCGTCGGCTTGAGCAGATCCAGCTCCCCCATCGACACGCCCCCCGTCGTAATGACCAGGTCCACACGCCGCAACGCATCCCGCAGTCTCTCCTCCAGCGACCCAGCCTTGTCACTCACGATACCGAGATCAACAACCTCATACCCCGCCTCTTTCGCTGCAGATATCAGCGTAGGCCGATTCGTATCCCTTACCTCCCCATACCGCAGCTCCGGCCGGTCATGCTCCACGATCTCATCCCCCGTGGACAACACCCCGACCACCGGCCGCCTATACACCTGGACCTCACCCACCCCGACAGAGGCCAACACCCCAATCTCCCCACCCACCGCAGACACCTGATCGCCCTTGGAGAGGATCAAGTCCCCCTTTCGAACATCGCTCCCAACTTCGCGAATATTCTCCCCTTCCTTGACGCCCTCTGCAAGGATCTCAACCTCCTTTTCCTCAACCCCATCCTCAGTCCGGGACGCAAGCACCGTATCCTCCACCATGATAACCGACGTCGCCCCCGCGGGGAGCGGCGCCCCCGTCGTGATGCGCGCCACCTCGCCTTGCCGCAACTCCTGCTGCTCCTCCTGCCCAGCCGCATGCGAGACCCCCACGACAGGATACACCCCGCGCATATCCCCTCCTGAAGGAACCACCACGGCGTACCCGTCCACGATGCTCGCGCGGAAAGCCGGCACGTTCTCGGCCGCGCGCACGTCCGCCGCCAGCACGCTCCCCACCAGCGCCGGGGAGACCTTGGCCAGGACGGGCTGCGGCGGCGGAGTGCGTTGTGCTATAAGGGAGAGGGCGTCGGGCACGGAGAGCATGGGGTATGGCGACGCCCGGTGGCGGCGGCTTGGGCCCATGGATGGGTCGTTGGATTTGGGATCTGTGTGTGTGTGACGGATTGGGGTACCATGGCCGCCGTGGCTGTGGTGATGGTGATGATGATGATGATGGTGGTGGTGGTGACGATGGGCTGGGGGTTGTTGTTGGGCTTGTTGTCCAGCGGCGGCGGAGCCGATCCCTGCTTCTTGCTCTAGCTTTTTCACCCCTCCAGAGTGAAGCGCTCTGGAGTCGGCGCCTGCCGCTTGCAGGCAGGCATGGGGTAGCGTTTTGTTCACGGCCTGCAGGTTCTCCCGTGCTGCCTTGGGCGATCCCGGCAGAGTGATGATGACAGTTTTGTGTCTGACGCCCGCCACGGGCCGCGACATGACGGCAAAGGGGGTGACAGCGAGTGATGCAGCCAACATTCCGTGGACTAGACCAGGCGCTTGTTTGCTAAGGAGAGGCGCGACGGCTTCGGGGGTGACGTCGGGAACGGCGAAACCGGTGCCGCCGGTGGTGACGATGAGGTTCACAGGGTCGGGGCCGTCGGTCCAGGCTTTGATCTGTTGCTGTATCTGCCCCTCTTCGTCGCTCACAATTCTTGTTTCGGTCACGGTCCAATGACCGCCGCCGTCTTGCTCGAAAACATTGCGCAGTGTAGCTTCGGAAGCATCTGTTGATGGGTCTCTGGCGGCTGTTGTTGAGACGACAAGGATAGCCGCCTTGAGGGGAGTTGCCATTGTGAGATGGAATGCTTTAGCAGCGGCTCCGGACGTGTTACAGTACAGATCTCCGAGGTTGAGCTGTACGAGCTCGCGGAGAAGTGGGATGGGTTGAGGGAATAGCTTCATACCACCCCGCCAAACCTTGGCATTCATCATGCCCCACCCCACCCGCATCTGCTCGGCAAGGTCCGCACCGGAGCGGAAGCACAGGCCAAGCGTTGTGTCACCGAGCCGAAAGTGCGGATCCGTTGCAGATCCGAAATTCACCGCCCGAGCGCCCCAAGTTACATCCAATTCATGTCCCGGAGGCGGCCCTGACAAGTGTCATACGGTACATAAGAAGATCCCGGGGAACCATCAGTTGGGGTCCGACCAAAATCTTTATGGGATAATCCCAACCCTTTAAGAAGCGGAGAGTCCCGTACTTTTAAAACCTCGTCGAATCCTCAAAACCCCTACGAAGTACCCCTGAGGTACGGAGTCAACCTGACTTATCGATAAGCCCAAACCCTCAAAAAGTCGCAACAACCTAAGGACTCATCTCAATAGGCATCGCACTTAAACTCAACTTCAACCATCATGGTGCGTCTGAAAGATCGCTACCTCCTCGTAAATATCATCTACAGCGATGTTCCCGCGGGTCAATCAAAGGGCGCCGTGCCCGACTTGCTAATCTACAATCAACCGACAACCGATGAGTTGAGGCCCCAGCTTCTGCTCAAGGGCATCCGCAGCGAGGTCGCCTCTCTCTTCGGCGATTGCGGCTCTGGCGCAGTGGACCGCAGCCTTCAAGGTATCTCAGATAATAAAATGATACAGATTCCTTATCATTACATTTCGACACTAACCCTCATCCTAGTAAAATATCTCTCGCCCGCAACGTCGACCTTCATTCTGCGGGTATCACGCGCCCACTATCGCCTGGTATGGGCCGCCCTGTCATTCATGAACCACGTGCCCGTGAGAAACGGGCGACCATGCGTCTTCCGAGTGGTGCGAGTCAGCGGCACCATCCGCAAAGTCGAGAAAGAAGCTGTGCGCCGCGCTCGGCTCCTCATCCTCGCCGCAAAAGACGAGATGGCTGGCAGGAGCTCGTCAGATGCCCTCGGCGCTCTCCTACGGAGCGACGGACAATCCCGCAGCACAGCAATGATAGTGGACCAAGCAGATTCAGAGCCAGAGCCGGACGAGGGCGAGGCGTCTGATGATGGATGATCGCTCGACACCTTTGTCACTTTTTCTTGCGCGTTACCCGTATGCCACTATCAGACACTGGCTGTGGAAGGCCACCTAGTAGAGGATCACCACCTGCCGCCTCGGCTGCAGCCTGCGCCTGCGCCTCGCGGATCTTGTCCTGCTCCTCCTCCTCTTTTCTCTCCAACTCGTCATAAAAGTCTTTATTATCAATCCACCGCTCCTGGAGATCCTGGACGTCCAACAACGACGACTCGTTCCGCATAGCCACCTGCCAGATGCTGTCGTTGGCCCCTTCGGCGCCACCAAACACGTAGCCCCCGGCCCGGTCTATGACGCGCAGGAGGTGCATCATGCTCTTCTTGTTCTCCACCGCCAACACCTCGAAGCTGACCAGCCCGAATCGCTCAATGAGATCGGCGATGGCCTGGTTAAGCCTTGCAAACTTGGCGCTCCGGAGCGCCGGCGATTCGGCCTCGAGGGACGGTATAAGATATGACAAGTCCTGCACTTCGGTGTAAAAATCGAGATTGAAAGGCAGCGGGTCGTACGAGGAGAGCTTGTCGATTTTGGTCAGCACGTTGATATGCGGGAGGTCCATCTGCAGCATGGCCCGCAGAGCGAGGAGCAGGTTCGATATGTAGAGAGATGGTTGGGTGAGACAGAAGCAGTCGGACAGATGGACAGCCACCAGCTGTGCGGGGGTCAGCATCGTTCGCGTGCGACGGTGGACTGAGCAGGACATACCCTGTATCCCAACTTGTGCAGCTTGTAAAAGATGTTGCGCAGGGATGTATGATGAGTGTACAGCTCGACCTGTCCAGGGCAGTCGAATAGGATATAGTCCTCGCCTAGCTCCTTCAACCCGTTCTCTAGCCACTCCATGTTATGTTCTAGCTCCTCGAGTGCGTATAGAATCCCGCCGTTGGGCCCTAGGCGGTCGTCCGACATGATTTCCTCCAGTGTGACCAAATTGCGAATGTCCAGAGCACAGGGGTAGTTTGTCCGGTCGTTGGCGGGGTCAAGGTTGATGACGGAGCATTGGCGCCCGATGGCGCCCATGAACTGGTGCACTTGAAGGGCAGTTAGTGGCGCAACGCCGAGCAGGACAGATCTGTACAGAAGAGGAAGCCAAGCTTACTGCCATCACAGTACGTGCTCTTCCCCGCGCCGGGACTCCCGAGGACAAGTTGTCCGAAAGGCATTATGAGCAGTTATCATGCGCTTTGGGTCTTTTTGTTTATGCGAATGCCGGAGCCTCGTCGGCTAGCGTTGTGTGATATTACGAGACAGCAGGCGCAATGTTCTTTGAAGTTTGAAGGTTTCCACAAGCTCTAGAATCGTCACCTCACGGACACCAATCCGGCGATTTGCCCCGCCGAGTTGAACGGACAAGGCGCCAAGCTGCCCCACACGGTCGCACATCAAAGTGGGACTCAAGAACTAGAATTTGGCGGTAAACCCCGGCAGAATTTGGTCTTGTTTACCCTGACTGCTGTTGCTCGAGATGCATTGAAAGCTCTCCCACCAAGCTCCCCACTTGGAAGGTATTGACAATTGTTTCTCTACCTCTCCCATCTGCAACACAATCAGTCTGTCATGGCGCCAGGTATGTAGTCCCTCTAATAGCCAGTCCATCCCCCATTTACTCACAAAAAATAAAACCTACAGCAACACAATTCGAAGTGGCGCAACCGCCAAACGACGCCGTCTCTGCCCTCGTCTTCGCACCTGACTCGCCGAACCGGTTACTGGTCTCATCATGGGACAAGAACGTGTATCTTTACGAGATTGCAGGTTCAGGCGGCACCGAGGAAGCCAGATTGATCAAGACCTATGAGCACCGTGCGCCGGTGCTCGATGTCTGCTTCGGCGCGAACCAAGACGAGGCCTTCACGGCGGGGATGGATCGCCAGGTCAAGAGGTTAGCTTTTCTATGTCCTTGTCTTGCGCGCGCCACGCCGTGGGATTGATTTCCCAGTATTAATCACAATAACAACAGGATCGACCTCACCACCGGCGAGCAAACCGGTCTGAGCAAGCACTCCGAACCCGTCCGCTGTGTCGTCTACAGCTCCAAACACTGTAAGCTCGCGCCCACCCCTTCCAGCTTCACCTGCCAATCCAATTCAGCCACTGACACTGTTCCAACCAACCCAGCCATCCTAATCTCCGCCTCATGGGACAGCACCCTGCACATCCACAACCCGTCCAACCCCTCCCAGGAACCACTCACCATCCCACTCCCCGGCAAACCCCACGCACTCGCCGCGAGCCCGTCCAAGGTAGTCGTAGCCATGACCGCCCGACTAGTTCACATCTACGACCTACCCACCCTCTCATCCGCACTCTCCTCCTCATCCTCACAACCACCACAACCCTGGCAGCAGCGCGAGTCCTCGCTCAAATTCCTCACCAGGGCCGTGGCATGCATGCCCAGCGACGCGGGGTACGCCACGTCAAGCATCGAGGGGCGCGTGGCGGTGGAATGGTTCGAGGACACGGCCGAGTCGCAGGCGCGCAAGTACGCTTTCAAATGCCACCGGCAGGCGGCGCCCGAGGAGGAGGGCGGCGGGGACGTGGTGTACCCCGTCAATGCGCTCGCCTTCCACCCGCGCTGGGGCACTTTCGCGTCGGGCGGGGGCGACGGTTCCGTCGCGCTTTGGGATGCGGAAGCCAAGCGCCGTATGCGCCAGTACCCGTTTCCGGACAGCGTGGCTGCGCTTGCATTTTCGAAGGATGGGAGGTATATGGCGGTGGGGGTCTGTCCTGGGTTTGAGACGGGCATGGAGGATTACTCTGGGGAAGGGAGGACTAGGGTGTTTATACGGGAGCTGGGGGAGACGGAGGCAAAGGGGAAAGGGGCTAAGTGAGTGTAGTGTGTGTTGTTCTAATTGCAGTATACAATCTTTCGATTGGTATGGACTGGCGTTTGGGGAGGGTACCGATTAAGGCGATACGGTGTAGCTATATGAAGCTCTTAGGTGACTCCGGAGCAAAATGTTTGACAATCAAATGACAAGTCTACACGACTACTGGCCATGTGTTAATGAAGCTTCGAAATAAACAGGAACTGGGAAACCTAGAGAATATAACAATGGTATCTCTGTCCCTCACATCAAGCATAGGTTTACTCGGTCTTCCTCATGTCATCTACAACCCCCATCTTCAAGCAATCATTTCCCATAGCAAGCAAGATCTCGTGCAAATAGCCAGTACAGTTACTGCGTGTGGAACCTTCGTAATATCCGTTTCGATTTTCCAAGTGCATCCCCTTGCTCAGGAGAGGGTTCCGAGGGCGCTGGGCTTGTTCTAAGTTGACACGGTGGTGTTTCTGAGACATGAGTGCCCCAACTTTCTGGGAGTTTGTTCTGCGTGTAATGTTCGTTAACTTGTCTGGATACATCGGTAGCATGCTGTCGTCCTTGGTTCGGCGAAATGTCATATGGCGCGTCCGGAAGAGCTGTGTCCCCTTGTCCATGAGCAGCGTTGGTAGCGGTGGTTTTCCCTGGCCCGTTCTTCTCTCTCCGTATACCCTCATCTTGTGGCTGACCCGCCTCCTGCGCTATAGGCCTTGACCTTATGTTTTCGGAAATTGGCGTCAGTACGGCAACGCCTGCGTTGCTGCTCTGAGCGGCTGGCAGTGTTTGGCCCGGAGAGGTTTGGTTGGTAAAGTGTGATTCTGAACGGCGGGACCTCTTCATCCTTGGCACAGATGTAAAAGAGTTATCATCCCGATCTGCTCGGTCAAGCCTTCGCTTCTGCCTTGACTGTTGTGCCGACTGCGTGAGGTCTAGGACTCCTATGGGCAGCCCCTGCATGATTTGTTTGCCGCTTCGTGTAAGGAGGTTCAGACCGATAGGCTTAGCTTCCCGTCCCGAGAAACCATCACCCAGCCGATATTGGGACAGCGGTGGCGTATCTGGAGGAGCCCTTTTCTTCACCTTCTTATAGCCCTTGGGCTGGGTCTTATTGAAGATCAGGAACGGACGCCGTCGAAGGCTTCTCACGTTTTTGGCATAACTGGAAGAACGTATAACACCTTTTGCGTTGTGTCTAGAGGTGGGATTGGGGCCACGGCCGGTTTCGTTTTCGTCGGTGTCATTGTCTCCTTCCGAACCGGCAGACTCACCATAGTCCGAGTAGACATGCGTTTGATCGGATGGGAATACTGACGGATTACCTGGACCACGAGTTAGTAAACTATGCCCCGGAGCTTTCAATACTCTGAGAGATGTGGCACACCGTCTTCTTCAGAATCCACTGATGAAAAGCTTCTTTCTTCTTCACCTCGCCCACAGACGCGGGGGTTGTTCCCCCTATCAATATATTCGCCTTCTTCTCCTACCTCGCGCTGTGAGGTCCAGGGCTGGAATGTCAGTTCCCGCCACTGATCTATCTCTTCCCGGGTCTTTCCGTGGCCGTCTGAGAGTCTCTGGTGTACGAAGCCCGGATATGAAAATTGACGTTGGTTGACCGTTGGCTTGAGAGGAGGGAGAGTCTCGACTTGAGTGTTCCTCCCCTTGTGGGAATAGGTTCGTAACGGCCTGTCCCTGGTGGTAACCTCGAATATTGCGTTGGAATTGACAGGGTGGTTTAGTGACATTTTGACCTGCGTTTAGCGGTCGTTCCCAACTCAGCATGCACAGTCAGGCCTGTCCGTTACATGCCGTACCCCTTCTTCCTGACTTGTGCGTAGGGCCGCGGAAGAACGGACAGCACCGAGAGAAGAAACAGTGGTTTCAACTTCAAGAGTTCGCCGCATTTTTCTTTCTGTAGATATGGGAAGTTAACAGTGCGCTCAAGTGGCAGGAGGACAGGCTGAGACTGCTCGCGGAAGGAGCGATTCAAAGTAGGTCAGCAGGCAGAGAAACTCCTCTACATGTGGACCAGGTACCTTGAGCTTCGACTGCATGGCAAAACGGCCAGCAGCTACATTTGATGGACAGCGAAGAATAGCAACCAATGGTTGCCAGGTATACTTGATGAGAGTGGTGTATTTATAGCGATACTAACTAAACACGAGAATTCAGCATGAGCCATCCATCGACTTTGCTAAAACCCCTTGTACTCATCCCACAGCGGCGCCGTTTCACCGCGCCATACGCATTCCTTCAAGCAGGTGTGATAGACTTCGTGAGCGGAACATGGTCAAACTGGCCAGCCGTGTAGTTGAGCCAGATATCCTGCGGATGGCTCGGGACTTTGCCGCCATAAATGAGGTTGTGCGGAAATCCCAAATCGAACGGAACAGCGGCTTCAATCTCTGCGATGTCCTCGCCGCTCAGCGACACCATGAGCGCTTCGATGTTGCCCTTCAAATGCTCAATCTTCCGGCCGCCGACGATCGGGAAGACATAGGGCATCTTGTGCATGACGTATGCGAGAGCGACACTGGTAAGAAGCGTGCCCTTTCGCTGCGCGATAGCCTCCAGCACTTTGCTGATCTTAATCTGCGCCTCGGTGGGTGGGAGTTGGCGGCCATCGCCCTGCTTGCGCTGCTCCTCGGTCTTGAAAGCGCCGCTGCCGAGAGCGCCCCACGGCAAGAAGCCCATTCCTTCCTCGCGGCACATGGGAAGGATCTCGCGCTCTACATCGCGGGCAGCAGCGGACCACTCCCCTTGGTAAACGCAGAACTGGCGTAGTCCGTGGTCACGCGCGTATTGGTTGGCCTTGCTCACGACCCACGCCGGCATATCGCTGGCTCCCAAGTACAGCACCTTGCCGCTGGCGACAAGGTGATTGAGAGACTGCATCAGCTCAGGGATGGAAGTGGCGTGATCCCACCAGTGCACAAACAACTGGGTTGGCACATGTGCTTGTCAGCATGCTTCCGATAAACCGACTATACTTGAGGTTAACTTACCAGATCAATGTAATCTGTCTGGAGTTTCTTGAGGCTCGCCTCGACGGACACATGCAGACTCTTGGTGCCACAGCCCATGAGGCCTGCCGTGATCTGATAGTTGGCGTGTCCATTGGCAGCCCTGAAGTTGTTGGTGTATTTTGTTGCAATGACTGATTCATGTGTGAGCCCATGTTATGCGTTCACAAGCCGGTGCCTTTGTGGATGTTTGGCTTACCCATCTGGTCCCGGTTGCCTCTCTTCTTCATCCACTCCCCAATCAACTTCTCTGACTGCTCGGCCTGGTAATTATTGGCCGTGTCGATGAAGTTGCCTTGTCGGCCGTTAGATATCGGCTGCTAAGACAGAATACTTGAGAATCATCTTACCGCCATTCTCATAGAAGTAATCCAGGATTTTCTCCGATAGCTCCTGGTCGCACTCTCCAAGGACTTCTGCCCTACAGTACAGTTGGCGACGTCTGCTGCCTGACACTAATGTCGCAGACTCACCATGCAGTCCCAAAACTCATGCCACCGAGGCAGAGCGGACTCACGCGGACCGAGGCAGTCGGCGAGAGCAATCTATAGCGGGCCAAAGGGCTTTTGGGAGGCGGAGCGAAGGGGAAAGCAATCTCCATGACCTTCTCCATCTTGAGATTTTCTGAGTAGTAAAATATTGACGGGGTAGGATCTATGGTCGGTTGAGTTCCTGGGAAAAACCAGTGAGGGCAATGGGGTTGAGACACGGTAATCAAGGCTCAGCGAGGAGGCTTGAGGTGATTTATACCCTTATCCCGTGGTAGAAACCAGCACAAGTCGTAGACACGTTTGTGCTTGGCGCTCGTAATTATCTCCATCAACAGCAACGCCAACATGTGCATACACCATCCGCGGATGCTTAGGCAGTCATCGTCTATGTCATGTTCGTGGACCGTCAGATGTGGAGATCGGAGATAGGAACCCCATGCCGATCTTTAGGTTCAGTGGCATTACGGCAAGGCGCGTGAGCCTCCAGTGGCGTAGGGGTTTGCAGGGTAAAGACAGCACGGTAGCGCAACTTGTCGGCAATGCAGTGCTATTTTACGGCACTCACGGCACTCCCGTCATGTTGTATCGGACATCGGGGATTGGACAACTCCATCGGCGTTAACGTTGTAAAAAGCACTGGTGGAAGATTGTTCGGTGTTGGCCAATGTTGGCAGCGAGGCAGTGTAAAAGCATCCCGGAGTTAACAAACTCATCTTCGTCGAGAGTCTCTAAACGTAACAGTCCCCTGTTCTAGAGCGATCCACTGCAAGCCCCAACTGCACCTATGTCAGCCGAATAATTCGATGTCAGCGACGGATGAGTGCCTGGATAAGCTCGCATACCTTCGTATGAACCAAATGGGTTAAAGCTCAGTCTTTCTAACATGCAGCTTTTTCGCTTTAGTAGGTTCGGGAATTATGGACTTGCCCTTTTCGGATTATCCCAGTCTCCCATTGGTCTGCGGGTTACACGTACCCGACTCCGGCCCCGTCCGGCCGACGGACCGGCATGCATCGAGTTTCGTCCGGGTCAGTTCTATGTACAATTCGTCGGCTTCGTTGTCGTAACTAGCGAGGTCTCAAATAAACCTCTACGTAGCTACTTTAAAGCCACTGAACACCTTTTACTAGGTAGTTCCAGATCTTGAGGTCGTCATGGAAGTACCTACTTCGTACCAGTAGCTGAATCTTCTAGCTTCGATTTCCAACTCATAGATAATGCCATCATTGAGTTTAAGCCAACTACGAAGGCCAGGGCCATGATCTTTCCATGCCCACGCTCCTTAGACACAGGCACTGCAAACAAGGTGTAAGCCAGGAAACACTGATAATTGGGTGATCTCAATGCACAATATCTTCAGAGATTGCTGAGAATTAGATAGGAGTATGCAGCTATGTATTTCGAGTGTGTTGTTGATGCTTTCCTTGCTTATACCGTCTTGTAGTGCCTGTTTTTCGTGTCACGTTAGCGCACGAAGCTGTACAGTACGTATTTCTGGCACTGGAAGACAGATCGCACGGTATTAGATGCAGTTAGCTCGCCTATCATGGAGCATGAGCGGGACCGGTTAGACCACCTCAGGGGCCAAAAGGGCTGTGTAAGCGCTGAACATCTCAAACTGAACGATAAAGCCCCGTGTGACATGTATTGTACTTGCATCATCTCAAGTGCTGGGCCCAGCCTTCTAAGCTATGTTAGTAAGAATTTAAAAAGAGCTATCCAAAAATCTCAGAAGTAAATATGGATACCTAAGAGAGCTCTAAGGCTTCTTCAGCAATGGTTCTGAGACTAAGGGCCTAAGGTTTGGTCGTAGTTAGAGCGCAGTATTGCTAAGCGCCCAATCCCCTGTTAGGTGGTCTGTAACATCGAACCAACGAACCCAAGTGCAAATGAGAACAACGTTGTTCCTTTCTCGCTTGGCATGTTAGGTTGCTGCAGACTTCCAGAAAGGCGTTAATAGTGTGTGTACTGTATCCGTAACCCCCTGCGTTTTGGCGGTCAATATCTCTTTACTTATAAGTGTCTCTCATGGTTACTGCTTGCCTGGACAGATTCATTTCACCAACAGTCAGGTCCAACCGCCCCCTCAAAAACAATAAGAAAGAACTCAGTCACTCGAATCCAACTTCGCACAGAACGTGAGCATCGCAGGAACAGACATACTCGAAACACTTTCTGTCCCGTCAACATGGCTTTATCAAAGACGGCACAATTTATCCAGAGCCGCGTCGAGGTCAAGTGGTGGACGACGCATTCCGTTATATACGTTAACAGGGATGAACCAAACGTGGTTGTAAAGGCGGAGTCCATATGGATCGACGGGGTGCCGTACGGCAAGGCAGCCCTGGCGATGGACACGAGCAACCTCCTCCGTCGTGAGCATGCGATTTACCAAGCCCTTGGCGACGACAACCCGTATATCACGAGATGCCTGGGCCTCGTCGAAGATGACAAGGGCGATGCCATCGCCCTACGGCTTGAGCTTGCTCCCAAGGATAATCTTCGACACTTCATTCGAGATTCCCCGGAAGGCCCGCCAATGCGCCGACGCTTGGAGATGGCGGCTGCCTTTGCCGACTGCGTTGTCTACCTCCACTCTCGTAAAGTGATCTGGGGTGATCTCTCGACTCGAAACACCCTCGTTTTTGAAGACAACAGCTTCAAGATCTGTGATTTTGCCGACTCAGCCCTCGGGGATACGTATCCCAAGTTCGGGAACCATACCTACGAAGCGCGTTATTGTCCGGCTATGCCTTATGAAGAAGTGGAGAAGTTGAGCATGCTGCAACGAGAGTTGTTTGCCCTCGGATCGGCTGTTTATGAGATCACCGAGTGGAAAGCGCCATACTCGCATGTCGAAGAAGAAGAAATTGATGACTTTGTTGAACAAGGCAACAAGCCCGAGATAGCCGAGGATAATGTTGCGCGAGACATCATCAGGCGATGCTGGGATTTCGGGTATGACTCAGCCCAGGATGTCTCCATGGACTTAGCTGCTCTTTGTTCCACGGTCTCGGAGGAATAGAACTAGGTCACACAAATTCAGGTAGATCGGAGACAGGTACTCGCAATCCGCCAGCTAGGAGTCTAACTAGAGGACTATCGGCTTGTCCATCGCTTGCCCAACCCATCGGATTCAATCTCAAAACATCTCTGTTTCACGGAGCGATATCTGGACCGGTATGTGAAGAACAAATCTATCTATCTATATCATGTTTCTAAATAAAGAGTGGATGGACAAGCAATGCCAATCGGCAGCCTAATCCGCCAAAAGATTCGCACCAACTAGTTGCGTACGAAAAGAGCGATGAAGAGGCAACTTGAACTCCGTGGTGCTACATAAACAATCCCCTCGAGATTTCCGTAACGCTAACCGCCCTCAGGCCGCCACATATCCCAAATCCCTGTATAGACCAAGCTCGCCAGACCTCAGTTGCGCTCGAATGCGGAATAACACGAATGGAGACGAAGGCCAGCTTGGTTGGCATGCTGGATTCAAGTCCTATATAAAATCAGTAAGTAATCAAGACATCGGGCCAGCAAAACGGTGAAAGTGACGGACTCACTGTGAAAAGTCTAGATATTGCAGAAAGGACAGGTGATGGTGCTTCTGGATTTTCCGAATATTTGACTGCTTGGCCTTAGGTTGGGACAGTTGGGTGTCCCCGCAAGAGCGTGGTCGCATCGCTCCATGATGGGATATTCTGTCTTGGTGAAGGAATGTATTGGGTTCTTGGTGCAGTTCTTGTATGTCATCATGATTTTCTGGACGCCACACATCGTTCTAATGGTAAGGGGTTGACGTTCTGGGCTAGGAATCGCTGATGGTTCTTCGAATGCCTGGAGAGAATGAGAGCAGGTTGAGCGATGGAGGAAAGAATGCTTAGCACATGGATTACTGCAATCGAACAGCCATGCAGTGGGAGTTCCACTACTTAGACTTTTGATCTTTCATGAAATACACCAGTCACGGTTAGGTAGCCGCGCGCGATGGGCATTGTGCCTAACGTCCTGTCCTTCGACTTCTCAAGCTGCCTCCCAAAGAATATGCCCTGTTCAAGGTTGATGAGAGTGGCGCTTCGTCAAACATACAGGCCACCATCGTCTGAGTCATTATTTTCCAACCAGCTCATCGACGTTGTAGCTGTTGGTGCTGTTGGCCGCTTTTAACGTCCAGGTAGGGCCAGGCGGTGGTTGGCGGTAGGCCTACATCTTGACTCTTGAGTTCACCGTCATGATAAGTGGAGCTAAATGAGTAGGCCTTGCCATCGGAGGCCGTTCCACCTCGCCGTAGTTCTGCCAACTGTGCATGTCGCGGGCCCCGACAGGATCACTTGACCGTACCTAACGAGCTTGTGGTGTTGCTGCGGCCGCACCACTCCCTTGACTTTTAGACAGAAGTTTGGCGCTATAGGCTTCTCGTCCATAGTTGATTGAACGGTAGGGCCTCAGAACTCGTCTGGGGTTTGACCTTGTTTGGATGTGGGCCGTAGTAGAGGTCCAGTTCGGCGGGTGCTATCGTGCCATCGAAGAGCCGCTCGAGATTTCCGAACAGTGTGTTCCTCGCCACGGAGTGGTCGGCCAGGCATTTTCTGGGACAGAAGACTGGAACCACCTGTTGCGTCACGTCCTCCGCATCCTTCACTATGGAATTGGCCACCTTGGAAGGCTGTAGATGCACCGTCGGGGAACTGAGAAGATGACAACAATGGCCTTGGCATCTCATGGCCGCCCTCGCCTCCCCTGAGTCTGGCTCTTGTGACTTGAATGTTGGATTCGAGGAAAGGGTTGTAACTGAAGAAGATCTTGACCTCCCACCCTTGATTCTCCCCTACGTGAGTCGGAGGCCAAGATAATGTGAAGTGCTTCTCCCAAGAGGCCTAACACCTCATTACTTACAGGTGAGTGAAAAATCTACAGTAGTGAAGAATATAAAGTGTCAAGCATTGACAAAATACGTTGTTAACCTTATAGCCTCAGTGCTTTTTCATAGTTCTAGTATAATTGTAACGTTATGTACGAGTAAATTCCTCCTCCCTCCCACGACCGCCCGCATCCTAGTCACACATACAGATATGCAGACAGGTATGTACACGGACATATTTCGGGCCATGGCCTAGCACGTCCAGACCCCTACGACACCATCACGCCGGCCCTCAACCATATAGCCATCTCGGATACGAACACGTTCGACAATGGCAGGCGTCTTGGCTTCCTCAGCCTCGACAATGCCTGCGCCGCAGTCCCAGTGCCGCCCTTCCACCTTGTCGTACACCTTGACCACATCCTCGCCCGCAGCGCAGACGATGCGACGCGTGTCAAACATCATGCTCGTGATTGGATTGTCGTACGCGTAAGCGTCGTAGATTGACCCAGTGCGGAGGTCCCATATCTGTATGTGTCCCATCAGCATTTCGGTCAGGCAGATGGAAAAGAAAAGAAAACGCATGTCCCTACCCGTATGCTCCTGTCCAAACTGCCCGTAACAAGATGGACATCGTCAAACTGCAGGCACGTCACCGGCCCCGTGTGGCCCACAAGGCTGCGATGCACCTGCCCGCTGCGCAAGTCCCATAACCGCACCATGCCATCCGCCGTGCCGCAGGCCAATGCTGACTCGAACACTTGCAGCGCGCCGACAAAATCAGCCGAGGCGTCTGCAGCCCGGCTGGTCTGCCGCCAGGTATTGTCGCCGGCCGGCGCAAGGACTGACGCCTGCGCCGCCGCCCACATGACGTCCAGCGTCTGCACGCACCGTCCCTTCACCAGGTCCCACTGTCGTAAGGTCTTGTCAGCAGAGCCCGAGACAAGCACATCGCCCCTAAAGTGCAGTGCTGTAATCTCGTTGAGGTGAGCTTGCAGCGTGAAGAGGGGGCAGTCAGCCATGCTGCCGGCGGGCGGATCCACTGGCTGGTCGTCCGGGTTTTCGAATGCCATTCCGTCATCCTCCTCATCCCTGCCAAAAGAGCTGCCTTGAGGGTCGTAATGCGCTCTGCTGAGGTCCCACAGTCGAATCGTGGCATCCATGGATCCCGTGGCGAGGAAGTTGTCCTCGACTTGTAGCGTTCGTACGGATGCCGTGTGACCTTCCAGCATCCCGATACAGCGCCCTGCGTTCAGATCCCACACCCGGACCGAGTCATCCATTGCAGCAGTGACCATCAGACCAAAGGGGGCGTCAAAATCTAGCGCAGTGATGTTGTCCTGGTGCGCGCGCATCGAGCGGATCATGGTACCGGGCTTGAAGTGCTCGTGCAGTATCGGCATCGATTTGCGCCGAATATTTCGCCCTTTCCGCTTGGAAGGCGTGCTGGTTGCCGAAGGGAGTTTCTCGTAGATGGACTGCGACATGAACCCTCCGGCATCGCCTCGTTCCGACGCCAGATCATCATCCGATTTGGTAGGGGTATGAAGGGCTACTGATTCGACTTCGGCTGCCAGATGCTGCGCCTCTTCTAACCTGCCTTCGAGCTCAACAACTATCGAGGAATTAGTTCTGCAACGGTGATGGCATGTTCCAAGGGTTATCTCACTGTCGTGTTCAAGTAGCGCCTCGTCCTTCTCCAGGTTCGCCAGTCTATCCAAGATGATCCGGCGCATGCCCGTCAGGTTCTCTATCTTGGCATCGATCTCTCGTATCTCGCTACTCGCCATATTCTTGCGGATGCCAAGCATTTCGAGCTGGTGCATCATGGAAGCCTTCTCCTTTCTCAGCTTGTGCACAGCCTCGGGGCTCCCCTCGGGCGTCGTGGGCCCTTCGTCGAGCAACTTCCTCCCGCGCGAAACACGCCGCCTGTGCTTTTTGCCCTCGTCGGTAAAGTCCGGAAAACTCGCTTGAAAGCCCTGGAATAAGGAATACGTGTTCTCGTTCTCGGGTATGTTCTTCAGCAGCTCATCAGGTACGTACGATAGCGCACGTGACTGGATCTCCTTGGTGGATAGGCGCGATCGTACGAGGTCCGTTGGCGTCGTGCGTGCCATTGAGAGCATGCTCCGCTGCAGCGCCGGCTTCCGCAGCTGTCTCGACACCTCGCTCATGGCGCTGTGGTAATGGGGATTCGAAGTGGGATCAGAGGAACGCGGGCCCATCAAATGGCTTGCGGTCGAGGTTACTTTACGGCTGAATGCTTCGAGCCCTCGTGTCTGCCATTATGGAAGCTCTGATTAGTCGCGTTCCTCGCCCGCCTTTTATTTCCCCAACGCGTATGCTCAGATTCAATGGTCGCTCACAGATATGACCGACGAATCGTCGTCAAACGACGCGAGGTCGGCGTAGTCATCCTTGCGTCCGGGGTCTGCCATTCGTCGGCATAGGTGAAAAAGTTGCAGTGTCCACTCGAGATCAAAAATTGGTGACGTCGTATTTCAGACGCGGAATACGGACAGCTGAGCGCCCGGCAGGCAGCTCAAATGATGTTACGGATCGTGGGGTTTGTAACGTTAATCTCGTCGGAAGCGACGCGGAATGTCACTGGCAAAGAGGTCGTGAGGTGGATGATCAGTGGAAGTAACTACTACCCTACAGCACATCACGTTCATGCGGCGCAGAATTGCTAGCCTTGCAATCCACGCGACGGCAACTGTTGAGGCTGCAGGTGCCCCCAGCCGAAGGCTTGAAGGGTCTCGCATTGGTCAGAAAAGAACAGCCGGGGTTGGTGGGGCATGCTAAGCTCCAGTTGCTTGGCGCGTCACTCTTCAAGTTCCAAGTTCCAAGGTCCATTGTTTCTTTGTAGGCAGGTGGAGACCTCCGATTCGGCATCGAGAAACCCAACCTCGGATTCGATAAATTCGATTTTTGAACTTTGAAATCCAGGCGTCAGCGCATAACAACATATTCATTGCCAGAGCCGAGAATTTCCAAATCTAAAGTTTCCTGATCCTACCGCCTATATAAGAAGACCATGGATTCAATCATAGACCTTTCGGACCCGTCCAAAGCACTGGACCTCTCGCGCATCCGCTACCAGTTGATGTGAGTTTGAGCTCCCCAGAATATGGGGGGTTCCTCGTGAGCTCACACGGTATATCAGTCGGCTGGAGGACACCATAACTTTCCACTTGATTGAGCGCGTCCAGTTCCCGCTCAACAAGAATATCTATGTGCCGGGCGCCGTCCCGATACCTAACAGCACCCTGAGCTTCATGGACTGGTACCTGATGGAGCAGGAGAAGCTGCAGTCGCTGATCCGGCGCTACGAGTCGCCGGATGAGTACCCTTTCTTCCCGGCCGCCGTGCAAAAGCCCATTCTGGATTCGCTGCATTATCCGCGCATCCTGCACCCCAACAATATGAACGTCAACGACAAGATCAAGAAGTTCTACATTGAGAAGTTCCTGCCCAAGGTGTGCCCGGATTTTGGCCGCGAAGATCGAGGCGTCTCACAAGAGAACTACGGGTCCTCAGCGACGTGCGACATAGCCTGCCTCCAGGCACTGTCGCGGCGCATCCACTTTGGCAAGTTCGTTGCCGAGTCCAAGTTTCAGTCCGAGACGGACAAGTTCACCCGCCTCATACGCGCCGGTGACCGTGATGGTATCGGCGAGGCCATCACGAACAAGGCGGTTGAGAAGAAGGTGCTCGAGAGGCTAAAGCTCAAGGCGCAGACGTACGGAACAGACCCGTCGCTAGGCGCTGAGGGGGGCGACCAGGTCAAGATCAACGTGGATGCTGTCGTGGCTATGTACGAGGACTTTGTCATACCCCTGACCAAGGAGGTCGAGGTCGAGTACTTGATGCAGAGGCTGGAGCCGGCACGGTGATAAATCGTTGTTCTGTTTGTCCATTTTTTTTTGCATTGCGCTGCTTTTAGGAGGCTGTACCGACGTATTCGGCGATAGACTGCACTGCCTTCTGGAACTTGCTCGCTTCAATTAGCATCATAAAGCCGGACGACTTGACTCCCATCTCCTGGAATGCCCTCTTGCTGTCCGCTACTGACTCCCCTTCCTTCGAAAACGCGTACTGCCCCGACACGAGCGCGTGCTTGCGCATCTCCTCGTCCTCGGGGTGGAAGTATTGCAACTCTGCCTCCTCCCTCGCCTTCTTCTGTTTTCTCTCGCTCTGGTCCAGGCTAGATGCGACCTCGTTGTACGTCCTTGACACCACCAGGTAGTGCGTGAATTCGTACGGCTCGTTGTCCTCTACGGCCGCCTCGATCTCGTCGATCATGCAGGACCACATAGGCGGGATGACCTCAGCGGGCATATTGAGCAGCCGGTCAGCCAGAACCAGGCCGACGTGCTTGCCTGACGCGAGCAATTCTGGCACGACGCTGGCCAGGCTGTCGTTCGTTTTGGCCCGGTCACTAAGGTACTCGATCAGCTGTGCAACCGGCTTTTTGGCGCGGTGCTCCTGGGCGTTGAGTACTGTGAGGAAGGCGTAGGCGTCGTTCGCCTTGTCGTCAACCTTGCACGTTGACCCGATTGTGTTCTGCTCGACGATGAGATTGCTCAACCCGGACAGGTCCAGAAGCTGGGCGTCGGCGTCAAATAGCTGCCGCAGCAGCGTCTTCACTCCGTGAAAGTCGATTTCCGGATCGTAGTTGAACAGCTCAAAGTCTACATTGACTATGTCCATGTCCTACAGCCCGAAAAACGCAGTGGGTGTTAGTCAGAAGAACCTGCGTCTATGGAAAGTGGTCACTCGCTCACCTCGTCGTCTGAGCTGTTATCCTCATCTTTTTTTCGGTCAAGCGCGGGGTCAGTCATATCGACATCTCCCTGCCCATCGGCATCTCTTGTGCGCTTCTTCCCCATCGTGATGGCTATGAATGCTCTGAGATATGAGAACTAGCCCGACAACTTGTACTTAGATCCGCGTTGCGATCTTAGATTGATACCCCTGGAGCAGGGTGAGTGTGAGGACCTCGATGACCGTCCAAATTTTTCGTTTGAAGCTGCCCCTCGATGAAGCTGATAAGGGATTATCGGATGAATTACCCTAACCCTGACGTACCTCACCAACACGAGCTGTGAATGCTCAAGAGCATTGAGCAGTTGATGAGACCAGAGGTCACTCCATATTCTCCTAGTCAAATAGCCATCCCTTATCCCATCTTTCAATGAGATCCTTATGATACAAACTTTGAGCTAAGCCCTAGTAGTGCCAATCCCACCCTTGCGCTTCATCTCTATACATAGTGCTGCACCGAAACCTATGAATATCATGCCAAACCTGCGCCTTGACCTGGAAGAGCGCAGGCTACTCCTACACCGTTCAGGAACCCAGCTCGGAAATACGTTGACACGTCCTGAAATTTACCAGAGACTCTTCAAGCCGCGTAATGACTGTGTCTTCATGCCCCGGAGACCGTGCCCAAACTCCACGGCTGTCCGCGGATGGTTTAAACCTGCTCGGCACCCCAGCCAGCATCCGCCTCCCTCATGTTCGCGGGCGGCTCAATAGACGGGATGAACTCGAGGACGACGTAGGCGACACCAATCAAGCCGATGATAGACCCATCAATGATTCGGAGGGTGTGATCGTGGTCGAGGATAATGCAACCGATGAAGATGTAGACTGCCCAACATCACCAGCTAATCAGCCCTAGCTCAAGGAACCAGTTCGGCAAGAGGGGACAATGAACGTACAAACACCACGGCCGATGAACGAGAATAGGAACGAGGCGTATCGCGAAACCTGCGGAGGGATGCGGAACTCTGTATGCACAAGGCGGGAGGTCAGTATTCCCAAAATAAACGTCTCTTGCAGGGCAGGAAGCCGTACCAAGCAATCCGGTCGCTGTCAAGCACATCCTGTTAGCACAGCACATTATTACAGACAGACACACTCAAGCCCCTACTTACCCAAGCCGAAGATAATGACATAAACACCAACAACAATCTCCTTGCTATAGCAACGATTGCGTCAGACAAATCGCCCCATTGCAGGTAGACAAACTGCGCCGGGCAAGCGTCCTCGTGAGGGAGGGAATCACCTACAACCCGCTCGGAAAGAACTGCGCGATACCCCCCAGTATCATAAGCACCGCAACCGCGAGGTTGACGATGCGACTAGAAACGGCAAATGGTTAGCAAACTTTCCCAATACCCGGAGTTTCATGATCCTGTTTTTCGCGACTCGCCGCCCGCGCACAATTCCCCCAGATCAATAGAGGTTCGCCCAGCCCGACCATGATCCGACCCAGGGCATTGCAAAGCGGCGCAAGCTCCAGAGCTGTGCGCCCGTCGCGTGCAGCGGCGGGAGGAAAAAGGGAGGTGTTGGTTGCGGCAGGGGCTCAGGAGAAATTGAGGGCAAGGCTTTTTCCAGACACATACAAGCTGTCGGCGAGATCCATTGCTTATTCAGTATTTGTCTGTCTGCTGCGCGCCGACTGCCAGTCCCTGTAAGTGTATGTGCGTGCGCGCGCGTTTAGGTGTTGCTGCAACTGCAAGGCGATGCGATGCGATGCGGTGGCTTTGAACCAATTGCGAAGCTTAGGAAGATCTCCGCGGAAAAAGGCCGGAAGTTGTCACAAGCTGATCGCCTTTTCGATTTAGGGAGATTCAAAAGTCAAGAGCGTGGATGACGATGTTGGCGGAGGAAATTTTGGGAGCTGGAGTTGAGCTGGGAAGCTTCGAAGCTTGGAAAGTCGGGACTCGGGAAGCATTGGTTGGGCGAATCGACAGCAGCGGCAGACTCCGCTGCTGGGCCGCGTGTCAGGGAAAGGCAGCCCCCAAAACGCTTGGCGCTGCAACCCTCCATCTTAAGCCATTACGTAGGTCAAGACATCTCAGGGTTATGTGTATCCATCAAGCTTGCCGTCAAGCTTCATGTGAGCCCAGTGCGTTTCCCACGCATCAAGCTATCGATGCCTAGGTCTAGCTGGCTATGAAGTGTAGTGTAGTGTTGGTTGCCTTAGGTCTCGTCTACACATTTTCTCGCCACATATGGGACGCCTCAACCAAGTCGCCTTGAAGGTAACTATCCCCAACCATCGCTGAACGTACGCATAGTCCGACCATCCTTCCTGAAGTCCAAACAGTAACTCCCATTCGCTGGAAACCCACCACAGGCCGCTCCATATTCTGTTTACCCCAAACTACAACCCCAAAAACACCCAATGCTATAGTCCTCAATAACGTCATTCAACTAAAGCAGCATCGTCCATTGCCATTATTCATCCCCTAGTTCAGCAAGTTCCCTCTCCTTGGCTGCCAGCAGTTCCCTCATTCTTTCTGCTTCACGTGCCAAGGCCGCACGCCTCTCAGCTTTGGAAATCTCCATCTCGCGAGCCTGATCCCGCAAGCCGGATTGAGCACTGGTAAGCGATTGGGGAACGGCGGCGGCATAACTATTAGAGAACGCCCCTGGACTTGGCGTCGAGGCAGTTGTAGGCGCCGACGGTGGATATGGTCGCTGGGAAGGCTCAGAAGTGGTTTGCGGACCTGCACTTGTAGTTGTGGGGTTGAGTATCGATTTGATGGACGAAAGGCGTTTAGGATGGTCACTATCACTTGAGCTGGGATAGTCCATGTCGGCGGCGCAAAATGATCGTTTTCGAGAGGGAGAGAGGAAGGACGCGGGGGACAAGGATGATTGCCGATCGTCCGGCATGGGTATCGAGGTCAACGGAGCGAGCCGGTTCTCGTCGGTAAGCGATTCAGGTAATTGATGTGGTTGGTTCGAGTTTGATGAGTGGTATTGGCCGAGATCAGTGGACGGTAGGGGAGAGGCCTGTTTGTTTTGCCTCAGGATCGTCTCTGGCACCAGTGTAAGAGGGGGGTCTCGCCGCAGCCGGCTTCCGAGATTTACAGAGCCGTCGGGGTTGACGGATCCCCTTTCCATCGGCGCTTCACCGTCCGTAGATGGGGAATCCGCCCATTCGCTCGGTACACTCTCCACCTCCGGACTCCCGCCCGCTGCCGGTATGACACGTTTCCTCCGCTTGATTACCGCTTTTTTCATCGTGACAGGTCGGTGTACGCCATGAAGCTTGTAGTACAGCCCTACGCGGCATGTTAGCAGGCATTTAAGCCATGACCGTGGAGCTACTCCTTACCGCACGCATTGCAGATGGTGTGGCCAGCCTCATCCCGGCGCCAGAGAGGCGTAACCGTCGTCGTACAATTCTGACAGGCGATCACAACCGTGGTGTTCTGACCTTGTGCTTGTAGCGCATTGATATCAATTGGCGCTGCGTCGTCTGGACCGTTGTCCGACGATGGTTTCGATGCGCTCTGGCATTTCAGCACGCTGAGGCTCGCGCTCTTAGACACTCGATTGTTATACGCGGGACAGCCACTGCATCCCTCGGCGCCGCCGGTTCCGTTGCATTTCCCCCCTCCCGGGCAAGACCCCGTCGGCGTCTGATCCGTGGCAACATAAGTTGGTATGGGCGCGTTGGGTAATAGTGGCACATGGCCTTTGAGGGAGAGCTTGACTGGCGACTGTCGGGCATTGCTTGCAACCACATTCGGAGGTCGCTTCAAGTTGAACGGACGTGATGTGTTTCTAGCCTTTAAATACAAGCCGCAGGCGTTGCAGATGGTCTCGCCAGTTGGTGATCTCCTCCAGAGAGGTGTGTGAGTTGTTTGGCAATTGCTATAAACATGTTAGATAAGCTCTGCGGCAGAGACGCAATCTTACTGACCTGCAGATCTGACCACTCTGCCCTGGGGCGGAGTCGTTTGGCAATGTGCCTTGACTTGAAGGGCTTGCCGCCTTAAAACGTGTTGTGCTTGAAGGGCTAGGGGAAGCGGTGAGGAGACGTGAACTTTCCGCTTCGAATCTGCTCCGATCTTGATCCTCGGGAACGAGGAATTCATCCCTCGAACGCTGTGCTGCACTGCTATTTCCCTTCGATGAAACGGGCCTTGACGGTAGGGCCGTCCTTCGAGGGGTCGGCGCGTCTCCCGAAGGGGTTCGTGGGCCCAACAGCTGGGGCGTTTCGGGTAACGCCATGTCTGCAACAAAGTGAAAGGGCTCTCGCAAGATATACCACCGGCGAAGATGTAAGGTAAATTATTCCCGACAAGGAGCGGCAGCAACGGTAACGTCTTGAGGTTGTCCAGATGTTGGCACAACGGAAACTATTGTCGCTATTGTCTTCTTCTCGCCTGTTTGAAAATGCTACGGCACCGCCAAGAGAGGGATTCGAGATGTCGGCGGCAATCTCGAAAATGGGATCTAATGTATCGGCTTCTAGGAATCTGGACGACAGAAGAGAGCCGATACTCCTTGAGACAGAGAGTTGCCGTTCTCTGTTGAATTTCAGGCGGGAACTATCAGTGCGGAGATATCGGCGAGCTTTTTAACGGTTGAATGCGAGATTTGATGCTAATCAAATCGATCTTCCGTCGAGACCGTGTGTGTACAGCGAGAAGGCCTAGGCCCGCCACTGGACCAGCTTCCTCGGGTGGGGAAGAGGCGAAGACCACCGCTGTAATGAGAGTTGGATGACAACAGTCACACCACTCAGGTCGAAGGATGGCTTGGAAACGGCGTCTCGTGATAGGAGAGATGCAGTTCGGTTCGGATTATGTTGCGGTGAGGAAGAGTGAAGAAGTTTGGCTCAAGTGTCGCTCCAGGGTTGGGGGTTGAGGAAAGGGCGAATCCCAAATATGCAACTTAAAACAGCATAATCAGTCTGCCGCTCCACTGCTCCCCACAGCTTTGATTATCTGATCTTCGACAGCCGGAGGCGGATCTCGTTGCAGCTTAGCTCGCGAGGAAGATGTATCCGGTTGAGCCAGGCTCAAGGAGGAAACCAGGGGTGGCTTGATCTGGCGGGCCTCGTAATCAGCAGGAGCAGTTCGAATACACTTAATAGCGTTTAGGATGGAGGCTGCGAGAAACAGAACAGCATACTGGGCATTTGACGATCTCAGGAATCCTGCCTACGGATGAAGAAGGCCTGTCCTACTGAAAGAAGTCGGTAAGGGAAGGAGAGAGTGGGCCACTTTTAGGTAAAGCTGGCGAATCATAAGTCTCGCAATGTCAGCAGACAAGGCATTGCTGGGGTCCCTGGACGCGCCTTACAGGCCCAAGGCAGTCGGCCATTACGTACTTTGGTGGCAGACAAGAAAGTTGACGGCAGCTCAACTCGAAAAAAGACAGGCCCAACATCTTGATGACTGGAGCTGGCTACAGCACCTCCCTACAAATCCATTGCCAATTGCCAACACCCGTTCACACGCTCTACGTGTATTGTACTGACACTGCACCGCAGCGCCTCATCCAAATAAGGCAGCCTCGGCATCGCCACGATCTGCAGCTAGGCGACTTTGGTCTCCACTGTCCTTCCGATTCGGTCACGGTACGTAGCGACGGTACGGATACGGCGACTACGGCCACGAGAGCAAAGGGCAAACCTGAGGACGTTAACGACACAGCACACTTGGACTTATATACCTTGTAGTCTCAGAATCGGAGCTTACATATCCATGCCCTTGATATCGGATCACCCTCTTATTTATTCTGCCGCTACTGTAATCTCACTTGATTCCGTAGACTTGTCCTAACTTCCAAGACACAGAAAGAGATAAGTGGGTCCTGCTCGCTTTATGATCCTATTCGATTATGAACACTTGGGGTCCACGCAAAGTTCCGCCAAGCATTTTTATCAACAATTGCACCGTATCTAGCATCAGGAGATGGCCGACTGCAGTTCTCAGCCCAAGCTTGCAAGCATTCCTCTGCCGCTGAGTCTCTAGCTTTTGTCTGTTTGGGATCTCTCATTGTCCCTTACCTATGCCTGCTCTGCGAATCTCGGTGGCCTTCCTCGTGAATTTCTGCCCACTTATCAAACTCATCAGTGCTGGTGTTCAACCTAAGATACTCCACCGCAAACGGCCTGGAATACCGTAGGGCCAAAATAATCAGCGGTCTCACCTCACAATGTACAAAGTAAATACTTCAGGAGAGGTTTCCTTCCGGCCAAGTATGAGGTGCGTAAACTCTGCAAGCCTGGATTCACCGACATGGCTCAGAACGGAGCTGAGAACAGGAACCCGCAACTTGCAAGCATTCATACTTTCATAGTGTACTATATGTGCAACCGCCGCAAGGTCCGACCTCTGGCAACCACAAGGTCAACAGTTGAAGTGGTTCTGTCCCGGCGATATATGCACCACAACTCCGTCTCCCCGGGTATCCGTATGTCCCATGTCGAGCAAATTTACAAGCCAAATGCAGCAGCGATAGAGGATCCAGATGCCTGATCATGTGGTTAACTGTGGCCTCAGAGATCTGGGTCTGGATCAAACTCGTCGTGCGCCGGGACAATCACGCCCGTGTCCCACAACCGATCCAGGGAATCCCGCGCCACATTGATCGGAATAGCTAACGCCAGCGCATTCCACAGCCAATGTCCCCTATTATTCAACCGGACCTGCTCCAGCACAACAACAGGATGTTTTGTGTCGCTCGGGTCGTGGCTGGCAACCATGACAATGTGTTGCACAATGGCAAAGGCATACAGCGTCGGGGGCTGCGCTCCGTAGCCTCTGCCCTCGTCATCACGGAGGAGTTCGCGCCATCGCTGGCCCCGGTTGCGGAGCCGCTTTTCGACATCTTGTGAGATTGCCTCCATGAAGAGTCTCTGTTGCTCTTCCTCGGTCAGGATGGAGGTTACCTGAACGTTGACGACTTTTCTCTGTCCTCCTTCGGAGTCGCCAATCGGAGAGGAAGGAGTCAGATCTGCCTCTCTGCTCTTGTTTTCGGCATAGGCGCTGAAATCAGGCGGGTATTCCCTCACCAGCATGTTGAGCTGTGTCTTAGACCTGGAGATGCCCGCATCCCTGAGAGCCCAATTGATGTAGTTCCGGATTCCCTTGCTGATGGTTCGAGAGATTTTGTCCTCGCAGCCGATTTCCTCATAGTCGGCGACTGTCTGCGAAAGATAGAACAGCGACTCGAGTGCTTTTGTTGCTGAGTTCCATGTCAGACTTCTTACGAGCTGTGGATGTCAGAAAGCTGGTGCTTACCTTCCAACTCGCTGCCATTTGCATGGATTACCACGCGCTTCTTGCTGTTTCTTGGGGAGAAGACGTTGTCAAGTTCCGGCTGGGTGATGCCCCACATCTTGAAGCTCAATCTCCATGTTGAGGGCAGCATGGGATGGAGACCACGCATGTAGATGAGCTTGTGAATCTTTCTCTGCTCGGAATTCCAGTGCTCGCTCCCCTCCAGCTCAGCGAAAGCCACATTGTATTCCTTTACAGCCAGCGGGAGACTCCCATACTTGTTCCAGTCACTGCTGGTGCTTGAGTTGTCGTCCTCGGGGATGTCCTTGGGCTTTCTGCGATGGATTTCGTAGTCTCTCCAGTACTTTTCGTCTTCGTCTTCTTCATAGTCTTCATCTGCATCGCTGGGCGGGCGATAGACCGGATCGGGACGTTGGCGATACGCGCCGCCTCGTAAAGCAGCACTGTCGCTGCTACCAGAAGGAGAAGATGGACGTGGCGCTTCGAGTACCTCGTCGTCCCAGTTGTTCTCGGCGTGATGTACATTATGCCCGACCGCAACGGGGCCTTCCACTTCTGTCGGTCGTTGCGAGGGTGGCGATGCCACGCCCATCATGATACACTGTTACCAGAGGCTGGAGAATCTGGTGATAGTGGTTTGGTATCCGGCGCGATGGAGTATGATTTCTTGCTGAGGATGGATGGGGTTACTGGACCACATGCCTAACTGTGACATTCAAATCTCGGCATCTGCGAACATGACATAAAATGTCGCGAGAGGAGGAAAATACTCTGTGAATTACATTTCTTGTCGTCGACGGGTCACTCAAATTGGGGTGGTCAGTCGCAAGCTGGGTGACTCCTTCTCTTCAAAGGACTAAGGTATTTGCCCCAGCTGCTACTTGATTGTCCGCCTTGGCTGTTTCCGGAAGGCCACGACAGCAACGCCCATTGCTGAATGATCTGGGCATGAGGCTGCAAAGGATCCAGCGAATCAGACAATAGTTACACCAGCATTAGGTGTGAGAATACAATATGGTTAGGTGACTCGCACGCAGCTTGGATGGGAGTTGGGCTTTAAGTTGTATGCACATCGATGATTCGGTACGAAGACCCAACGCCTCACGTCGTTTTGGCTTGGACTGCCCATGATCGAGTTACCTCTCGACATGTTAGTATTGTCCTGGCTACTGTGATTTGGAGAGGAGCTGAGTGAGCATCTCCATTATGCAAAGTGACGGACAGCTGCTTGGGTATAACTTCGTGCTTTACTTGGGCGGGCGACACTCCTGGTCCAAATGTCCAAGGTCGAAGCCAAGGCTGAAGTGAGAATAAGGTGAAGTACCTTATGTCAGGTACACCGTGCGAGTTGTTAAGTCAGCCTTTGTATGGACCGTGCACTCGCTAAGACGCGCTAATGAATCATTAGCGCAACTTCACCACAAGGTTGCATTGGGCGACTTTTTTACTCGCTTTGATAATTTCTACAACGACTTTCCCATGTAAACGCGACGTGCACTTTCAACCTCGTTTACAACTGTGGTAGCCAAACAGCCATGGCCGTGGATTTTAGTCGGCTAACGGTGGTTGAATTGCGCCAGGAGTTGAAGCGCAGAAACCTCCCGCAAACTGGAAAAAAAGCGGATTTGGTTGATCGCTTAGTCGCCTTTGAGAATGAACAAGCAACCCAAGAACCTCTCGGCGACGGTGCTCAGAGCTACAATACCCCCGAGCCCGCTGCGAGCGCTTCGCAACACCCAATCGCGGAAGGCAATGCGGAAGGCGATCTAGCCGGCACGGCCGCGAACAATTCTGTACCTCCCGCAGCAGCATCAAACATATCCCCCGACCCCAATTCGGTTGCTGAAACCAGGCAAGACGAGGTCGCTGATTCCGCCAATGTCGAGCCCGCCGCTACTGTCACAGAAATCGTTAACGACGCTGTGAGCCGGAAGCGGAGGTCACGAAGCCCACCGCCCCTCGAGCACGATTCTTCCACAAAACGAGCGCGTCCAAACGACCAAATCGGTAGCGATTCCGCTCCGGCCTATGATGAAGCAGTTTCTTCCCACGAGGCTCCCATCACCAAGGACGCTCCCCCCGAACCTATCCAACAGGATTACCCGGAGGCTCCTCAAGGTTACGGCAGAGTCATTGACGGTGCTGACGCTGGAACAAGCCAAGAAGAGCAACCCACATATAACCAAGAGTCTGACCTGGGCAAGGACCACGACATTCCTCAGCCCACCTTTCAAAATCGGGAAGACAAAATCGTGGATGAGCCTGCGAATGAGCCAGCGCGTGAGGCAACGACTGGCTACGACAGAGACGTTCCGCCATCGCAACATCCCGCTACATCTGCCCTTTACATCAAAAACTTCATGCGACCTCTGAGGGAATCCATGCTGCGAGACTACCTGATTGAACTTGCCGCAGCCCCAGGTGCCGACTTGGATCCAGACTGCCTGGTCGATTTTTACCTTGACCAGATTCGAACCCATGCCTTTGTGCAATTCACAAGCGTATCGTCAGCTTCCAGAGTCCGGACTGCCCTGCACGGAACTGTTTGGCCCAACGAGCGCAATAGAAAGGAACTCTGGGTCGATTTTATCCCCTCCAACAAGGTCGCGGAGTGGGCCGACCGCGAGCAATCAGAGGGCGGACGAGGGTCGTCGAGTCGTTGGGAAGTCCGGTACGAGCCTGATGAGGACGGCAACATCTTAGCTACACTGGTGAATGCGGAGGCAGAACCCGTTCGCCGCAACAGCAGACAAGCTCCGGGCCCGCCGCCAGTCCCAACTGGTCCCGCTCGCAGCAACTATCCCACTGTTGAAGGCGCGCCATCTGGTCCTCGCGGCCGAGGAGGAAACCACTACCGCCAGCCGCCGCCTCCCATGGGCGACTCAGGAGGTGAGCGGATGGTGACGCGGGCCAACCCGCCCTTGCAGTACAAACCCGTCCTGGAAGAGCTTGCCCAGCGTCGTCTGGCAAACATGCTCTCATACTACACCAAGGACAGGCACAGAGATCTTGGCCGCGAGGACGAGATTAACCGGTATACCTTTGAGAACGGCGACGCCTTCGTCGATCGCGGCAAAGAAGTCTTCATCGGCATCCGCCCTCCCCACCGCGAGCGCGAGCGTCGCAGGCTTGGTCTTGGGCGCAACAATCGCCCGGGCGCGCCCAAGCCCCCTTCGCCACCAAGGCGGGACCGCGATGAAGGGCGCCGTTACGATCGCGATCGTCGCGATGACCGTGACCGCGACCGCCGTGATTACCGCCGGGAGCGCGACATCGTGCCCCGTTCGCGTTTCGACGGCCAGCCACTTCCTACATATAACGGTCCCCGCGGAGGCGGCAGACGTGGCGGCGGAGGCGGAAGGCGCGATCGCTACTAGGCGATTACGGAAAATTTGTCGCGCCGGATTTAACGTATTGGCGCCGCGCCCATTCCATCCATGAGCTAAGTCGCAAACTACCTATTTCTGCGGCCACTAAATCATCGAATCTTGACGCATTCCGCTGCTCAACACTAAACACCGAAACGAGCGGGAGAGGAGTGCACTTGTTTTTTTTTCGCCCGGATACTACACCAATCCCGCTACGACCTACCTTTGTTTTCTTGTAATGATAACAAATGTACTCTACACTAAGACCGACAGTGATCAGCAACCGATGCGATTTGGGAGGCATACATACATCCCTTCGAAATGGCATCGGAAAGGACAGGAAAAGGACGAGAGAAAAAAAAACCCCAAAGAAAGACGATCGGAATCAACCGAAACGGATAAGCTCGTCGCGAGGACATCGTCCATGGGGAAGACTATTGCCTATGCAGATGGTGGATCCACGGAAGAGGACGTCTGGAGTTGCCAGTTGAGGCCGCAGACAGGCCGTTGCTTGTATGCACAGATTCTGTACTGAAAAGGTTGTTGCATGTACGGATAGATACCCTACCAGTCATAGATTCATATTGACTGCTGAGAAATTACCACTATTTGAGACAGCTGTGCAATTCCATGGACTGATACCATTCTACATCTAAGCTCCATCACCACCACCATGCGCGACTTCAACATCGCGATACTTATCCAGGTCAGTGGAAATGAAGAGCTTTTCAGCAACAAAGCAACATTGCTTAGCAAAACCCAACACGGCAAACAAGGGATATGGTCAGGAGACGAAATAGTGATTTTAGACCAATCTGAACTATGCCATTGACGCTTGTCTAAACAATTCGCTCGTTGAATCGCTCGATCCCCTTCCTGCCCACGCTTTCGGTCGAGTAAAGCAGATACATTTCAATTTAGCTGGATACCGTTGAAAGAAAGCCAAACGCTCAAACCTCAGAAACCCAGAAACAACCCACGTGCAAACTCAGCATTAGAAAACAGACTCATGCAGCATTCGCCAGGGGCGAGGGCTCCACGCCAACACGCTCCTTGCTGAGAATGTCAATCATCAGCTGCGAGGGTCTGTTGTCGCGGTACACCTTTGCGCTGTCCTTGAACATCTTGACGTTCTGCAGGTACTTGTCGAAGAGGTAGGCGCTGTCCATGGGACCGCCCTTGGCCTCCGGGTGGAACTGGGTCGAGAAGATGGGGCGGGTCTTGTGCAACATGCCCTCGTTGCTGCCGTCGTTGAGGTTGACAAAGTACTCCTTGAACTCACTCGGCAGGGTGCTCGCGTCGACGGCGTAGCCGTGGTTCTGGCTCGTGATGTGGCACTGGCCCGTGGTCAAGTCGAGCGCGGGGATGTTGTGCGCGCGATTGCCGTACTTGAGCTTAATCGTCTGCGCGCCAACGGCGAGAGCCAGAAGCTGGTGGCCGAGGCAGATACCCATGATGGGGACCGAGGAGGTCTCCATCAGGCGGGCGAGGTTGTACACCGTCTCGTGGCAGTGGGTCGGGTCACCGGGGCCGTTTGAGATGAAGACACCGTCAAAGTTGTCCGCCACCTTGTGGATCGGGTAGTTGTACGGGAACACGGTGACCGACGCCCCGCGGCTGACCAAGCTGCGCAGGATGTTCTCCTTTACGCCGCAGTCGATCAGGGCGATGTGGAAAGTGGCATTGGGATTCGCGACCACGAATGGCGCCTTGGTGCTCACGCGCTTGACCAGGTTGATCTGACCGGGGTCGATGAAACCCTCATCTTCGTCGGCATCGTACTCGTCGCCAATAGAGATTCTGGCGAGCGAGGAACCCTGCTCTCGCAGGTACGTGACAATGGCGCGGGTATCCACGCCAGACACGAGGGGCACGCCCTCTCGAGCGCACCACTCGCCCAAGCTCTCGACGGCCGTCCAATGGCTGTACTGCTCAGCCACGTCGGCGACAACAACGCCGGCACATTGGATATGGGGGGACTCGAAGTACTTGAGGAGATTGTACTCGTCCCGCTCATTCGAGGGCACACCATAGTTACCAATCAGAGGCTGGGTGAATACCAGGATCTGGCCACGGTAAGAAGGGTCCGTCATGGACTCGGGATATCCCACGAGGGACGTCGTGAAGACGGCCTCGCCTGAGATGTTGGAGTTGGCGCCAAAGGCCTTGCCCTGGAACACGGGGCCATCCTGCGGAGCAAGGCGTTAGAATCAAGACTAGATCTGCCAACTCACGTGGGTACTTACTCTGATGGTGAAGGTGGCATCAACACCGGATGCGGCAGCGGTGGCCCTGTTTTTGGTGGCAGGCATGGCTCTGCCCTTGCTGCCGTCAACCGCAAGCCTGCTCAGAAGACGAGCGTGGGCCGGGAAGCGGGACGACACCCTGGGGACAGCATGGCCCAAGGCATTGGGGAGACGGGCAGCCAAGTGAGTGAACATCTTGGCGGCAGGAGTATAAAGGTTGAAGACGGGTAGGGGCTCTTATGCAGAACAGTGGGGTCTTAAGCGGACAAGGCTCTCCACAGGTGGTCTAGGTAAAATCCTCGTCAGTACCAAGCGGTGAGTCAAGCAATGTTGAGGGGCCAGACGCACCCGAGAGATAATCCTAGCACACCAACGTATTAGCAACAATTCTACAGACCGCACTTCGAGTATGGACACAGAGAAGGGCTTTTCAAAAGCCCATCGAGGACTGCGCACGTGAGACGAGAAAGGACGCCTCGAGACCCGGGGGCGCGGGAACGGAGGGGGGGGCGGGAAGCATGATCCCAGCTCAGCCAAAACGTACCTGAGAAGTAAAGATGGAGAGGCGACCTTTCATCAGCGCGGTTTGCGAACGGGCCAGTTTGAGAAGAGGTCAAGAATGCAGATGCAGAATCTGCGAGGGAAGGGGCGTTGTTTCCGATGTGAGGCGGTTTCACTCAGACTGGGTGCGTAACTGAATTCAAGCTGGAGGAAGGAAAAGGAAACAGAAAAAGGCGGGCAGAGAAAAAAGTGTCACTCTTTTGTCAATTGGGTCCCACGGTCCCACCGCTCCAATTGCGCATGCAGTACGGAGGTAGGCTTGCCAATTGGCGAGAGTGTCATTGGTCCAGCATTCCCAGATCCCGGGGCCGATTTACGGTGCAGGGAGGGGCAGGCATTCCCAGACTTTTCTCAATCTGGCTGTCGCTCTTCTCTTTGTTGCGGCTTCGGACAATGAGGGTTCCGCTTCATCGCCGATTGTTGCAGCGTCATGGATCTACGGATGGAGCCGTCACTGAGAATCTCCTTGACCAATGGAACATAGTGGATACTAGGATATATGTATCTACAATCTCATTTTCCCTCTCTGGACACAGGGGAATCGGCGAACATGGACGTCAGATGCCGTGATGCGGGGTGACGTACCCTGTTGATCGCTGTCCAGTTGTCGAGCCGCCACGGTCTAGTGCAAGATTCTGTGCGTAGATTGCACTCCTGAGTTGGTCGATACGCAGCGGAATGGGGCATAACCTGGTTGGCATAACGCCGCAAGGGGGTTGTGTAGCGGTACAGATTTAATGCGACAGTTGCTCTAGACTAGATAGCGCCGAGCTCTTTCAGCTTAGAAATAAGGCCATCAACATCCTCCACCTTGCCGCCGCCTTGCCTCGGAGGGGGTTCTATATTCGAGTTAGCCATGACGGAAAGGGACAGGATAAGGACTGCAGCCCGGGGACAACTGACCAGTAACCTTGAGCACCTTGAGTCTCTTCTCGGCCGTAATCCCAAAGTCGGCCAACGTCTTCTTCTCGAGCGGCTTCTTCTTAGCCTTCATAATGTTGGGCAGGCTCGCATACCGCGGCTCGTTGAGGCGCAGGTCGGTGGTGATGACCATGGGCAGCTTGGCGCGCACCGTCTCGACGCCGCCGTCGACCTCGCGCGTGACACTGACCGAGTCCCCCTCGCCAAACTCGACCTTGCTCGCCTGCGTCGCCTGCGGCCACCCCAATAACCCGGCCAGCATCTGGCCCGTCTGGTTGGCATCATCGTCAATGCTCTGCTTGCCGAGGATTACCAGGTTGCTCTTTTCCTGCTCCGCGGCCGCCTTGAGCAGCTTGGCCACGCTCAGCGGCTCCAGCTCCTCGCCCTCCTTCACCTCAACGTGGATGGCCCGGTCCGCGCCCATGGCCATGGCGGTGCGCAGTATGTCCTGTGCCTTTGGCGGGCCGGCGCTCACAACGCAGATGTCCTCGACGCCGCCGGGAGCCCTCTTCTTCTCGCGGATGCGGACGCTCTCCTCGACTGAGAGCTCATCGAAGGGGTTCATGCTGTGCTTGACGCCGGCCGTCTCGACGCCCGTCTGCGCCTTGTTGACGCGCGGTTTGACCTGTATCCGGGAAGAAGACGGTGATGATCAGCACGACAGGTCTTTCACATGGGATTGGACCGAGCGTAAGCGGAAGGCGGATATGGAACAATGGATTGGCCATCATTTGAGGCCGGCACCCAATTCCAATCGCATACATACCGCATAGTCAATCACCCGCTTTACGGGTACCAATATTCGTAGGGCTGACATGGCGAGGTTCTGCGCTTCAATGGCCGGATGTGGAGAGAAGAAGGGAAAGTTTCCCTCGGTTCGCTCCGATGGCGATCAAGGCCGATCCAGCTAGGGCCGATGCCAACCTCGGCCAAGCGATGGGAGGGAGTAAACCCAGTATATAACCCTAACCCTGAATCGTTTAGTGTGGTACTGGCTGCATCTGAAGTGACATCTGAAGTGACAACCTGCAGTGAGCTACCAGATCAGTTGGAGACAAGAAGCAGACAACAACAACTCTAAACATACAGAGTGGAACTAATTCGCCAATATATATCATTCACATTTACTAAGTTTGGCCGATCCCGCGCCGTGACTCTATATGCGCGACCGCTGCTCTATCGACTCCCTACTCCCTACTCCCAAGCTCACCGTCACAGACAGACATCCTCCTCCCATCCTCATCCTCCGTCCTCACCTCGCCCTCACCAGTCATCCCACTCGTCCTTGGTATTCTTCGCTGGCGGTCCCTGCTTATTGCTACCGCCCTTGCCCATGGCCGACGTGCCTATAGAGCTGCCCGAGGCTTTCCTTTGGTCTGCGGCGGCAGCAAAGTCGTCCCAGAACGCCCGCTTGCTCTCGTCAAAATTGCTGCTGCCGCTGCCGCTGCCGGTGCTTACCGGCTTATAGCCGCTGCCAGCCGGCCCTTCAACGAAGCGGCTGAGCCCTTCCTGAGCCGACCTCGCGCCCGCTTGCGCTGACCGCGCGGCCTGGGCCGCTGCGATGCGGGCTTGGGCAGCCAGCTCGGAATCGGCTATCTGAGCGCGTGGAGTCGTGTTAGCATAGCAGATTCCCCCACCTCTCCCCGGCTAAGCAAACATTGAGTCGGGCGATGGTATCACATACCTGTTTCGCCGTCGGCTGTATGAACCCCTCATTCACCGTTTTGGCTGTCTTGGTAACCGTCGATGCGAACCACCCAAAGCCTTTACTTATCGCCGCCACGGGGTCTCTTTGCAAATCCTCCAGCTTGGGCAAAGCCGTCTGCTCCTCCCGCTGCGGCCGCGGCGCCGAGCTGCCAAACCCGCTGTACTTGCCTCCCTGGCTGGGGGGCAAGTCATCCGGCCTCTGTGCGTTCCGCTCGCCCAGCTTCGCAAAGTAGTCCACATCCACCTTGATCTTGCCTCCTGGCCCGGGACTCGCCGTCCTACTGCCCGTCGCGCTGCCGCTCAGCGGGGTGCTAGTATTGGCGCGGGGCCCGCTGCGCGTCGGGGCCGTTGAACTCGGCGCGGGACTCGCGCTCTTGGGCACGATTCCTTCCTCCTTCTTCTTCTTCGCGTCTGCAGGGACGTACTCGCGGCCCTCGACCTTTGCGCTGAGCCGCTCCTTCCACTCCTCCCCGGCCTCACCGCCGTAGCGCTCGGCGATGGTAGCGTCGTCCCAGCTGAGCCCGCGCATCCTCGTGTCCGGGTGGTTCTCGAAGAAGCGGCGCCAGTTCTCGTTGCCGCCTAGCCGCATGCGCTCAATCTCGGCCGATTTGAACGCGTCCATCGAGATAGAACGCACAAACGAGATGTGCACCCCCAAACCCCGGTGCACGCCCGCGCACGACAGGCAGATGAAGATGCCAAACTTGGGCGACGCCCACTGCGGCGACGGCGCCCCGCAGTCGCAGCATAGGTTGTTCTTGTTTTCTTGCTGGATCGAGACAAGCTAGTGTGGGAGAGGGGGACCCATGTTAGTCACCATTACCCGCTCGCAACAGAATGTGGGTTGGGTAGGTTGGGCGGAGGATGGATGAGGTGAAGAGGAGAGAGCACTCGGAAGGACTCTAGTAGATTGAGTTGGCAAAGATCAGGCTAGACATACTTTGGATCTTGTCTCGGGATCAACCTCCCACATGGCCTTCGAAGCCATTCTGGGCTAAAGATTTGCGGTTTGCTCTCTGTCTCTGCCCAAGTGTGATAAAGTTGGCGTGAGCAAAGGGGATGTTGGGTCGCCGGTCGAGTAACGATGTCGCGTGGCCTTTGGCGCCAACCAACAATTGGAAACAAGGGGCGTATGGGTGGTCAGCTTCGATCCTCCCTGATCAAGCACCCTGGATAGTCTGTTTTTGCTGATTAGAGTGCTTGCTTCAGGAAGGTTGTTTGCAATGGGGAACGACAGGAGAAGATAACTTCGCAGCGCAGTTCAATTCAGCGATTGGCGGTTCGAGTCCAAGTCTTTAGGCGGGGCCCATGCGAACCTGGGACCCTTGCAGAACCATGCTGCATTCTGCAAATCCTCAAAGCAGCATAATGCCACCAGACGATAGTGTTGGAAAAGCACATTACTCGACTGTGCAGTCATATCCGGATTCCTAAGCCTCCGTTCTCAAAAATTGAGATACTACGGCAGGGCAGTCATGTCGGGAGAGCAAAACTTTTCCTATTCCTCGTACCCTGTACTCCATCTCCGGCGACTACCACTACTGTACACGCCTGAAGGATGCGAGAGCAAAGAGGAAAAAAGCCATCACCAACTCCGCGAGACAGAGGTGGAAACAACAGTAGGTCATGAGGATATTAGGGGATATTTTCTGCAGAAAAGTCGCGAAGATAATGGATATTGCGTCCCTGAACTCTACCCGCAAAGAGCCTTTTTTGGAAGCCCGTGCAAAATCCAGGACGCCAGGAGAATTATCCCGCCACTCAATCTCGCTGTCCTCATCCCGTCTAACCATTGGCAAAAAGAGAGAAAATCATCCATCCATTTCCGGTCGTTAATAGATGCACGCGCCCGAAAGTAATACACACGAACGGGAATGTTGCTGAAGAGAAGTCGCGCGTGCATTCGTATTTGTTGACGTGTGCCGCATGCTCGTCAAGAGTAGAGCATCATCTAGGCAGCGGCCGTGGCCGGTGCAGCCTCGGCCTTCTCAGTGCCGTTGGTTCCCGCATTCTCGCCGCCGTAGGTCTCATCATCGGTCTTGTCGGGGCTGTCAATGGCAACCTTGACAGCGATCTCACGGCCCTCAATCTCCTTGCCGTTCATCTCGGCGACAGCCTTCTGCTGCATCTCCTCTGAAGCCAGAGTGACGAAGCCGAATCCCCGTCCCTTGCGGGGCTCGCCGCGGGCCTGGAGCTTCTTGATCATGAACCGGGGAATTGGCCGCAAAGCGATCTTGGCCGAGGACGGTTGATAAGCAGCGAAGAGCTCCTTGAGCTAATAGGGAGTAAGCAACCGACAATCAAAATCTCGGTGGGTCGGTGAGTTGAGTGGATTTCTCACGAACCTTGTCTTCGGTCAGGTCATAGGGAAGGTTAGCGACCATGACCTTGGTCTTAGACGGGATGCCGTCGGCCGGGGGGCCTCGCTCCCGACGCTCGCGGGCAGGGCGAGCCTGGGACTTGCCATGCTTGGCATCCTTCTCCTTGTCGTTGGAAGCCTCGTTGGTGATGTCCTTCAGGGCCTCAGTGGGGGCAGGAGCATCTGCAGCTCCGGCAGCGTTGTCAGCCGAAGCGGCACCCTCCCCTTCCTTCTTCTCGTCCTGAGAGCATGTCAGCCATCTTCATCTTATAGCCAATAAATGAGAGCCAACTTACACCACTGCCACGTCCGCCACGAGCACGTCCGCCACGGCCACGGCCTGCGCGACCGCGACCGCGAGTAGAGTGGCGGCGGCGGGCACCATCAGCACCACCACCCTCAGCATTGGCACCCTCGGCCTTCTCGTTCGACTCGGGCTTGCGAGCCAGCTGGACAGAGACCTTTCGCTCCAAGATCTCCTTGCCAGACAGCTCAGCGATGGCACGCTCGGCCTCGCTGGGAGTCGAGAGGTCGACAAAGGCATAGCCGACCGGGCGGTCGGTGCGAGGGTTCTTCGGGATGGAAACCGACTCACTGCAGGCGGGGTGCATGTTAGCAATCGTCGGAGAGGCTCTACATGTTCGATGCATGGACAATATGACGCCTACTAGGCAAACTAAAGACCACGACGTTGCACTGCCGGGGAACAAGTGAAAGCATGGGAGACGCGTCGGACGCACGGCAGAACCGTGTTCGAGAGACATACATGACGGATGTGGGGAATCAGGGGCAGCGGCTCCCACATGAAGCGGCGGTGAAGACAGGAGGTTGCACTTTGGCAAGGGGACAGGACATGAGAGAGAGAAATATCCACTCACACAAGGTAGCCCTTGAAGAAGTCTTTCAACTCCCCCTCCGTTGTCGCATAAGCCAGGTTTCCGATGTACAGGCGGCGACCTTCGGCAGCGCTGGCAAGGACGGCATCGTTGGCCGACTTGTCGTCGGCGGCCTTGCCAGTGATAGAGGTATTGGCCAGAGCGTTGGTAACGTCATTGACAGCAGCAGTGGCGGCGTCAGCGACTTTCTCCACGACGGTAGACATGGTGACTGATAGAGATGTCGAGTTGGTTGACTTGGTTGATGGAGTCGGTCCACAGGTTGAGTGACGGGTGACGTGAGGCTTGGATTGACTCGTCGAGCAGTGGATGCGTGGGCGCCAAGGAGCAAGGTGCCGACGTTCACAGACGAGCGATAATTGAACTCTGGGTCTAGAGGGGGAGTTAGAAAGGGTAGCTACGTGCCCTAGAGGACTTGAGGGGAAGGTTTGTCGAAGGTTGAACGGGTTCTGATCGATCCTTTGATGGTTGACGTGGAGAGGAAAGAAAGGAAATGGCAAGGCGGCGCGGTCTCAAATTCAAATATTTTTTTCCGCCTAGCACTCGGGGGCATCAAGCGAGGGAAGGCGTGGCACAAGTCAGGGTACGTACCCGACCGCGAGCCAGGGTTTGAGGAGGCAGGGGCAACACAAAGGCGAGTGCCAAGAGGCTGTCCGTGCTCCACACCTGTGGGCTATGCTTTCCGGGGTTGAAACCCCAGAGTTGCCTCCTCAACGACCGGGAGCAAAACGCCTGGATTTTGACTACTCACCTCTCCGAAAGAACTGATGCCACAGGATTGAGGCTGCTGCATAACCTTGTTTAGCACGCTTGATTTTGGATCAATATGCTTGACTGCAGTAGTACCTTGTTAAGTTGAGGTCTGAGTAGGTTTTGTAGCAGAGACGTTTTTACTTAAATGCTAGAGTTTGGGGAACGGTTTTGATGTTGCTTAAGAACCTGCCAAAATGGTGCCTGTGACCTCTGTGGTCGACGGCTCAATAGCTGTTCAATAACTTGAATAGGAAGGCATCCTTTTCGTTACTATTGTCAGTTCTTTTTGGACGACCATACCACGCCCGGTCAGTATTGTATGTACTTCGTACGAAAAGTAGGAAGATTAGATTGAATAGCTCTCAAAGAAGCAATAGCAGCTATCAATCCAATATCACTCACCGTCCTAACTGCTAAAGCTCAAGAATGTTGGTCGTTCATCGCCGCTGACTCACCCGGCCTGGCGCATGTCATAGCTTAGGCAGTCAGTTGTCTAATCGATGTACGGTATGTACGTCGTCAGCTATTACTTACTTGACGTTGTGCAAAATGTGCGACTGTGTCCCAGCGTAACTCGTGGTGTTGTGACGATTCCATGTTTCAAAACCGAGGCGTCGTGTTGTTCAAAGACCAGCAAGATCCCTGTCAAGTTTGAGGGGAGTCGCGCAGGCAGGCTGAGGCAGGCTCATAAAGGCAGGCATCACGAATACTCTGTACTGGACATACAATTACTGAACGACGGCCAGTGGAATAGGTTTCCGTTTCCTACACATAGACCACCAAGACCAGGCTGTCATAGACTCATAGAAACACGCCAACCGGTTTCCGTTGTGTTGCCCAACTAGACATCGACACAAGGTCTGTATGGCAAGAGAGGTCTGTGCCAAAAACCGCCTTAAGTATGTAGGTCTTTGTGTTGTCCGGACGTTAGGCCTGGGGAGCGCAGGCACCAGAATTGAATCAACCTTAAGTCAACGGGTCTCTAAAAGTGTGGAATCAGGGAGATCGGCAGGTTGGAAGAAAACCATCATGTAGAAACGAGCATCTATGATAAGGCCAACATACACATATTTGCCCCATGCCCGACATTGAAGCCACCTAAGCGGTTCGGAAAAGGGGGAATGGGGACCCCAAGTTCTAGACGCTTCCATAGTTATGTACTGTACACAGATCGTTGTCCTTTTTGCTTTAGCTGGTAGGATGCACAGGACACGCGACATAAGGTATGTACGAAGTATACGAAATAAGTACATGCCTACCTTATGGTCAAAACACAGTCCGCAAGAAGGGCGGAAAATGAAATTCTGGGTAAGGGACCCAAATTCTGGTCGCCCTGAAGATGGCATGCAAGGGGAAGTCTCAACATTATCCAATCCCCCGTTGGCGCCTTCATGCATTGCCAGCTTCAGCTGAGAAGACTACTACCGTAGCGATGCAGAATACCTTCACATATGCACAGTTCCGGCTTGGACCTTAGGCCTCATCACGTCTGGATCAGGTACCGCGAAGTTCAAGTGGCAATTTCTGTGCTGAGTGCGCTGCCTTAGCAGGAAGAGACTCAATGGTTTCAATTTCATTCCTGTCCCTTACGATAGCAATCATCCTCCCTCTGTAATAGTAACGGAGCCTGGTAGTCGAAACGTTGATTGGGAGTTAGGTAGGTAACTTAGCATTTTGATGTTCCCGCTCGGGTGACTAATCCAAGAGCCGGACGGCCGGTTTCGGGGCCGGCGCTCTCCGTCGCCAACCCGATAAAGCATGGAGATAGGTCAAACGGCATCACCGGTCTCACTTTGGCGACACAGCGCAATAATCTCTTGATATCAGACATCGTCCGCTGGCCATCCGTAGCATCGCCAATATCTCGGGTTTGGAGCCTGGGTCATGAATGGGCATTCTCAAGGGGACTTATATTCGCCACTGCAAACCCGGATCGAGCGTTTATTCCGCACAGGATTTCGAGCCCCTGACACACCCTGCTGACTTCCCAGTCCTCGATTTTCTGGGGACTTAAAGAAACAGTATCTGGAGATACCTACGCTCCCTGCGGTTAATTGGAGGTGCATCGACAAGTCGTGTCTTGTGGCTAGGACCCTTGGCCGGGGCAACAGCTAGAAGAGGCTAGGTGAATTGCTTGGGTTTGAAGTCTGTAATCTTTGAAGAGCGGCCAAACCAGCCAAGATGGGCCAGCCAGAGGCATATCAACGATTAGCACAGCCTGTCGTGATTGAGGGCAGAAGCATGGCGGTGCTTTATGGGTCCGAGACTGGTAGTGCCCAGGAGATTGCAGTAGAGCTCGGGCAGATGGCTGAGAGGATGCATTTCCAGACGACTGTGGACGAGATGGATGGCTTTAAACTGGTGCGTCATTTCGAGATACCGGGGACAGTTGGTTGAAATTCCTAACACTGCTTTGGATAGGCCGATATTCTGCGCACGTCGCTGGTGGTCTTTGTTACGTCGACGACAGGTCAGGGCGAGATGCCGAAAAACGCATGCAAGTTCTGGAAGAACCTCCGGCGTGAGAAACTCAACAACACAAACTGCCTCAAATCATTGCGGTTTGTAGTCTTTGGGCTAGGTGACAGCTCTTATTTAAAGTAAAGTGCCCCCCTCAAACGGCCAGCGGTTTTTTGACTTGCTAATGAAATTCACTAATGCAGATTCAACTGGGCAGCCAGGAAGCTACGAGCGAGGCTCTTGCAGCTTGGTGCCTCCGAATTCTTCAAAGCCGGGGAAGGAGACGAGCGACACGATAACGGGTGAGTGGTCTTCTTCTTTCTTGCCGCCGGCAAAATAACTGGAAAGTACTGACAATCGTAACCTCCTTGCCTTGCTTCCCTTAGCATCGACAGCATCTACATACCTTGGTGCAAGGAGTTCAAGGCAGCTTTGCTAACTGGATTTCCGCTCCCTGAGTCTGTCGACCCCATCCCGGACGACATCCGGCTCCCGCCAAAATACCCCCTCCGACTGCTGTCCGCTATGGATATCAAGGCGTTGCGCGAGAGCGGCGCTGACGTCGCGCCTCCAACTGACGACGATCTTAAGTTTCTGGCCTTAAAAAACAAGAGCGCCGCTCGCTCACATGTCAACTCCCCAATTCCCGCCGCCGAGCAGCTCCAGGAAGACCGGCGCCGGCGACATCCCCACTTTCCCGCCTGCTCCGCTCGGCAAGATGCGAGTTGGGAGCGAGAGAACAACTTCCCCGTCGACGGTTTAGACAAGGAGAACATCCTCAAAGACCATCCTGAGAAGTACCTTCTCGAGCGCCCAACAGCCCAAACACCGGACCTTTTGCCGCCAGATGCAATTCCTATCCCGAATACCTTCCCCGGAAGGCTAGTACATAACATCAGAGTGACGCCTGCTGATCACTGGCAAGATGTCCGCCATCTTGCCTTCAACCTCGCGCTCTCGCGTGAAGACGTGAAAGCTGTGCTCCACTGTTCCGGCAATCTGACCCTTAGAATCTATCCCAAAAACTACCCAGAGGACGTCCAGGAATTGATCTCCATGATGGGATGGGACGAGATGGCGGACACACCCATTGACCTCGATAGCGCACCTCGAGGTCTATATTTCCGTCGTGGTATTACAACCCTGCGCCATCTCTTGACCCACAACCTGGACATTACCGCGGTCCCTAAGCGCCACTTCATTAAGTCGTTGCTAGCTTTCACAAGGGACGAGAGAGAGATAGAAAGGCTCCAGGAGCTCACAGCCGCCGGCAATGAACAAGAATTCTACGACTATACGTGCCGACCCCGCCGGACCATCCTCGAGCTGCTTCGTGATTTCCAAGGCGTAAGGATACCCTTCGACACAATCCTCAGTCTCTTCCCCATCATCCGCGGCCGGGATTTCAGCGTCTGCAACGCAGGAAAGGACATACTTGGAGACTCAGACGGCATAGTCCGGGTCGAAATCCTCGCCGCTCTTGTCGAGTATAAGACAATCATCCGCAAGCCTCGCCAGGGCCTTTGTTCCCGCTACCTCAAGCACCTTCCGGCCGGCGCCCTTATCTGGGTTGGGTTGAAGGCTGCCACAGGGCCACAGCTTGTTCGCGACCCGGCGTCGGTAAGCCGGCCCATGATCGCCATTGCCACAGGCACCGGCATCGCCCCGATCAGGGCTCTCATTCAAGAGCGCGCAGGCTACCGACACCCGGGCCCGACCTCCCTCTTCTTTGGCTGCCGCAATAGATCCGCCGACTTTTACTTTGCTGACGAGTGGAGGGAGTATCCAGAACTGGTTGTTTACCCTGCCTTTTCCCGAGACCCTGTCCCTCCCCCAGAATCCCCCGCCACCGCCAGCAGCACTACCACTACCGCCTCCGTCCACAAGGGCATCGCCGACATCCTCACCCCGCCTGAGTACGACGCAGGAAAGAATTACGTGCAGCACCTGATACGGAAGCACGCCCACGAAGTGGGCCAGTTGATGTTGAACTATCCCATCGTCTGCATCTGTGGCAACGCAGGCCGCATGCCACTTTCTGTGCGCAGCGCGTTGCTCGACGCGCTGGTCATCAGCGGCGTGGTGGAGAACAGGGACATGGCCGAGAGGTGGTTTGCTGATCCTCACAATCTGACGCTCTGGCAGGAGACGTGGTGAAGGGCAATAAGGGGGGAAGGGGTTGAGATGACGGCTGAGGAGATATACATACATAATACATAGCCCGCAAACCCCGAGGGGAAAGCAGTCGAGGCAGGAGAATCGTGAGGGTAAGCAAGGAATTGGAGGGTAGGCAGGGCATCTGTGCACTACCCGCTTACATGAGGATCTAGTTGTCTCCTTTCCCTGCCAGCCTGCCTGCCGTCTTATGGTGTTATCAGGCGTGGGTCTGTGGCGATCATCCCATAGATAAGGAGAACAGAACTCGGGCACATCGGTCATGAAGCGCGTGTGGGGACCTATCATCCCGGTTGCCTAGTCACGAAGTCAACATCCCGTTGCAACTTGGCCAGTGATTGTGACCGTCCTATGTTGCATGGCAAACCTTGATGAGGGACCCTGCTTTCAGCGGCCTGTATCAACTCTCAGATATGTATGCGCCGAACATGCAAGCGATGTATCACGGATCGTGGAACTACCCTAGCCGTGGTCTGCCACACCACATTCATCAGAATCGACGAGCTTTGCGTGCGATCTTCCACACTTCTACTGAGCTCAACCAAGTGCTCGCGTGCGCCTGGCTGTGTGTTCGCTAGGCCGGCTCTTTGCTTCTGTAGTCCTTCAATTCTCTAGCCGTCGAAGCCGTGCCAGGCGAGTACATACACAACTCCGAATGTTGCCTAATCGCCTGGAAACTCCCATCCACGGCACAAAGGCGGCACACTCCGCGGTCCGAATTTCTCTGAAACCAGACACCTCGATAGATGCTCCTCAGTTTGCCCTGTTAGGCCGGCCAACATGGTTAGATCAACTCAAACGCCAGATGTCACTTCCACCGCCCCATTCGCCCATCTCGTGGACCCCCAAAGAGGGGGATTTTGCCCTCTGAAAAGATCCCGGTCAAAACGCCGCGCTCCCGTTCCACTGTATTGTACCCAGTAAAAACACCCAGTGGGTATATCAAGCCCATACCTAACCGTAAACAAACGCCTCGCAATAAATGTACACAATGCGATGAAACAGGGCATAAAAAAGTATTATGGCAGGAGAAAGTTCTGCTAAAGGAACGTGCGAAAAGACTGTGGTTGGTCGTACGTGTCGTGATTGCTGTGGCGGAGGGCGGTCAACTGCTGTCCTGTTCCCAGCTGTACCGCTTGTCGGCAACTTGCGGCACGTGTATGAGTTCCGAGCCGGCCTCGATGCGCTCCATGCTTTGAGGACTGCGGGGCATGGAATCATCCTCGCCATGTCCGTACTGCGCTGGCCTCTGGTTGCGACTCCGTGTCATCTCGCCCAACCTGAGCATGTGTTCTTCCTCTACAGTAAAGTTGCTCCCCAGCGTATCGCTCGAACCCTGAGTATGAGAGCGGTAATGTCTGGAAGGGTCTGGGGGTAAAAGCTCAGGAGAGTCGGGTCCAGATGGTCCGCCTTCTATCGGTCGGCTATCAGGCGCAACCAGCCGCGGGATCGGCGGTCGATGCGGAAGCTGGACATTCTCTGGCAACGGCCCTAAACATATCACTCGAGACGGGTCAATGGGCGTCCGCTGAAATGTTGGGGAAGGCAGCTGCATATTCCCGATCGGAGACGTCGGTGAATGGTTGCTCGAGTCTGAACGGGCGATGGACGACGGGGAGAAGGTCTGCCGTGAGCGTATTGAATGAGGCGATACGGGCGAGTAGCTCGCGCTGGGATTCGAAACAGTGGGAAGGTCTGTGAGCAGATGAGATGGAGGGGCGACTGTCATCGGCGATGGAAGGTCGAAGAGACGGTTCGTCCAATCTCCTTGAGGTGACATTGGTGAAGGGAGACTGTCAGGGAGCGAATTGCTGTTGGCATATGTGGGGGTTGATACGGGCGAAGGTTCTTCGACTTGACGGTAATGAGCCACGGCGCTCGCGTCTTGCATCAACTTCTCCTGCCCCGCCGTTTGCAAAGTCGGTTCTGGCGGGCTGTAGGTCGGCACGGGTCCTTGGAGTTGTCTATCCAGTTTCCGGCGAGTGATCTCGTATTGGCTTAGCCCTTCAGTGCTGTCGACACCAAAGTCCGTATCTTCATCTCCAACGTCGTGACTATCGAGCTCAACCGGCTCAGGCGGAACAGGCATTTCGAAGACCTGGTGCTGAGCGTCGGCACCGACCTCTACGGGCTGAGTTTGGTTTCCATGCGCTTCATGCGCCTCCGGCTTTCTTGACTTCTTCCTCCTGATAATCATGGTGAACATTCGCTTTACGGGGCTCTTCGGTTCATCATCTTCCGCAGCCTGAGCGGCTTCCTTATTCTCCTGTTCTTGCCCAACAGACTTGCCCTGTTTCGATGTCCGTCGGCGTCTGCAGCAAAACCACAAAATAAGGCCCAGAATACTACCAGTAATGAACGCACTAAGCACAATGCCGGCGGTTGCACCGGCGTTCAATCCACCGCTAGCGGCAGGTTCGTCAGCGAACTTGGGATATGGACTGTCCGGTGGTCTTGTGATCGCTTCCAGCGTGTAGTTGGTGGCCGCATTTTGGGGGAAAAGAGCTTGGTGAAGCGAGAAAGTACTCCTATCGTAGCTGGTGATGATGTATGCCTCCTGCATGAACACGCGCCCAATAATGTACCGGTTATTATTCACGTCCTTTGTGGATCGCTTCAGGGGGAAATATGGAATGCTCGATTCGCCCCACTGTACAACGTTCCTGAAGGGGTAGCGTAGGAGCTGGGCGAAAGCAGCAGCCGGGACCGTAATGTTGACCACTCCAGGGGTGTTGAGTGGCTCTCCGAAATTGTCGGCATTCTGGTAACTGGAGAAAGTAAACGTAAACGAAAGCGAGGTGTCGGACCGGTATTGGTTATACTGCGCGCCGTCTGCAAAGATATATACGCCCAAATCCTCTCTCCACGTCAGATTTAGCGCAGCAGCGAAACGGTCGCATACCTCAGTGGGCAGCCACAAATACGGCGTCGATGAGTCAATGACAGCGATGATGGAGTCTTCCATGGTCACAAGCGCGTGGGTCGTTGACGTCCAATTGCTCGTGGGGGTTTTGTCCTCGGACGAAACCGCCGCGGTGATCCCGCGTAACCGCACGGTGGGCAGTCGTGTTACCGGATCGAGAGAGAAGGTGGTATCATGGCGTACAAACCTCATCGTATCGTACCCTCCCAAGGTCAAGGATGCAATGGTGCCCTTGTTTTCCCCATCTTGAGTTGCGTCATCAGCGGCAAGTCATGGACAAGGGGTGATTGAAGAGGCATCTTACCCAAGCGGTAGTACGCCCCAGCCGTGTATCCGTAGCCGTGGCTGGGAATCGTACCGTACGTTTCGGCTAACTGCGAGATGAATGGGTTGGTAAGATTAGTTCCGAACCTCCCCTGCGTCACGCCGACGCCGATATATCCCTGGTAGTAGTTGGTGTCGTTGATGGCCGCCACTAGCGCTCCCTCAATGGCAGTTGTGTGCCGCTCTATCGTGTTGACGAAGGCAAATGTCTCCAGCCCATAGTCACCATTACCTCCCATGCCCGTGTAGTTCGCTCCCAATTGCCAGCTCCCCAACGACCGCCATGTCTTGGAGGCAGCGATGTCGAAGACACCGCCCCGAGCATCGATACAGAGTTGAACTTGGCCCTAGTTAGCATGGAGAGCAGCCTAGCCGTTACCCTCCTCGTGGGCATACTCACCTGGTGTGCAGCCACCGGTTGAGATGACCCATATCTCGGAGAGTGCGGTGGCGACGGTCAGATAGACTATCTGTGCGGGAGCACCCACGTAGAAGATGAAGCTGGACCATGTGCCATCGATCCCGTACCTAAGAGCCAGGTCAGAAGACGCATGGCGTGAGACAAAGCAAAAAAGAGAGGCGAGACGTACCACTCGCCAGATGGTTGGATCCAGAGGGGCTTTGGTTGTTGTGATTCAGAGTCAGACGCAGCAGCAAGTTGCGACACGGACAGAAGCAGGAGCAACAGCGAGATGTCACAGACGACAGCGGCCCCAAGGTAGGGCAACCGCATTGTTGCAGCACCCTGGCCCGGATTCGCAGCGCTGGGACGGGGTGCGCGCGATCAATGGCGTCGAGCACCTAGGGGCAGAGGGTAGGCTGTTACTCGAGGGGACGAGGTCCTAGGACATTTGCGAGGTCGGCTCTGCGTGCCATGAGCTGGGAAACATGTAATTGAGGCACCCGAGCAGTTGGAACGGACGAGATTGCCAGCAGTATTCGATCGCCAAGGCGTCACTCTGTCACTCCGTCACTCCGTCACTCATGCCGGCGAGCTAGAGCCGCAGCAATGGCACACAGAGAGGCGGGAGATCTCTAGAGTGAGCGGCAGCGCGGGACAGGTTGGGACTGCCTTGAGTGGCCAACACCTCAGTACAGCACGCGTGCAAGAGATGGAGCGACAGTGCTATGTGCGACACAATACATACAACCTGGAAAGTGGTGTAGGTGCAGCTTCCCGTGGGACGAGGAATGCGCGGGTGGAGAATACCAGCCAAGGTGCCCAAGCAGGAAGGATCGGCGGATGGATGCAAGTGAAGCACAGGCCTTGTTTGCGTAATTACTTCAGCAGTGTATGTACTGTATGTACTGTACTCCGTATATTTCCGTATTTTGCGGGCAATCATTGAGGGTAAGTTACAGTAATGTAATTCATTCGGTGTTTCTATGCAGGTGTACGGGAGGTTTGGAGACGCATGTTTGGCATGAAGCTTGCCAATAACGGGAAATGGCGGCACCTTGGAGATTCAAAGCCGGCAGTAAGGAGAGGAATTTTCAACTCTACCATGGAGAACATTGCATTTTGACGATGTGGATGCTATACTTCAGACTAACGCTGAGGTTAATCTCTCTATACGCACCTTCCTTGTAGGAGGTTGTACTCTACAGCAGCTTCCACTAAGGTGTACGAACTACGAAGGCAGGCAGGCGAGACGGGGACGGCAGCTGGTCACCGTCCAAGAAGTCCTGCAGTTAACTTGGAAGGTCGGTCCCGGTCCACGGTGTCCAGTCTCCGCCGTTCCATGCCTCCCCGCACCCATATCCAGCGCCGCGTGAGTGAAGCAGGGTTCACTCCATCAGTGGCTTTAGCCACCGGCTCTCTCGTCCTGCAAGTATCGAACAGCGCTTGGCTTCTACCCCAGACGCCGAAATCGAACTGGAACATGCATGCACTTTCAGGCGGGATGCGACACAGCTGTCAATCACAAACACAGAAGCCAGAAGTCCATCTGGTCTTGAGCATAACGACAGCGACGCCATCCGGAATGCTCACCATAACCATAGCGCAATTTTTGCACGATCCAAGCAGGGAATACCACTGCTGAATTCCAGACAGGCTCAACACTCCAGAGTCCTGTCGTCACTCTATGGACCCCTGTCCTGTCGAACTCCCGCTACGATAAAGCCTGACGAACTTGGCCCACGGCCTTGAGGGCAAAAACAGAGCGGCACGACCGTGGCAGGTCTAACAGCGACATTACATACATTACGAGGTGGGCTCGCTTGGAAGGTGTGGTGTAAATGTCCCGCCATGTCTGCCACCGCAAGTGCCGGGCAGTCGCTTTCGATGGCCAAGCCGGAAGGAGATTCTTGGCGATAGGCTGGAGGCGGCAAACTTGTCCACACCACAACAGCAAGAGAAACCAGGCTGTCATCGGTCTCAAGACAGCTGAACTGCTCAGCTTTCATCAGTGCATCCAAATCCATCAACTGACCGACGAGCTCCTCCCGCTCGCGTCGTTAAGAGACAAGTCGATGCCATCAGGTGTCGTCGCCAGTCCTCTGGAAATGGTAAACGAAAACGAAGCGAATCGAAAGGAAGTTCCCATACTTTGGACTGGTAATGCAGTTATATTGATCAAATATCAAGACCGGGAATCAATCCCTTGAATCAACTTCCGGCGGGAGACGCTGGCAAGAGATATGACCTGAAGAGGAATCAAGGATGCATCGGACACGGCAGAGGTAATATATTTCACCACTGAGAGGCGGTGGCCACTCTGGCTAAATCCATGTCGTCGATTTTTGCCGAGACACCCACCTTCGAGCCATGGTCCATCAGCCGTACCCGGACTTCTCGCCCATCCACGCATAGCAAGCACATGACCGTACTGTTGGCCTGATAGCCGTCGACCTCTTCCCCAGATTCTGACAAACGGTGCGATGATACGGTCAGCTCTAGCCACGGTGGCTCACCATCGGGACAAGTAACGCCCCCTCCGGCTTTGGCGGCACAGGTCTAGATACACCACGGTTAAGGTACCACCGTCTTTGGCGAGCCCAGCGGCCAATGTTGATTTCCATTGTGGTGTGCAGAAGGCGCGTCAACTGTTCTTGGCGCTCTCAAAAACGGAAGGCATTGCGTGTTTCCCAATGGCTCTGCGAGTATCTGAGTCTGCGTATGTATGAGAGCTTCCACCTTGGTTTGTGAACATCGTGACAACAAGCACTGCTTTCAGATGTCTTAACAATCTCAGCTTCGACGAGCGTCCTGGACTCGGCCGTTGACCAATCTGAGACAGCCTGGTGCGTCGTTTACCCCTTTTCGCTTGCCGTATACCCTCATTGGCTGCACCGCGTTTCTGTGCAAAGTTAAGCGAACCGGAGCAGGTGCTTGAGCGACAGAAGCAGTGGATTCCAGCATTTTCGGATTCTGATGAGTGCTACCGTGGATTTGTCTCCTGGCACGCAATCTTCCGAAACAAAACCGGCTGGTTACGAGCGACGTTACCTTGATCCGTCCCGGGGATTGGCTAATAAGCGTTTGTGCCTACGGCTCTGCATTCCAGCGCGATCTCGACATCGGACAGAGAAGAGCAAGAGATCGACTTGGCCGCCGTTACGATCAAGCCATCTTTAGTCTGATAACCAATCGGCCCGGAAAAGCAAATATGATCCTAGCGCCACCCCGCCGCCGGCGGCCCTGGGATTTTAAAGATGCAGCTCCGATCGCCGCCCGGCTGGGTAGCTGGCGGCATCTCTTGCCCCCAGGAAGGATGCCAATTGCCGAGAAGGCCATAGCGGCCGGACTGGCAGATGGGCCGGGACATGACACTTGGCTGGGCGCACACCGATTCGCTGCTTGCCGTGGGAATGGGGCACTTTCGGTTCCTGAATGCCTGAGCTGTCATGAAAAATGTTGAGTTTCGGCCTCGCTATTTACCAATTGCTGTCAGACACAATACTGACACCGGACAACGGAAGTCGGCACTGCTGAAGGCTGGCTAGGGATGCTGCAAAATAACGCAACTCTCGTTGATCTCTTGCGACTTCGCTGTGGCGACTGAGAGTTGTGTCCTGGGATCTGCGAACTCACCCAGCTGGACGGACGTTTTTCACCATGCGGCGGCTGAACGGGACAGTGACCGCTTCATCACTAACCTAGAAACAGCCCAGATGAGCCCGGGACGCAGACAGCAACGGAAGGCTCTACTCCTTCCCAAAATCCGTACGGGACGTGTATGTACGTACACTAGGTAACTTACCCTACACATGTAGGTTTCCCCGGCAGTTTCGCGGCGCAGCAGGCTTCGATTCTTCTTCCGTTACACTGAGAGTCGGGGCAGGCTCTGAACGAATCGCCGGCCTCATGCATGTTAGGTAGGTTGGGCGTCGTTGTTCCCGAATCACAGGTCAATTGTTGAGCAGTGTAATTACCGTACATACACTGCATTCGACGAGTAAAGGAGGAAATCAACAATCGACACAGCCCAATTCTCTCCACCAGACCAGATCTTGCCAACGACAAAAGAGGTTGAGAAAGTCGCAGCTAAGCCAGCATTGCCATTGAAGTTCTGAGTTGCCTGGTTACGTACGAATACAAGCTACATACGTTCTTTAACACTCTTTCTACGCAAACCATGTTCGTCGCAACCACCCGGCCAATCGTGGGCTGGTCCCCCTTTTTCCGCTCGCAAGTTCCCGTTCGCTTGGGGAGGGCTGGACCACTGGACCAGCAGGGGTGCGGAGGACTGTGGTTGACCCCTGGCCCAGTGGCCCTCCTCCCTTGTTGTTCCTCGGTCCTTGGCAGGATTTCGGGACCCCAAAAATCTCTTGTCGTTTGAGCTAAGTTACCCTCGATAGGTGGACCGGCATCCTCCACCGCACCGCACGGTAAATGAAATCGTCCCACAGCAGCTATTAGGCTCAAAGGCAGCGTGCAAATTGCCCTGGAAAAAGTTCTGCAGACTCGCCTGCTTAGACGACACTCGAAGAGACTCGGAAGCCTTTAACTAACTAGCTTCGTACATGAGTAAATTACTTTGATACAGCGGCGGGTCCCCACGGCTACCTACATAGCAGCACAGGCAGAGTCACGTCGTCTCTGCTGTCTTGGAGAGGGGCCAAATTGCCTAGATCCCGGATTCCTGGCTGACTGCTGTGGCGATAATCTCTTCATCCTCCCCTGCCTCTCCCCTTACCCGCACAATGATGCCAGCTTTGGGCTTGACGTGGAGGACGTCCTTGTGATACAAGACCGGGCTCGCGGCTCAGATGCTCAGACGAGGCGGGAAAGGCCTGTATCAGGACCTCGGGTCTGCCATTAACGCGCAGCGCAAACAACAGAGCGTGTTGCCCCCAGCCAGAACAGCATGGTCGGGGGCAGGCAAGTGCTGCTCTCTATCGCAGTGCTCACCAGTCTCGGCTTGGACACGGTTCTCGGAGGTTGGTTGCGACGCCAGATATCAGGAGGTAAACATTCCGTTGCTAACCTGCGGTAGCAGATCGGCTTAGGCGTCAAAATGGAGTTGTTTTTGCTATTCAGAACGCAACGGCGAGCAGCAGTAGTCTCAGCCCGTCAATTCAGACGGCCGTCACGGAGTCCCAACCAGAGCCAACGGCGGAGGTAACAACTACTGCCGAGCTCGTCTCGGAGGACCTGACTGGAAGCATCTCTCGGCTCGAGGGCACTCGGCCAGGTATGGGTCCTGCGGCGGTTAGCTCGGGCCTAGTTCTTCTCACATCGACCGAGAAGGATTACACCTACCCAGGGGTGTTCGGCTCTGGCGGGACATTGACGACCGACTCGAATGCCCCCACCCGGACTGCGGTACCAACGAGAATCTCGGTGACCTCACCCCCTGGCGGGCCACCCCCAGCGGAGACCACACGGACTAGGACACCGCCCACCCGGCCTCCGCCCCGGCCAGAGCCGGCAATACCGATACCCGACGATGGCGAGGACACAGGTAGACAGAGCGAGGAGTCCGCGGCGATGACATCCGCTGCAGCGACACCCACTGCAGCAACACCAACCGGCCCACGGGGCCCCCCGCCAGGGAACCCTCCTCGGCCCGCCACCACCGACATCGTGGGCATCCAAACCGAATCTGTGAATCTAGGTCATACCCCTTCAAATAGGACGACCTTCGCAACCTCTACCCGCTGGTCAAACGAGACGCTGATTCACGGACCCTCGGCCACTGTCAGCTACTGCCAGGCTTCAGACCTGGCGATAACGCCCACAACTTGGTCCGTTGTTTACACCAGCACAATTACCTGGTATGGAAACCCCGACGACTATACGCCGGCATTCCCACCCCTTGAACTACCCAAACCCACGTCATCATGCGTCATTGCACCGTCTCCGCCGAGAATGACTATCTCGGTGTGCACCTCGACGGGGACCGGCTCCAAGTACGTGACATGCGACGTGACGACGACAACGGCAAGTTACGGCTTCGGTATTCAGACCACCACCCCCGTGGCGATTACCTTCCTCACCACGGACAAGAATCCGGCCGTGGTATTCACGTCGCCGTTTAGCACTCCGAATTATGGCGTTTCGCAGGGGGAGGCTACGACGCGAGACCATCACGCCAAGCCCACGCAACCCGGTGCCATCACGCCGCCTCCCTACAGCTCTCTCGATCCCGCTCAAGGCATGTCTAGTCAAGCCCCTGTCACAGTAGCTGTGCAACCGACCGCTGTGGTGATTAATGGGAACACAATACGTGACAGCCCAACAGTCAGGACCCAGGTGGTGGTCATCTCGAGCCAGACCTTCACCATCAACCCATCACAGGTAATCGGCGCTGGCACCACCATCGACCGAGCCGCCGCAACAGCCGGCATCCCGGCCCCAACCCCAACAACCACCAACCTAGCCAACCTGCCCGTCGTCGTATCATCCTCGATAGCCGTCATCGGCGGTTCCACCTTCACCCTTCCCCCAGCCCCGACAACCGTCACCGTCTCAGGCCAGACCTTCACCATCGGGCCTTCCACCATCGCCGTAAACACCCAGACCCTCGCGTTACCCAGCCCACCCGTCCCTACCGAGGTCGTCGTGGCCGGCGGCGAGGTGATCACGGCCATTGGGCCGTCGGTGGTTGTGATCCGGGGCACGACGCTGACGTACCAGGCGACGGCGTCGCCGCCGATGCTGGTGACGGTGGACGACGACGTGCTGACCCTGGGCGGACCGGGAGGCGGCGGCGTGACGGCGCACGACGGCGCGCTGACGCTGGGTGGGCCCGGCGCCTCGCCAGGGGAGACGCAGTACGGTGTTGTGGGTGGCGCGACGCTGACCAAGATTGGCGTGTCTGTTGTTGTCATTGACGGCGTCTCGTACACGCTCGGCGGCGCAACAGCAACAGCAACAGCAACCGGAACTGGAACCGGAACCGGAGCCGGCGGAGGCGGAGGCGGAGGCAGAGGCGTCGTGGTCACGACTGCTATCACTACCGTCGTCGGCGGCGAAACAATCACCATCGCCCCTGACGGCGTCCTGGTTGGCTCCACCATGACCCTGGCCTATCCGTTCGGTCCCACCATGGTCATTACCCCTCCTCCCGGGTCTGGCAATGGCCAAGGCGGTGCTGCGGCGAGTGCCACCGGGGGAGGAGGAGGCGGCGGAGACGGTCTGAGGCTGAATGGCGAGGAAGACGCGGCTGCTGGGCTGAGGCCGCCTGCGAGGGGATGGGTTGTGGGCGGTGTGGCGGTTGTGGTTGCTGTTGGGGTTGGCGCATTGGGGGGTTTCTAACTACCTACCTAGTTGAGAGTGTCCGGTTGGTTTTGGTTTCTGTTCTGTTCCCAAATTGTCTACCCGCAACGCATATCAGCACTGGTTGGAGTATGAGGATGAGGGAGGGTTGTGGATGGTGGCGCTAATGGAGTTTGTTTTTTTTTGCTTGTCTCCCTCTGGATTGTTTTCTAATCTACCTACCTCCTATGTGTGGAAACGAAAAGGGGTCGGATTTCCTTCTTTGCTGCCATGCTTGGGAGATGGACCAGAACAACTCACCCCTTATGCGAATGGATCAGTTGGATAGGACAGGACTAAAGGATGGCACGATGTAGATATCTAGTTGTTGTTTGTTGTCATGTCGTGTATTTTGGTGCGATACCCGGAGATGAGCCGAAGTAAGTAAGGGGGTGTAAGGGGAGGACAGAGTTTTAGTGGTAACGACATTACTTGGATAGCCACGGATGGAGAGAGATTTTGGAAACACACAGGAACGAGAGTTTGGGCTCTGTTGGCGAGCTATATGTGTATTCGAATACTACAAGCAACAATAGACGCGAATTCAGACCATGGTGGTTCTGTTCCAAGAGGATTGGCTTTGTTTCTTGAGGTGACCCGTCTTCTCTCTCCGTCTGTGAATCACATGCCTCAGTGAAGCTGCCAAAAGAAAACCGAATTGCAAACAAACCTGTCGGGCTGCAATTTTGCGGATACATTTGGGTTACGTCCGTCATCCCACCCGGACTTGTCATAAGACGTTTGCTCTCAAAGGCTACCCTTACATACCAACCAAGCAATGTACCCCCCCTCCCCCTTCCCACCACTCCCCATGTCCATTCCCAGGTGCTATGCCCCCAGACTCTGCTTGCTCGTCATATGAAAAGAAAAGGGGACGAACCTCTACTCTGGCCCGGTGCTCATGACACTTACCCGCCTCAAAGCAAATCAGAATCTGATAATAGTAGTAGTAGAAATAGTAGTAAGTACCTAGTTTTGGTACTATGCTGACCGCCGCCAGCCGAGATGGTTTCACACCTTATATTGATGTACCGTACATGATTCTGTACAGTCGTGACACCTCAGGATGCCGTGATCCCCAGTAACGTAGTCAAGAGCTGTAATCCAAGACCATCCTCTCTACTACAGTAAGCTCTCACATAACACCCCAAACAGACCCCCGGCCCACGACCGTCCCGCAAAGTCAAATCCCCAAGGTCAGCAGCAAACTACCGTGACGCCTAGCTGCCATGGTGCTGTACACGGAATAAAGACATACCTCAAGCCAACGGGGACCCAGTCTGGAGAACGGAGCCTCCATGTAAGCAACTTAAATCCGCTCGTGTTGAACGAGAGTTATTATCTCAGCCCAAAGCATCGCAGCCGAAAAGAGGCTTGCATACAAACAATTCCAAACCGAACAAACGCACTCCTGTGCTTAGAAAAAGACAACAAGCAATTACGTCCTCCGCTCTGGGGACAGAGAAGCAAAACGAAAACTAAGCCAAACCACAAATACACTCACTCCCCGTCTATACTTCCTTTCCCTTCCCCTTCCCCTTCCCCTTCCCCTTCCCCTCCAACGGCGGATATTCATCCCCATTCACATCCCAAGAACCCGCCGCAGCAGTCGATCCCTGCCGCGACGTGGCCCTGCGTCTACCCTCCTCCTCTTCCAGGCTCAGCCGCAACGCAAGCGCCAGATCATCGTCAGCGTCCACTCCAAGATCAGGAGTCCCAGCAAAATCTCCCCAGAAGCCGCCAGACACAGGATGAACTGGCGTGCCACTAGCCAAAGTGGGCGACACAGACTCAGGTCTTCTCTTCCCTTTCTTCTTCTTCGCCTCCTTGTTCCTGGTCCTGATCTGGAACTTGTATTCACCCGAGCTATTATTGCCTCTCGGCAATTCTCCGGCGTCATTGACACCCTCCATCAGCGACAGGCGAATAGCCCGCTGGATCTGGGCCTCATAATCATCATCCGCCTCCTCCTCGGCAAGAGGCGGAAGAAGCGCCGATGTGCTCGGACCCGGGGCGCTACTGCCCGAGACGCTGGGCTCGGGGGTGATAGTGTCGACGCTGCCCGTCGATGACGTGGCGTCAGCGGTCGACGTGGTGTCGCTAGCGCTCAGACGGCGCTGTTCGTCCAGGAGAAAAGACTCTTCGGATATCATCTGCGCATACTGAATCGCTTCCTCCTCGGTAAGCTCCCCTAGCCCAACGCCAAATCGCTTGCGCAGCCGATCCAGCTCGCGGGAGCGGCGATCCTGCTCATGGCGGAGCTCGGCTTCTTCGGCGGCGATGTAGCTCGACACGGTGCCGCCGTGCCTCCGGCTGGCCAGGCGGCCGTGGATGTCCGAATGACGGAGGCGACGCTTGCGGCCCGGGGCCTGGTTTGTTGAACTGTACGACCAGAAACGGATGAACGTGCCGAAGGCGAGAATACCGCGGAGAGTTGCCGGGTCAGGGTCCAAAGAGATAGCCCGAACGGCAAAGTAGTTTGCATGTTGCAGGGCCGGATTGGTGTTCAGGATGTGCCGCGGGATCCGACCTGAAGATTTGGCGTTGAGGGTCCGGATGGGCTCTAAAGATGATGCTAGAGGATCCCAAGCTTGAACAAGACTGTCGCTGCCACCGTGGACAAGATAGAGCGCGGACACCGCCAGACTGGTGATCTCCGGTGACTCGGTCTGGATGATCCTCAGGGGGTTCACCGCAGGCGATGCTGTGTCACGCATGTTCCACACCACGATCGAGCCTGTGTTGGTGCCAATGGCCAGGAATTTCGCGCGGCGACCAGGAATTTCGCCTGTGGCGTTTTGGGATGTAGGAGTGCTAGGCGGGTTGGCCGATTTTACCTGCGATCCGGAGTGCAGAGGATCCTCGAAGGCTGCCATCACCGCAAAATTCGACATATCCACGGCACTTGCGGTAATTTCAGTGTTGCCGTTGTGCTTGAACACGTACTCGCTGCACCGCCATTCTTCCGTATCCGCGCTCATTGACATGGATCCGGGTCGGGGAGTGCTCAGTCCGGAGAATGGCGATGTGGAACCCAGTGCATTAAGCCCGGCTTGGGCGGTCGCTTCGGGTGCATCCGCCTCTACCGTTCCTCCAAAGATTGATCTGCCACTGACCGTGGGCTGGGCCACCGGAGTTAAAGCCCCTGACGTGCTGGTTACAATGCCCCCTTTGACGAATCTGTGGACAGCAGCCGGGTCACCGTCCGCATGCCCGCAAGTGATGACGAAAACGGCCTCCCCAGTGCCATTCTCGTCACCGGCTGCAAAGTCAACCTCAAGTTTGCGAAGCATGTCCCAGCCTTGGCACGCCTTTCGGAAGTGAGCAGGTGTGTAACGAAAGAATTTCTCAATCTCCCTGGCCTCGGCAACGATCTGCTCCCTGCTCAGGTTCATGGAATTCGCGGGAGACCTGGGAGAATACGCCCCGCGGACCGCATTCTTGTCAAACTCGTCAGGCTGAGCCGTGCGCCGTGTCGATTCGATCAATTCCCAGTATGCGGTTCGGCCGGCAAGCCATGCATCCTTGACCGCGTTCTCCGCCTTGCCTTTCACAGAGGGGGGAGACGGGACCTCGGTCAGGTAATAGACCTCGCCCAAGGCGTTCAATGCGACGGCCCAGACTCGTCCTAGCGTCCTTCGTCGCTGGCAATACTGGTCATCCACCTTGATGTCGATGATTGGCACGCCAGGGCTGAGGACCCAACGAGCAGTCATGTCCCCGTCGGCATATCGAGGACCAGTGGATTCATGGCCTAGTGCGTAGCTCGTTACGACGCCCAACGTCGACCCGGCCATAATCCCAACCATGGAATTGGTGGCATTCGTCACGTTGGACGACTTGGCAATCCATATGGAGCTGATGGCGTCCGACAACTCGGGGATCTTGGGTATCTCCGATGTCGTGTCAACAAAGGCAGCGTCGTGGCCGAGGTAACGCCCGCGCAGTTGTCCAGTCGCCTTGAAATACACACGGCCGCCGGGGAAACCTTCGCCGCTAGCCAAACCATACGGCTGGCTCACGTCCATGACATTGGGAACGGCTGCCGGGCCATCGCCGAGACCCCAGAATTCAAGGTTCGGGAACACCTCGTCGAGCTGCTGAAGGGAGAAAGGGTCGTCCAAACCCCACTTCTCGATTTTCCCAGTAGTAGGGTCACTAACAGTCCCCACGCCGAGGTCGGCAGTGCCGTGGATGACCCTCGGGCCCTTCTTGCCACCAGTGAAATCCGCATGTAAGTTGCTGATCATCCATGGAAGCTTCGAGTTATAGGTCAGAACAGCGCTGGCTTTTTTGCCGGATTGGCTGGACCGTGCGGACGAGCCAATGCTACCCGGCTTTCCGCGCGCCACACTGCGCAGCAAACGGGTCCGAAGAAGATATTCGCTGCGCCAGGACGCCAGAGCCGTCAGCCGCGTGAAGTAACGGACCTCGGACCGTATGACATCCGCATTCTCGGTGTCAGTGCCTTGCTGATTTGCCTTCTTCAAGGCGGCCAAAGCGTCCTGCCCCGCAAAGTAACGCAGGAAAGCGGCCCGCCACGCATACGGCGTCGTGACGAGGGCGTAGAAGCGCTTCGAGACCAATGCCACAGCACCGTGGGAATCCGGGTGCAGGTGGGACAGGATTTGCGTCAGAATCTCTGCAGAATATCAAAGTCAACTTTTGCTGCTGCAGCATTGATGGCAGCCATCGGCACGGGACGAACCGTTCGGGAAGTCGGTCAATTGGACCCCGCCAGAGTGCGAGCCATTGGTGACCTTGAAGCCCAAAACAGGGCGCGAATTCTGGCGGGGCGACGAGTAAATGGCCGCATTCTCGTATTCTGAGATGCGCTGACCGGCGGCAATGAGTCGGCTGCTCGCAGCACGCTTGGCCTCGACGACATTCTGACTCAGCCGACCAAGCTGCTGGTCGAGCTCGTCGACGTCAAGCTGGCCGGGAGAGCGCTGCTCATCCGGAGACGTGCTTCGGGCACGCACCGGGGAGCGAGCGTTTGACGGGGCTGTCCGAGAGTGAGAGGGGCCATGTTGAGCGATGGTTGGCTGGGAAAAGGAGGTGTTGCTGGTCTGGGATTCGTGGTTTGGAGTCTCAATCAGCCCTGATTGCATAAAGTTTCCTACAAAGACCCGGATCGAGACGTGTTCGGCTGTGCAGATCGGTTTGCACAGTCGATGTTGATTAAAGGTGGAGAGATATCGGAGAAGGCGCGTAGACTCGCTCTACAGTTCGGTGTGCTGCTGGTACTGCTGTCGTCTGAGTTCAGTTGCAAAGGTGAAGCTCGAGTGACGTGTTCGGGATGCAGGAATTTTCGCGTCGTGTGTTACCGGAACGGGCTGCGCCAAGAGAGCTTCCCCCTTCCCTAGAAGTTCCGCAGGCAGCAGGACGCAGGTGCGATGCGTTATAAAATACACGACGTTACGGTAAGTTATCCGACTTCGTAGCCTACGGAGTAAGGAGAAGGTATCGCCATACCGTATTGTATGTGCAATACCGTAATTGACCGCCGACCTATGTAAGACGTTACAATTTTCCTATCAAACTCGGGCAACAGCCGTTCCCCCTTTTTGACGATTCAACTTGCAAAGTGCTCAGTCGCCTGGGTGGACTTTTCCAACGTATAGGTACTTCTGGTCTGGACATTAGGTGGGGTTCCTGGGCAAAATCGCATCCCAACACCAGCCTTCTGCACCACGTGGCAGTCGTGAGGGAAACCAAATACGCAGGTTCGGTGACGGGCAGCGGCTTTGGAATCTGGACGGAGGCAGCAACGGCAAGCGACTGCGGTGCCCCGAATGCCGACATCCCACTAGCAGTTGCATAGAGTGTGGTGTGCAAGATTTCATGATGGTGGTGCCATGCCCGGAAAGGTGAAACTCTCAAGTGCCGCGCGGTTTCCCTGTCTTGACTCTTGATTCTTGAACCCTCAAAACGACATGCATCTCCGTTCGAGGTCTCAATCAAATATCGGCAACCATGTCAGTTTCCCATGTCAGTCTTGTTGCCTAGAATCTGTCATCTATGCGTCATCAAACAAAAGAATCAATAATAAGGGTTATAAAACAATGATCCTCACAGGGAACAACAGCGATAGCTCCCCCCGAGCTCCCCTGAGATGCAAATGCGGATGATGAGCCGGGCAAAAGTGGGTTCGGCATCCGTGTCGTGCCCGCGCTATCTCCGGCCGGGCTTGATTACCAAAACGACTTGTTATTTGTACAGTATCCGTACCGTTGAACCAACAGCCATCCGGGCACTGAATCCCGGCTTCTGCTTATCAAATGTAGACTTCTCATCGTCAGTCGACGTATTCGAGATAGGAGTTGACGAGTTGGGAACATGTTTCGGCTACTAAGTATCCTTTGTTAAACAGTTGGGCAATTGAACCTATCACTGTACCTATGCATGTCGGCTACGGTATCACGTATTTGCAGCACTTGTAGCCGCTGGTGGCCCGAACCGAACCCCAGAAAAGGGGTCTCTCCGAATCAGGCCATTTCGGTCTGGCGCGACCCCCACTGCTCCGGCGAAGAACGGGATTCGGAGCATCTATATACTTCGTATACTAGACATAGCGTTGAACCGAACAAGGGTTCACTGGTAGACAAGTGTAAAATGCTGGTCTACTAGAGTTGCCCTATGGTATTGCACAATATACGTTTTTATCTATTGTGCCTACCTATAGGCGACGCCGTGGGTTCACAGCTGTTCGTCGCGGCATACCACCTGCTCAATTCGGGCGGCCAGGCTGGGTGGAGAGGGGTAATGCGGTTCACCAAACCCTAAGACAAGAACTGCCTCCGACTGGTGCGCTGTTCTCCTCCCACCGCGAAGGGACGTAAAACATGGCATTCGCCATGCGGGGGCGGCAGGATATGCACGGGGCAGCCGATGTGTCTTAACAGCATTCAAAAGAGCAGAGGGTTCGTCAAGATGTTGTAGGTATGCACAGGGGCCGGGGAAGCAGGAACCGGTGCATTGCAGCCTTCTCCAGTTGGTGTGTCTTTTCGCAACTGGGCCCCGTGAGGCATGAGCATGCCTAGCGCCCGAATCGCCGCCGAGAACAAGACAAGCTCGTGGTTAGATGACGCGCTTCTTCAAGCTGGCGACCCACCGACGATGCTACACCCTCGGCTGTGAGCCAGATGTATGCATCGTTCGCGGTGTTTGGCAAGCTATGTACGGAGTAGACCTGCTAAGTTAACCCGGGCTGGTTGTTCGATGTTGCCGGCAACCTGGTATCTTGCCCCACACACGCAACAGTAAACAATGCGGCGAACACTGCTGTCTAGGAGAGACCTGTTCATGCTGGGCGTAGTGTTCCTAACTCCGTGCGTCGAGAGGTGAAGCATCGCTGCAGCCTGTCGCGGACCTGGAGCTGGGGCGGGGGACCGGTGATAGCATCCGGTGACCCTGCTACAGTAGCGTACCTAGCAGTGGCCGAAGTGATTGCGGCATGCAGCTTGGCTTCAGCTGAGGGCCGAATGACGCGAGGTCAACCAAGAATGTCCTTCAACAACATGGCAGCGGTGACATAGAAAGAATTCCAATCAAGCCAGCTGAACCTTTGATGCCGACGAGATCGCCAACCGTTCATTCTCATGTTGGCGGCGGTTTGGTTACAGCAATGCATTCCGTCCCGTCGATGAGCACGCCAGATATCCGTACAGGGTCGGGAATCTGCTAGCCAGAACGAAGCGGTGAAGGGGATTGAGAACCCCCCTGAAAAACAGCGCTGGACCCGACAGTTTGGGACGGAGAGAACAAGACGGCTGCTATTGGAGGGATTGCAGAATTTTCAAAGCAAACTGTCCGTAACCAGCCAAGCCAACAGGAATAATAATTTGCTGCAAATTCCTCGCCGGATCAGCCGAGTGAGAGAGTGGATGGTTTATTAACGTTAGTTGTGGCTGACGCGAGACTTGTGTCTCCCAGCCTCCTAGGCATCAAGTGCAGTGCAACTGCCTTGGCAAAGAGCATGGAGGTTACCAGCCAGGCCTATGGCAATCCAATGTTTGTAGTTAAGTTTGGCCAGGGGCCTCGACGTGCTGAGGCTTATCAATGGCGCCTCTTCTATCACGACTCCGTGGCATTGGGAGACCGGCCGTTCCTGAGACAGATTGATTAGGTTGAGGATTCTTTATCTGTCGAATGAACCTAACCTGCTGTCTGTAGGCACCGTACCCGATGGGCTCCCGTGCATTAGTATATGCCTAGTAGTGCTTCGGCGGCAAGAGAGTGCTATGATGTTAGTCGCATGAAATCAAGGCGGGGAATGCGAAGACGGCCAAGTTTTTCAGTCTCTGTTGCGCTGCAAACAGCTTCCGTTTTCGCACACGAAGAACAGGTATCACGAAATCCACACGTAAGTCGACATACGCAGCACTGCGTAGCAGTGGACATCCTGGAATGGACACAGTTGGCGCCTAGGACCCAACCTGTCGGGGTCCTCTTCTAGCCCGTTAGTGCTGCTGTGGCATGCTGGTATATTAATGCAGGCGCAAGTCGATGCAATGGCACGTTTCCCTGATGGTGGGGCGGCGGTTGCAGCTAATAAGTTGCAGCAGTTGACGTGTCAGACCGGCTGGCAGCTTTTTGAAAAGCGGGGTGTTAATTCGCGCATGGAGAGGTAGGAGGAGAGCGGAGGAGATGGACCAGATTGGTCCCAAGCTTTATCCGGCAATTCGGGACTCTGAACTCCTAGGGCCAATCATACTTCGAGGTGTCGGCGCACATCTCATCCGAGCATGAGAAGAGATGGCAAGTTGTGCCGCGCACAGGGGTTGCGGTGGTGTTGTCGGCTGGCCAGCATCACAAGATTTGCTGATGAGGCCGAGCAACCCGGCTGCGCGGATGCTCTGATTACTGTTTGGGGGTTGCAGGACTCGACGCAGGTGAATGGTTTTGTGAGTGATTGAAATTGCGGTTGCCTTTCGGCCTGTTTATGTGCTGACCATGGCGAAGTAAGGTACTTACCGTATACGTACGCAGATCTGACACCGTGCTCCGTGATTCCGAAACTGAAAGTTCTCAGACAGCCTCCGTCCCGAGCAACTGCTGTGGCCGGAGGCTTTCGCCGGGCCGGGGCCGAAGAAACGTGGGAAGCAAACCGCCGTGGACTCGTCCGTTTGGCATCGATGGCTCACTGCACGATCCTGTGCAACCGCCCGTGTTGGTTGGAAGACGTGTGGGGCGCGGCCCCTGCTACTGGAACAGTGCCGGCGGTCATGAATGGTCTGATAGGAAGGATAGACCCACTTGAAATATCTAGCAGTCGGGCGATTGTCCTATTTCGACGAGGCTCGGAGACTGGCCCCGCAGCTCCAAGGGAGAGGCAAGCGAGGCGACTGGTTCATTTCCGTCCTGCCGCTCTTGAACGGTGGGGTCACCGGCTTTCTTCCCAGGCCCCTGGAAATGGGACTTTTTGAGGAAACGCATCCACCGTTTTTGTTGAAGGGGATAGGGCCGTGCAAAGATGTCGCCACGATAAAACTTATTCCTCGCTCATTGAAGAAGAACAGGATGGAGGTCGACTTACGATTGCACTTATCTGCACAGACATAGAGCATACGAATTTCCATATGGGTATTCGTACTAAACCAACTCAATAAGGTCTCGACGACTGGTATCTCCAGTAGTGTAACGTAATGCACGAAAGGTACCTAAGTTCCTCGTGCGTTGGTGAAGCTCCATATCATACACTGTGCGCCCCGTTTCAATTCTGCGGTGGACACATCGGGCTCCGTTCCTCCACCCAGTGTTCCCGTCGTTCCCACTGCACCGGGACCAGCCAGTGGCAAAACCTGACAGACGGGTTTTCCTCGCCCGCTGTTCGGCTTCTCAGCAAATCTTAGCGTCTCGTTCAATCATAGATTGTTTTGGCCATAATAAATCAGGCACCGAGCAGTTAACAGCGCTACGCATTGATAAGCGATGGCCACCTGCTGGATTTCTCCCCGTAGCGTTCCCTTATTAAAAGCTGGTTGACCGGCGTTGCTTCCCCCCAGTTCCGCAATTGGCGGGACCATGCCCTTCCTGTCGACGCTACCGCTAGCGTGCTGCATCCTGCCTCGTTTCCATATGGTGTTGCTTGAGCGAGAAAATCCTTGCTAGCCTCTTCCTGTCTTCTCCGCCCTCTTCTTGTTCCCTATTTCCGCCCCATCATCGTCCCTCCACCCATCCTCTCTCCTTTCGCTAGAAGGCAGTGATCGGCCCCATCACCTACACCAATCGACCACAAGGTAATCGAGGGCGGCACACATCGACAAAGAGCATCGGGACAGCTCTGGTTGATATAGGCTCGATGGTTATATATTGGCATCTGGGAATCACCACAACCACAACTCAGCCGTATGCCCAAATCCCGCTGTTCAGCGCATGCAGCTAGCTTCTCTTGATTCAATTGCCGCTCTGGACCTCCGCAAACCCCACTATTCCAAGGTTTTAACATCAAGCCTTCCCGAAGAGGTCTTTTGGTCGACAGGTTTTTCACTTGGGCCGACTCCGATTCATTGCGACGTTTGCGCATATCAAACCATCTGCAAGAATAGATCCTCGATGCTCTACTGAAGGACAAAACGTCACAGCACGCACGCCAAGATGAGTTCGCCAGCGCAGGGGGGGCCTTCAGTGCCCAAGGAGAAGGAAAAGACGGGGATTGGGAAGGTCTTGTCGAGGATGAAGACGGTATTGAAGAAGGCCGATCCCTCTCGCCGGATGTCAAGGGCCGGCCCGTCTAGCGTTGCCGTGACGCCAGCTATTGCCACGAGGTAAAGGCTGTCTCCCTACTCTGACTTGGATACGACGCATCGGCACGCTTCCAGAATATCAACCAGGCTTGTCATCTAACCTATTTTACAGTGAACCCGAGCCACCTGCAGAACCCAAAGCGCCCGCAACAGCCGCCGTGGAAGCTACCAAAGTGCCAAGGTCTCAGATTTTTGCAGAGCGAGCGAAGAAGCTTGGCGAAGTCTATGGCTTGGAGCTCAAGCCCAGCGAGTGGCACTCAACGGAAGGCCACGCCCTGCGCGTTGAGAAACCTATCAAGATGCGTGTACACAAGATGTGCCATCTGTGCAACACCTCATTCGGCCTTGCGAGGGAATGCCCAAAATGCCAGCACGTACGCTGCAAGCAGTGCCCGCGGGTGCCTCCGAAACGCACCGAGGCCGAGAGGGAGGAGAGCCGTAAGAAGCGAGCGGCCATCATCAAGGAACGGGCGGAGAAGGCACCAATTATCCCCGACTGGGACCCAACCCCGAAGAAGGTCGTCTTGAAGAGGCCGGCAAAGACCGGGGGCCAGGAATTAATCCACAGGAAGCCGCGGCAGCGAATAAGGCGAACGTGTTGTGAATGCCAAAAACTCTTCGTCGGTGGAAACAAGACTTGCGAAGGCTGCCAGCACACCCGCTGTACGGACTGTCCTCGGGATCCGTAAGTTACCCAAAGCCGCCCCTTTCGGTCGGCATCAAACTAATGCATATGTAGGGCCAAGAAAGACAAGTACCCATATGGCTATCCAGGGGATGCCCTAGGAACGAGGGTCGGCCACTATACATGCTCGGAATGCAAACACAATTTCTCCTCGCCGCCGTCCGACGAAACAGCTTGCCCCAACTGCGCTCACCCGAAATGCGAGCGGCTAACTCCAAGGAAGGTGGATCCAGAACCCGACCCTGAGGTGCTAAAGAGCATCCAGGTGAGGCTTGAGAGTATGAAACTCAAGTGACATTGGCTACGCACACACGCATCTGTCATGGTTTTTTTGACTCGCATTCGCCCATGAAATTTGGGCTGGGCGCCGGTTCGTCGGTCTGAAAGAAAAGTAAAATGAAGAATCGGGATGTTCGTTGGAGCTTTTACTTTCGGCTTGGATATCTATTGTTTCCCTGGATGCCTTCATTCATTTTGTCTCATCAAGCATGAGCGTCATTACCCACGAGCATTTTTTCCGTTCAGCATTCACCGAGCGAGGCCGCCGCGGTTGACTGCATGTTACCAAATCTAACGTCTCTTCCCTATCATGGGAGTATCATGAACGACATATGGAAGTCATTTCCCCTCTCACCCTCCAGCATCGGGACCTAATTCCAAGCCAAAACACGCGACCACGACATTGCATCTAGACAGCGATGCTTGCATCTGCCCATTCGTCTCTGGTTGAACGAGGAGAAGTTTTGCCACTCTCAGCTCAAGGCGGTGGGAGTGATGGCTTGAAATAGACGGGAATGCGCGCCGGGACGCGGGATAATCTTGAGCGGACGCAATCAAATCAATACCAAGCATTGCCCCCAAGCCCGAGACTATTGTTCATTTCAAACCTTGGACTGGGTTCGCTCAATGAATGGCAACTTAGAGAGAAATGAAAGGCGTGAAGAATCGGGGAGGAACGGTTTCGAGGACTTTGGCATTTACCGCACTTGCAGCTCATACGCATACATACTCTACGAAATAAATCCTCATCCCACCGGCTCCCTTACTCAAACTCTAGCCAATGTGTCAAACCGTGTTTGACTTTTCTCACGAGCGCCCAGCTCTGTCTAGGAGTTCGCTTCTTTGTTTAATAATGCGATTAACACCAGGCAAGTCCTTCTTCTCCAATCAAACCGAATCCCGAGGGCCACAAATCAACGAGCCGCGTCCCATTCCCTTGGGTCTGAGAGTTCTTTGATCACGGCACTTGACGGTTACCCGAGTGTGGGAGTACAAGGGGCAGAAAAAATAGGGCCCAAAGAAGGCTGCCGTTTTAGATTCTGTCCCTACCCATTGGTAGACGAGTAAGGGATTGAAGTTTGCTTGCGTTCCACAGGATCGGCCCTTTATTATGTATAGGGCGGCGGTCAGGCTCAACCATAGGTAGGTAGCGATTCGTCCTGCCCCTCGCTTTCCGGGCTGGCGGGATTGTTGAGACATGAAAGGGCTTGCTTGGGGGCCGTGGGACTGCCACCACTCACCAGTTGACAGCGTTGGGCAAAAGGACTGGGCACTGTGTACGGTATTTAACGGGAGTGAAGACAAAGTGAGGCAGACTCGTACGGGAGGCGCTTGTCAGTTGGACGCCACTGACACAATCAGATTCCTAGTGTAGACTTAAACCAGGAGGAGCCCAGGCAAGTCCCTGAGGTAGGGGTTTGATCCCATGGATGCCAACCGGGCCAACGTTGATATGCTCCGTTTAGGCTTTGAAGCTGCCATTGACAGGACTGATGCAAAAACTCCAGTTTTCAGCTTGCGCGGGTCCTCCTCGGGCCGTCCCAGTCGCGTCGCGTCGCGTCGTCTTACCTACCGGGCTGTGATTAGGGCTTACTGTCGGTACCGCTCTGTCGGGAATCCGATCGAAGTCGCTTGAAATGTATGGAGCAACTGCCTTACGTACGGATATTCGTACTACACTACTCCGTACCTTATGTATCCTACGTACACAGTTCGTTCGTTTTGTGGCTTCAAGTTTTCTTTCGGGATTTCAAGAGACGAACGAAAGAGTAAGAAGTTGACACTGTCAAAAAAGGGCTCCGCTCAGGGCACCTGCCGGTTTGGCAAAAGTGAATGTCTCAGATTCCTCAATGCAATTCAAGTTTTTTGGTGATTATGTATTGAATCAGTTACCGACAGCTCGGTAACGAACCTGAAGCCCGTGTGACACGCTGAGATGCACTGGGCCACACCCGACACCACCCACCACCCGCCTGAGCAAACCACCAACTGGCGGGCAGATTCCTGAATGCTTTTCATGCCTTGCATATTTTGTTTAAGTTACCGATGCAATCGGGCCTTTCCCCTATAGCAAGTCGCAAGCCGTTCCCAACTCATGCTCGCTTGGGTGGCACAGAAAAACGGTGGGTTGCTCCAAAACGAAGGCTGTCGTGTGTGTGTGTGGTGTGTTGCCGCTGTGAAATTGAGAAAATCATGGATCCCCTGAGGCACAGATCTTGTTTGTGAGCGACCTGCTGCAGTGGAACTTCCTGTTTGGCTCCTTCTCTCAGCACGTATGTACATACAGCTAAGGGTGAACCCTGAATGGTGTATGGCATCCAGTTTTCGAAGGTCAACGTTACCTTTTCACTTAGCAGGCACCTGCTTATTTTGGGCGGTCTCATCGAAAACTAGGCACTGCCCCTTTTCTTGTTCGGAGATGTCGGGTTTTCATATCTGGCTGCTCATATTCTTTAGCTTGATCGAAAACAAGGTACACGTGTTGTACACATAAATGTAAGGTATCTTAGTGTGGGCACTCACTCCTGTTTTAAATGGATGTTGTGAATGGACATGTATAAGGCTGAAAAGTCTAGAAGGGCAGACGAACAGGTGAAAGGGCTGAAAGAAAGGCCTAGGTATGTACATTGTCTTGTCAGTCTATTTTGAACCTGGGTATTTTTGTCCCCTTTTCTTTCCTCATGTGTTCTCTTTCACTTCGACTTGAATATGGTGGCAGGTGGTTGAGGATGAGAAATGGATGAATATGGTTTGGAAGCAGACGTGTTCTGGAAATCAACACCATTATTTAGACCGAGCATATCTCCGTGATTTTGCCTGTCACATACCATGACAGAATGTATGCAGCGTTTACAGGAACCTACTATGTACTGGCAAAAGGCGAATGGTATGTGGTTGCCATCGCGATGGATCTTCACGAAAACCGTGCCGTACCTGCTGAATTCCCGGGTGACAGCGGCCTCAATCGCACGATCCTCTTTGTACTCGGGAAGGGCTATCAAGTTCAATTGCCAGACGCGCTTTTGGGACTATGGGTCGAAGGGCATGCGACCTACTTCGCAACGAAGACACAAGCAGTGGCAGGGTAGATGCCTTGGACATCGACACTACCGATCATGCCGGAGCGTCCAGCCTTTGCAGTTGAGCCGGATGCACGATTATCAGGACTTGCGACCATGAGGGTACCGGTGTTTGGGAGCAAACCATGACAGGGTGTATGAAGATGAGCTATTCACACTTTCAGACATGAAAGCCAGTTCTCTCTAAGCTGGCGGCTCACCGTTTGTTTGCTTCTCGTTGAACTCGACAGCTGGGACTTGGCTTCCTGGGCATACGCGTGACCAACATGCCCGGCCCGGAGACTCTGGGTGAAGCAGGCACTTGAGTACCGCTAGGTGCGGGTGTCCTTTAGGCGGCTTCCCGCTCCTTCCCCCAGCGCTGAAACCAGTTCACCGATCGCAAGCTAGGGTGTCCCTCCGTACTTCAACCAAGGCCCCTTCAACCCAATGCAGCCCATGAACCAGTTCACGGACCCCAACAACACAACTGTCTCCGTTGATGGCCTCTCTGGCTATGTCACCGAGCACGAGTTCCACTCGTTCTTCCAAGGTTTCGGAGAGATCACATACGTCAGACCCTCTCCCGGAAAGGGATGCGGATTTGTCCAGTTCGACCATCACCATGTCGCGGAGATGGCAACCAACCAGATGCAAGGGTACCCGATCGGCAACTTTCATGTCTGACTGTCTTGGGGACGCTCCCAAAACAACTCGGGTGTCGGAACCCCATACCGACCGGTACTCCCCCCCGCGCATTACATTGCAGGCATGCGTCCTCGTTCTTGGAACATGGATGGTGCTTTGAGAAATGGCTGGGCCATTCTGTGCATCCGGGGGGCGGAAAAAGGTCAGGATCAGCTTGGTGAGTCTGGGTGCCATTGACGTAGAGAGTCAAGAGCCGGAACTGGGGAGGTGAGATCCTCGTCAAGGTCGGTGTCCAGACGAAGGAGAATTCTAATGATAAGTAACATGGCATTCCGACCCAGGACGACCCGGGGACATCGGGGGTGGGGTGACTCTCTGAGGATTATGGGTTTGAGATAGGTATTGTCAAAGTTCAGAAACGTGATATGTCCGTGTTGATGCTATTGATGTAGCAAAAGGAAGGCAATGACCGGCTTCGAACACGGTCGTTGAGGAGATGGGTGGGTGCTCTGTGACTGTGACTGTGTGACGAACCTCTAACCGCTCGGTCATTTCACTTCAACTTCACTCTACCCAGGGGGGGGTGAAAGTAGGAGGGGGGACTTGACTTATAAACCACGGGCAGGTTTCACCGCTCCTGCCCCATGACATCCATTTCCTTTGAACTACTTTACATATTCCCAGCACTGAGTACAGCCCGTCCCTAACGCCCCGTAAATGAGCAAACCAACCACCTCCATTTCACAACCTAGTTTTCCACCATCCCCGGCGGCGGCACAAACTGCACCGACACCACCTGGCCGAGGCTAGCGGCCCTGCCAGGCCGGCGTCCCACAAACTGGCCCGCGCCGCTGTGGTTCCGATTGTTCAAATAAGCAGGTGGCTCCTCCAGCTGATTCCTCTGCACCCACCCCTGGTACCTACCCGGTTCGATGATGTTCATCAGCTTCTCGGAGACGTAGAAGCGCCCCAGCACGTCCTGCTCGCCGCGTACATGCGGCTGTCCCGGCGCGTACTGAACCCACCACCAGGCCATCGTCTTGTCCCTTTGCAGAGCGTTGCGCGTCGCAACCTCCTCGACAAAGGCCGGGCCGAGCGCCTCGGGCGTAACGACGTTCTCGGGCAGGCTCTGTGTTCCCGAGCGGACCATGTAGAATATATTACCTCTGAACTGCAGGGTTGGTGGCTCGAGAGGTGCACCGGGCTGAGACAAGCGGGTGAGGACGACGATCTCGTGGATCAGCATCACGAGCGTGGCGCCCTGGGGCACGGGCGGGAACGGGCTAGCTGTTGGGGTTGTCGGCGTGACGCGGATGGGGTCGCCGACGCAAATCATCTCGGCACCGAGGTAGACGCCGTTGTAACGCTCGTGGCGGACAGTACCGTCGACAGAACTCTCATCGTGGACGTGGACCAAGTTGAAGGTTGAGAAGCAGTCATTAACGGCTCGTGCGCCCATCTTGGAAGCCTCGAGACCGACATTCGGCAGCGTGTAGGGAGGATCGGGCGCCTGCGCGGCGCGCAGCACCAGACTCTGCCAATCGACCGTGTCAAAGGTCTTGTCCTTTAAGTCAGCATCCATCTGGGGGTGAGTGGGAGGCACGCTGAAGGTCAGGAAGGGACGCAGGTCCTGGGATTCCTTGGTGTGGGTCCCTTGAGGCAGCAACGCATGTCCCAACGGCGCGAGGGTGAAATTGTAGTTGGCGTCGGATGATGGCCCAGATGTTACGGGTGCGCCAAACTTGGGCGCGATAGAGACGATCACCCCGAGGCGCCAAAGCGAGTGTTTGTACCAAACCAATTCGCCGATGCGGAAGACGTTGGTCAGACCTGTTATCCCTGGAGGGAGGGACACCGGCTGCTGTGGCTGCTGCTGAGGCGGAGCTGGCTGTTGAGCTGGAGCTGGCTGTTGACCAGACGCTGGCTGTCGAGCCGGGCCTGGCTGTTGACCAGACGCTGGCTGTTGACCAGACGCTGGCTGTTGACCAGACGCTGGCTGTTGACCAGACGCTGGCTGTTGACCAGACGCTGGCTGTTGACCAGACGTCGGCTGTCGAACAAGAACCCCCCTCGGCTGCCTAGCCTTCGCCTCGATATACTTGGGACATATGTCGCAGGGGCATTGATTGTAGTCGGTAGAATCGCTAACCAGCCACAAAGCATGCAGCGCGAACTCGCCAGGAGTGCGATAGTAGGACTTGGGGCCTGCCGGATGCCCGTACAGAAAGTAGTCTCTGCCCTTGTTTTTGTCTCTTATGGAACAGCGCAGCTCGTAGCCTTTGGGGAATTCGGCGAGCTTGTATTGCTTCTCTGGATGGCGGGTCAGCGGCCACAAAGAGTGAGAATCGGGACAGGATACACATACTGTCATCCTTGGGACCGAGCTGCATCTGAAGATGGCCGGCGATGATGACAAGCCACCGCTCGAGTTGGGCCATGTCCTGCACCACATTCGGATCCAAGGCATTGTGGTCCAACCGAGGGTATCCTTGTCCATCGCTCCGGCCTATGTAGATAGGCCAGTAATCCGAGCTCCCATCCACTTGCACACCCGCACTCGCCATGGCTCCTGGGCGAGGTGTCGTCCTGCAGGCAGAGATGTGGCCCGAGCGTTGTTGGAAGGACAAGAGAGTCGGATGAAGGATCGAAGCACGTGAATATCACGTGATTTTATGAAATATTTTGGCATTCTGTGGGTGGACCCGCTTTTACCCTGTCTATTTCTCCAATCACAATTTGGGAACCTGACCAAAAGAAAGAAACACGCTTTTTGTTCCCAAGAGGAGGGAGTAACATCAAAGACACCTTTAGTCCATACACTCATGCTGCACTGCCAGCTTTCTCATGCATGAGCCTCTGTTCCTCCCACCTATTTGCAGACTCCGACCGCTTTTTCAACCCCTAGCCTAAGCGAACCTACAAGTGCCATTGTTGAGAACAGTGCTCACAACCTCAAGACCCAAACCTCGGAATCTCGCAGATGGATTTACAAAAGGATCGACATGATAAGGCTGACTATCAATTGACATGGAAAGTCCGGATCGTTGATCTCGAGAATCTCAGACGTACGTACGTACGTGTGGAATTAACGGATGATCGACATGTCAACCATCGACAACCGGTTGATCAATGGCGAAACTCAGCGACGCAGACTCAACAGACTTCTGTGTATTGGCCGCAAGAATGCTCAGGTTTGACTCTCGCCATTCCTCAACTCCTCAAACTTCATGCCGCAGGAGCGCCAGGGTGGTCTCTTCCCGACAGCCAGCGATCTTCTTTTACAGCCTCGTCTAGCCGGTCTCAATATCTAGATTCATGCGGAACGGCTGCAAAAACACCGGCAGACCAAGAACATGCCGCCAAGAGAAAGATGGGAAATGGGAGAGGATGACTTCAAATTAGCCGTGCAAACAGCGGATGATGTTTCTCAGTCAATGACGGGTGATAGAGGGACTGTGTTTGGTGATGGCTTATTCCAGGGGATCTTATAGCGCACCACAGGGCTTGATGAAGGTGAGGTTAGACAGATCTTTGATATCGATGTTGCTCAGGACTTGTGAGGTGATATCCCAATACAGTCAAGCTCACTGGCAAAGAACCAAAGGCAAGCAAGGGTAACGGGATGCTACCCTATTGCTCGGGAGGCTCAACCAAGCAGAATTGCACCGAGCACACCTACACCGTCGTGTGATATTGGGAGTCGTTGGGAACGCAACCCTTTTTTGGCGTTGAAAACTCTGATGAGATGAGCATGTCCCAACGGCCAATTGACAATCGCTGAACCAGGCGCCAAGCAGAATGTGTGTGAGGCCTGGAGCGTGCGGCAGCGGGCAGTTGCTCATTTCGTCGGTTTTAGTGCCTCAATCTCAACTGCACTTCTCATTGGCCCACGCTTTCTGTTCCTGGCAGATCACCCCTGTCAGCGCACATCCAGTGCCGAGATGAAGTCAGAAACAGCAAGCCTGATTGGGCAAAACTGATGACGGGAAGCCATCGCGATGGGGGCACAGCGCCGGGTCCGCACTGTTGATCCGCCAGGAAACCCCAGGGCTCCCCAGAAAAAAGCATGGAGCACAACGCCATCTGGGGGCATGGAGCTTCTCCCCCTTGCACTCTGTCTGTTTTCCTCTCCTTTTTGTCGCTCGTTTCGCGAAATTCTTGCTTGTCGGCCCCCGCCTTCGCCTTTGCGATCTTGACACTTGTGAGCTGGTCGCACACATTCGTTCGTCTGTTTGTCTTTGGAAAACCTGCTAGGTTGACGAAGCTCAACCATTGTTGTCGTCGCGTTTCCTCGAGCCACGTCCGATATGTGCTGAAGCCGCCTCAATCGCGAAGGATTCGAACGCATGAAGTGGTGCCGCAATCTGGGGTGTGGTCCAGTCCAAGCTCAGATCATAAGCGACCTCTTTTGAGGCATCACGAAGTCGTCAAGCCAGTTTTTCAAGCCCAATTCAGGATGAGGCTTTCCGTATTACAAGCGGCCATCGCCTCAGCGTCGGTTCTCTTGTCCGCCCAACCCGTTTCTGCGAAACAACATGGTCACCGACATGCGCATGACGAATACGCCAAGAGGCATACACACGGCCACCAGGCTGGAGAAGTCCTCAGCGCACCCAAAGTCGCCAGGAAAGCCACATGCTCTCTCCCAGACGATCCCGACTTGGTCCACGTGCCTGGGGCTGAGAACAACGGCTTTGCCATGAGTCCCGATGAGCCTTGCGAGGACGGCAAGTGGTGCCCGATTGCCTGCAAGTCGGGCAAAGTCATGGCACAATGGAAGCCAAATACTGGATACACCTATCCTGAGTCGATGGTGAGTTTTGTCGGGCTTCGTCCGTATCCTGCGGGCAGCAGTGTTGACTCATCTTCCAGTACGGTGGGCTTTATTGCAACGGAGGAAAGCTTGAGAAGCCGTTCTCCAAGTCTCCTTATTGTGTGGACGGCACGGGCACGATCAAGGCCGTCAACAAGGCTGGCAAGATCGTGTCATTCTGCCAAACCGTCCTCCCGGGTAATGAGGCTATGATTATCCCGACCGATGTCACAGACACTGCAACGTTGGCCGTCCCCGGGCCCGATTACTGGGCTGGGACCGCTGCACAGTGAGCCTCCCTCCCTGGCACCATATGGAGACTTGTGCTGACTTCACCAGCTACTACATTAACGCACCTGGGGTCCCGGCCTCAAAGGGCTGCGTCTGGGGAACGATCACTGAGCCGATTGGTAATTGGAGTCCCTATGTTGCCGGTGCCAACACCGTAGCCAACGGTCAAACGTATGTGAAAATCGCATGGAACCCGGAATTCCTCGCTGCCCCGCTTGCGAAAACCCTGCCCAGTTTCGGTCTGAAGATCGAGTGTCCCGACGGAGGGTGCAACGGGCTGCCGTGCAGCATCGATCCGTCCAAGGATGGCGTCAACGGCCTTAGCAGCTCAGTTGGCACCAAGGGTGTTGGTGACGCCAATTTCTGCGTTGTCACCGTCCCCAAGGGAAAGACGGCCAACATTGTCGTTTTCAATACCGACGGCTCCGAAGGGCCGGCTACATCAGCCAAACCTTCCTCGCAGCCGCCGCCGACTACCTCGACAGTTGCGAAGCCAACTAGCACCTCGACGACTTCTGTCGCTTTGACATCGTCTTCGTCCGCTGGCGTCTCGTCCACGACGCCGTTTTCGTCTTCCACCACATCGGATGTGTTCGTGGGAGGTCTCTTCCAAGAGGATGCCGCGGAGGGAGAGACGCGGTATTATAACAGCACGGTCAGCAGCACCGCGGCTGCAGTGTCTACCACCGGCAACAATGCCCCGGCTGCCATAACGTCCATCGCTCCCTCGCCCAGCAACAATGACGCCGCAGCTGACCAAGGTGGCTCGGCTATCGCTGGTCTTGTTGTCGCTCTGGTTGCTGCTGCCGCTTTGATTTGAGGCGGTGATCTCCACGATCTACATTGGCTTTCAGTTCTCGGCCACCAACAAGCCTTGTTCGAATTTCGGTTCACCGTCGATATTTTACCGTATCGTCTATTTTATACCATTCTATGATGTGCTCCGACGCATCCTTCTTTATTCCACAACGAACCTTTAGTCTTGTTTAGATCTCGGCATGCTTCGATTCGATGGTTCGACCCTGGGTTCAGCACCACGGCCAGCCGCGCTGTGCCCGCCCCCGAATTGTTTGCTCGCACCACCGCAACCTCGCGTCGAACGCTATTCCGGCCAAATTTTTATCACGCTATTTTATATCTGCCAACCTATTTGCGCTAGTGTTTATTGGTATTCGAGCGGTCCGCAATGCCGCACCGACGCCGGCCTTTTTGAGAGACCTCCTCTTCGCCCTTCGATTCCACCAGCTGTTAACATTCTCCCGCCGCGACGTCTATTGGTTTTGTTGCAGCTTCAGCTATATACCCCCTTTTCTACAACTTTTATTTTCTGGAGCAGGGCCTCAAGGCCATTGCAGTGTCATATTGGGTCAGCCTTGGTTTTCTTGGATTAGGCTTTAGATCAGTGCCTTGGATCATGGCTTGGATCATGGCTTGGAGAGATGTCTGGTGGCAAAACGAAACACTTAGGAACGGGGCATGATTTAGTTCAGGGGACGAATTTTGGAAAATTGGAGTGCTTGTTGGTCTCGGTGCTCTTCATGTCCCAGCCGTGGCCAAATCGGGGGAGGGGGGTGGGGGTGGGGGGCTTTGACGGGGGTTCTGGAGTTGCCCCCAGAGAGTGTGCACGAAAGCCGTGGCTGAATGAAAATGAAGATGACTGATGAAATTGGTGCCCTGGTGCTGCTCAGCGTAAATCCGCTGTGATTCCCTTCGGAACTGTCGCAGAACCTTGGAATCCAAGGCTTACTGCTTGGATCTCTCTGGTATCCAACACCCCATCCGCCTATACTACCTAAATTATGCGACATCAAGATTTGAAATGCTCCCTTGTCCCTCAATCCGCCACAAATGGGGGTCAAGGCGGATTCCGCACCCATCCCGGAACATCGTCCAACTCGCCCGGCGGCTCCACGTTCTCCCCGCTGTCACACGCGTCCAGCGCCTCCTGGTGCTGCTCCCGAAAACGCTCCAGTATGCTCTCGTACGGATTGGGCCAGCCGGCCGCGACGGGGTTGCCGCCTTTGCGCTTGGCCCCTTCCACGGCAAACCGCTTTTGCTGGCGCGCCACGAACCCGTTGAGCAGGCCCGCGTAGACGAGGCCCGCTACGACCGCCTCGACGTTGTCGAGATTGGGCTTCATGTTGCCAAAGATCAGGCCCTCGGACGGCATCAATCGGCGCGGGCCCCCCGGCGGCGGGACGAGCAGCGGTGAGGAATCGGTTTCGGTCTCGGAGGAAGTCGCCGCGCTGTTGGTCACGGCCTTCATGAACAGGGAGCTAACGTGTGAGGGCGGGCGTGTAGCCCGCGGCGGCGGTTTGGCCGGGACGTAGCCCTCGAGCAGCCGCTGCACGTGTGAGGCTGTGGTGACCAGATCCTCGAGCGAGAGGGAGGCGGCCTTGTTGGACGAGTCGTCGACTGAGCCCTTCCAGGTGAGGAGGAATGTCTTCCTGGTGAAGGACCGCCAGACCAGCGGCTTCAGGCGGTAGAGGAAGGTCAGGTAGAAGCCCTTGGCCCAGAGCCAGTCGCGGCTGTGGGTGAGGGCCCGGTAGAAGGCGACAAAGTTCCCCGAGCGGATCGCTTCGCAGATGGGGAGAAAGATGTCGGCGAACCCGGCCGCTTCGGGTCGTGCGAGTAAGGCCCGGGAGGGGAAGCGGCCGAGGAGAAGGTTGGTCGGGATCCACTGGGTGAGAATCTGACGGCGGTGCTTTTGGAAGGCAGGTGGGCATTGGCGGTAGGCCTCCTCGAAACACATATGGGCGCGGAGGTAGTGGTTGTGGTCGAAGTTGAACCGGCCCAGGTAGTACAGGAAGGTTACTCGCTGGGAGGCCGGGTAGAGCGAGAGCGCGGGCCCGCTTGTCGAGAGGTTAGTAAACATTTGAACGGCGAGCCTGGACTTGTCGCACTAAGATACCGTTAGAACGCGATAATAAATCTCGTAGGAGGGATCTCACTTACGGCAAAAAGTAGTTTCAAGGTGAGATTGGCAAAGAGGTAGACAGCCACCTTCTTCCCTCTTGGCGGCGACCATCTTGTGCTGGAGCGGTCTGTTAGGCAAGAAGTGAATATCTTCTGGATGATATCAGCGGCTAGCTCCACGATGGACTTCCGCTCGCCGGCCTCCTCCCCAGTCATGTCGCCCTCAATCTCTGCCAGCAGATCAGGCTGACGGGTCAGGTGCATGACCAACTTGGACAGCGATTCAGAGAGCGCCATGCTGGTCTGCAGCAGCATGATGCCGTAGGTGGGATTAGCAAGGGCATTCGCGCAGGATCTGGATGTGAAGGGTATTGTTAGTTAACTTTGTGGTATAACTTGGAGGAGAGGATCAGAAATCGTACATGAGAAGGTCGCTGAGGCGGGAATGCTGCCGGACAAGATCGTCAAAGTCGGCATCACGCCAGTATTCCAAAAAGTCCTTTATGAATGAGTTGAACCCCGGCCACGGGGATCCTTTCCCCTCGGGAACATCGTCCTCTTCCGGGAGGCTTTGTTCGACCAGGTTTTCAAGCGCCGGAGACTTGGAGCGAAACCCTGTGCGAATCTCCTCGCCCATCTGGAAATAGATACTGGGCGATTGAGGCTCGACGAGCAGCCAATTGCGAAGCTCATCGCCGTTATTGTCGAGGACGAGTTGGCGAATGCCAGTCAGGAACTGGACCACAGTGCTCATTTTCGGTCAACAGAGCAGTGCGTTAGGATGAATGGGTCTCAGAATTCAAGTGTGAGTTGGTGATGGAAGCGATTTTGAACGCGCGATGCCGACTTGGTCCGCGTTCATCATCAATGAATGTCCGTTGCTAAGAGTAATATTTTTCCAATCTTTGGAGACATTGAGTCTAGGCAGACTCACACAGATTCACACCTGCAATTGCGCCTTTGGTAATTGCCTCCAGCTTTGTTCAGTTCGAGTCCAGGGAGACGAATTAAGATGTTGAAATTGGTGCCACAACCCTAACCCCGATAGCCCCTAACCAAAGTTACCAAACCCATATGAAGACCCCTAACGATATCTACATGTAGCAGGTTCACAACAGTCGAACATCCCTCAGGAACCGTTCCCCAGTTATCATACAGACTCAATCCTCTGCACCACCATCGCTGACGCTGCTCCTCCGCCGTTGCAGATTGCAGCGACACCGTACTCTCCGGGCTTCAGTTGATGTAGCAACGTTACCAGAATCCGTGATCCCGAGCTGCCGAGGGCGTGGCCAAGCGCGATGGCTCCACCCAGAGGGTTCATCCTCGCCCCCTCTAGGCCCAGAATCTACTCCATGGTTAGCCGATACGCTCAAGACTGAAAAACAGGGCTTTCTCACCTTCTCGTTTGCTTTAATGACGGCGGCAAAGGCCTCATTGATCTCCCACACGGCGACTTGTTCCTTGGTGATGCCAGCCCGCTCCAGGGCAATGGGTATCGCCTTCGCAGGGGCAATGGGAAAGTCGATAGGGTCTACAGCGGCATCGGCCGAACTGCAAATGCGTGCGAGAACCCTTGAGCCCGTGCCATACTCCTGCGCAACTGCCTTGCTGCCGATGACGAGCGCGCTAGCGCCATCGTTGAGCGTAGATGAGTTCGCAGCTGTCACGGTACCAGTGCCGTCGCGAACGAATGCCGGCTTAAGCGTGGGCACCTTGTCAAGCTTGATATCGAGGTATCCCTCATCTGTGGTTATAACTGTGTCGCCTTTCTTGCCCTTCACCGTAACCGGGGCGATCTCATCGGCAAACGCGTTCGTCTTCCATGCGGCCTGCGCCCGCTCGTACGACTGGATGGCGTACTGATCCTGCTCTTCTCTCGTGATTCCGTACTTCTTGACCGTGTTCTCGGCGCAGTTGCCCATGTGGAACTGATCGTAGACGTCGGTCAGACCGTCCTTGATGAGCCCGTCCTCCATCTTCACGTGCCCAAAGGCGGGCATGCCGCTTGCACGCGGCACGTAGTACGGCACCCTCGACATGTTCTCGAAACCTCCCGCAACCTGGGCTTCTGACAAGCCTAGTTGGATATTCTGTGCCGCGAATACCACGGCCTTCAGCCCGGAGGCGCACACCTTGTTGATGGTGATAGCTTCAATACTCGGCGGGAGGCCGGCAAAGATGGATGCTTGCCGCGCCGGGGCCTGCCCAACGGAGCCTTGGAGAACGTTTCCCATGTAGACATCGGTAATCTTGGAGACGGGCACCTTGGACTTCTCGAGAGCGGCCTTGATGGCAACAGCACCGAGTTCCGGGCCAGGAACATTGACGTACGACCCATTGAACTGCTCATGTTAGCGGCCCCGTTCTAATCCACCTAGACTCCCAAAGCACACACCTTTGCTGTTGGTGTCCTGGCAGCGCTCAAAATGTAGGCATCCCGAATCTCCTTACGAAGGCACGCTTGCGACGAAAACAGCCGAGCCGAGCCGAGTCTAAGCTGCGATGACACGCGTAGCGCACTTCGAAGTTGCCCCGCCATCGCTGCCGGTCGTGCAGGCGATTCAGATTATTGCAAGTGAAAAGTGAAATGCAGCACAGCACGTAACCCAGAGTTAAACACTACTACTCAACAATGGAAACAACAAGGAGACGTCGTGAATAACAGGATGAGGCAAAGGCACACGTCCTGCCGAGGTCCATCCCTTATAAGGGCACCATTACAAGGAACAGTTCGGCTTGTGACGGATGACGGGAGGCGAACCTCCAAGGTGGGGAACCTACCTCCGTACGGAGGTACTGTACCGGTACCTACATTGCTGGGGTTCGCACGCTGAAACCTCTCCCTGGGATAAGAAACGGGGGAGCCCGGCCTACACTGCAGACAGACGACGAAACCTACATTCGGGATTAGTAGAACATGGGAATCTGCATTGAAAAGCTGCCCCAAGGTGGTCTCTTATACGGCCGATAGCCGTTATCTGTCACTAGATTTACTAAGCAGGATTGTGAGATCGCCTGTCGAATCTTCAGTGGCGTTTGTCGAAGGGCCCGTCAATGGGAACCCCGCATGGGCCGTGCACTCTGTCTTTGGATTAGTTAACTCAACGGATTCTCCTGATTGGTCAGCCTTGGGGCGCCACTCCCCGTTTATTCCATAAAGCTCGCGTTAACTGCTTCTTCCCAGTTCTACTCCATGCTCCCACCCATCATCCGTCGACTTATAATCGCCCCATCGCCCGTCTCACTTCGGCATCGATCAACCGCGCCGACGTCGACTCTAGCCGTTTACCTACAGCACGAAACATCGCGTCACAGCTTTCTACCACTGAACCCGCCATCGCTAGTCCTACTACGATCGTCCCGCTTCTTCTTCTGGCAGGATGTCGACCGCTGCTCGTCGCCGCCTCATGCGCGACTTCAAGGTACGAGACCCGGCCCATACAACCGCTGCCCTCTGAAGCATCCGCGATGCTAACATGTTCGCCGTATAGCGCATGCAGACCGATCCGCCTGCCGGTGTTTCTGCCTCCCCCGTGCCCGATAATGTCATGACTTGGTGAGAGCTTCGATCCCGATATCGGCCCGCCGGGCACCCTCACGCGACGACTAACAGGTAACTCATCAGGAATGCCGTCATCATCGGTCCCGCGGATACGCCCTTCGAGGACGGAACCTTCAGGCTCGTGATGCACTTTGAAGAACAATATCCCAACAAGCCGCCGTCGGTTAAGTTCATTAGCCAAATGTTTCACCCGAACGTCTACGCAACCGGCGAGCTCTGCCTCGATATCCTTCAAAACCGTTGGAGTCCGACGTACGACGTCGCAGCAGTGCTTACGAGCATTCAAAGGTTGGTATACCGGCCGGCAGTGCCGACCTCCTGAGCAGCGCCTGTGGGGTGTATGATGGCTGACGCTTGCTAATCCACAGTCTCCTAAACGACCCAAACACTGGATCGCCTGCCAATGTTGAAGCCTCCAACCTTTACAAAGATAACCGCAAGGAGTATACCAAGAGGGTGAGAGAGACGGTGGAGAAGAGCTGGGAGGATAATCTTTGACACAGTAGTTGCACCCGGGTATGATATTCGGTAGCAGCAAGGGATCTGGCATGAGCAGGATGATATCACGAGCGCAAGGCAGGGGCACGCAACCACTCTCTAGGCCCGGAGTTCTCGGTGTTTGGGCCAACCTCATCAGCATTCGGAAGGCGCTTTTTCACTTTCCTTTCTTCTGGTTTCTTTGTTCTGGCGTTGGCAGCGCAATACTCTCTCGGCTCGCTTTGGCCTCTGTTGGAGTCTGGGTTTGATATGCGGAGGGAAGCGGGTCGGTTGGAGTTCAGGCCCACGTCGTAGTTGTAGACATGCCTGTTCTTCGTAATTTGACTAGGTAGATGCATCTGCAGCTATTCACATGGCAGTTTACGCACCACTCTGCGTCTTTATATGCACCGTACACTGGATTAGGAGTTTACTCAGGACCTGGCAGTTTGGTGGTGGAAGACAAGGAGCTTACCACAGATGGACGAGGCTTCGTTCAAGTATCGTACGAAGTACCTTGCGCGGGGCCATTAACTAACGCTTCGGAGCCGCGGAAGAAGCGATGCGGTGTGTCCCCACTTGCATGAATCTCAATGCAGCCCATTGCCTGCTGCAATCAGCCGGCAGAGCAGGGTCTGGTCAGGCATGACAATTGCCATGAAACACACCTCAGCCTACAACTCATTTACAGCGCGAACCAGCGCGTCGTTCCTCGGCCTAAAGTATAGTTCGCCAGAGGGCAGCGACGTGACGACTTGGGTAGTCGGATGTGTAAAGGGGGCCAAAGCAAAAGAAAGGGACACGAAAACAAGCACACCAGCTTCTTAAAACCACGCACAGTGGCCTCGGTCTTTTTGTTTTTATGTATTATTTGCGCTAGACTTCCTCTTTCTACCTAACCTAACCCCTGACACCGCCCAGGAACCCCCCACTTGGTCCTAACACTCTTCTAGGATTCGGCTTAGACATCAGCATCTCGGTCCCTTGTTTCAGCAGTCAACCTGCCTAAACTTTCTGCTGCGACAGGGCCAAACGGTGCGGTGCCGGGTTCCCATTATTTTCCTCCGTTACAGAGAGACAGACAAGAACGTTACTTGCACACGGCGCACGCTCCGCTGAGAATCCCAACTGTCGACTTGCGGCTGTACCTTCGCTCCCGCCGACATCGCCGTCCGCCCTGTCTACTTTGGATCTGCGCCCGTCCTTATTCTTCATGAGTTTGCGCTCCCCGGGAGCGCGGGAAGCGGATTGCCATCATGTCCAACGCAAATAGCATCAAGGTTGTGGCTCGGTTCCGCCCGCAAAATCGGGTTGAAATCGAGTCGGGCGGCCAGCCCATCGTCAGGTTTGATGGACAGGATACATGCACCATCGATGTGAGTTGTCTCTCGGCCTGCCCGCATGAGGAAATGCCTACTAATCTAGCCGTCCCCTCTAGTCCAAAGAAGCCCAAGGTACTTTCACCTTTGACCGCGTGTTCGACATGTCATGCAAGCAGTCCGATATCTTCAATTTCTCCATCAAGTCAACCGTCGACGACATCCTTAACGGTTACAATGGCACCGTCTTCGCCTACGGCCAGACAGGCGCCGGCAAGTCATACACCATGATGGGCACAAGCATAGATGACGAAGAAGGGAGGGGCGTCATCCCTCGAATAGTAGAACAGATCTTTACAAACATTCTGTCCAGCGCGGCGAACATTGAGTATACAGTCCGGGTGAGCTACATGGAGATCTACATGGAGAGAATTCGCGATCTTCTGGCGCCACAGAACGACAACTTGCCGGTCCACGAGGAGAAGAACCGCGGCGTCTACGTCAAAGGCCTGCTTGAGATCTACGTCTCGAGCGTCCAGGAGGTATTCGAGGTTATGAGAAGGGGAGGCAATGCGAGAGCGGTCGCCGCAACCAACATGAACCAGGAATCCTCGCGCTCGCACTCCATCTTCGTCATCACCATTACTCAGAAGAACGTGGAGACGGGGTCGGCAAAGAGCGGCCAGCTATTCCTGGTCGATTTGGCAGGCAGCGAGAAGGTTGGCAAGACGGGCGCAAGCGGTCAGACGCTCGAGGAAGCGAAGAAGATCAACAAGAGCTTGAGCGCCCTGGGAATGGTCATCAACGCGCTCACAGACGGGAAATCTTCGCACATCCCCTACCGAGACTCGAAGCTCACCCGTATCCTCCAAGAATCCTTGGGTGGCAACAGCCGGACAACACTCATTATCAACTGTTCGCCCAGCAGTTATAACGATGCCGAGACGCTAAGTACGCTGCGCTTCGGTATGCGGGCAAAGTCGATCAAGAACAAGGCCAAGGTCAACGCGGAACTCAGTCCTGCGGAGCTCAAGTCGATGCTCGCCAAGGCCAAGACGCAGATCACCACCTTTGAGAATTACATCGTCAGTTTGGAAGGTGAGGTCCAGCTGTGGCGTGCCGGTGAAACTGTGCCAAAGGAAAAATGGGTGCCACCTCTTTCGGCAGATGGCGTATCGGGAGCAAAAGCCGAATCAAGACCAAACCGACCCTCGACGCCATCCCGGCTACTGCCGGACAGGACTGGGGCTGAGACGCCGGCGACTATGGAAAGGGCTGGAACACCGAGCTTACCCCTGGATAAGGACGAACGGGAGGAATTCCTGCGCCGGGAAAACGAGCTCCAAGACCAGCTTGCTGAGAAGGAGTCGCAAGCAGCGAATATGGAAAGGCAGCTGCGGGAGACGAAAGAGGAGCTTGCCGTTCTCAAAGAACATGATGCCAAGCTCGGAAAAGACAATGAAAGGCTCATCAGTGAATCGAACGAGTTCAAGATGCAGCTGGAGAGGCTAGCGTTCGAAAATAAGGAGGCTCAGATTACCATGGACGGCCTGAAGGATGCGAACTCGGAGCTCACAGCAGAACTAGATGAGCTTAAGCAGCAGATGCTCGACATGAAGATGAGCGCCAAGGAGACCAGCGCAGTTCTGGACGAAAAGGAGAAGAAGAAGGCGGAGAGGATGGCCAAGATGATGGCCGGGTTCGACCTTAGCGGGGACGTATTTAGCGACAACGAGAGATCGGTTGCCGACGCGATCGCGCAAGTAGATGCCCTCTACGAACTCAGTTCTACGGGCGATCCTATTCCACCCGACGACCTCAAGGCGCTGAAGGAGAAGCTGCTCGAAACGCAGGGCTTTGTGCGACAGGCCGAGCTATCAGCATTCAGCACGGCATCGAGCGAAGCCGAAGCCCGCAAGCGCGCCGAACTTGAAGCTCGGCTCGAGGCGCTCCAGCTGGAGCACGAGGATATCCTTTCACGCAACCTAGACGAGACAGATAAGGAAGAAGTCAAGGCGCTCCTAGCCAAGACGCTGTCAGACAAGTCAAACACGCAGGTCGAGCTCGTCGAGGGGCTCAAGGCCGACCTCGCCGTCCGCACGCAGGAGAACGAGCGACTCAAGGCGCTCGTTGACGACCTGCAGCGCCGCGTCAAGTCCAACGGGGCGGTGCCCATGGCCAACGGCAAGACAGTGCAGCAGCAGCTGGCCGAGTTTGACGTCATGAAGAAGAGCCTCATGCGGGATCTGCAAAACCGATGCGAGCGCGTTGTCGAGCTCGAGATCTCGCTCGACGAGACGCGGGAGCAATACAACAATGTGCTCCGCAGCAGCAACAACCGCGCGCAGCAGAAGAAAATGGCCTTCCTTGAGCGCAACCTCGAGCAGCTGACGCAGGTGCAGCGGCAGCTGGTCGAGCAGAACTCGGCACTCAAAAAGGAGGTGGCCATCGCGGAGCGCAAGCTGATTGCGCGCAACGAGCGCATCCAGAGCCTGGAGAGCCTCCTGCAGGAGAGCCAGGAGAAGATGGCGCAGGCTAATCACAAGTTTGTCCTACCCTTTGTTCCCCTTTTTCTTTAATCCTTTCATAATCCTTTATGTCCCTTCATGTAGAGCATTCACTGATTACCCTGCGTCAACAGGTTCGAAGTGCAGCTCGCGGCTGTCAAGGACCGCCTCGAAGCGGCCAAAGCCGGCAGCACCCGCGGCCTTGGTTCGCCCACAGGCCTCGGCGGCTTCAACATTGGCAGCCGCATTGCCAAGCCGCTCCGTGGCGGTGGCGAGACCGCCGCTCCTTCGCACCCCACCATCGCGAGCCTGCAAAACCCGCCCGAGAATAAGAGGTCGAGCTGGTTCTTCCAGAAGTCGTGAGTGAGGTGCGATGGTTTGGAGGACAAGCATGTCGTTCTTTGACATGACATTCTCCCGCACCCTTTGCCTGTATTTGGTTGGTTGCTTGTGACGGACAGACATATCGTGCCCAGGTCGAGGTCGAGTTGTGAGAAGGGCCAAAGCCGGGACGCTCCCGGCCCTTTCCTCCCTTATTTTCTTGTTCCTTGTTCCTTTCGTCAACCAAGTCAGGGTATACCAGGGAGTGCGGCTATGATGGAACGGGAGCTGGCTAGGTGGACGTGGGCAATACGGGTCATTCAGCATCCTGTGAGTGTCTTTGTCTGATTTTCCTCGTTTGATTTGAGGCGAGTCGGCCTGAAAGAGGCATACTACTACCCTGATATGTCTCCTGTGTTAAGACCGAGGAGGATTCATCTGTGGTGTGGTGGTATTCATTGGTGGTGGTCCTGATCGCATTGCAGTAACGCGATGCAGGACCGCCAGACGTGACGTGTGGACGAGATTATGGCGACCTCTGCATAAGACGGGAGACATGGGGTAAGGAGAGGAGTTCTTGTATGTTTGATCATGTTTGCCAGCCCATACGGATCACAGACAGGGTCGGGTGACTAGAGTTGAGGCCAGAGGAGAAATACCAAGTAGACAAAGCAATTCAGTTTGCTAAGATCTTGCTTTGCTACGGGTGTCAAATCTTGGTTGAATGGGTGTGATAGGTTGATGTATTTTACTTATCTTTGCTGGGCTATCCGACGGTACGATGCCTGACTAAGGTAAATAGAAAGGGTTCATACAAAGCTATGGAATACAGATGCCCATCATATGATGCCTTAAATATTGGAAACGTACGCCCCGTTCTCGCCTACTACATACGCAGGAACGCTCTGGTCCCTGTTGAGACGGTGCTCGTCTTCTCAACAGCAACCAATCCCCCACCGTCCATACCTCACGCATATCCCTCCCAGCCGTCAGAGAGGGAGGGAAGCAGCGCTGGCCACTGGCTCGATTTAGTAAGAGCACTTAGAGGAGCCGTCGCACGTCTTGTAGACGACGAACAGCTGAGCGACCAGCACGACGGCCATGACGACGTAGGCGGCCGTCTCGATCGCGAACAGCTTGATGCGCAGCACGTAGATGCGCATCCAGCTGGCAAAGCTAACGGTGCGCAGGGCGTCGACGACCGAGGCAAAGCCGCGCCCGCTGACCACCTCGGGCTCGACGCGCCCGCCAAAGGAGCGGTCAAAGGGCACGACCGTGTCCTCGTCGGCGGGCAGCAGCGACGCCTGCACCCGCGTGAGCGCCGTCATCGCGGGGATCACCAGTAGCACCTGCAAGCCCAGCGCAAAGCCAGCCACGCAGATGGCCTTGGCCGCGTCGGAGCCGCTCATGGCCGGGCTCGTGGCATCGCCGTCGCCGTTCGGTGGGGGGACGAGATCAGAGATGGCACGGTCAGAGAGGCCGATCGCCATGGCGAGGAAGTACGGGGCGAGAACGGCAATATGCGCGGCGGACCAGAGAGCAAAGATCGGTAGCGCCGTGGCGATGTACGTCTTGCGCGCGGACGGGATGCGGCTGAAGAAGGACTTGGCGCTCGGCGGGGTGATGACGACGTGCGTCCAGGCGGTGGACAGCGGGGACAGGACGAGCAGGGCGAGGAGGTGGGCGACGCGCGTCGGCATGAATGGGAGAGCGGTGAAGAAGAACATCGTGATCAGAGTCAGCAGGCCGAGGACGACGGCAGGGCCAAAACCGCGGAAGTTGGAGGACCAGCCGCCGAAGGACCTCAGCAGGCGGTTGGTGGCGCGCAGAGACGAGGTCACAGGCTTGGCGGGCTCGATGGAGAGAACCGGGAGGATGTCATTGTCCTTGGGAGCGGATTCTTCGTTCAGCGGCACGGCCGTGTAGGCGGGCAGAGGGTCTTCCACCGCGGCGAGCGTGGGGTAGATGCGGCCGAAGGTGTAGGCGAACTGGGGTAGTTAAGTTAGTAGTGTGCCTAGGCTTTTGAAGCATATCTGAACGAATACTCACAATCAGAAAAATCGGCAGAAAGAGCAGAAAGTCGCCGAGGATAAAGTACATGGCCACAGGAGGAAGCTTGAAATTAGACGGCACATCGCCCTCAGCGAAGCGCTTGGCGAGCGCCCCGCCGACGGTGACGGTGGTGAGCATTTTGGCGAAGGTAAGGAAGAAGGAGAGAATGCAGGAACGAGAAGGATAAAGTTCTGATAGGGAATGCAGACAAAGGACCGAAAGAACCTGATGACGCTGATCAGGAAGCTGGCAGTTGGGTCTTGGTGACAGCCTTACCGAACAGAAGCACCATCCAGGATGGAACAGCAAATAAGGCGGGTGGAACGGGACGCCTGCAACTTATAAGTCGGGGTAGTGCAGGTTCAGGTGGCGCCGAGGGGGCGGCTGCCTGACACAAGGCCCCTGCAGGGGACGGGTCAGCTCAGCACTGCCCCAATGCGATCCGCTCCGGCGCTAGCTGAGTGAGGTCGGTGCGCTGGTGCCCGAATTCCGAACCTCAGCATTGAACCCTCTGACAAAGAGCAACCAAGAGACGCCTGTGTCATATCCCCAACCCTGACAACTAGGCTATCACATCGAAAACCGAGAATTTGCGATCACTGTGCAGGTGGAGGAATCAGAACGGTGATGAACTGTAAGGTACTACGGGCAGTTGATACCGTGACATGTAAGACGGAAAGATCGTGGCATGGCCGCACTTGCCGAGCTCAACCTTAGGTGACCGCTTCCTAAATCTCAGTACTAGTGCACACTGGGAGCCTGGGAGGCACTGTCCTACAGTAGCCTCCTGCGTTCCAACCACGGTACTTCGACCTGGCACGACATGTGTTAGTGTGGCCAAAATTTTGTATGCAAAAATCATCCTCTCGACTACCCTTCTTAACAGAACCTCGGGTCGGATGTGTCACTGTATGCAAATCCCAAAGTCGAAAAGACTCCTAAGTCTCGAAGAATGGATCCATCGTGATCTACACCCTTCCCTAACCTGACCGTCGACGACAAAACGTCGAGAGCCTCGCGAGTTCAATCCATCATCATCATTCATGGATAAAACACACGGCCCGACCCTGAAGCAAAGGGTTATGCCGTAGTTTTCGAGCGTCCAATGGCTTCAAGAGGCTCCGGCTCGGATCCTGTGGCCCAAGGCGGACTGTCAATCCATGCATGTTGCGGGATTGGGTGCAGTTGCACAGACGGCTACTGTAAAATTGGAGTCTTGGACAGTTCAGCCTCGCTGACAGCCCAGCTTCCTGTTGCCCGTTGGCTCTTCTTCCTTCATATGCAGTTAAAGGGCACTATCTTGCCTCGGTTTCTCGGCACGTCACTTCCCACTTAGGACTCTCTAGAATCATCTGTCACTCAACATGGCACGCGTCATTGATTTCGAGCAAGTCTGCGTGCGGTGCAGAGCCCTCAACTTCGATGATGCGCGCTGGGGAGGATTTGAGAGCTCCCTGACCCACGACGGCGAGCCGCAATTGGAGTTTGCGAACAGCGACGGCATACGGGATTCTGAACTTGTCTATCACGGGCGGTTACAGTCTGCTGACAGCGACCATGTACGGGCTTTTGAACTTGACTATCACCTTGAAGACAGATTCCCTGACCTGCCCATCTTGAGCGAATCATCAGCCAACGGTTGTCAATCTTGCGACTTCATCAAGGCAGCAATCTTGTCCAGGGACTCTATCAAGCACATTACGGATTACCTGGGGCCCAGTGCAACATTTGACTTTGAAGTATCCCTTGAATACTGGTGGCAGGGCTTTGACCGCGACTACATGATAGAGAAGGAGCGTCAAGGGCTTAGTCTATTAGCCATTCGTCTGGCTTTTGAAGGTCCGTTAGTGCTGCTCGTGGCGGCAATAACGCTTGCTAACAGGGTAATAGTGGGAGGAAACAAGGAGGATGTGAATATCTTATGCCTCATCGAAACTGACAGAGGTTCGTGTCTCACGCTTAGGACCTGTTCTGTTGCACCAATGGAGAGGATCTTCTTACACTCAATATCAGGAGAAGCTAGCCGATGGCTGCGACTTCAACCGCCTACACCACAGCCTTTGGACGAGGAAGTAGTACGCTGGATGCGCTCCAGGGTGGATGATTGCCTCAAACATGAACACTCCAAGTCTTGTTCGGGCTTCTGTCCGGACAGACTCCTTGACGTAAGCCAGGAGCCGGCAAGACTTGTCATGAAGGATTCCGGGGAGATAAAGTCAACCAGCCCACGGTATGCAGCATTGACTTACTGTTGGGGTTCCCAAAAGGAGTCGCAACATCAGCTCAGAACCGATAAAAGCACGCTGCCGCTTCGGTGCAAGGGAATTCTTGATTCAGAGATGACACCGGTCTTAAGAGACGCCGTTCGGGTGACCAGAGCATTGTCAATTCCATACCTCTGGATCGACTGTCTCTGCGCTCTGCAGGATGTGGATGATCCCTCCGACTGGAATAGACAATGTTGGCACATGGACGAGATTTATGGATGTGCAGAGGTTACAATCCGCCCGCTTGCCTCTGGCTCCTGCCTCGAGGGCTTCCTGACTCTTTCCTCCCTGCCTACTATATGCGTTCCTTTCCAATCGAGCGTGAACGACAAGAAGCGCGGATCGTACAAGATTAGCGTTTCCTTTGTTACGAAAAACGTTTCGTACCTTAAGGATGGTGGCATATGGATGGCTTTTGAGCAAGAGCATAGAAGTCTGTGGAAGACACGCGGCTGGACGTTGCAGGAGTATGCCTTATCAGCCCGAGTCCTCAGTTTCGGACGAGCCATGGTCCTGTTTGACTGCCCTGCATTCCACCAGCAGTATGGCTGCTCAGGACTTAAAAGTCCGGATGGACGAGACTTCCGGATCGGCCTCAGTCAAGCTCTTCAAACCTCAACTAAGCCCAGCCTTCACCAAGCGTGGAACAATGCTGTGATACGGTCTGCGTCTACGCGCACGAGAGGATTTTCGAAGTTGACCGACATTTTACCCGCCCTATCAGGCCAAGCCAAGGTGTACAAGAACTTCTTCAACGCTCACGAGAGCGACTACGTGGCAGGTCTGTGGAGACAGAGTCTCGCACAAGGGCTGATGTGGAGATCAGATTTTGCCTGGTTTGAATGGGACAGATTGGAAAGCTCATCGCTCAGAGATTTTCTTTGCCGCTTGGCTTCTCCGCAGCCGTACATTGCGCCTTCATGGAGCTGGGCATCAGCCAAACAGGATGCGGAGAACGAAGTGCTCACCAGCGGTTTTCTGTACGATCATTCAGCGCATCCGAAGGCCCGTCTTGATGCGTGGACGGAACCTCTATCGAAAAACAATCCGTTTGGCAGGCTGCGAGATGGCAGCGGACTGCTTCGGATAAGAGCGCCAGCTTGTCAAATCTCCAAGCAAATGACCCTGGAGAAACCAGATGAATGGTGGAAGTCCGAGTCGTGGGTGTTGAAAGTTGATGAATACAATCTGGTTGACTGTTACTTCGACTGGAAATTATCTTCTGGGGCGGAAGTAACGGAAGCTGGTGTTGAAATGATTGCGATTGGGAAGTGCAAGGGAGAGGAGGCTGCCGGAGTTGAGTACCGTGGGGGTGCTCAGGAGACTGATAGTGGCGACGGGGGCGAGGAGGATGAGGTTGACGTTGTTTACGGCCTCTTGATACACCCCTCGCCAAATAACGATGGCAAGTATCTTCGTGTCGGGATTTTCATAACAGATTATAGAAGGAGCCATGGGTATAGATACTTCGACAGCTGCCCATGTAAAGAAGTTGAAGTGCTCTGAGACCTAGGGATAAACAGCTACAAGATTCTGCTGGCGATACTCATCCTACTTGACTGTAGAGATATGCTTAATTCGTCCTCTTTATGACTACCCATAACAAACTGATCCTTCAGTCTAAGGTTGTCTTATAACCGCCACTACTTACCTATCATAGTCCAACATGTACTCAAAGCGTCCCCCAACAGGAAGAGATCGCATCTAATAAAATTAGCCTGTGAGTACTGCTCTATTACGCAATATCGTGATGGTGTTATAGTCACGTCTTCCCGTTCTCACGATCTACTATATACCTAACAGGTATGTAGAGACCTTTCAAAGAAGCTGGCTTTATAGACCGGAATCATTGATCGACACGACCAACCCTAACCCTTTTAAAACAAGATGCAAGCGTCATGGTGATATCAACGTTAGGTAACGAATGACGGGAGGAACTATATAGCATGAGGGGGAGAAAGATGTTGTAGATTACACTGGTTAACGTCTTACTCTTGCCAGTACGGGCCTAGTCACTAGAGTTACCACCGGACACTGCAATTAATTCAAACACCTCAAGGAAGATTAAGAAGAGAGGAATCGAAGAAACATGCCAGGGCAGCTCCTTCAAGTATTCACTTACATAACCGTGGCATTGAATCGCGCCCTTGCGTACCTGGACCGTGGAGTTCACTATGCCAGCGGATACCTCCTGTACTGCTGCTTGCGTGGGCTCAAGCCCCAGACTCACACCAGGCCATGCAAAACCAAGGAAGGCCGTATCTACTCGCCCAGTGTTGTGGTGACGGGTGCTAGCGAAGGCAAGGACTAAGAATCAGCTATCCCCTAGGCCTCATATCATACTAAGTACCCGTACTGACCGGTACAAGGCATCGGCCTCGCAACCTCTGTGCGCCTCGCGGCAAAAGGCTACACTGTCTTTGCAACCGCTAAGAACGACTCGGAGCTCACCAAGATCAAATCCGCCGTGGCCAACCTGCCGCCCATGACCGAAGGCGGGAGCATCCACCCGGCCATCATGGACGTGCTGTCGCACGACAGCATCTCGCACTGCCTCTCCCACATCGAGTCGGTGCTGGCAAGCGACCCGCCCGAGGTCCACAGGCCGCTGGTCGGCGTGGTCAACAACGCGGGCTACTGCATGATCTCGCCCATGGAGCTGACGCCTGACTCCGAGGTGCGGCGCATCTTTGAGCTCGACTTTTGGGCCTACATCGCCGTCGTGCGCGCGTTTCTGCCTATCATCAAGCGGAACAAGGGCCGGTTTTTGAATGTGGGCAGTTATGGTGGTTATGTAAACCCGCCGATGTGGGCTCCGTATTGTGCGCTCAAGGCGGCTGTGGAGGGTATGACGAGGGCTTGGAGGTTGGAGCTTATGCCTTTTGGTGTTGGTGAGTGTCTCTCTCAGTTCTCTTTTTACCGGGTTTATATCGAGTCGCAACGCAATGCGAAGCTAACGGCTCGCAAGGGATGACCACCATTCGACCTGGATGGACCAGGTCTGGCGGGGTCGGCCCGAAGCTTCGTGATGCGTGGAACAACTACTTCGATAGCCTGGCGAAAGGAGCTGTTGGCGTCGACAGCTTTGGGAATGTGATCAGGGCGGAGGGACAAATTCCGGAAGCGGAGGCGAGGGTTTATCGGCCAATGCTAGAGAAGTGGTAAGTTGGGAGAATGCAAAATTCCTCTCGTTTCTAGCCCGATTGTGTGTTCCAGAGGGTGAGCTGACTCTCACAGGTATAAGCTCACTTCGCTGGCTGCTGATGGCGCCGCTCAGCCGGCTGAGGCGGTTGCGGAAACCGTCCATGACGCGCTCTCGGACCGGTTCCTGCAGCCATACTACACTGCCGGATACGATGCGCTGCTCGGGCAGATGGCGAGGGATCTGGTTCCGGAGAGCATCTATGAGTACAACATGGGCAAGACGTTTGGCTCGCTGTGAGTACCGAGGAATTAAGGAGATTGCAATCGTTTATTCCAACGTAAGTCGCCATGAGGAAATCGTCCAGGTTGTATAATGGTAGTCAATGACTTTTGGTCGAGCCGGAGAGCAACAATAGGAGTTCCGGACGTGGTAGGATTCAGGTTTGATGACTAGGATGGATAGTCTGTGATATGCTATGGCTGATGGCTGAGATTTGAGTAAAACGTGCGACAGCGACACAAGGAAGTCTCGGTATCCATTTCCTTTGGCACATGGAAACTCATTGTTGAAAGCTAGGCCGTCTAATGGAGATGTAAAGTCCGTTAGCTCCAGGTGAATAGGTAGTGAGAAGCTTATCAAAAACTCGCAAACAGTCTGGGTAGAATCAAGAGATGTGTGAGGTGTTCAGCGTCTGCGCGGAAGAAATCAACGACGACACCTCATTTATCTCTCTAGCCAACTGGACTTTTAGCGCATTGACCTGCTGAAGGGGGGTATCTAGGCAGTTCAAGTGGGTCCGTTAACGGGACAACTTGCCCAGCGACAAATGCCGTTCACTCATAGGAAAATGAGTGATCGGGCATTGGGCAAAACGGAAGTGAAGGAGATTGCGATGCGGTTGTTTTTGTTTTGGGACTGAGCAAGCCAGGTCATTCGTGTTGAAAGATATGCCATGGCTGGTTGTATGTAGGTCGATGTGCCCCATCGTGGATTGGCGGCATGTACGGATCACCCTTGACTCATCGATCTATACTCATTTCCTGCCTTTTACCGGATGTGACCGTGAGTTGGCCCAAAATACTCCATTCCCCAATCTTTGGAACCAACCTTCTGGGAGACCAGATTCGATTCATATTTTTGCTCCTTTTTTTAGGGCCTCATTTGAACTATCCGCCTTCCCTTCCCTTTCCCTCCGACTCCGAACTGTGTATTGTACAAACATGCTTTAGCTGACATCACTGGGCATCCCCAGGCATCCAAATGTCAACTACCCCCCATCATTCTTCACACGCAACAACCTAGGTTGACTCCTTTTGAATGGCTTTCAAGAAACTCTAAATCCATGGTCAGATCTCGACCAGCAAACAAACCCATCTTTGATACGGGCAGATAGCATTTTCGCCAATGTCTGCTCCGTCAATACCCAACCTTCTTTCTTTACGCGGCACGGGACACGGAAGGGGCCGGGGCCGGGGCCGGGGTGGTGGCCCAAGCCGGAGCGGCATCCCCGCATCAGGGCCAGGGTCCGGATTGGCAGCAAGCCAGCATGACGCCACCATTCAGGGCACCGATACAGATGCGGCCGTGTCCCGTCTAAGCGCCGTCGAGCTCGGCTACTTGGATGACCCTTTCGCCCGCCTTTTCGTGCAGGCCCCACCCCCAGGTCCCGGCGGCCGGCGGCTCCCCATCATCAACAGGGGCACCTACACGCGCACCACCGCCATCGACGCCCTCGTCGACCGCTTCCTAGCCACCACCAACCCAGAAGAGGTGCGGCAGATCGTCTCGCTCGGCGCCGGCACCGACACGCGCTGTTTCCGCCTGTTCTCATCGCAGCACCGCAATGTCGCGTACCACGAGATCGACTTCCCGGCCATCACCGCCCGCAAGCAGGCCATCATCCGCTCATCGCCGCAGCTGCAGGCTCTTCTCTCAGCCCCGGAACCCCTGAGCCCGACAACCTGGCAGTCCCGTGCCGTGAACCCAGACTCAAACAACACCCTCACCCTGCATGGCTTAGACCTCAGGCACTTCCCCCTTTCGCCCCCTTCCGAGTCTCAGGCGTATCAGCACCCACTACCAACCTTCAACCCCTTTGCCCCAACCCTCGTCCTGTCCGAATGCTGCCTCTGCTACCTGGCCCCCGCCACCGCCTCGTCCATCCTCGAGTTCTTCACCACCACAGCTACTCCCACTAGTACTACCACCTCTTCACCCTCACCATCGCCGCCATCACTAGGCGTGGTAATCTACGAACCCATCCAACCACACGACGCGTTCGGGCGCATGATGGTCTCCAACCTAGCAGCGCGGGGGATCAGCATGCCGACGCTCGAAGCCTACCCGACGGAAGCCGACCAGCAAGCTCGGCTTCGCGGGGCCGGGTTTGACGAGGTGCGGTGCCGGACGGTGGACAGCATTTGGGACAAATGGGTGAGTGCGCGCGAGAAGGAGAGGGTTGATAGGTTGGAGGGGGGGCTGGACGAGGTTGAGGAGTGGCGGTTGTTGGCCGGGCATTACGTGGTTGCTTGGGGTTGGAGGACGGGTGGAGGCGGTGGTGGGATGGACTTGGAGGTGGATGGGCAGGGGGAAGTTGGACGGGATGGGGATGGGGATGGAGACGGGGAGGAAGGTTGAGAACTGATTACTGTATCCTGTCCTTCGTGCTTATTATAATTATAACAGTCGGGAGCGGCTTGAAGGCGTCTCAGGCATAATTCACTTGAAGTTGACTGGTCACTGTGATGATGAAAAAGAAAATGCCACTATATACGCTATCCCCATTCACGCCTTGCCCATGCGGGTATCACTACCGAACCTGTCCAACGCCAACCCAGAGATGCCAAATACGTAGTTATATAATCCAAGTCGTGATGCCTTCATGATGAATCAAGTGAAATTCCAAAAATCGCGCTGAAGCACCCGATGGGGCTCGTAAATCGATGGCGAGCAGTGCTGATGCTTCGTATCACTGCGGCAAAGCACAGAGCAAGCCTACGAGGTCAAAACAGCTTGAGAGGCGTCCGTTGCTTCAACCTCGTGAAGTTGAGCATAGCCCTGGATTTCTTGGGGCGGGCCTGGAGCCGACGGAAAGCCTCCTGAATGTGCCGTGGCTCGATAGGCGTGCGGCCCTCGCTGGGCGGGTCGAACAGGCCTCGTCCACCTGGCGCCTTGCGCTTTTTGGGGTTGCCCGCCCGCTCGCGGTGTAGGTCTTCGTTTTCCTTGATTTTGAGCGCCTCCTCGGTCAGGGTCTGCACCATCTCAAAGGTGAGGAAGCCGAGAATGTCAACAACGTCGTCGGTCGGCTTGCTGTCCGTGACCACGCCAAAGCCGGCCCACTCGCGGAAGCGCTTGCCCTTACGGTAGGTGAAGGATGCCTGGCGATATTCGGACCACGTGACGTACTCCTCCTTGGTCATGGCTTTTGTGCGTTCGTCGGCTTTGCGTAAGCGCTGGAGGGTGATGTAGTTCATCTCTTCCTCCTCGTCGTCTTCCTCATCATCCCGCTCGGGCACCTCAACGGGAAAGAAGGAGGCCGGCTCCCAAGGAAGCCCAACCCTTGCCCTTTTGTTTTTCTTTGTGCTGTCATCGACGGGGCCTGCGACGCCGCCGACAGCATCGTCGCCGGCGCCCAAATCCTCACCACCCTTGTCGTCAGACTCCTTGACATTCTTACGGACATCTTTCCATGAGAGAAAAGTGCGCAGACGAGAGACCTTGGCGGGATCGTCGCGAATCTGAAAGATAAGGTCATTGATGCTGATTGACCGCGATCCGCGCCGCGCCGCCAGTTCAGTGCAACTTCTCAGCTGAAATCATCGTCAATGAACAAGTCATCTCGCCGAGTCAGGAGATGGCAAGCTTACAATTTCCACGACCTGTTGGCGGACAATATCTTCGATTATCCCGGTAGTTTCCAGCGATGGTTCACCCGTCTCGCCAGAGACGTACATCATCTAAATCTCGACTTGGTCAGCAGTCACCCCAAGTGGAAATTTAGTTGGCTTGAGTGTAATTCCATCCACGATAACCATGATGACTGGGACGTGTCTGGGACCACTTGGGATGAAGTAACAACCAAGAGCTTATAGATGAGACAGCAAGGCCAGATGTAGAAAGCAACGTCAGAACAGTAGACTCAGGGTTACCGGTCATAGGAACGGCTCAAAGGCGATGAAGCCGAGGTTCCGGATCATCGCTAAGACCCCCAAGATTGCTCCCAAACGCACTGCAGGAAGATGCGCCCGCGGGAGTAAGGCGTGCCAATGAAACTGGAGCTTGAGAGCAAACCGGATGCTTTCGCACCTACCTGCTGGATTTCCTGGCGATACTTGTACTGTTTGTCCTTCTCGGTCGCCATCTTAGCCAGTTGAAAAGTATAGCTGTAATGATGATAACGATACTGTAATGAGTGATGTGATGATTTCTTTGAAAGCGGCCGGAGACAATGAGCGCGTGCGAATGAGCGGTTGACGTTGGGTTTTGGAACAAAGGCGAGGGTTGGACAATTGCCTTGTGGTACGCCGTACAGTAATTCATGTAATAGTGTTACAGTACGGAACAAATATCATGATTGAAAAATGGAAACAGGGGTGATTAAGCCACTTTCTGGGGAAGTGGGTCTGAGCCCCCGATAAGCGCGTACCCCGCCCATCTCCATTCGACCCCACGCTGGGAAGGCAGCTTATCAGCCGCATCGCATCTGCCTGCACCGCGTAAGCAGGTCTAAGCAACCTCACGTTATACTGCAGCCTTATAAGTCACCCCTTTTGATACAAACGTATTCCTTATATCTCATCACCCGTCCCAGTATCCGTCCCAGATTCGAAGACCAGTACTGCTTCATATCCCGAGGTATCAAAACAGAGCCAAAATGCCTCCGCCATCGTCATCGCTCGTGGTATGTTTTCATCACCCTTTTCCCACCCTGAGCATCCTTTAGTGCCCGTAAGATCACAGTTGAACAACCGTCACTAACACGCAAGGGTGCTATTCCCGCCCACCCGACCTCGCCCAGTCCAAAATCAAAGTCCAACTCAAACTAGCCATTGCCCGGTTGAGGATGGTGCAAAAACGTGACGAGGCCTTATCCAAAGCGCAGCGTCGCGCCATGGCGCAGCTGCTCGAACAGGGCAAGACGGACTCGGCGCGGATCCGCGTCGAGAACATCATCCGCTCCGACATCATCACGGAGCTGCACGAAATGCTCGAGCTGTACTGCGAGCTGCTGCTGGCCCGCGCGGGACTGCTCGAGGCCTCGACCCAGTGCGACCCGGGCCTGGAGGAGGCGGTCAAGAGCATCATCTACGCGGCGCCCAAGACCGAGATCAAGGAGCTGCAGCAGGTGAGGCTGCTTCTGGCCGAGAAGTTTGGCAAGGAGTTTGTTCTTGTGGCCATGGAGAATGCCGATGGCAAGGTCAGCCAGGGGGTGGTGAAGAAGTTGAGTGTTAGTCCGCCCAAGGAGGAGCTGGTGCAGGGGTATCTGGAGGAGATTGCCAAGGCCTACGGGGTAAATTGGCCGCCTGGGAGAGACGATGGACCGGGGAAGGCACCGGATTTTGTCGACGGCGATGATGATGAGAACCCGAGCGGAAGACAAAAGCAGGAGAATTCTGACGAGCCGCTACATGGGGAAGACGACGAGGTTGAGGCAAGGGAAGAGCTCAGCAAGGCCACACCGCCAAGGACATTCGGTCCTGCGAGTCCTCTGCACGTTAACCCCCCGAGCCCGTCGACGGAGAATATCCATCCAAAGGTTACCCTCAACAAGATGGAGCTAACGCCAACCAAAAAGGCGTCGGGGACCGGGCTGACTGTAGGAAAGAAGTCTGTGGAGAGGAAAGGCAGCATTGCTGACGGCATTCCCGATGTGGACGAGTTGGCTAAACGGTTCGCTGCTCTAAAGAGGTGACCCGATATCTATCATGAGGCTCCGTTCCATTCTGGTTTCTGGTGTCTTGCATCGTCGTTGGTTCAGGTTGGTATCGGGTGTCTCGTCCACAGGGAGTCACAGTGTGTTCATTCGATCTATCGCAGCTGCTTTCCAAATCTCTCCCGGTTTACGGTTAGTTTCCTTAGGAGGTTCGTGCTACGCTGAAGTTTGCACGACTGCGTCGACTCTTAAGGTACAGAGCATACTGCTAATTATCAAGGCAAGGTGCGTGCCTTATCTCTATCCAAGGGGAATTGCTGGGAAGGACTCGTCGAAGTTGAGCAATTTGGCCTAACATTGTGTGCTGGTTTCCCCTTTGCACTGCGCCCTGCATCATTTCTGCCTCTCCGCTAAAAGAAAGTGTCATCTCATACGGTACCTTCCTTCATACAATGTCCCGATGGTGCTAGGTTACTCATCATTGCGGTAGGCGTACCTTCCTCCGACCATATATTTCCTCCCTCCTCTTTTCCATTTGCGTTTCAAAACAACTGCTCCATTTAACGCAAATCTCGTTCTACACACAATCCTCTCCTCTTTCATCTTCCTCCTCCATTTTCCTGCTCATTTTCCTCCCCATTTCTTCCCCCATTTTCCCCATCGCAGTCCGACATTTTGAGAGTTTGACGGCGACGACCCGATCCGATTTTCTCTTCGTTATCACATCTCTGTCTCTACAAAGACCCATTTGTTGTGATTCTGAGATTCCGGCTGGTTTCAAAGCACTGCTTCTACGTTTCCTGATATTCTCTTTTAACGGTCCGTTTCAGCGGTGAATCATCGCTTGTTCACTTCACCCTAGCTGCTTCGACTACTCAAGTCTTCTTTTTATGCAAAGGAGCACATGACTCTTTTGGACCAGCCAAGATGGATCATGCAGATAAGATGAAGCAAAACATGGACATTTTAGGGCCCAAAGGCCTCAAAAGCATTTCCATGGGTGAGCTTTTGGACTCAGTGGACCGCAACTGCCCGCAAGAGGTGAGGAAGGTGCGGCTTCTCGAAATCTCAGTCATGTGGTTGCACGAGCGGCTCATGACAGTCGACGTCTCAACTGAGGTTGCCCTCACAAGAGAAGCGGTCTCGTGGTACAACGCCTTGAAGGCGGCTTCCATTGATGATGACGCGATTGCCGAAGCAATCAATGACTGGCGGCTTAGCCAGGATACTCACGACTTAGACAGCGCCAGAAGACTGAGCTTTGCTAACCAACTACATAATCTGATGGCTGCCAAAGCTACGCCTTCCAGACGCGACTCTAAGACCGCGGATCCAGAGAGGGAGTATGGAAACATGCACCCTGACAGGTTGAGGTTGTCCCAGAACGGACTGCCGGCCACAGAGCTGGATGATGACGAGCCAGGCGAAATTATCGAGACTTCCTCCCCTCAGTGGGAGGGCTCGGTCCGACCTCGAATCGACAGGCAAGATCAGCCGCCTGACCTGTCGTTCTTGACAGGGTCCAACCGTCTGGTCCTAGGCGAAACCACCAATGGCCATATCAACGACGAGGGCCTGGATAGCACGGCGCCCAGCGCTACCAGGACGCCTCATATCGACTACGTGTGCATGCGTTGCAAGATCCCCGGTAAGTACTCCCGTTTACTTCATCACTAACAAAATCTTACCAAATGGCAGGTCACACTCGCGAAAACTGTCCCACCCGTTTCGATCCGGCCTTCGATAGGAACGACGCTGACAATGCTTATCTTTCGCGGGCTAGAGATGGCCGATGGTCTAGGTTTGGCGAGCTGTCCGGTGGTTCGCGTCGCTCCCAGTCCCCTTCCAGTCACATCAGCAGCAAGCGTCAAAAGAAAAGGCGGCGTCGGGATTACGAGCTGTCAAATTACCTGTCCGACCGCTCTTATCGGGGTCGCAACAGCAATACCAACCACTACCGTGAAGGATCCCCCAGCGAGTCGGTGCGCCGTACGAGCAGATACCCGCCAGCCGGGGAGCACGCAAAGAAGAAAGTGCGTAGAGTGACCTCGCTCGGGGACTCATTTGTTGAAATTATCAACAACAAGGACCCTAAGGGAGCGCCACTGTCGCAGGAGGATGAATACGAGGACTATGTGCGGGCAACTCCTCTGGTTGAGCACGCTGGCAGTGGGCTGGACAACGAAGAGATGATTGCCGACATTGATGAGACGTCCGTCCTGGAGAAGATTCATAACTGTGCCGACGGCGTCGAGGATTTTGATATTGCATTGGACGAAATGATCAAGACCGAGAGTGGGAAGACTGATTTACTTTTGCTTGTCAAGGATTTCGAACTACTTCCCTCTCACGGTCCCTCCATCATCAACCTTTTTAAAGGTGCGACTGAGATATGGGTCAGGCCCAAGACAGTTCGCCCTCGTCCCTGCGAATACTTCGATGTCCCTGCAGAAGGCCAACAGAGGATTCGAGAACAAGGCGCGAGTGCGCAGTTGGCCGGAAGAGCTGTCGCTGGAGAGAAGGGTGTAGAGGGGCACAATCGACCCAAAGCAGTTGACGCAGAGTTAGGGTTTGCTGGCAATACTCACTACCTACAGGCCTTGGCTAATGACAAAGATGTGGCCATGACTTACCCTGCGATTGCTGCGGTGACTGAGCGCCCTGCCTTTGGGGACAGCTTTATAATGGCGACAAGCAGCCTTCAGCTCGACGACTCTTTTCTAGAGTACGACATTGGCGGAACGGGAGACGATCTCTCCGATCCTGGCGCAGCCGATCCAGATACGCCGGGATTCTCCAAGCCTCACACATTTGGGTGCATTGCCGTGGAAGGGACCGAGGCTCTGCCGGCTGCTGTTCAAGGCGGATCTGCGGTCCAGACCGTTGCTGAAGGCAATGGTTCGGAGATTGAGCAGTATTGAACACCCCAGACGGTCGGGAAACACATTTCCGCTTGTCACATGTCGACTCAGGCGACCCCGGACGATGACCCGCTGCGGGTTGCTGAGGGAGCAGTCGATCCAAGGGAAGGGATCTGGCGCGATGGCCCTTGATGATTAAACCGGGGGATGTTGAGGGCCCGCCCCTTTTTGCCTAGAAGTCTAGGGAGGACATCCCCGCTTGTGGACAGAGCCGTGTTGGTCCACGGGCCTCTGGCACAGCACTTCTTTCCTGTCGTTGTTTTGCTTGCTTTTGTGTCGGAAATACCATGGACGATCAGGCGATGAACGGCAATCCATGAAGAGAGCCAGGCGGTATTCATGGGAGATGCGTCTAAGATTTATTTCAGCCTTTGATATTTGATGCGCTGATATTGAGGGCCTGTTTGACTGGGCTCGAGAAGCTTGATACTGGCATCAAGTCTGCTAAAGATGGGCAGTTTCTGGCCATGAGAACCTGTGGGCGCACTGGTCACCCACGCCATTCGTGTCGGATGTATGAAGAACACTTGTACGTGTATATAACTTGTTATGACTGGTTTCTTCTGTCGGCTACATCACATAAACACATGAGTTTTGCGACCTTGCTTCCCCTAGCATATGGCTTGACCTTCTTGTGTAGGTGTATCCGATGTTCCATCCTGAGACATCTGCCCGGTGACTGGGAGTTAGTAAGGCATGAAGCCTTTACGAAGCCCTTTCCACCTGGATCCTTCCCTTGAGACCATACCGCCTCTGCTCTAAGAACGGGTTGATTCAGGTAGTCCCAGCTGTCCCGGCTGTCCAGATTCCAACCGTAAATTCATGCAGACCGGCCTTGTCTCATACCTCGCAATGCTGGCGGCTACACCAAGTCTCGTAGTAGACCTGCCCCAGCGTGCCGCGTCTTCCAGCGACCCCTTTCTGCTAAATAAAACCCAACCCCGGCCCTGTCAGAGCCTCTCATTTGCTCTCACAGCCGGCAGCCAAAGGTGAAGACGCAGTTGGCAAAGAAAGACTAGCGCAGCGGCCTGTCCGCTCTCGTCATCGGTGCCTCTGTCTCCCTTGTCGTCTGGAGCCCACGGATCCGGCTATCCATCTCCTTTTCCCCTCCTAAGATCCTCAAATAGAGCACTTATGACCCTCCCACCAAACCTAACTGGAAGCAGAGCACCCAGCCTTCGCTGCTTCACTCAAGCTTATCCAGATGCTCCAGCCTGGTCAAAACAACCTGCTTGCTCGTCTCCTCAATCTCCCCGGCCAAAAACACCTCGTCAAGGATGGCATAGACCTTGTAGAAATTGAACACCAGGTCCAGCTCACAGACGTTGCCGAAAAAGGAATCAAGCACCTCGACAAAGAAGTGAATGGCCTCGAGGTAGGCGAGCTCGTTGTCGTTTGTGTCGACACACGCGCAGAAAAAGAGCCCCGCGTACCGTCGGTAGACAATCTTGTTGTTGCGGAACTCGACGAAATTGGACTGGTACTTTTGATCGCGCGGCGCAACGAGGCGGTGGACCTAGTTACCAAAATGTTTGGTTAAGGGATGGGCGTTTGAATAGGGTGGATAGGAGGAGACGCACTTCGCCTTTGAGCTTGATCTTTTCCTCGTCGCTATAAGGGACGTACCACTTAGCTAGGCGGGTTTTGCCCCTATGGAAGGAACGAGACAGTGATTAGTAGATGCGCGCTGGAAAATTGTAAAGGGAGGTAGATGCGTACTGCCGGTTCTGGATGAGGATAAACGACAACATTGTCGCTGCGCAGGCGATTGCCTGCTGTTTCGCTGCCCCGATGTCTTGTGTTCGGTGCTGTCCGGTTCGTGATGCTGCCGATCAGGGGATGTAAGGGTCCGGCTAGAGAAGCGAACAGGGTTAGGGTTTCCTTTCGCAACCCCCTACCATACGCAACGATGCGCTCGTCGTGCAGTCTCGCAAGTAAACAGTCTTATAAATCAGTTGCCAATTACATAGCTAAGGCTTCAAGTACCTCGAGACGCTGCATCTAGTTCCATCCCTAAAATTAACCCTAAACGCCGAATCTGTCACCGTGTCATGTCACGGCCAGGCCTCGATCTATTGCCAAAACGCCATCTCAACATCCCAGAAGAATGCGCACGCCATCAGATGCTCCCCATGTTCCTCCTTCAAATAGAATCTCCTTTCTCGGCCGCCTAAAATCAGTTCCATTCAGTCCTCCAAAGCGAACTCCTAATCCTCAGTCCCACCTTTGCGCTCTTCCCGCAATCGCTGCGAATACTGATGCCGGATGGTTGACAGCGTGACGACAAGCCCCAGTCCGCACGCAACAAGGGTGACAAAGTACGCATTCTTGTAGCAATCCAGCCCATCTGGGCAATACCGATCGCCATCAGCGCCGACGATGGTGTGACTGTCAAAGACAGCGCCGTAAAACAGATTGAAAATGTTGCCTGAAATTACCGGCGAGAGAGTCATGAATCCCCAGTTCTGGCTCAGGCCGCGGATTCCAAACGACTCAGCCACGATGGACGGGAAGACACCAAACAGGAAACCGTAGCCGAGACCAGATAGACCGGATACGAAGCCCAAGAGGTGAGGGTTGTCGATATTGAGCGCGCAGATCTGGGCGATGCAGAAGATGAAGCTGGCGATAACGAGGCACCAGGCGCGGCTGGCATGGAGCTTCTTTACAAGAAAGTCGGATCCAACGCCTAGGGTGGGCTTGGTTAGCATGAAACGGCACAAACACCGGGCACCGGGGCTTCTCACCGCTGAACAATCTTCCGAGAAAACTGCCAACAGACAGAATGGAAACGTGCATCTGCTGCCGCTTGACAAGGAAAGTCTCATCTACAGAACTATCGTAGCGATTCCAGAGAGCATTGACGTCATGGCCAATGTTGCTGTACCGGAAGGGTCAGCACAATCCTGCCAAGATAAGAAAATGAAGCCTACTTGATGGTCATCAATCCAATGCCGGCCAGGATGCCCATAATGGCGAATAGCTGCCAGAACTCGACGTTCCTGAGCAGGCGCATACCACGGATATCTACACGATGGGAGCGATCCTTATCAATACTGTTGTCCACGTAAACATCGCCTGGCAGCGACGGCGAGGTCGACGACTTGGACATGAGGGACGAAGTCTCGTCTACCTCCGGGGATGAAGCGTCCGAGGCATGGTTGCGAGCCACAGAGACAGGCCGGGCGGCTTCGACATCAATCTGGTCGGGCGCGGGGCTGATGGCGTCACGGGAAGACCCGGCCTCGGGAGTCGTGTAGGTGGTGGGCGACGTACCGGTTTCTGCATCTGGGGAGCAACGCCCGCTGTGGGGGCCGTGACGGCGAACAGGCTTGGCCTCCACGGACGGGGTGCGGCGCAACTGCTGCGAGTCGGACAGGCCAGGTCCGCCGGTCGGGACGCTGTGGTACGCCGTGTGCGGATAGACCCTTAGGAAGAAGAAGCCGACAAAGGTTAAACAAAAGGTTCCAGCGGCCAGGAGGGCGAGGAAGGCGCTTGTGCTGCCGGGGAACAAGGCGCCGCCAAAGACGGAGAAGAAGAAGGCGCTGAGGCCGAAGGCGGCGAGGGGAAACGCGGTCGCGGTGCCTCGGTGGTGTGGCCAGTTCAAGGCCGACGTCTTGACGGCGGCGGCGAAGGCCATGCAGCCGCCCAAGCCGGTTAGGAACGAAAACAAGCAGAGGACCGGAAGGGAACCCGAGCCGGTGTCATAGGCGGAGCGGAAAGGATAGTAACCAAGCCCAAGGCACAGCGAGCCGGCAATTACAGCCGGGCGAGGACCGCGGTGGTCGATGAACAAGCCGATCGGGACACCCATGGAATACATTCCCAGATTCCCCGCCGCGCCGATCAAGTTGCTCTCGGTCGTGGTGAGGTGTAGTTTATCGGCGAACTGTGGAGCCCATGCCGAATAGACATACTGCACGACGGTGCCACGGTTTTGTGTCAACGGTTAGCCGCCTGTCGATCGACCCATTCGCTCGGGTGTGATAATCCTTGGCCTCAAGGTTAACATGCTGGGGGGACGGAAACATACATTTGTTCCGCATGCTAGAGAGATCAATGTGGCGGCCACGCTCGAGACTATTCGAGCGTGGTGTAGCTGTCGTTCCCTCATGGCTGCTTCGCTCGCTCCAAGCAGCAGCGATAACGGAGACGGGCGCGATACGGTCACAACGGAGGCTTCAGCCCTGCTCGAAGCATCCCGACAAATTTGAAGACCAAAATTATCGCGCACAACAGGCACCGAAGGGAACCAGTGTTAGCCGGAAAGGGGTGATGACGACTTCATGGTGAGGTGTAAGGGCAGGGCACTGGAGATAAGGACTGATGTGAAGCCAACAGCGGTTGATTGACGTGTGGATGCTGCGGGTTTCACACGTAATTGACTGACCCCTTGTTCCTTCCGCCAGAGCCTTGTCCCGGTTTTCGGTCGTTTGATTGGCCGTGGAAGGAGCAGGTGCCGGGGAGGATAGTGCCGAGACCGGCAGCCTTCCTCGTCCAACTGTCCGCCTGATTACGGTTTCAGCGTGCCTATCACAACTTGATAAACCAATTCAGGTGCAATAGGGGAAACTATGCTGCCATAGCGGTCACGATGTAGGCTAACAGTTTCCTTGTCGAGCTTGGTCACGTGCCAAGTCATGCTGGTACCGTACAATACACAATACCTATTAGATACAGTTACATCTCTTGGCGGGCTTGACCCACTGATTGATTGCTTGGCCCTTGGCACTGCCTGCGTTAACCCCCAACGGCTGCTGCAATCGTCATCCCCTTGGCGCCGTGTCTTGATTCTAGAACCTCACATTGACATCCGTCCAAGACCACAAGCCTGCGCTCTTTCGAATCGCACTTGTCCCTGTTGACACTTGACACCTCTACCATAGACGTCTTCCGACCTATTCTTCAAGGATCCAGGAGCCGCTACAGTTGCTAGAGCCGTCGCCATGGGGGCCTTCCTGTCGATACCACTGTTGGCGGTGCCGAGCATGGGCACGGTATGTCGTCCGCCGTGTCTCCCATGGTTCTGGTTACTAACTCGTCACTCTCTCCAGCTCATCTCCTTTGCGGCCAGCTGCTGCGGTGCAGCAACCTGCTCCATGGTCTGCAGCGCTTGCGGGAAATGCGGAAACAGGTTGGTCACCACTGAGCGCATTCGATGAAAACAACTTTGCTCACGTCTCACCTCTCTCTGCCAGCGTCGCAACGCGCATCGCCTACGCCCTCATACTTCTCATCAACTCGATACTATCATGGATCATGCTCACGAAATGGGCCATCGAAAAGCTCGAACACCTCATGCTCGACTACGTCAAGATTAGCTGCGGGAAAGGGGAATGTCACGGCTGGCTAGCCGTGCACCGCATCAACTTCGCCCTTGGCATGTTCCACCTCGTCCTCGCCGCCCTCATGCTCGGCGTACACTCGTCCAAAAACCCGCGCGCCGCCATTCAGAACGGCTTCTGGGGCCCCAAGATCATCGCCTGGCTGGGCCTCATAGTGCTGACCTTCTTCATCCCCGACACCTTCTTCCAGTTCTGGGGTAACTACATCGCCATGATGGGCGCCATGCTCTTCCTCATTCTCGGCCTCATCCTCCTCGTCGACCTCGCACACAACTGGGCGGAGTACTGCCTCGCCCAGATTGAGGACACCGACTCCAGAACCTGGCGCGCCATCCTGATCGGCTCCACCCTGGGCATGTACCTGGCCTCGATAGCCATGACCATCGTGCAGTACATCTTCTTCGCCTCGTCGGGCTGCTCCATGAACCAGGCCGCCATCACCATCAACCTCCTCCTCTGGATCATCATCTCGGTCATCTCAGTCCACCCCACCGTGCAGGAGCACAACCCCAAGGCCGGCCTGGCGCAAGCCGCCATGGTCGCAGTCTACTGCACCTACCTGACCATGTCGGCCGTGTCCATGGAACCGGACGAGACCGAGGACCGGCGGTGCAACCCACTCGTGCTGGGCCAGGGCACGCGCACCACCACCATCGTGGTCGGCGCCATCGTGACGATGCTGACGGTGGCCTACACGACCACGCGTGCCGCCACCCAGAGTCTCGGGCTCGGCGGCAGCGGCAACCGGATCCGGCTGCCCGACGACGACGACTACAGCGAGGGGGCGGCCGACGCGCACCACGTCGACCTGGTCACGACGCAGCCGCGCAACGCCCGCCGCCAGATGCGCGCCGAGGCCCTTCGCCGCGCCGTCGAGGAGGGCAGTCTACCCGCTGATGCGCTGCTTGAGGATGATGATGATGATGACGACAACAGCAGTGGTGGTGGTGGTGCCGGTGGGAAACGGACGGCTAACGATGATGAGCGCTCTAGCACCCAGTACAGCTACGCCATGTTCCATGTTATCTTCTTTTTGGCTACGGCTTGGGTTGCTACTCTGCTCACTATGGACTGGGATGACAGCAAGTCGTCGGACGGCTTCGCGACCGTCGGCAGGACCCTCTGGGCTAGCTGGGTCAAGATTGTTAGCTCTTGGGTGTGCTACGCCATGTATGCCTGGACTCTGGTTGCGCCGATTTTGTTGCCTGATAGGTTTGAATAAGGGGACTATGGGACAGGGGGGAGGTGGAGATGTTGAAAGACAGAGGTAGGGGAAAGGGACAGTGGGGAGGCGATATACCCTGTTACTGCCTGCTTTGGTTTCTGTCCATTTTTCTCACGGCTCTGCTGGATATGAGACACGTGCGGAGGGATTACTGGTGTTGGTGTCTTTCTTTCGTGTGGCTTGTGTCGATGCATACTGAGGCGCTAGGTGGGTTTTCTTTATTCTGGTCTTTTGAGGTGTCAGGACAGATGCATGTCGAGAGGAGCTTGTCACTATTACTACTACTGCTACCGATGCAAACGAGCATTCTCATGCAAAGAAGGCCGTTGTATTGCTATCTTAACATCCGAATGAATTAGCCGGGATACGATGTACAGTGTTAGTGTCATAGGACTTGTTGAGAAGCAATATGCACAGTCCTTTCTCTCCCGTCCCCCTTCCATTCCTTCCGCTCCTTTTCTGTTGTTTTCCTTCTTTCTCCTCCTTCCTATTCAGCTTGACCTTGCAAAGTCGGACTAGGACAGCATGATATGGCATGACATGGCTGCTATGTATTGGACTCGATATGCACGCGGCCGTTGCTTCTAATACTAGCCAGACTCTTGCTCTAGTTTGGATCTTGATGGTTATAGATCTCCCCAGTATATCCCCCTTCCTGTTTCTCCATTTTTCTGAGCCGACGATTCTCTAGCGGCCCGGACCTCCTTGACATGTATCCACAGGGCCAGTAGGGGCAATAGCCTGTGTGACGGGGATGGCATAGCCCCAGGTAGTGCAAGCCCGGCCGGGATCTTTTGCTGATGCAGGCGCTTGCGTGATGCAGTCGTAGGCAGGTAGGTATGTAGGTAGAACGCATGGGCGTTAAGCAAGTTTGTTTGCTCCCTCTCTCCCATGTGCCCTGATTCCGTTAATAAAAAGTACTCCTTCTCCCTCTCTCATGGAATCCTTGCTTGGCCCGAAGGTACTAGTAAGGCGCCCCTAGCCTCCTAGGACATCATCCCTTTGCCTGAAAGGAGCAGCGGTGCGACTCGACAATGTGAATCGTGCGCTACTTAATAGCATGAGCATGAGCATCGCGAGAATGGCGGTCAAAAGATAGAAATAGCCCGAAATGCGCCGGATTGCAAGTACCAGCCTGACGGAGCCACGACATACCCCGGCCATGGCAAGATCGTTCTGTGGGGATTAGTAGAACCAACTTCACAGAGTATGACGATACGCTGTGCTGAACTCATGTGGCGCGGGGAGCGTTTGACAGGCCGGACAGCGTTCAGGCTGCAGGGCAGGGCTGTTGTACAAGTACAGTACTCATGCCGTCGCACGATTAACATCTGGGGTAGACTTGGCTACTGTAGGCTTATACCCCTTTTCCATTGGAAACTGAGATACATAAGGCGGTGCTACCTACAAAGCCGGAGAGGAAGTATCCCTGCTCTCCCGCACCTGAAATGTTGGAACCCAGAAGCACAGGCAGTCAGTCTGTACGATGCTAAGGACTGCCCTCGTCTGTACGACGTAGGCATGACCCGCATATAACAGCTCTCTTTTTGGTATTGGTATGTATCTTCAAACTCAGCCATCGAGGTCCCTGAATCTGGTTGTCTGTACTCCGTAATGCCAAGCGATTCAAGCAGTCGGCGCTGAACAGAGCTTCAACAACTAAAGATAGGTACGCCCAGCCCGCGACAGCTCTCGATGGTCAAGCCCAGAGCTGTTGCCTCTTTACTGTACAGTACATGCCAGACGGGCACCTGCAGCAGGATGGGCCCCAAACAGAAAAAGAAAAACCCGGCGTCCATCCACCGCCATTCTGCGCCTGCGCTGCTCCGGTCGAAGAGAGAGAGGGCGTGGGCGTGCGTGCGTGCGTGCTTGGGCAACCATGCTGCTGCTGGTGCTGCTTGCTCTCGTGGTCAGGTCTTACCGATCCCTACTTGTCGATATGTAGAATGTCTCGTGTAACAGTGAAAGATGCCTGTGCGAGTACGAGTGCCGGGAAGGAGAAAGGGGGAATGTAGATGGAATAAACCAGCAAGGGACGAGTCTGGGGTAGAAAGGATAGGGCGGCAAGTCCTGAACCAGCCGGGATCCTTCTCAGCCGGCGGCTAGGTACCTAGTCTCCCTCCCTTTCCCATCATCACCGTCACCATCATCTGGCAGGGCGCGGATCTTGGCAAGATCAAGCCACCGGTACCACCCCCACGCTCCAAATAGGGCCGCCCTGTATGGTCGTCTCAGAGCTGGCAGAACTGCCTAGGTATAGAAGCGAGCACCCGTGTCATCATCGGGGAACAGCAAACGGCTGACATGGGTATAGCACCAAGAGTCTCGTTACGACGACCCTTGTATGCGAGTACATATTCCACCGTGGATAGATTAGGTATGCACTCGTCCGCAGGTGATTCCCTGACAGTCCAAGTACAGCTGAAGGTACCTTAGGCCGGAGCGCTCTCGAGGACGGGCAGGGTCTGACGATCGAATCCAGCAGCGGAGTTGGTGTGGTTGTACTGCCGCCGCACACCTTTCAGGGAGGAGGGATTAGCAAATGTCGGACCCGGGCTGACAGCGAGGAACAGTGAGGGACCGCGAATGGGTGGAAGATGTGGCGCAAAAACAGAGACATCTTGCATGAAAAATGAGCAGATTCATGGGCCCAGACGTTTGGCCAGCAGTGATTCGTTTATAGTGGCCCTGCGCGTCGACGAGCAGCCACGTACGACCGAGAGGCGTCCTGGAGCAAGGTAAATTGCAGGATAGGTGAGATTGGGGTATATGGCGGAGAGAGAGGATAGATGTTTGCTTTTCTTCACCCAGCATTTCCATCGCTAAACTCGGTCCTTGGGTGCCACGACAACCAAGAGGTCACCACAGTCCTGCAGGGGGGGTAACTTAGCGATACCTCAGCATCGCACCTCGTGACTCGAGACGAAAAGGACGTTATCGTGGGATGACATCGTGCAACAGGAAGCGTAGAACGACTCGACATGCCCCTTGATTCCCCTTTCTATCGAGCCCGCCGGGGTTGTAGCTTATTCCTAGTACCGAGAATGCCGCGATGCACGTCCGAGATGGAAGCCCCGGCGCACGAGAATGATATAGATATATATATATATGTATATATATATCTCTACCCCAATCACTTCCAGAAAAGGATCCAAACTTCTAGCACCCTGGTCTTGACCTTTGTCGACGAGACTGTGATCACCGAGCGCCCAGAGCCTTCAGCAACAATGCCACACAGCGTGAAATACGACACGGCAACCCGAGGACATGATCGACGGTCCGTTGCGCCCGGCGTCATGTTCCCAAGAGTAGCTTCTCAACTTTGCAGGGACGAACGGGGCCAGCTTGATCCAAGCAAGTCCACCCAGACCGGGAACGCCGCCCGGCAGCAGTCGCCGATGTTGAAAGAGTGGCAAGACGAGCTTGACCCCCGGAAGCTCACCATCAACGAAGCGCTGTTATTCGGTCACTTGACTTGGTACGTAGGCCACGAGCCCCCCACGCGCCAAGACCACTTGTACGATGTTAACGATCGAAGCGCGCGAGCCGAGGTTCGCCATGCTGAGGGCCGTCTGGGTGGCGTTGCCACGCGGCTGGCAGGGCAGCGCGTGGGATGATGGGACTGGAGCACTGGTTTGCAGGCGTTTCCGGCGCTGGGCGGGGCCGAGTCCGCTGTATTTCATTACGTTCGTTCCTATGCAGAAGACTTTCCATGGGTACGGAAAATGAGAAGTGAGGGCTCACGAACCCACACACCGCCGGCTATTAGGTGGATGTTGTACCCCGTACTGCCTAAACCAGCTGGCCGGTCTCAGTAAGATGCAGGGTTAGGCCGACGGTGTAACACCGTCTGCATCCACATGATTCGCATGGAAGCCATCAAGCGTCAGTGTCACTGCACCTGCTTGGACAAGCTAGATAGGTACCGTTAGAAAGAATGCTGCGGCGTGGGGAGAGGCGTCAGAAACAAGGGCGGCTGTCTCGACTTACAGCGCGAGAGAGGTCTTCTATTAAATCATTCACATCCTCAATGCCAACGCAAAGGCGGATGATATCCTCGGGCATCTGTCTCTCTTTCCTCGTCTTGGCGTCGATACTCGCATGGCTCATGCGGCATGGCATGCTGATGAGACTATTGACGCAGCCGAAGCTGACGCTGATCCCCCATAGTCTAGCAGCTTCAACGATCCTCTCAGACAGAGCAACGTCACCCGTCTCAAATGAGAGTACAGCGCCAGCACCCCGCGCCATGGACCAATGGAGGTCGTATTGCGGGTGGGATTTGAGGCCTGGGTAGCGAACCCGGAAGCCGTGCGACTCTAGAAATTCGGCAATTTGTTGGGCATTGGCTTGCTGCTTCTCCATTCGAATTGCCAGCGTCTTGACGCCTCTCATAAGTAGGAAGGAGTCGTTGGGCGAGAGCCCGCAGCCCGTCGCGTTGATGGTAAAGTACATCTTGTCGCCCAACTCTGGGTCATTGCACGCGATGACGCCTGCCATGATATCATGATGGCCGGAAAGGTACTTTGTGCCAGACTCGTACACGATGTCTGCGCCGAGATCGAGCGGGTTCGACAGCATAGGCGAAAGCATGGTGTTGTCCACAACGACTAGCGCCTTTGGATTGACCTCGTGGGCTGCTCTCGCAATGGTCGGGATGTCGACGATCTTAATCAGCGGATTAGTTGGCGTCTCGAGCAGGACCATGGCGGTTTTGCTCGAAATCACGTCTTTGACACAGTCGGCATTGGTGGTGTCGACGTGGTGCACAATCACCCCCTGATTGTTCTTGAGGTACGTAAGCAGCCGGTTTGTGCCGCCATACAGATCGTCGCCAGTAATGACCTCGTCCCCCGGCTTCAGCAGGCGCGTGATGACATCTAGGGCGCCCATGCCTGAGCCCACGGCCAGCACGCGCGTGGCGTTCATGATCTTGGCCAGGTGGCGTTCGAGATGTGTCCGGGTCGGGTTGCCAGACCGGGTGTAGTCATACTCGTTGCCGCCGTTGGCCGACGTCTGTTTGAAGGTGGCCGATTGGTAGATGGGTATGCTCGAAGCACCATACTGGTCCTTGGACTCGGTGTAGACTAACTCGGTCGCCAGCGCATATCGCCGTCTGTCGGGGTACGGGCTGGAAGGGGCTGGAGAAGGTGGGAGAGCATGGCCGTCAAGATCGACCCTGGTGAAGACCTTGTTGGCAGCCTGCGATGCAGGACTGGCTCTTGGAGATGCCATCTGGAGCGTTCGGGAGTGGATGACTCAACAAACAGGACGGGAATTGAGAGTTTACCGGGAGGGGATAATAAGGATGCAATTGAAGGATGCCGTTTCAACAGAACACAAAGAAGGGGATACGGTACACTATGTATGTACGAGGGACAAGGGGCACGGGAGGGTATCGATATTGTAAGCTTGGAGAAGGGACGAGCTGGACCTGAGGAGATGCGTCCTTTCCCCAGCCTCAAGGTCTTTAGTGAACTCTGCATCGCACCTCCCTACACTGTAGCTCGCAATTGGATGTGACCGCTTTTTCCATCCGAGCCCGGAGCGGCAGAGGGAGGCGGGGATAGCGTGCTACCTCCTTTTTGCTGGGAGAGACTGGGGAGGCAAGGTATCCGATATCCGGTCGGGCTACCCCACTGTGGGGCTGTGAAGATGACGTGCTTGCCTTCGGGCCAGGGGTTACTCAATCCTATCCGTACTTGTATGTACATACAGTACACTACTGCTGAGTACTGACAGGTCTCCCTCGAACAGCTCGAAGACACCTTATAACCGTTGAACAAAGATCACCTCAACGCTGAGCAGTTTAGAGCCCTGACAGCACGAGGAAGAACAAGTTCAGTGCTTTCACAGTTGGGGACATTGGTGCTCGTCTGTTTCCTGCCTCAATTGCATGGAGACCGGCAATGGGCCCGAACAGCAGGTCATTATGGCAGAATAGAAACCGGCTAAACGCCTGCTGTGAGATCCATGAGAGGGAAGAACAGTACATTTTTAAGCCCTCTTTGTTTGGGTATTAGTCTATAAGGTCTTGCCAATATCAGCCGTGTCCAACGCCTGTAACACCCATCAATACAGTATTGTCGTATATGCGAGACCCGCGGGCCTTATGTATCCATAGACTTCCCAGAAACAGTGACCTGTTCTTCTTCCGCATCCTCTACATCCTCGTACCCGTCACTGGAGTCTTTGGACTGTCCATTGACAGTACTTTGCTCACGTGAGTGTATCTCGGCAAGAATCCGCCCGCTTCGGCGCCCAAAGAAATCCTCTGTCCTGATGCCTCTAACATGCTCTGGATTGACCGCAGACATGGATTTCCCGGATTCGCGGTGCTGGCGGAGATATTCTCTCATAGGAGCCATGGCCGCATCCCGGCATGCCTCCTTGATGTCACTGCCAGACATGCCGGCAGTGACCTTGGCGATGAAGTCGAGGTCGAAGTTCTCTGGGTCACGCTTTGTATCGCCAAGAATCAGTTGTAAGATGCGTCTCCGTTGTTCCTTCCCGGGCAACGGGACCGGGAATTTCTTTGGCATCCGTCTAAGGATAGCCTCGTCGATGTCGTTGATCCTGTTTGTAGCACCAAGCACGACGATCCTAGCGGGGACGCCGGCGGCGTTTGTAGATGTGAGGCCGTCCCACAGGGTCATGAACCTGAACAGTGTAAGAAAAAGCAGCGCAGCAGAGATAAATGGGTGTTTACTTACTCGGCCTTCACCATGCCACTCGCCTCGTGCTCTCCACTCCTCCGTGTCCCCAAGACGGCGTCGATCTCGTCAATGAAGATGATTGCGGGTTGAAGCTTGTGCGCCAAGGAGAATACGGCCCTGACAAGCTTGTTGGAGTCGCCATACCATTTTTCGGTCAGCGTAGAGATGTGGAGGTTGATGAACGAGGCGCCGCTCTCGTGAGCTAAGGCCTTGGCCAGCATTGTCTTGCCACAGCCTGGAGGTCCGTACAGCAGCACTCCTGATGGTGCTGCCAGCAGCGCCCCACCGTGTGAATACAAATGGGGCATCGTTAATGGGTAAATGACGGATTCCCGAAGCTCTTCGATGATGTCCTCGAGCCCGCCGATGTCATCGAAGCCAACGGGTATATCTTCGGGCGCCACGACTTCGAGCGCTACCTGGTTCTCATATTCGTTGAGAACCAAGTCTTGAGCCCGGGTCGTGTGCCGCGACCCATCCGTGCCATCGCCACTCTCGCCTTTTTCGACCTGTTTCCGCCGTATCCTCTGGAGGTTTGCCTGGGCCTTTAAGCTTGCTTGTTCGTGCTTTTCGCGTTCGGGATCGAGAAGCCTCGCGAGGTAAGGACCGACGAGATCTCTGATCAGAAAATAGGCAGATATCGTCTGAAGAATCTGTGAGCAGGAGACATCGCATGTACAGGGCATCGGCATGTACGTACGCCGGCAGCGACAACCAGTCCCGAGACTAGCTCTCTCATTCGTTTTTGATCGCTCATGTTGCTTTGCGCCGCGGCGCCTGGTCTCGCACGGCTGCAAGAACGAATCTCGGTGCTCTGATGACTTGCGACGTCTTCTCAAAACAGGATCGCATTCGAAAGTGGCACCCACGTCTGTTGGTTCTAAAAGGGTGTACCGAGGACGACGTGGCTATCGTTGCCGATAAGGTACCTTGATTCCCATGTGCTAGCGGAACCTGGTGGCTGAGAACCGAGCAAGGGTGGCGTGGCTATGCGCTTATACGATGCGAGGTTTGGCTTAGCTGCTTTCACCACGGTTATATACATAACAACATCAAGTACGAAGTACGAAGGTATCCGTATCACAACTCCCAGACTGCGTTTTAGCGTCAGGAAAAGGAGCTCCTCAGAGTCTATCAGCTGGCCTGTAGATTCGAATGAAACCGACGTTTTCAGGCATTGCATCAAGATACATGCTTCTCGATCTCGTCACGTATCATCAAGCTTTGTATCGTTCTAGATTTCACCACTCACTACGGTGTTCGTTACGTATATACGGAGTACGAAGTACATAATATGTAACGCTATGAAGACAGGGGTCGGTGCGCTGGGTAATGGTACATGGCAGCGTAAGTCGCGACAGGTGCGGGAGCTTAAGGCCCAATTCGCGTGGTTGCCCCTCCACGCTCAGTTTTGTTTGGTTACCTATCAGGACTGCTATGATGCTTTGGTCAATTGCGCATTCGAATTCTCAATCTTCATTCCTCAAGTTGTTTTTGCTGCGCATACCTAACATTACGCGAAGTGGTAATTTCAACAATAACACACCGTTTGTTTGGTTTTTGCCCTTTTAAGTTAACCAAATAGCTATCTCCACGTGAGCCGCATCGACCGGGGACCGTGTCTTGCTCGCTCCAATGTCGAAACCCAAGGTCCGTTCTCACATGTTGCAGCTGGTAGATTCGGACTCGGAGGACGACTTCGGAGGAAACACATTAAAAGTCGCGCGATCTGCTACTGCTCCTACAGCTTCTCAACAGTCCAAATCCACAAAGAAAAGTAACGTTAGCACCATGCCTCCGAAGAAGAGAGCCGCGGCCGGTCGCCAGGCTGCGAATAGGGTCACCAAGCCTGCCGTCAAGCCGTCTAGCACAAGACGCCGGTCCAATGACCGGATTGCTGCCGCTGCCGATGAATTGATCGCCGGTGATAGGACGGCGTCGGTGGAGAAGCCGAGCAACACGAAACCAGCGGGGAAAGGAGGACGCAAACGGGCCGCTGCTGTAGAGAAAGAGGAGGAGGATATCGCTATGGAAGATGCACCCGCTACTGCTGCTCCAGTCTCACCCGTTGCTAAACAGAAAGCTGCTCGTGGGCGTCCCAAGAAGATTGCGGTTGCCATTGCCACGCCCGAGCCGGCACCAAGCGGCCCACGGAGAGGAAGGAAACCAGGAAGCAAGAAAACAAAACCCGAAGCCGTCGAAGAGGAGGTGTCTGAGATCCCCGAAACACAACAGCCCGATGCTATGCAGAACGGTCTCGACGAAGACGATGATCATGATGACCTAGCAGATCCACCCGCTCCGCCATCTTCAGAGCGTGCGGAGACGGGTCGCAGCAACGCCCCGGTCCCACGCAGTGTATCTAAACGACGCGCAAGCATGCCATCTTCAGAGCCTGGCGACCCAGCTCTGCGTCGTCGACTAGGAGAGATAACCCAGAAATACGAGAGCCTCGAGCTTAGATACCGCGATCTAAAGGAGATAGCGGTGAAGGAAGCTGAGCGCAACTTTGACAGGCTCAGGAAGCAGTCCGAGGAGAAATCAAAACGCAAGTCCCCTTCCTCCCACCTCATCTCAACTCGTCCCCGTTATCCGTACTAACTTTCCCCCTGAATAAAGTGGCCGACCAGCTCATCGCAGCCCTCAAAGCCGAACTCGCCGCGCAGAGGGAAGCCTCCAAGGACTCGCAACGGCTACAAAAACAGCTCGAAGCCGCGGAATCCAAAGCGGCCACTCTCCAAACCAAGGTCAACGAGCTAACCGCTTCACTCGCCGATTCCAAATCCGAGATCAAGTCCCTCAACCTCAAACTGATCGCCGCGCGCAGCGCCGAGGCCACGGCCGCGGCAGCGGCAGCCGTCACCAAAGTCCCTGGGAGCGCCATGAAAGGGTCGGCAGCAACCGCCGCCCGCCTCGCGGCAGCAAGCACGTCCGAGGCCGTCCAGCAGGTGACGCTGGCCGCGCAGAAGAAGGAGGATCTCTACGGCGACCTGACGGGGCTGATTGTGCGGAGCGTCAAGCGCGAGGGTGGTGAGGACGTGTTTGATTGTATCCAGACTGGAAGGAACGGGAGTACGTTCTCTGTCCCCTTTTTTTCCCCCTCCCATCCTCACTTCATCTGCCTCCTTGAATCATTTTTAAACTGACGTCCACTCTTCGTATAGCGCTGCATTTCAAGCTTGCCATCGACGCCGACACCAGCGGAAGCAGTGGAGAAGCCCAGTGCCACTACACGCCGCAGCTCGATGTGAACCGGGACCGGGCGTTGATTGCTGTGCTTCCCGGGTTCTTGGTCGACGAGATCTCATTCCCGCAATCCCAAGCCGGGAAGTTCTACGCAAGGGTAATCAAGGCGCTGACTGACCAGGTGCAGCAGGGGGAATGAATAGGGATAGTATATAGGCTTAGGATGATGTGAGTGAAGGTGAAGGGTGAAAGGCGAAAGGTGAAAGTGTGAGTTTGGTAACCTGTACTATTATGTGTCTCTTGGAACTGTACTTTACATGTTTTCTGTAAGCCTAAGTACCTGAAGGTGCTTGTTTATTGGATGGCAGTGAGACGAGCTAGGTACCTAGAGTTATCACCGTTTGAGATATATCTGGCTCGACGGAAGCAGTTTGGTCAAGGGTATACCTATAGCATGGCAGAGTTCACGGGGAAGGCGGACTAGGCTCGAGAGGGCCCATATAAGGCTCGTTCCTTCCTCCCATATCTTCAAGGAAGCAAACCACACCAAGCACACTTGGCGTAGTGGTTAAGGCCACAGCCTTCTGTTTACCCTCAACCTTCCATACTACGGTCATGGCGGCGGAGAGTGCCCAGGAGGTCGCTCGTTCGAGCCCGCTAGCGGAGAGTACGAGTCTGGGTGTACTTCCTTTTTTGGTTTTTGGTTTTCCTTTTGGTTTTCTCCCGCCCCAGAGCTAGAGTGAATCGCTCCTGCCATGAATCTACTTTATCATTCTATGGCCTATGGCTTCATTGATAATTTCTTTCGGCGGTTTGAGGTTCAGGGCTAAATCATGCACAATGTGCCTAGTTGAAAGCGACATCTGGTATCTTCCCGGAAGAATATGTGATCTTGTTGATTACCCCCGTCTGCTCCCCTTTAAGTGGGAACACCTATTCCCATCCATACAGGTACATACAACACCATGGTCTATCTACAGGTTTATGAAGCATTATACAACTATGCCAGCCGGCGCCTCGCTTGTTGACCCTCCAAAGAAAATATTAACTCCGTCACCTGGCCATCCAGCCCTCTCATGCCCTCGACCCAGATACGATCCTACGCTTCAACCCCGTCTGTCCGTGACGAGGCTGCAAACAGAAAGGTTTTGACGTTACCCGCTCGCCTGGCTCGGTGACCGCGCAGCTGGGTCGTCACCGAACCGGGGAAGAAGACTGGCCATAACCCAGACCGAGAAGCCACGGCCCAGCCCCAGGTTCCTATTCGTGTTGGCGTAGACCAGCCAAAAACAGGCCCAGCCAGACGGTGTTCCGCAACCCGACGGCAAATATATAATCCTGAAGAGAAGAGAAAGTCCGAACGAAAACCAAAGGACATAGACATTACTGGCGGCCAGGCATTGCTCATATCATAGCCTCAATCCACAACAACCTGAAAAGCAAGCAGCAACTCCGCCATGCATACACCCTGGAAGACAACCAGATAAGTGAGACCACCGGATGGCCTCCCTCACCCCTTCTCCCAATGGCAACTGGCTAATCGAAGGACTTGGTTATCCAAGCACAAGGAGTTGCTTTCTATGCCACATACTTTCCGAAAATGGGCCCCGCAGCATTGAAACCGTCTGTCTGTGTCTCGCGGGTATCGAGAATTGCCAAAGGGCAAAAGGAACGAATAATATTGAAACAGAACCGGCCTGGTGAGCGTAGAGCCCAGGAAGGAAAACCAAATTGAAAGAGACGCTAATCCCTCGCTGATGCAAATGCAGAAAGTTACCATAAAACAAGGGCTCAAACAGGGAGCCCCGAAAACCATCGGGGGTATTGTGGTAAATGGTAGCAGTTGGTAAGAAGAGACCAGGCTCTTCTACTGTCTTTGAGGACAAGCAACGAGAAGGACAGACGCGGAGTGAAATGGGGCGCGTAGGATCCTCCCGGGGTAGTCGACATGAGCAGAAAGACCAACTGTTCCGCTCGGGAATATAAAGTAGGTAGGTATGTACTGTACATCGGTATCGACAAGGCGGGAGGCTGAAACGGACCGGTCTCTGATCCAGGGCTATGATGACGTCGTTCGAGGCTGAAGGCAGGCAAAACGGGCATGACGTTGAACAACGCAGGACTCATTTTTGCTCAGTCGGTATAAGTAATCGTCTTTGCCCTACAACGTGATTCGCACTAGGGACGAAGATCATGGTTCTTTGCGCCTTTTGCGATCCTCGACATTCCCGCTGTAGAGGTGACTCAATCCAGAGAGAGACCATGAATCAGATGTCGTGTGAAGGATGGCGAGCCAAAATGCCACCAGATTCACGAGGTAGTGCAGCGTGTAGGCGTACGAGACACCATACACGGCAGCGTAGAAGGCAATGCCGAACAGCAAGACACTGGTGACATGTTTGAAGCGGCTGCAGACCGGAGGTATCATGCTGCCTGTCGTCATGGTCTCCACGAGGACGATAAACGGCATAATGGAGAGGACGTTATGATGTGATGCGAAAGGCGTGAGCCAGTGGACCGCGAGGTTGTGGATCCAAACGACGAGCGTGGGCAAGTTGATTGGGAGAATCCAGAGCATGAGGATGAGAATCGAATGTGCATAATTGTAAAAGTTGGAGTTCGCGGTCGATCTCAATTCCGCAGCGATCTTCTGCGCCCGAGCCGTCGTTATCAGCTGTACCAAGCAAGCGACTAGGTACGCAAACTGATAGGGGATTAGAGTAGAGACAAGAAGCAACAGAATTGCGGTTGTTATCATGCGCCGCCGGGGTGACGAGGACAAGAATGTCGAAGGGGTTGATTTCCTTCGATCCTCATTGCGAATCCATCCAGGGCGGAAAGTCAACAAGCAGAACGCGGCGCTCAGCAAGTGAGTGAGAGCGAGGGCAGCGTAGTTGAGCACGATACAGACGCCGACACAGACTACGCCAATCAAAGGGATCAGGAATAAGAACAATGGGTCCTGAGTCCCAATCAAAAGGTCGTTCTGTTGGAAATCGACGGTTGAAAAGGTGCTGTTCTTCCAGTGCCAGAAGCTGGCGTTGCCTGCAGAAGTCGTATTCGCCTTGGAGAAGGTGAGGAGCGTCAGAGACGCAAGTACCAGCGGGATCGACTGCCTCAAGCACAGATCCAGGCTTTCAGAAAAGGGAATGAACACGCCGGTCGAGTCGTAGACGCGGAACTGCTTGCGCAGTACCAAGGCCACCACCAGCAACGGGAACGCCGCAAACACGGTGCGGTATCGCATATAGAGCTTGCCCAGACTGCCCAGGAAGTCGACGGTCAGCTCGACCTGCAGGCTGGAGTTGCATGTCGGGTCAGTCCAGAACTGGAAGCTTAGCCCCTCCTCCCCAGCCTTCCTGGTCAGGGGAGGGGGGACGTAGGGAGCGACGCCATGGAGGCTGACAGTTGCTTCCTGCACGTTGACAAAGTATTTGGACTCGTACGGTTCGGCCAAATACTGCCGTACCAATGGGGTGAAAAGCTCCGTCTTGCTACCGCAGCCCTGGTTGCTGATCTTTAGGTTGTACGCAAGCAAGCTTGACTGTAAGGACGGCACCTTGACTTCAGACATCATCGGCCGCACAGAACGGAGATGAAACTTCACGCCGAATGCGAGGAGACGTCGGAGGCTAACGTGCCGCGTTTGATGTGATTGCGAAAGGTCGCTGAACTCGGCGATTACGAAACCCGGAGTCATGGTCGTTGTCTTCTCCACCAGAGCCACAAATTGGTGCTCGGCAATGTCCTCGACCGCGTACTCTAGAAACGAAAAGGGCGCAATCTCCTTCTCCCCGTCAGTGAAGAAGGGATGCCGAGTTGACCGGGTCGACGCTGGAAGCGATACAACATCCGGGGCGGCAGATCTGCAAGCCAGTCGCGTCGTACCGGTACTTCCCTTGGAAAGATCGATTTGGCTTGGAAAGCCAGGCCCAGACTGGGTGAGCTGGCTGGGAATCACGCTGCAAAACATAACTTCGAGCTTCCCATTCTCCCCTGGCTGGTCGACTTTCACATCCGTTAGAAGAGTGAAGCGCTTCATCTCTGGGGATCCGGGAGGAGGAATCGGTAAAAGATGGGCGCGGACCCTGCCCGCTGCGCCCAAGCCTCGCAGAACCAAGCGCTCCCCCTGAGCAATGATTGAGTCTGAATTATCGTCCACGGTGAGCAAGGTCGTTGCGTCCGAGCGCGGCGCGATCTTTTCGGCGACAGACTCCATGCCGGTCAAGAATCGCTTCTTGAAAACCCTCATTCGTTCTGCCCTTGGCTTTGTCTGCGTCGCCCTGTTGACGTCAACCACATCATAGATGGTGTGCGCAATCACTTTCCGGAACTGGTCGCACCAAAGGATCGCCTGGTGGTCCATGCTTGTCCATACGCTGGGGATTGTTGAAGTGAAAACGGTAAAACCGTGGGTATCCGGGACCAGAGACTCGACGCTCGCGTAGTCGGACGGAACGACAGTATCTAGCCCGCCGCCCGCAATTGACACCAAAGTGACATGCCACAAAGGATTATCGTTGGCCCATTGCTGTGAGTAGGCATGTCTCCAGTAATCGTTGATATCCTGGTATGTCTTGACAATTTGGCTGTCAAATGATACTGGGGGACGAGCATGAGGAGCAGACATGGTGATGATGGTATTGATCGAATTTGTCTGATAGTTGGGCATGACCAACATTGTCCTGGCGACGATGCCCCCCATTGAATGGCCCAGCACTATCACTGAAGTCGGGTCGGGAAGATCCGGATCCCGGTCCGAGACTCGCGGGTCAAGATACAGAGACAAGATGTATCGTATCGCCTCGTTGAGATATTCGGCCTGATCGAGCAGTGTCTGACCGTGGAAGGCGGTAATATCCTCGTTGAAATCGACTGTAAAGAAGTCCAAGCTTCGTGCGCCAGCTCTAAGAGCATTCTCGTCGTGCTGCAAGACATCGTGGAAGTAATTGGCTGCTTCTGCCGCTATAGGCCGAACTTGCTTATAGCTCCCGGCATTGCCAGGGATGAAAAGGACAGGGACGCCTCGGATCTAGAGTGCCCAAGTTAGCGGGCGATATCCAAGTCGAACTGTCAAATTTGCACAAACCCTTGTATCACGGTCGATCCCTTGCTCGCGATAGAGGTACAGGGAGTATTTGCTGGCCAAGCGCGTGTGTTCGGTATCGAAATCGGTGAGCTTCGCGTACGACGGGCGCATGTAGGACATGCGACAGCCCTTGGGGTCAATTTGCCGTGTCACCGAAGAGTGGAGGACGGCAAGTAAAATCCCTATGCCGGTGATGGATGCGACAAGCGAGAGAAGGCTGATTGCCCACGGGTTCCGCCATGTCGAGCGTCGGGCGACGAACTTTGACTCGGGTACATTGTCCATCTCTTTCGCCCGCACTCCATTCGAGGTCGGGATGAAGCCTAACGGAGGAGATGGCGGCGCGCGGGCAGGCGATGCTGGTTTCTCTACCGTCCCATTCCGGGCGTCTGATGGCCTCCAATTGATGGTTCCGGACCGTCGGCTTATCGAAAAGGAAGGTCTCTGGTCAGCGCTTTGTTGGCGATCAAGGTTGGCCACGGGCGTTTGCTGCGGCTGCGGCTGCGGCTGCGCCGATGGCTTGGGCTCTCTGGCCTTGGAGTTGGGGGAATTGACATGAGGAGCCTCGACAGGAGAAGTATCACCGTCCTCTGAGGATCCCAGCGATTGCCTCCTCATCCCAGCAGGGCCGGCGGCAGACAACTCCTGTCCGGAGTGGCACGATGCGCTTGTTGTTCGTGTCGGGATGGCCAAACGAGTGGACTGCAGAAGATGCGCGGCAACGACGCCTTTGACATGGGCCGATGCTGCCGTTCTGCCTGTTCGATTGGTGATCCAAAGGAAAGCTGCCAGGTTCCTGCATTTACCGGAGCGAGCCTTGTCATGCCCCCAAGCTTTCCCACGCAGCGGGTCGCGACCCTTTCATAACAAGACAAAACCTGGCCGGCCTGGCAGAAAAAGTGAGCTTTCCAAAAGTGCGATCCAGATTCCCAGTTGCTGGCTGCAGGCGCTGCAGCACTGCAGCCCGCTATTGGCCAAGACCAAGCTTTGGAAACAAGTGCCTAGGCTAGCCTGGCTCGCCTGGGAACGGGCCGAGTTGATTCGATGCAGGAGATGCAGTGGCTCCAATGGGGTAGCAGCGAAACTGGACCTAGCGGATACGTACGATAAGGTATGTACTGAGAGTAGAGTAAGGTACTGTACCGCAGTCGGCGCAGTGTAGTCCACCTTCGTAGTGTACTGTACGATTGCTGTCGAGGGTGGATTTTCAATCGTACCTTGGTGCGCGGTGCTGGATCCAGAATGTCATCCCTTCTTTTGTTTTGCCCCTTCTTGCGTAATGCGCTTGCGCGGCTATGAAACGAGCAGATCGCAACTTGAAGTGGCTCCAATGGCGAGGACTCTCCGGCGGTACCTGGTACGGTAACGTTACCGTACCGCTGTGCAAAACGAGGGGAGCTTCAGATTGGATTGAGATTCAATTTTGGAATGGCGCAGAAGACGTTGCAGCGAATGGAAATCGGATTACAGTGACTGCTTCAGCGAGTGACGTCGTCCCAACGAGTGATGGCCCACGCGAGGTAGGAACAACATAGGTAGGTCGGAAGATTTCGAACAAAAAGGAATGCAACTTCGTCTGGAGAGCAACGAGGGGTATAAAGCTTCGTATCGTGAGACTAGGCGGTTGGGAATCTAACTGTAACTTGAAAGCGGGCTGCGGGCAAACGGGATCTGGTCGTCAGCCTTCTTTGGTGGGTAATGCGCTGCAACCCGTCACCAAAGGCCTATTCTGTGTGATTGATGCATGGAAGTTGATGCAATACGCCGTCAGCTGAGCGGAGACGGGATGTTGGCGCTGGCTCTCAACCATTACCGGTACACTACGAATATCGTATGGACATGAAGTGTAGAGTGGGCTACACATGAAATCGCTGCGTGTGATTCCCAGGGCAGCTCTTCCAACCTGAATCCGGCCAGGCGTGTCAACCATGGCTCTTTACCTTCTCCCGGTTTACCGAGTGAGCGTCGGCTCCCCTCTCTCTTCGCCCGTTCGGGAACAGGCCTACTTCGTACCGAAGCAGATTGTGAAAGCCCCCGAACCGACGTTCGTCTGACAAGATGCATCCATCCAACTCTACTGCATTACTGCATCTGATGATGCCGCTTTGTCCATAGGGAGTGTGGAAGCTGTGTAACTCCATGACTGTGGGACGACAACGGCCATCGTACCGGTATGACTTGTCTGCTATATTATGTAGTATGTAGTAGGGCACTTCGTACTACAGTACTTGGTAGAGTATCGGATATCATGGTTGATGCCAGTGTACGGCTAGGTAATGGAGGTAGTCCGTAGATGTCTCTTTTACATCAGAAGCCCCTGGATTGGGATATCGTTGACTTATGGTATTTATTTGATAACGATCATCGTCCGTGATACCTACGTACCACAATACCCGCCACCGGGCCGGACATGGTAAAATCGTTGCTAGCTTCGTTGGATGGCGTTTGGCTTTGTGCTCCACCGTGTCTCGCCCTGGTCGGATTGTCGGGTGAATCTGGCCGATGCAACGTGCTGGCCGCCGAGCCAAGGATAACTCGGGAGGTACGTCATTGGCACTGGGTGCGGTGCATCTTGTCTTCCAAACCTTGGCAACCTTTTTCAACACTTGGCAATCCCAGGCTTCTCACACATGTCGCTGCAAACATGCTCAATCGATAATTCATTGCGGGAGGTCAACTCGAATCCATGGGACTCTCTCTTTGCGATTCGTCCCTTGTTGGGCGGGCTGGGCAATGTGCCTGCATTTGGACGGCGGTTTGACTGAAGGGCGCGGTCCAACAACGGCGGGACCCCTCCTGCAAGAGATTAGAGGTAGGTTCTGCATTCTCGTGCCTTGTAGCTGGAGTGGAAGGTATTTCCATGCTCCAAAGTACTGAGGTGCCGTGAGCCAGGCCATTGAGAACTGAAATCCCCTGAGCCAGAGAAAGCTTGGAGCTGCGGCCTGTAGGCGGGTGAGTGAAGATGTCCGTTACCTACGGGATGCGACTGCTCGTTGCAATCAAATACGATGTAATTTCACGGCGATACCTTATCAGGGAGAATGGTGTGCACTCGACAAGGGCACTTTATACCACGGATACCTTATCGTTATGTAATTCCTTCTGGCATTCAGAATTTCAGATGACGCGACGCGTCAGGATCGCCAATTGACGAAGCCCAGTTAACACCGCCTTGCACCGTCCGAGGGCCGCAAGGGAGACTGACCGGTGCACCACGATGGTAATGGGGAGCTTCGGTTCTAGACGATAGGAATAATGGCTTCGAATGCCACAATCAAGGCCATTGAGTCCAGCGCTGTGCACCAGATCCAGTCGGGCCAGGTCATCGTTGACCTCTGCTCCGTGGCAAAAGAGCTCGTCGAAAACAGCGTCGATGCCGGAGCAACCGCAATCGGTAGGAACGGGGATGTGCGCCATGACAGCCGGATTGTGTGCTGACCATGGCTTGTGTGCACCAAAACAGAAGTTCGCTTCAAGAATCAGGGCCTCGACTCGATCGAAGTGCAAGACAACGGCTCTGGGATTGCACCCCACAACTACGAGTCCATTGCCTTGAAACACTACACATCCAAGCTCTCCAGCTACGATGACCTCTCGACGCTGCATACCTTTGGCTTCAGAGGCGAGGCCTTGTCGTCGCTCTGTGCCCTGTCGCGCTTCTCGGTTGTGACTTGCACCCAAGCCGAGGTGCCACGAGCAACACGGATCGAGTTCGAGACGTCTGGGAGACTTAAGAGCACCAGCGTTGTCTCAGGACAGAGAGGCACGACCGTCATCGTCGAGGACCTGTTCCGCAATCTGCCCGTCCGCCGTCGCGAGCTTGAGCGAAACATCAAGCGAGAATGGGGCAAAGTGATTAGTTTGCTCGGCCAGTATGCATGTGTGCAGACGGGCGTCAAGTTCACCGTCTCGCAGCAGCCCACCAAGGGCAAGCGGATGATTATGTTCTCGACCAGGGGAAACCCGACGACGCGCGAGAACATTATCAATGTGTTTGGTGTAAAAACCATGAACGCATTGATCACCATGGACCTCAAACTGGAATTGATACCCTCCACCGGACCTCTTAATAAGGGGAAGGCACGGGCAGACGGCAGTGCTGCCGAGGTTCGCATCCTCGGACACATATCCCGACCAGCTCACGGTGAGGGCCGGCAGACTCCAGACAGACAAATGTTCTACGTCAATGGGAGGCCCTGTGCCCTGCCTCAGTTTGCCAAGGTATTCAACGAGGTGTATCGATCTTACAATGCTTCCCAGTCTCCGTTCATCTTTGCCGACATCCAGCTCGACACACATCTCTACGATGTCAACGTCAGCCCGGACAAGCGAACGATTTTACTGCATGACCAGGGACAGATGCTTGATAACCTGAGGGACGCTTTGATTGAACTCTTTGAAACTCAGGATGTAACAATCCCAATGTCCCACACTCAAGTCCCGAAGCAACCTCCGTCCAAGTCGCCCGTAGCCACCCATTCAGATACGCCCATCTCGGTCAAGGCCAAGGGTAGCAGGATTGACGCTGTGGAGACACAGCACAACCCCGAAAGGAGCGACGGTGAAAGTGGCCTTGATGTTGCCAGCGAGCATCAAGAAGACCATGAGATGCCAAGTACTAAGAGGAAAGCGCAAACCGGTAGAGCTAGCTTGGCACCGTCAAGGGCCCAAACTTCTACATTATTATCCCGTTGGATTCGGAGGGACACGGATGCTAGTACCTCTCCCAAGACCGAGAGCTCTAACATACAGAAATCAACAGAGACTACCTCAGCATTGGAGTTGCCAGCTATTTCGGCGTCTGAAGGGAAGGACAGTTCGCAAGAAGATAATGTGATCGAAGAGCAAGAATCCTCGAAAGAGGATGAGGACGCAGACGAACACGACAAGCCGGGAATCCGTGCGGAGGACCTTGGTACGCGGTTTTCAAAAGCGCAGACCGAAACAGAAGAGGTCCCGGAGGACACAGAGACTGGGCATATTAGCTACAGCATGCCGGTAGAAACGGATGAACCTGAGCCCCCGGTTCAAGCCATTGTTCCCCCATCCCAACCGCCAGCGCCGCGGTCCATCATCCCAGGTACTACCCGGCCTTTCAAACGCTCTAGCCAAGAGGTAGCGACCATCACCATTGGCGATCACACGGTTACAAGTATCATTGGAACCGCCAGCAAGCGGCCAAGAGTGGGTGAGGCATCCAACACTGCCAAACCGAAGGTGGCCGGCAGAGCAGGGCAGCAAAATGCACCTTTGCCATCTTTTGGCGGACGCCTCTCTCAGCTTTTCTCGGCGTCGGCGCGTCCTGAGGAAGGGCATGCAGAGAGCATTACCCTGACAGCTAGGGATGCTGGGACGGAGGATATAGAGTCGATCGCAGAGGAAGATGATGCAGACGAGGATGCCATGTTTGTATCTCCGGCGGATGATGGAGGGGTCGGTCATGACGAGGAGGATGGTGACGATGGAGGTAGTGAGGATGAGGATTTTGACGGGGACCGAAATTCTGGAACCCAACTACCGACTGCAAGACTGTCCGAGGTTCCAGAAGCCGCGAGCGAAGTTGATAGCCCCTTAGAGCCGACCGAGCTCTCTCCATCCTACCAGGGGGACAGCCTTGAAGATGATGAGACATACCTTGATGAGGATGAAAAGAAAGCCCAGGAAGACGAAAAGGTTCAGGGAATGATAGACGCAGCCGAGGCGGCTGCGAGGGAACTGACGGAAGAAGGCGAAAAGCGCTCAAAACTGTTCCTCAAGGGGCGATCAAAGCGAAAAGAAATGACTCTCAATCTCATGCAGCAAGTCTCGACGAGCCGAGATGAAATACAGCAGCGGATTGCTGCGCTCGAAGATTCGCTGCCACGAGGGCAGTCCAAGACTCCGATAGACAGGGACTCTGACGACCTGGAAGCAGTCGATGCCGAAGAGAAGCTCTCCCTGAAGATCTCCAAATCGGACTTTGCGAAGATGAGAATTGTTGGCCAATTCAACCTGGGCTTCATCCTCGCCGTCCGCGAGGCCGCAGTCTCCACGTCACAAGCCGCTGCGGCTGATGGCAACGTCGGCGATGACGACGACGAGCTCTTCATAATCGATCAACACGCATCTGACGAAAAGTATAATTTTGAACGTCTCCAGGCGACGACAACAGTCCAATCCCAGCGTCTTGTGCAGCCCAAAACACTAGAGCTGACAGCCCTTGAGGAAGAAATCCTGCTCGAACACTTGCCCGCCCTGGAGCGCAACGGCTTCCTGGTCCGCGTCGACACGTCGGGCGCCCAGCCCGTCGGATCCCGGTGCCAGCTGCTGAGCTTGCCGCTGAGCAGGGAGACCACTTTCTCCCTGTCGGACCTGGAGGAGCTCATCTTTTTGCTCGCTGAAAACCCGACGTCGAGCGCGACCACGATCCCGCGGCCGTCCAAAGTGCGCAAGATGTTCGCCATGCGCGCGTGCAGGAGCAGCATCATGATTGGCAAGGCGCTCTCGCGGCGGCAGATGGAGAAGGTGGTGCGCCACATGGGGGAGATGGAGAAGCCGTGGAATTGTCCGCACGGCAGGCCGACCATGAGGCACCTCTGCGGCCTGGGCGGGGTTTGGGGGGACAGGCTGTGGACGGAGGGTGAGCATCGAGAGGAGGGGGTGGACTGGGCTGCGTGGGTTCAGGAGAAGAGAGGGGGTGATTAGGGGGTTTGGGGGGAGGGGAGGGGAAGGGGGGGTGGCGGGTTAAGAGGTGGGCTAGGTATATAATTGCTGCGCTTACGAGGTTGCTTGTTTCACTGAGCCTATGATGGCTACATATACCCGATGAATGAGTCTATTTTCTGGATACCTTCAGCTGTGTGATATCAACAGACATTGGATAACTAACATAACCCTGATGATGATCCACCTACAAACCCTTGAATCCCATACTCTTACAATAATGCCCATCCATCGATTCATTGCTTTTCCGTTCGCCTGGTAAATGACCCATCTCCCAAACATTCCCAAACAGAACAGAAACCCAATACATACAAAACACCGCAAAACATTATCCCATTCCCATCCGTTCTTCACCTTCGTTCCCTCATCATCATCTATCTCATCACCGACCAAATCACAGCCAGTCAGTCACTACCTAGTCAAATCACTGAAATGTATATCCGCCCACCCCAACCCTCCCCTCCTCAGCCAACTTGCCACTAACCCCCCTGTACCTGCCCCCATTTCCGTACATACCACCTCCCAGATCGTTCCCTGACGAGACTTGCCTGCCATTTCCATTTCCATTTGCATTTCCACTGCCAACCATGATGGGCGGGGTGCCGGGCTTGAGCTCGCCGTAGGGCTTGGCGTAAAAGGAAAAGTCTGCGTCGGGTTGGATTGAGCTGTCCCTGTTTCTGTATGCTGTTGTCTTTTTCTCGTCGGTGATGTCCCCTGTGGCGGTGGCGTGGTCATCGTCAGGGTGGAGGCTGCGGCGGAGTACGGAATCGCGCAGGCGGCTGAACGGGGTGCGAGGGCGTTTTGTTGGTGACGGGGCGGTTGCGGGTTGGGTACTACTCGTAGATGAAGGAGGGGAGGTGGGTGGTGAAAGGGTGGGATTTGACCGCAGCGGGTTGGGATGGTGGTGATGGTCTTCCTCTTGTTCTTGCGAGGAGGAGGCGGTGTAGTGATTCCCGCGTCCTTCACCCTCAGAGTCGGAACCAGAGAGGTCGAGGTCTTGTCTTCTAAACGACTCGTACGCGCTGTGCCGGTTCGTTGCACGATTCTGATTATTCATGGCCCGCTTGCGCTGCTGGGTCCGGTTGATGAGCGATTCGGAGGCGTACCACGTCTCGGTGAACTTGGCGGAACGGGGCTGGGCGGTGGGGGACGCGGGAGCGGTGGGTTCTGCGCGGTACGAGGGCACGGTGCCAGTGCTGGGCCGGCTGGAATACACGGAGCTTGGGCGGGAGCTGATATCCGTCTCACCCGGTGGGACACCTATGTACGAGCCGCGCTGCGATGATGCGGGAGGGGCGGACATGCGCTTCAGGTTCAGATCTGACGCGCTGGCGGCCGAGCTGCGGTTGCTAGGGGTTATCTGGTACTGCCGGCTGGGCAGGTCGACGCGGGAGTCGCGGGTGCCGATGGAAGTCTGCGAGCCCTGCCGCGTGTGCATAAAGGGAATCGATGGCGGGCGGGACAGATCGTCGTACGACTGGCTGTCGGGGCGCTTTTCGTTGTCCGAGTAGGTTGACGTGGTTACGACCGACGACTTGTTCCTCTTGTGCACGCGCGAGGTGAGGTTGGCTTCCAGGGGGTTCATGTCCGGCGGCATGCGTGAGATGCGGCGGAACATGAAGCCGAGCCAGAGAGAGATGGCCAAGGAGAGGACATGCAGACCCCCCGCGCCAATGAGGCCATAGTAAACAGCAGGCGCCATGTACTTGACGATGTTGGGGTTCTCGGGGGGCTGGGCGGTCCATCCGGCCATTCTGTCCCGTGTGGTCAGGGCGCCGTATGCATACAGCGGCAGCACGCAGAGGTCAGAAACGGCAGAGAAGAGCTGGTAAGCGGCCGAAGAGCCGGGCGTCCGCGCACCGGCCGGCCGTGCGTGGTGGAAGATGCTGTACAGACAGTGGAGTATCACGACGCCCAGCTAAGTTGGCAGTCCCAGTCAGTATCGTGACATGACGTAGAGGCGCTTGATGAAGAGAACTTACCGTAGCACCCATAACCCAGCCGATCAGCCCCGACATGCTCATTACGACAACGAGGCCGACAGCGCCGACTACCTCGGGGATCCTAAGGAGAAGTTGAACAGTCCTCATGCCCTTGATCCACCCCTTGGTCCGGCGGCCAAGTGGCCTGTACCTGGATCGCCCTGTGGGCACTGCATGGGCGCTAGTCTCAATGGTTAGACATTGACATCATGGATCGAAAGCAACAATGCTAGAGTGGGATGCATTCTCATACTCGGGATGGCGGTTGAAGGAGACCAGCGGGCCTTTTGGCTTGGGCTTTGGTTTTTTGGCCTCGTAGCTGGCTCTGGTGACAGCCTTTGGATCGAATGGCTTGGTCGGAAATCGCTCGTCGTCCTTCATGACGGGCTCGTACATGAACGGCTGCTTGGAGCCCCCCATTGTGGCAACGGGCACTCAATGCGCTCCCGCTCTGCGCTTTCTGAATTGCTTTGGGGATATTGAAGTTCTGTGGAATTTGATGACGGCAACTGCACTGCGCTCAGCTGAGGCAGTCAGACGTCTTTGGCCAATTCAGCTGCGCCGACTTGGATTGCCAACCAAACATCCAACGTGGTTGACTGGGCAACCGGGAGCAAGGGTTGAATGTGCGCCTCTGCCAGAGCCCACTGACGGGCAGCCAGGGTGCCCCACCAAAATGCTCCGGTGTCAGCGCCGACAGCGGGAACAACCTAGGAGTCCAGGTCGGGCTCCGGACCGTGTCCGGTCGGCAATTCTCCAACGCGTATATAATTCTGCAATACCAAAGCAACAACAGCCCGATGGGTTGATTCTACCTAGGAATTTTTCAAAAGAATTTGCATGTTTTCCCCATTATGCTCTCACTTGCGCCGGCCAAGCCAAGGCCATGGGCGAAATGGCTAAAGGCGTCACTGAGCGCTTGCGCAACCCCCAATCTTTCTACAAGCACAGCCAGTACCCGTTCCCGTGATGGCCGGCCATTCCGGCTAGCTATTATTGGCTCCGGCCCGGCCGGATTCTATACGGCATACCGAGCCATGACCAAAATCCAGGGCGCCAAGGTCGACATGTACGAGGCACTGCCCGTCCCTTTTGGTCTGGTTCGCTTCGGTGTTGCGCCCGACCACCCGGAAGTGAAGAACTGCCAGGAGAAATTCGAGGAAGTAGCCTCCTTGCCCAACTTCACCTTCATCGGCAACGTTTCCGTCGGCACGCTCAGCGACCACCCGGACGGCGCCACCATCCCGCTGGCCAGCATCCTGCGCAACTACAACGCCGTCGTTTTCTCGTACGGCGCTTCCAAGGACCGCACGCTAAACATCCCCGGCGAGTCCACCCTCAAGGGCATCTACTCGGCCCGCGAGTTTGTGGGGTGGTACAACGGCCTGCCCGAGCACGCCGACCTCAACCCTGACCTGACCCAGGGCGACGAGGCCGTCATCATCGGCCAGGGCAATGTCGCGCTCGACGTGGCCCGCATGCTGCTCGAGGACGTTGACGTGCTGCGCAAATCCGACATTGCCGAGCACGCCATTGAGACTTTGTCCAAGAGCAAAATCAGGCGCGTCCACATTGTCGGCCGCCGCGGACCCATGCAGGCCGCTTTTACTATTAAAGAGATCCGCGAGCTCATGCGCCTGCCCAAAGTGGCGTTCCACCCCATCGACCGCTCTCTTGTGCCTGCCGACCCGGCCTCGCTGCCCCGCGCCCCGAGGCGGTTGATGGACATCCTCCTTAAGGGCTCGCCTACACCCGTCGCCTCACCATCATCACCCTCAACTACTGAACAACAAAAATCCTGGTCCCTCGACTTCCTCCTCGCCCCCAAATCCTTCTCCGCTCACCCCTCCAACTCCACCCAACTCTCCCACACCATCTTCTCCCGAACAACCCTCTCCCCCTCCCCGCTCGACCCGCAAGCCTACCCCCTCCTCACCTCCCCCGAACAAACCGTCCCAATCCCTTCCTCCGCGGCATTCCGCTCCATCGGGTACAAATCCGAGCCCCTGCCCGAATTCGCTCCCCTCGGCATCCCCTTCAACGAGCGGTGGGGCGTCATCAGCAACGATGGTCCTGGGGGCAGGGTATTCCACGAACAGCGCACGACAGACCGCGTTATGGAGTTTGCCACGTTCCCGGGACTGTACTGCGCGGGCTGGGTCAAGAGGGGTCCGAACGGTGTCATTGCGAGTACGATGGAGGATGCATTCGCTACTGCGGATGCCATCGCGGGGGATTGGCTTGGGGGTGGGGGGAGGTTTCTTAATGATGATCATGGGGATGGGGAGGTGAAAGGGTGGGAGGGGGTGAAGCAGGAGGTTGGAGGGGAGGAGGTGCTTAAGGGGAGGGTGGTGGATTGGGACGGGTGGAGGAGGATTGATCTGGCTGAGAGGGAACGGGGGAGGAAGGTGGGGAAAGAAAGGGAGAAGTTTACGAGGATTAGGGATATGCTCGCCGTGCTGGGGTGAGCGGTGTACACTGCTGTACAGTAATCCTGGTTGTGATAACTTTGTACAATTATTTGTTATATACCTAGATCTATGCCTTCTTTAGCTTCTCAGTCAGCTCTGGCACCTTGTCAAACAGGTCCCCCACCAACCCGACATCAGCCACCTGGAAGATGGGCGCATCCGCGTCCTTGTTGATGGCCGCAATCACCTTGCTATCCTTCATGCCCGCGAGATGCTGGATCGCCCCCGAGATGCCCACCGCCATGTACAGCTGCGGCGCCACCACCTTGCCCGTCTGGCCCACCTGCAAGCTGTTGTCGGCGTACCCGCTGTCGACAGCCGCGCGTGAGGCGCCCACGGCCGCCCCGAGCGAGTCGGCCAGCGGCAGCATAATCCTGTCAAACTCCTCCTTTGACTTCAACCCCCTCCCGCCCGACACGACCCTGCTCGCCGTTCCGAGGTCGGGCCGGTCCGACTTGGACAGGTCCTCCGACACCCACTCGGTCGGGCACTCCACCTTGGGGTCGACACCTTCTTCAATCGCCGCTGAGCCGCTGGCAACGGGCGCAGCGGGGAATGCAGTGCCGCGGATGGTCACTACCTTGATTGGATCCGACGACTCGACCGTGGCGATGGCGTTGCCCGCGTAGATGGGGCGAACAAACGTCTTGTCGTCCTCGATGGCGGTGGCATCGGAGATTTGCTGCACATCGAGCAGCGCGGCGACGCGCGGCATCAGGTTTTTCCCGAAGGCCGTGTGGGCCGCGATCACATGCGTGTAGCCGCCCTTTTTGATGTTTTCGACCAGCAGCGGGGCGTAGTTTTCGGGGAGGCCCTGTGCCGGTTCTTGTCAGTCATGGTAAACAAACATAAGGGAAAGAGCAATTAGTTTCCCCTGAGATGCTGACCTTCTCATATGCGCTGTTTTCCACGGCAACGATCTTCTCAACGCCCTCAACCTTGGCCGCCTCCTCAGCCACCGGCTTGATGTTGGCGCCGGCCACGAAGGCGTGGATTGAGCCGCCCAGCTTCTGTGCGGCCGTAATGGCGCTCAACGATCCCTGATTGAGCTTGCCGTCGCGCTGCTCGAGAACGGCGAGCGCCGAGAGTAATCGGCGGAAGGCAGGGTGGGATCTGGTAAACGGAGGAATTGTCGCATCTCGCAGTGTCGGGCGGGCGAGCGCCGTGAATACCCGGCGGCCGGCCGACAGCATGATTCTCAAGTCAAGGCAGTTTCTGGAGGATCTGGTGGTTGGCACAGGGTCTCGGTCAAGTCCCTCCTCAAGTCTTTTCAACTGCAGCTGCAACTGGTTACGTTCGGACAGTGACCCGGTGAGCGGGTTGCAGCGGTCCGAGGCTAGCTTCGGGCCTGCCTCACATGTCCCAGAATTGGCATGGGGTTCAAGGATAAGGCCGAGCACCGGAATGTGGAATTGTGGCGTTGCAGTACGGACACATTTGGCGAATGTGGCTGGTGGATTGCCGGTGACCCCACGTGACCTAACTTCCCGCTTGGACCAAGCCTTGGGCCATTGGCTGGTGCGCGGCAAGAGCTTCCTTCTGCTACACCAGCCAGCGCGCGAACATTTCTTGCAACGCGACGGATCACGAACCGCCCGAATTGCGACCCATCGCAACACACAGCTTCTTGCGCCGAACAGTCCTTTGACTCCATCTTGCATCCGTTCGCCATATCTTTGATTCAATTTTGACTGCTCGATACCCCTCGTGTGGAGACAGCTTGGATCTGCAGCGCAGTTCTGTTCCAGGCTGGCTCGAGGCCCCTGAACTTGGCGTCGTCCCCGGTTCCTCAGCCTCGCTGTCGTCGTCAACATGGATGAGAATTCGGTCAGCTACGGCACACCTACAAATGCCGCATCGCCCGGCGCGAACCCAATACTAGCACAGCCTCCTCTCCCTGAGGCAAAGGACCAAAATGAAGGCAGGTTTCCATTCCGTACCTAGCACTTCTTCTGTCTCGACATGCATTAACCCATCATCGCATCTAGACGTGCAAATGAGTGAGGGCCCTGGCCCGGCGATCAAGCAAGACAGCACTACTCCTGCGCCCGGTGCGATATCTGACAACCCGCTCGACGCGCCCGAAGGACCCCCCGCCGAGACTGCTGGCCAAGATGACGAGGAAATGGGCGACGCGCCAAAGAACGAGTCGGCACAGTCCGGCGGCGCCACTCGGACTGACGGCACCGGCGAGGTGAAGACCAAGGAGTTCATGGAGAATGCCGCGAGAGAACACCTGATTTCCCAGACACACGCTATTGTGCTCCCTAGCTACAGCACCTGGTTCGACATGAACACCATCCACAACATTGAGCGGAAAGCGCTGCCAGAGTTCTTCAACAACCGGAACCGAAGCAAGACACCTGCGGTATACAAGGACTACCGTGATTTCATGATCAACGCCTACCGGCTGAACCCGGTCGAGTACCTAACAGTCACTGCCTGCCGTCGGAATCTGGCCGGTGACGTCTGTGCCATTATGCGCGTGCATGCCTTCCTTGAGCAGTGGGGTCTAATCAATTATCAGGTGAATTGACGCAGCCTGTCATCGTCGTCTGCTGGGAGTATTGCTAACACCCGCTGTAGGTTGACGCTGAGCAACGGCCGTCCCATGTGGGTCCACCATTTACCGGCCACTTCAAGATTATCTGCGACACGCCCCGCGGCCTTCAGCCGTGGCAGCCGGCGGCCGACCCCGTCGTCTCCGAGGGCAAGCAAAACAAGGATACCGAGGCCAAGGCTAGCGCGACCCCAGCGCCCAAGAGCGAACTCAACTTGGAAGTCGGCCGCAATATCTACGAGGCTAACGCCAAGCTCAACAAGCTCAACAAGACCGACAGCAAGACCAACGGCGAGGCGCCGACAACTAACGGCGTGTCTGGCACGGATGACCTCACTAAGGCACCGATTGTCAAGATCAACTGTTTCAACTGCGGCACCGACTGCACCCGTATTTACTACCACAGCTCGCAGTCGCACCCCAACTCCAAGGTCAAGTATGACCTGTGTCCCAGCTGCTACCTTGAAGGGCGCCTGCCGGGCAACCAGACTAGCGCCCACTACACCCGCATGGAGAATCCCACCTACTCCTCCATCCTCGATAGGGACGCGCCGTGGAGCGATGCGGAGATTCTCCGGCTGCTCGAGGCGCTCGAGCGCTACGACGAGGATTGGGGCGAGATTGCCGAGTATGTAGGCACCCGGACGCGCGAGGAATGCGTGCTCCAATTCTTGCAGCTCGACATCGAGGACAAGTATCTCGAATCCGAGAAAGTAGAGGCCCCCATCGGGCTGCAAATGCTCGGCAGCCACGGCGGTCAGCTGCCCTTTAGCCAAACAGACAATCCGGTCATGTCTGTGGTGGGCTTCCTAGCCAGTCTTGCGGATCCCGCTAGTACAGCGGCTGCCGCCAATAAGTCGGCCGAGCTCCTGAAGCAGACCCTGCGCAACAAGCTCGAGCACAGCACGCAGGCCGACGCCAGCCAGGCTAACGGCAAGGGCAAAGAGAAGGAGGGCGGGGACACCATGGAGGTAGACATACGGCAGGACGTCACGACTACGACCACAACGACAACTACGACGACAACAACCACAAGCACCTCCGCCTTAGCGAGCATCCCGCTAGCCGCCATGGGGGCACGAGCCGGGGGGTTGGCATCCCACGAGGAACGTGAAATGACACGCCTCGTATCGGCAGCCGTCAATGTCACGCTCGAGAAGATGGAGCTCAAGCTGAAGTACTTCAACGAGATGGAGTCCATCCTGCAGGCGGAGCGGCGCGAGCTGGAGCGCGCACGGCAGCAACTGTTTTTGGACCGGCTCGCCTTCAAGCGGCGCGTCCGCGAAGTTCAGGACAAGCTCCGGCAGGCCGTGTCGGTAGGCGGAGACCAGGGCCTGCGTATGGCGCAGGACGTCATGACGGACACGGACCGCATGACGTTCCACCCCGCGCCGCCCGCCGGCGCCGTGCAGCCGCTCAGCGCCGAGGGACAGATCAAGAGCTACGAGGCCTAGGTGGCGCGTGAGGGGGTTCTGGAAGGCGAGGTGCCCCTTTGGAAGCGGTCTAGGTTTTGATAGACCATGTACCGGTCCGCATGGGTTTTGATCCGAGTCAGTACCCCTAGGCTTTTGTTTGTTTCTTTCTATCTGGGCGTTGGGGGGAGGGGGTTTGGGTTTGAGAATTTGATGGGGGCTTTATTTAGTCACTTGGTGATGTGGAAGCAACCATAACCATGCTGTATGAAAAGGACGGGAGAGGTCTGGCTTTCTCTTCGCTGTACCAAATCAATCAAGTTCCGTAGCGGCAGGGTTGGTATCTGGGATGGGTTTGGGCTCTGAAGCAAGACACTGAACTGGCTACGGAGTGGGCTCGTGGCAAGTGTAGTGCGACGCAGGTTAATGTACACGTATTTCTGTTGACTGGGGCATTTGACATCTGTGTGGCCGTTGTTTGCACTTGATCACCGAGGTATTACAGGGTAAAGGTAGCGTGCTGGTAGAAAAATAAGAGGAAAAAGAAAAAGTCAACTGACGGAAGTGGGGTTCGAACCCACGCTCTCTCTCGAGAAGAGGATAAACTCAAGCAGGAAGAAAACTTAAGTCCTCCGCCTTAACCACTCGGCCATTCCGCCTTTAGCTATCTCAAAAGTTGCGTGGTTGGGTGCTATCAGCCGCAGATGTGTGGGTGCTTGTGGTGGCTGGGTTGCGTCGAATGGTGTTCGGGTCAAAGTGTGGACGTGGAGAGGAGCCGAGAGATGTGGCTAGTGGAAAGTAAGAGAACCTAGGTGTATCACCAGAATTGAGTATAGTCTAGCGTAGACCTATGGTTATTTTTATTTTGAATCAGTTGCACAAAGGATGCTTCGCAACTGGTATGGAAGGGAAGAGCAAACGTGGGTTAGGGGCAACATGGTTTGACATGTGAAGACCCTTTCCGGAACGGTGGGCGGCAGCTTAAAATCATCCATCCATTCCGCTCACCCGCAATCCACCCGTTGCGCCGGTCGTTGGGTGCACAAGACAGCTGGGCGCAGCCAGCGACGTCAGATGTGGCGTGTCAGCAGTCCCTGACCATACATGGACACAACCACTCGGAATGTCATCGATAGGTTACTTGTAGGGGCCTATGATGCACAAAGGGAGTTCGAGGGGAATTGGCGGGGCTGACTTGCTGGAACTCTAGCGTAAAGTTAGTTACCCCACGGCAGCTGCCACAGCAGTGGGGTCATGCTGAACTCTAATGACGGCAAATAGCCTCGGCTCGACGGGACTCGCTCGGCAACGATTCACCCATCCACACTTCGATTGTACCAGTAACTCTCCAATTGAACCCCTACAGTAATTGCAAGACTGCTGCGACTCGGGACGAACACTCGGACCTTGAACAAGTGCCTAGGCTGGTCGCACGGCATTTGAGCAAATAAGGACCGACCCTGCTCCGCCAAACCCTTGGAACCTTCCTCGGCTTTGCTGTGCCCACAGTGCCCTGCGGGTTCCAGTGAATTCCAGACTTCGTGTCTTCTGTGATCTCATCCATCTACACTTTTCTCCCTTCCCCTCTCATTTCCTTTTTCCTTTCGACTCAAGTCCTTAGAATTCGGGACGCTGGGATGTTGGCCGCGATCGCACGAACAGAGGCTCGGTCTCCCGCTCTTCGAAATCTGCTTTCCATGCAGACCAAGACTCCGCTGGTTCGTCTCCCCTCTGTTCCTCCGACTCACCATGGCCGATATTTGATGTCCATCAAGAAGATTGGTACTGACAGATGCGCTGCAGAGAATAACAGCCATGGCCCCGGCGAGCAGACGCAACAATAGCTCCCTCCCGCCGGGCTATGTCGAGGATAAGTCAAAGGGGCCGATGCTCCGCTTCCAGGACTCGCTTCCGCGGCTGCCAGTGCCAACACTAGAGGAGACGGCCAGCCGGTACCTCAGGACTCTCAAGCCGCTACTCACACCCAAAGAGCTTGAAGCCAGCACCAAGGCGGTGCAGGAGTTCATCGCGCCCAACGGTCCCGGCCGGAAACTGCAGGAGAAGCTAATAGCTCGCCGGGAGGACCCCAAGATCAAGAACTGGCTGTACGAGTGGTGGAACGATGCGGCCTACCTCAGCTACCGCGACCCCGTTGTGCCCTACGTGAGCTACTTCTATTCATACCGCGATGACCGCCGCCGGCGCGACCCGGCCAAGCGCGCCGCCGCCATCTCGACCGCCGTGCTCGAGTTCAAGAAGCAGGTTGACCAGGGCACGCTCGAGCCCGAGTACATGAAGAAGCTGCCCATCTGCATGGACAGCTACAAGTGGATGTTCAACGCCAGCCGCGTGCCCGCCAAGCCCGCCGACTACCCAGTCAAGTTCGACCCTGCCCAGAACAAGCACATCCTCGTCGTCCGCAAGAACCAGTTCTTCAAGATCCCGCACGAGGTCGCCGGCCAGCAGTTGAACACGGCTGAGCTCGAGCAAGCCTTCCGCCGCGTCTACGAGCTGGCCGGCCAACGCGTCCCGGCCGTCGGCGCCCTTACCTCGGAGAACCGCGACGTGTGGACCGATGCGCGCGCAGTACTGCTCTCAGCCGACCCGTCCAACGCCAAGGCGCTCGAGGCCATCGAGTCGGCCTCGTTCGTCGTCTGCCTGGACGACGCCAGCCCCGTGACGCTCGAGGAGCGCGCGCACGCTTACTGGCACGGCGACGGGCAGAACCGGTGGTACGACAAGCCGCTGCAGTTCATCGTCAACGACAACGGCACGGCGGGCTTCATCGGCGAGCACAGCATGATGGACGGCACTCCGACGCACCGGCTCAGCGACTACGTCAACGACGTCATCTTCAACAACAAGCTCGACTTTTCCGACCCCAACGTGCGCTCCAACCTCCCCGAGCCCCAGGCCGTCCGGTTCGTCGTCACCAAGGAGGTCCAGGACGAGATCGACCGCGCCGTGCGAGATTTCAACAACGTCCTCGCGCAGCACCAGCTCGCCGTGCAGGCGTACCAAGGCTACGGCAAGGGCCTGATCAAAAAGTTCCGCTGCTCCCCCGACGCCTACGTGCAAATGATCATCCAGCTGGCCTACTTCAAGATGTTTGGCAAGAACCGCCCCACGTACGAGTCGGCCGCCACGCGGCGGTTCCAGCAGGGGCGCACCGAGACGTGCCGCTCCGTCTCGGAGGAGAGCGTCGCCTGGTGCCGCGCCATGGCCGACGAGTCGGTCGACAATGAGCACCGGGTGGCCCTCTTCCGAAAGGCGATCGACGCCCACCTCGAGTACATCTCCGCCGCATCAGACGGAAAGGGCGTCGATCGCCACCTGTTCGGCCTCAAGCGTCTGCTTGAGCCCGGCCAGGAGGTGCCGTCGCTCTACAAGGACCCTGCCTATGCCTATTCGAGTTCGTGGTACCTCTCCACCAGCCAGCTGAGCTCCGAGTACTTTAATGGGTATGGCTGGAGCCAGGTTATTGATGACGGGTTTGGCATTGCGTATATGATTAATGAGAATAGGTTGGTCTTTCTGTCCCCTTTTTATTTCAATGAATAGCCGCTAATGTATTTTCTGCAACAGCCTCAACTTCAACATCGTTTCCAAGGGCCAGGGGTCTGACAGGATGAGCTTCTACATCAACGAGGCGGCTGGCGATATCCGCGACATGCTGATGCCGACGCTTGAGGCGCCCAAGGCCAAGCTCTAAGTGTTTTCCAAGGCGTCTTTCGCGTTCTTGTCGGTCGGGTGCTGTTCTCCGGATTGGCACTAAAAATAAAACCTTGCTGCGATATATAGACATTGTTGTCGTCTTGGGATAGCAAGCATGGCTGTTGTTTGTCTCTTGGGGTCACGCATGTATTTTGGCCGAGCTTGCTTGTATGATCTTTGCTTGCGAGGGGGATCTCATGTGGGCTCCAAGAGAGTCTGTACATATATTTTATAGCCTGATACTATTGTATACTGTAAATACCCTGCTGGTATCTTTGGAATGTGGATTCCATGCAGTTGTTGATGCCTCTGAACGTCTTGTCTGTCAGTAATCCCTCTCGCTCTCTCGCTCTCCTTTGCATACACCTATAGTCTAGTACGCAAGAAAACGAGATCTGCTTGCCTATACAAGTCCCAAGTCCCAACTCCCTCGCCTTCAACTTACACATCACTCTCTTGCCCACTGGCCTTCTCCTTACCACCCCTCGACTGACACTTCGCTTCCCACTCGCTAGATCCCATCCAATTACCCCCCAGCACCTACACTAGTCGAAAGCACACCACCCGCTCAACCGGCATGCGAAACAATCTCATTAACCACATCCCCCTTCTCCTCATCAAACCACGAACAAATCTGCCCCGGTAGCGCAATCTCCTTGTAATCACCATCCTCACCAGCTATCACATTAAGGTTAATCCCCGCCGACTTGCTCGAAAAGACGCGCGTGGCAGAGCTCTCCTTGGAAAGATAGACCTGCGCGCCATCGACCTGGTCCATGAGCACCGTGGGGATGGTGCCCAGGACCTGCAGGGCAAAATTCGCGCTCTTGACCACGTCGACTGTCGACACCAGCGAATCGACGACGAGCGACAAGCGGGAGGTGTTTTCGACCGTCACGGCGTTGGCTTTGCCTTTGAGGATGATGGTTGTGTTGGTGCATTTGGAGATGAGGAGGGAGTGGGAGAGGGAGACGTCGATTTCGAGGGGGGAGGTGGGGGAGTCAAAGTTTTCCTGTTCAAGGAAGGAGAGTTAGAAAGGGGGGTAGAGAAAAGGGGAAGGGGAGGAGGAGTGAGTGCATACGATTGTCCACTTGTTTCCCTCGAGCTCCTTCTTGGGCGGCTTCTTGACCCGCATGCTTTCAGGCTTGGGCTTCTTGCCTGGCGCGGGGCTCTTTCCGCGGACGGCGCTCGAGTTCTCGGGGACGGTGGAGCCCGCGCGTAGGGACGGGTTCTTGTGCGTCATTTCGGACTTGTCGACTTTTCTGAGCCCTTTGGTGACTGCCTCGCCCTTGTTGAGCTCCGCAAAGACGGCGTTGAAGCCCGCGGCGGGACCGGGCTCGGGCTTTTGCTCGTTGATCTTGAGGACCGGAGGCGGGCCAGGCGGAGGGGGCGGAGGAGGAGGGGGCGCGCCGCCAGAAGCGGGGGCCGGTGTGGTTGACGCGGCAGAAGACAGGGCCTTGGCTACCTCGGCCGCGGGCTGCCCCTTGGGATTCCACGGGATGCCGTTGGGGAAGTAGTTTTTCACATAGTCGGCGAGATCGCGGAAGATCTGGTAGTAAGCTTTCACCCATTCAACCTGCCGGTCATCCCTTGAGTCAAAGTCAGCGCGGCTGCGGCCAAATATCCTTCTCAACGTGCTCACTTGTTCTTGTTCGCCGTGAGGATCTTGTTGCCAAAGAACTGGGCGGACCCGAGGCTCTCCTCGACATGCTTAAACGGCCTCGCGTCGATGGTCACCCAAGCCAAGGCGAGGATGCTCTCAGCCACGGTGGCTAGGTTGTCGTAGACCGGCGAGCCTCGGTTCGAGTCCTTGATGTTACCGACGGCGGCCATGAGGTCGCCGATGGGCTTGACGAGATCCTGGAAGACTGACATGTCGGCGCCAGACATGTCGGGCTTCTTGGCTTTCGTGGTTATGAGCAGGAATTTGCGCTGCTCTTTGAATCCCTGGACGACCTTGGCCGCCTGCTCGGCAACCAGACCACCGATAGCATTGCTGATTTTGGCCCAATTCTCGACGGATTGGCTGATGAAGTTGTCGAATTCTTCGATCGATTCGGGGAGCGGCTCAGGAGGAGCGACGGGGGCAGGCGGCGCCGGGGCTGGTGGTGCCGGAGCTGGAGGAGCAGGAGTAGGCGCAGAAGACACGGGAGCAGGGGGCAGCGTCTGCTGGAGCGCCGGGACGGCCTGGGGCAGTTCGAATGTTGACTGGGCTATATCCTCGAGACGTGATGTGGCAGCTTCGAGCCTGTTGTCCTTAGTCAGTACCGTGTTGCGCGCTTTGCGCCGGCGTGGATGACGGCGCGGAATGATGCGCAACATGCCCGTGCCGTAGTACGGGAACAGGCCGAGTTACACACCTCTTAATGAGCGTCGTCAAGTTATGCATCGAGTTGGTGGCCATGTTGGGCAGCGTCCAAAGAGAGTTGATCCAAAGAGCAGCAACTGGAAAGGAGTGACGGGCTGGTGTATCCGTAGACACGCAACTAATGTGAGCCTTTTCAGCCAAATAAAAAAATTCTGCCTATAAGTGCTTGCGTCTTGCGGACCAAACGAAGTAGAAGTCGACGGTAGATTGGCGATCAGGCTACGTACGACTTGGAGATCCAAGGAGCCGCCAAAACATGCATCAAGAGCTCAGACAGGCAGCGCAACTTGGGATGGAAGTTTCATGGAACCCCTGAAGCTGCGGCCGACCCGATGAAGCTCGCTGGAGCTCTCGTTACAGTGGGGCGCTGCCCTAATTTTGTCCAATCATCGCTTCGCTTGGGCCTAGGATGATTGTCCACCTAGGACCAAGCCCGTCTTGAGTTCTTGACTTTCTGCCCCTGTGGTTGAATGGTTCCTCCTCTACCTTAGGCTGGACTCAGGATAGAGAATTCACCCTGCTGCTTTTTAAAGGGTAAATAGTGTGCTCCATAGTAAAATGGAGTAACGCCGAAGGTGCCAATGGAAAGATGAGAATTGTAGCGCTATCTGTCCATATCTGAGGCACGTTACTAACGTATGTAAGTACATACAAGTGCCTAACCTCTGGACTTGTGCCTTAGTTGCACCAGGCTTCACCTCCTCCAGCAACACATGCAATTCTGTCTGCAAGACACCCGATCCGATCAAGCTGTTGCAATGCAGTGCTGCAGCCCAAAGACAGGCCAACCACTTGAGTTCACAGGCGTGTAACAGCTCCCAATCAGGGGCTTGTGGCGTATCTGCCTCACCGTCGTTAGCGGTTTATCAGCCAGTCAAATCCAGTCACTGTGTGGCATGAGTTGCCCGGTTTCATTTACATAATCCGGGTTGTAAGGTAGGTAGGTAAACAACTTCATGGCTTTACTTCACTTCATCTCTTCTTCTCTGGCACTCTCTTGAGTTATATCCTTACCTCTCAAACAGAACATAACATAGTCGGGTGGCCGAGGGAAATAAAGGCCTGTTAGCAAGTATCGACATGGGTCCGGCGCCGGACGTGGACGCCGACGTCTGGGCCCCGGCCGCTGTGGAGGCGGGCCGGGAGGGAGACGGGATTCCTGAGGACCAGGAAATTGATTTTGTGACCCTCGGCATGTTTATCATAGGTAGGTCCGGTTACAATCATTCATACCACTTTTCACTGCAGGACGAGAGAGGAAATGCGAATTCTCATTCCGTTGCAATAACCTCCACCCTATCCGAGTGAGTATCAACACCGCAGACTAACACCCTCCCAGATGAAATTGAATTCCCTCCCCCCAAGCCCCCAGTCCGGGACGTGCCAGGGGGCGCCGGGACCTACTCCGCGCTGGGGGCACGCCTCTTCTCACCTCCACCCTCCTCCAAAACCGTCGGCTGGATCGTCGACCAAGGCTCCGACTTCCCTCCCTCCCTCACAGAGCTCATCACCAGCTGGCAAACCTCAGCCTTATTCCGCCACGACCCCTCGCGACTCACCACACGGGGCTGGAACGGCTACGTCTCCCCCACCTCCGAGCACCGCTCATTCCGCTACACAACACCCAAAAAGCGCCTCACCGCCGCCGACCTAACCGACACCCCCTTACTACAGGCCAAAGCAATCCACCTGATCTGCTCACCCCTCCGCTGCCAGGAGCTCACGACCGACCTGCTGCGCCGGCGGAAACAGGCGTATCTGGCAAACCCATCCAACGACCCAGACGCGTACACCCGGCCGTGGATTGTGTGGGAGCCAGTCCCGGACTGCTGCACGCCCGACCAGCTGCTCAACTGCACCAACACCCTGCCGCTGGTCGATGTCTGCTCGCCTAATCATGCAGAGCTGGTCAACGGGTTCATGGGCATGGCTCCCACACCCACCCCTGAGTCAAATAGTAGTGAAGAAATGCGCGCCGCCGTGGAGACCGCTTGCGAGCAGCTCCTCGCCAGCATGCCGCTGCAGAGCTACACGCTGGTGGTGCGCGCGGGGAAGGAAGGGTGTTTCGTGGCGCGCAATGGGGGGCGAAAGAAAAAAGTGGGCGATGCTGGGGGTGGTAAAAGGAAGAAAGGAGTAGGAGGGGGCAAGAAGGCTGAGTACGTGCGCGGCGGACTGCAGCCGGACACGGACATGGAGGCGCTCTTTGCGGGCCTGCTGCAGGACGAGGAAGGACATGTTGCCCGGGAGGAGATTGAGGTTGATCCCGGGTTGGAGAAGTGGGTGAGGGCTTATTATTATCATGATGATGATCGTGCTAATAGTAATGATGGGGATGGTGATGAACGGGGTGAAAGGATAAGAGGAAAGGTGGTTGATCCCACTGGCGGGGGGAATACCTTCCTCGGCGCCCTGGCTGTTGCCCTGGCGCGCGGCAAGTCGATCGAGGAGGCCTGTGTTTGGGGGAATGTAGCGGCGAGCTTCGCCATTGAGCAGGTTGGCTTGCCGGTGCTAGGGGTGGATGAGGAGGGCCGGGAGACGTGGAATGGGGTGAGGGTGGAAGACCGGCTGCGGGAGTACCAGGAGAGTTTGTGAGCCGAGTCAGCCGTTATGGCGGCATGGTTGATAATGGGGATATTGGATAATCAGAACATGTCTAGAGGGTTGGATAAGCCGCAGCGATAGACCTGCTTTGGATAGACGTCACACTAGATGACTGAATGATAGGACTATGTGCCGCAAACAATAGCACATTGGATCTATCCTTCATCAGCGCTTACTTCATCAGCCATCTACTTGCTACCCGCAGCAACGGAATAAACTAGGTACCAATGATCCCAAACCATCCGTTGAAGTCTTACCCGTCAAAATGCAAACAAACGCCTCATCTGCTGTGACCCGTCCATAGTAGTAAACCCTCAATGATACCGACACGCAAACCCAATAACAATCCATGTCCTCACTAAATCTTATACACCAAATCCCCATCCGTGTACCTGCACACCAAAACGTTAGCAATCACCAGACCACCACCAGCAGGGATTACATCGCATCAAGGACAAGGGGCAAACTCACATAATCTGATTCCTCGCATCCATCTCTTTAAGCGCCTTGATAGCCTCGTCCCTCGCAAACGCCCCACCGTTGGCACTCCCCACCTTGCGATTGACCGCCTCAATCAGCTCGCCCACCTCTGCCGCGTCGTCCTCAAACAGCGGCGTGCTGAGCAGCTGGCCGAGTGCGCGGCGGAACACTTCGAGGCGCTGCTCGCTGATCCGAGGTCCGTCCTCGTCCTCGTCGTCACCATCTTCGACGGTGAGGTTAGCTGCGCGAGAGGCCAAGGCGGAAGCCTCATCGTCTCTAGTTGTTGTTGCCTGGGATTCGGTCTGGGTGCGGAGCTGGGATGCCGGGACCGAAGAGGCGAAGGATGGTTGGGAGGAGGAAGAGGCGGCGGCGGCTGTGCGTGTGGTGCGCGTCGCCCGCCTTGGCGTGGCGTCATATATGTTCTCCTCCTCCTCCTCCTCCTCCCGCTCTTCTCCGTCCGCCCCCGTGCCGTCGACGTCGCCATCCGGTGTGCTGGCTGCCGCTACTCCTCCTCCGCGCCCGTTGCGGCGACCGTTGCGCTGCGCAGCGCGCGTCGACCGCGTGCTGCGCGCTGCCGTGCTACTGCGTGCGGCGGTGCCGTTCCTTTCATCGCCGTCCGAGTCGTCATCGCTGGAGCTGCTGTCCTCGTCTACGTCCTCGAGCGGGCGCGTCTTTCTCCGCTTCTTGCGCGACCCGTCCTCAACGACTTCCTTGAACAGCGCGAAGCGAAGGATCGACTCGGCCGCGGCGGCGTCCCGCTCCTCGACACGGTTGGAAAGCCGTGCCTTAGCATGAGCCGTCGCGAGACGGATCAGAGTCTCGAGCGTACGCACGGTCATGGGGCTCGTCTTGCGCTGATTGCTTTCCATGTCGTCGTTGCGCAGGCCGACATAGATGTCGGCGATGCGGTCTGCCGCCTCTTGGGTCAGGACGGGCTTGATGCGTGTCTTCGCGTACTGGATGTACTTCTTCATAAAGGGGATGCTCAACACCTCGGGCTTCTTGTTGGCGCCCCGCCCCGTGCCCTTGACACCCGCGTGAAGCATCGCGTCGTACTTCTCGTACACTTCGGTCGGCCGCTGCGTGTCGGCCTGCTGGTTAAGCGCCACGTTGAGCGCCTGGCCCGCGTTCTCCCGGACCGGCGCGCCGTCCTCGGTGCCGGGCTGGCGGTACCTGTGCATCCGCAGCACATGCTCCGAGACCTGACGGTCCCTGGTGTCTTCAATGTCGTCTGTGACGACAAATAAGAGATCGAAACGTGACAGCAGGGAATCGGGAAGAGCAATGTTCTTGTGCGGGTCCTTGTGCGTGTCGTACTGGCCAAAGATGGGGTTGGCGGCGGCGATCACGCTACAGCGGGCATTGAGGGAAGTGTGGATGCCGGCTTTCGCAATCGTCACAGTCTGCTGCTCCATCACTTCGTGGATAGCGACTCGGTCGATATCCGACATCTTGTCAAACTCGTCTATGCAGACGACTCCACGGTCGGCCATGACCATGGCGCCAGCTTCGAGACGACGTTCTCCGGTCTCCTTGTCGGAGGTTACGGCGGCTGTCAGACCGACCCCCGAGGAGCCGCGGCCGGTCGTGGCAATGGCCAAGGGAGCCGTGTTGAGCACAAAGCGAAGCAACTGAGACTTGGCGGTGGACGGGTCGCCAACCATCAGGATGTTGATGTCACCTCTGAGATGTGTGCCATTCTCCAAGTTCTTTTCCATCCCTCCGAGAAGCATAAGAAGGATGGCTTTCTTGATGTATTCATGGCCGTAGATACTTGGAGCAAGAGACTGCGATAGCAGGTCAAACAGCTTGGGCTTCTTGGCAATCTTGTTGATGTTCCGAATATCCGTGTCGGTAATCGTGGCGGTTGCAACCCCGCCGCCAGACTTGGTGGACAGCAACACTACGTTGTTCGCTAGCAAGACCGTCTTGAACAGGGCGCTATTGTGATTTGTGTTCCTGTTGCCGAGGGTCCTGTAGATGCCCACGAGCTGGACGCGATCGCCTGGCTTGACCTTGTCAACCAGGTCATCGTCGAGAATCACGTCGACGCCGCGAGGCAACTGGCCTGCGGGGGCTCGCTCGGGCATCTCCTGGATTGAAATGGTCTGGTGATCCCGGTAGGTGCACAGCCCGTACTCGGTCAGCAAGGGATTACCGGCGTCGTCTTCCTGGGGGTACACGCTCGACGTCGTGACGCCGTTGGTCATGGTCTGATCGCGATACTCCCTAAAGTGGAAGATATTCCTGGCTTCGTTGTAATGCACGCTCTTGACGACCTTGGGGCGGATCAGAGAGCAGCGTGTGACGATGCCCTCAATGGAAACCATGCTGTTCAGATGCTGCGATGACAGGGTCCGCGGGTTGCAGGCGTTGAGGCCGAAGCTGCCGGCCCACGCACAGTAGTACAGAACATCAGGATCTGTTTGGTCTGGCCTGGCTTGGGGCAATGTCTTGACAATCTCCTTGAGTGCGTGGTTGAAGGCTAGTGTGTACTCGAACGGGTCGTTAAGCAGCCCGTCGGCCATTTCGGGGTTGTGGTCGCGGACATGATCGATATTAACGACGAGTCTGCGAAGGTTCTTTTGGAGCATCAAAATGATATCGGCTCTGTAACTCCGTGCATGTTGATCGTCTGCAGTGAAGTAGAATAATGCCGTCAGCAATGTAATCCAAGGCTTCCCGAAAAATCAAAAGCGAAGCGATAGAATGTTCGTACGGGGATCCAGAAACTCCAAAGCCTGGCGCGCGCGGTCGCGCGCCGCCTCATCGCGCAGCATCAAACTATCCATGATGCTGTATTCTGCGTATTCTGCGCAGAGAGATCTGAAGGAAGGGAGAGAAAAGACAAAAGTTTGTCGGCTAGCCAGCCAAAGCGAATGTTGGGAACGGGAGACACTGGACAGTTGTGGGGAGGGGAATTGAGAAAACGCGTCTGACGCGAGAGTCGCGTCTTTGGCGCGCTACCCCTGATAATTGTTTAATTGATGGCAGAATAAGCTGCCCCACTCCGTTGGCTTACAAGCGTTGCTCACCGCTTTCCGTTTACGCTACCTACTGTGAACTTTACGAGCTTACCTATGGAATCCAACGTCTTGTGCCTGTCTAACACCTGCCTCCTCTCAATCTCTTCATTCTGCTGTTCTCTATCAGAACTTCTGCGAGCACCGATTCCCTGCGTTAGGCTTCGGAGGAACGTAATTTACATTGAAAATTGATTCGTACCCTTCTACAATCTTCTGCTCACTCTATCCAAGAAAAAGGTCTCGCTCGAATGTTATCTCTGAATCATGCGATGCAATTCTTCTCACATTGCAGATCTGATATGGCGACACCGCATACATAGCATACATAAGTATTGCGCGTCACCGGATACGCGCGTCGCGAGTGGCAGTTTATTGTTATCGGCTTACAGACTCATCTACCATCTCCATATCGGTGTATGCTTGAGAGGAAGGAGGAACATCATTCCTGTTGATTGCTGCATAGCAACGGAGTAGAGATAGATAACTTCTTGAGCTGACTAGCTACCGCTGGTCTTCTGCAGCAAGCGAGCGATGGTGCCAGTAAGTTGCTTAGGAAGCAGGCAAGAGAGCCGCTAATGAAGACCAATGAACGATGTGTCGCGGACTCGCGGGAATGCTCACCTGCCCTTCCTCCGGGGTCAGATTACGACGGGAGTCGTTTCACTGGGATATCCAGCTTCGGACCCTTGCCGACTCCGAACACCTCGCCGTCACGGCTGGTCATTACGATGTCCATCACTCCATCGGCAGCCGGGCGGATGCAGTTACGATCGAAGAGTAGGCCCACCCCGTCATGCTGTACCCATTATGGATTGTTGACCTCGCCTGATGTCATGCCAGACAGTCGATGTTGAGTACGGCACCAGCAGCTACTGCGTACTTTTGATGTTGTAGTAGCAACAACCAGCAGCAGTACGCCCGATTAGACAGCCTATCCCTGCCTTCCGATAATATAACAAGCAGAGATGCGACACACCCGGGCGAACCATTCCGAAAGGACTGGTTCACGCACCATGCAATGCAAGTCTCACGTTGCACGCAACCCGCCAATGTTTTCCCTCGGGGCCGCTCCGATTCGTTGTGTATCACTCTGGGCACCAACCACCCACCTTATAACCTGATGTCCATAAACGTCGGATATGGTTGGTGTCCGACTGTCCGCGACCTGTTGGCTCGACTTCTGAGTGCTTTCGAGTTGCCGTCGCCGATGTGAATGACGCTTGCGTTAATGCCTCCGTACGGATAACAGCTTCGGGAACGGATAGCCCGGCAAGCAACCAAGCGAACCATCCATGCCAGAAGCCGGCGCAAACCGGTTCTCGTCAAAAATGGCGCCAGTTTCAAGCCCGACTACTCACCCTCTTTATGCGCAGACATCCGTCCGTTGTCCGGCTGGCGGCCTCCTAAACTTGCGGAAACAGGAAAGTTCATGGCATTTCCCGTCCGTCTTCCGTTGTTTACCGTGACTGCTGTGCGCTCCCTGCCCGTGTTGGGCCTGGAGTGCCTCATTTGAGATAGACGCCCGGCATCATGTGGCATGCCGGTGAATGTTGTTCTGCTTCTGTAACCTACCTCGTGAGCTCGGCACTGCTGTTTCCCTGCAAATGAGGGACTCGGTGCGCCGGCCGACTGGCTGCTCGGCATCCAGGAGGATTTCAGAGCCGTCTCACCCTCCAGTCCGTTCTCTTAATTCCCTCATCGGCTTCGGCATGCCGCGGGTGCAAGACATGCAAGACATGGCCGGTTTAATACCGGTTCCCACTCCTCCATCCACATAAGGCGTGACTCGGTTCGGCAGGTGTGCCGTGTTTCTTCGGCCCGAAAGCGTCATTTCGACAATTCAATTGGTTACCAGGCCGCTGGACAGGCCGTTGAGGGAGAACGGCCCACCCGTCATGCACCGTCGATGGAGGCCTCATCCCGTAGGGCATTCGTGATAAGGGTACCGTAACCACAGATGCTGCAGCTGTGGTCAGAAGCCCTTTCGTTATGCCCGTCATCGCGGTGAGTTGCATCAAACCTCTTAGAGTTCTCTCGTATGTGAGATCTCCCAAGGCCAAGACGAAAGCACAGGGTTGGGCATCTGTGCATATTGTCACCTGTCCTGCAACCGAGGTAGTCGCTGCCTGTCCTCGTCTCGGATGCGATTCCCCTCCGCGTTCCCGCCGCTCTCATCGTCAAGGGCCCTGTGTCGGCAAAAGCAGGTTAAGTCCGACACCTTCACCGGTGCAAACTGCGACTTCTTGGCTTCCGGAACAATGGGAGCCAGCCGTTCATATGCTTGGGTGCACCCTCACCGGGCGGCACTCGTTTGAATTCCACCGCGAGACGGAGACCAAAAATTTGAAGGAGCGGACGCTGACAGCAGAACCAACTCTCCTGCGATATGCACACTGCTCATCGTGCCGAACCAACCCGGGGCACGACCTAGACAACCAGGGTGGCTGCATTTCGCAAGGCACAGGTGGGTGGAAGGTGAATGTTCGGCAGGAAACACGAGCCGACTGAGAACTTGACACAACGCCCCCAGACGAGCTCATGGCCACTGCTGCAGCTGATTCGTGACCCGAACACAGAGTTGAGAGGTAGTATAGAAAGGGCCTCATAACTGACTGCAGTGGTAGAAGTCCTCGTAACACGAAGTGAGATTGCGCCCACACGCCGATCCGTTCCATGAGGGTAACGCGGGCGACAGGATGCGCAATGCGGTCACGCCGAGTCCTCTGGCAATTTTCGATGGCCATGCCCTTGCGACTCGTGAGCACACGGACTGCTTGAGGCCATGGAGGGTCTAGGGTACCTGTAGGGGAAGACGGGTGGGCATCCGCGAGTGCATAATGGCGGGAAATATCGCTGATAAGGACCTCGCTCAAGAGCTGTCAGATGTTGCCAAAGAACGCGTCAGCGGGTCCGGCTCTAAAGAACCGAACCTGCAAGGTATCGAGACAAACGGTGGTGCCCAGGTACTGTGATATTCGGGACTCAACCGGGGATAAGCTGCGTGACCAGCTGCATGAATGGGGCGTAGCTGACATGCGCGCAATCCTCCCCGTAGCCTTGCACTGGGAACCAAACGAGTTTGTCATGGGCATTCACACCGCAATACACCGGTAGGTCGAGGTACGAGATCGTCGGAAAGGGAGGACTGACCGAGGAATGCTCCCGACGGTCCGTGCCCCTGGCTTTACATCCCGACGAAAAAGGTGAGAACCCGCAGCGCGGACCCGATGCAACTCAGAGTACGGTAGGCAGGAAAAATCCAGGACAAAACACGGGAATGAAGCTGACAGGTTAGTTTCTAATAGCTTCCTTCACAATGCGACGGGACACCGTGCTCCCCCAGACTAGGAGCAGCCAAGAGAGCTCCCGGGGCAATTTACCGAATTGTCCAACGCAGGTTCTTTCTCGGGCGAGAGCAGGGGTCTGGCGTGGGATCCAAGGCCCTGGGGGCCGAGATCGGGATGCCGATCTGGTTCTGGGTTCCGAGGCTCTTTCCAAGAGTGTTCCGAAAAGGGGCTTTCGGCACGTTGCCGGTAAGACAACATTGATGACAACTCGAGCCGTTTGAAGGCGGGAAACCGCAGGGCGCTTGTCGCACGTGGCACCGGCTACCCGTCCACATGGCTTTTGCAGGTCCTATTTTGAAAGTCGCTCAGGCGGGGAACATGCTTCCTGGCTTCTAGGGCCGCATTGTTCGCCTAGCGCCAACTGGCTGTCACGAGGCGCTGACATGCTAGTCGGCAGTGCAAGGACCGCAACGAATCATGTTAACAGCCGGCGATCCACTGCGCGCTTGGTTTGAAGCACACATTAGGGTCAGAGCAATCGCCCGTCTAGTGTAGGATGGTTGATGACGGGGGATGACGGGGGTGAGCAGAGGTGAGCCCCGCTTGGATTATACGGTCTGTGTTAGTCTGGGACGACAAGCTCAGGGGAGCGATCCGGTGTTCCGCATTGGGTCTCCGTTAGTCCTCGCCGGCAGGGGTCGGTGGTTGTACCATGGTTCTGGTATATAAGCAGGCATAGTCTGCTTCCTCATCGCGCTTTCTTCCTAGACATGTCAGTTTGGCCCTAGCCATTCCCTCATTTCACATTATCAACATGGTCCTGAGACAGCTTAATCCGCCACCCAAAGGGAACAGGGCCGACGGGGCGACCAAGTCGGCCGTGCTCCATAGGCACCTAGGGACCGAGTTCCTCCCTTTGTCCAAAGGCGAGGGCAGCTACATGGTGCTTGAGGACGGCCGAAAGATTTTTGACGCCTCGGGAGGTGCCGCAGTTGGCTGTATCGGCTGGGGCAACGAGAGAGTCGCCCGGGCTATCATGGCGCAGGTGATGGCCATTCCATATTGTTCAACCATATTCTACACAACCAGCGTACAGGAGGAGCTCTGCCGTTACTTGGTGGACTCAACCAATGGCGCCATGTCGCGTGCCTATATCGTCAACTCGGGTCAGTCTTGCCTACATGACGAGCCCTGTGCCCTGTCCATTGCTGACCCTCAGAAGGCTCCGAGGCGATGGAGGCGGCCGTCAAGCTTGCTAGGCAGTACTTCCTCGAACTCAACCCGCCACAGCCGAGGAGGACACGCTTCATTTCCCGGAGGCAGTCATACCACGGAACGACCCTCGGCGCGCTGGCGGTTGGCGGTCACGAGTACCGGCGGGCAAAATTCGAACCCATGTTGATGAAGAACGTATCCAGAGTGTCCCCATGCAACGAATTCCGTGGCAGGCATCCCCGCGAGACGAACGAGGATTACGTTGCCCGGCTGGCCAAGGAGCTGGATGACGAGTTCCAAGCGCTAGGGCCAGAAACAGTCTGCGCTTTCGTGGCTGAGCCTGTCGTGGGCGCTGTATGTGCCCCTACTGCGCTGTTGATTCGCTTCACCACTGACCAGCAGCACATAGGCGCTGGGATGCGTGCCCTCGGTCCCCGGTTACTTCAAGGCGATGCAAGCTGTCTGCCAGAAGTACGGCGCTCTTCTCATCCTAGACGAGGTCATGTGCGGGATGGGCCGGACGGGGACGTTGCATGCATGGGAACAAGAGGGCGTCGTTCCCGATATTCAAACCATAGGTAAGACCCTCGCGGGCGGTTATCAACCGGTCGCCGGCGTGCTGGTGAATCGGCACGTTGTAGATGTGATAGAAAGGGGCACCTCGTAAGTAGCATCAACCCGAAGCAGGCAAGAGACTATGAACAATCTGTGAGTAACACGGTCAATGCACAGATCTTTCGTCCATGGCCACACATATCAGGGCCACCCGGCAGGGTGTGCGGCAGCTCTCGAAGTGCAGCGGATCATTCGAGACGACAATCTCTTGAGCAATGTCCGGAAGATGGGCGCGCTGCTCTCGAGACGGCTGCAAGAACGTCTCGGCAACCACCCTAACGTGGGCAATATCCGCGGCCGTGGGCTTTTCTGGGGCATCGAGTTTGTTGCAGAGAAGAAGAGGTCGATTCCCTTCCCAGAGGAGGCTCACGTGGCCATGGGCATCAGCGAACGGGGCCTGGCAAAGGAGTATGGCATCAATGTGTACCCCGGCGCCGGCTCGGCGGACGGGATCCGGGGCGACCACATCATCATCTCGCCTCCCTTCAACGTGCGCGCCGGGGACATCGAGTGGATCGTCAATACGGTTGGCCGCCTTATCGACGATTATTTCGCGTCCTCAACAGACCGATGAGTGGGCGGCGAAGATGGTAATGGAACGAAAGAAACGAGAAAGGAAAAAAAGGGTAAAACGTTCAGGTGATCGAAAAACTCTGTTATGTAACATTATGGTCCAGTCAATTGTATGCTCGCTGCGAGACTGAGCGATATGCCTGCAAGTGGTTACAGAAGCTCAAGAGAGGTTCTCGAACTCAATGGAGTGGAGAGACATGCAACCGGAGTGGGCAGAGAATATTAGATTAATGTTGAGAACAAGGGTTAGGGTCTTAACCGTTAGCTACGGAGTATTTTGCGGGCCATTACTGTACCAGCCTACCAGGAACGATGAGTTGCCTTACATCTCGTCAGTTCCAAAATCACACAGACAAGGAGATCAGATCTTAGAGAAACACCACAACTTACAATCGCGAGGGTCTCCCAGTTTGATCACGGTAGTCTGCTCTATGCTACTTCTGTCCTGTGTAGACATACACTAACTGACTACACTAGGTAGTGATACTAACCGGTATGTAACGTTACTGTACTGTATTGTACGAGTACATACAATAAGATAATTACAGTACGTTAGTTGTCGGGAGATCCCCGACCCACTAACTCCACCCCCAACAAGCCGCCAGAGAGTGGCATCAGTTCCAGTTGGGAACCAAGAATTGCGGTACCTGCATCAAACATCTCAGCGACTCGCAGCTCAACGCCTTCGCAACCGTGGCGGGGGCAACCATGGCTGTCGGCGTTATCAATAGCCGGCATACCGCCGACGAAGAGGCCCGGGCCGAGGTCGACGTGCTCAATTCACGGCTTGAGAAGACGGCGCAATTGACAAAGAAGATCCAGGCTTGCCTAGGGAGACTCGACGCTACGGGCAAGAGTGTTCGCGATGTGGCAGGCCCGCTCAACGGAGAGACGAAGAAGCTCCAAATTCTCAATAACAGTAGGCGACTTGTTGCTGCGTTTTTCTCCCAGTAGAGACTAACTGCGCGTCGTGCACCCCGCTTCAAGACATCGATGCAGTCCTCGCCGCCATCGAGCGCCTGCGCCAACCAGCAGACAGCAAGAATGATGAAGAACAGATCATCCGTATGGGCCCGGACAAGGCCGGCCTCCCCAACTACCTGGCGTCCATCAAGCGCCTGAACAAGGCGCTCAATGACATGAAGGCGTCGAACCTCCGGTCCACGCAGCAGACTGTATCGGAGCTTCAGAAACTTGTAAAACTCGGCCACACACAGCTGGAGAACTCGTTCGACAGACTCCTACGCGCCGAGACCCCTCGCGCGCTTGAGCCTTTGCACTTCATCACAAAGAACAAGCCGTTCCCGGTGCTGTCGCAAGACAAGTTTGCCAGACTGGGCCTGATGAACTCGTACGTTGCCGCGCTGCATCGCCAGAGCGGCGGCGCCGCACCCCAGGAGTCGCCAATCGCAAAGATATACATTGAAATCCGATCACAGTATCTCTCGTCGGCGCTGGTCAACCTGGCCACGGCGAGCACCAGCACCGCCAAGAAGAAGAACCCAGATGCCATCTACCGACCAGGGACGAGCGGGATAGGGACGTATGCGCAGGCCATGGAGGGTCTGTTTGTCGCCGAGTACGAGAACATCTGCAACATATTTACGAGGGAAGACTGGGGCCCCGTCTTCGAGGCAACGTGTCAGCCCTCGCTGGTTGAGCTCGGGAGAACGCTGCGGGAACTGAACGGGCACATCAAGGCGCATCTGAACACCGACTGCTACTTGGCCTATGAGATTGTCGAGATCATTTCCGAGCTGTCGAGCAACCTGGAACGGCGGACAGGGGAGCTCAAGAGTTCCCTCGCAGCATCCCTAAAACCGGTCCGCGAGACTGCCAAATTCTCGCTGCCGGAGCTGCTCGAAGACACCAGGAAGCGGGCCAACGGACTGCAATCACTCCCGCTGGACGGTGCGCCGGTGCCTCTGGTTTCCGAGACGATGCAGCGGCTCCGAACCATGGTGGATTTCCTCCGGCCCATCTCAAGCATCATGATATCCCTCGGCGACGGCGGCTGGAAGTCGGGTGCATCGAGGGGAGGCGGAAGCGACGCCGTCCCGAGCCTCGCGTCGTTTGACGTGGGCGCCGACGGCAAGGAAATATTTGCGCACTACTGCACCGACACGATCGAGGCGCTCATGATGGCTCTGGACGGGCGCGCAAGGCTCCTGCTGCAAAAGAAGCCCGTCATGGGCGTGTTCCTGGCCAACAGCATCACCATCATCGAGCGCATGATCCAAACCTCCGAACTCGCTCCCCTCCTCGAATCACGGCTGGGGGTCATCGACGCGTGGCGCAAAAAGGCGACGAGCCTGTACACGGAAACCTGCAAGGACGTCAGCGTGCACCTGTTTGACGTGATCCACACGAGCCGGGGACCCGGCGGCGGCGGCGGGCGGCCGACGTCCGGGCAGGGGCTGGTAGACTCGGCGTCGATCCTGCGCGGGCTCAGCTCCAAGGACAAGGAGAACATCAAGAACAAGTTCCAGGCCTTCAACGCCAGCTTCGACGACATGGTCGCGCGGCATAAGGCGTACAGCATGGAGCGCGAGGTCCGCCAGCTGTTTGCCAAGGACATGCAGAACATGATTGAGCCGCTCTATAACCGCTTCTGGGACCGCTACCACGAGGTCGACAAGGGCAAGGGCAAGTACGTCAAGTACGACAAGTCGTCCATTGCTGCTGTCTTCTTGACCTTGTACTAGAGCTTGTTGGTCCGCGGTCGTCGCCGCCGCCGCGGCTGTTGCTGCTACTGCTATGAGCTACTTGCTGTAGTGTCTCCCGTGCCCAGATTTGCAGCACGCAGCTCCTGCACTCTTTCCTTTGTCCCACAGACGGAAATGACTGGATCACATCACACTGTTTTCTCTCCCATCTAAACCTTCCCAGACCCAAGTGGGTTCTGGGGGTCAAGGGGATAAACAAACCCCCATACGATGGATGGGTGGGGGGAAAGTCAAAATGTCAGACCACTCTTGCGTCGAGCCTCCTACTACTGCTACACTACACTATACTGGCTGTCGGGCTGGGATTCTAGTGCAGACTCGGGATCCAGTGGATGTTCAGTGCTGGAAATGATGTTGATCAGTCCCGGTTTGTGTCATTCAGAAAGTGCAGTGGGAGGAGGCTGGTTGTAGCGTGAGGAGGATGGGGTTATGATGATGGGCATGTAAGGTGCTATCCTTGTTTCGTCGACGGTGTACGAGTACAGTACATCTTTTTTTTGGTGGGGCATTTGTGGTTGAGGTTGGGGATGTTCTCTGTCGGTCTGTCTGTTTGATCATCCTGTTTCCTGTACCTCATTTGTTTTGTTTTCGGTCAGCGTGCATGATCTTCTGGGGAGTTTACGCATTTGGGAACGGGGCTGGCTTTTAACCATGGCGCGATACCACTTACTTTGGGAAGTCGGGAGCGGCGTTCTGTATGCATGGGATGTTATGAGGAATATCATGAAAGCCAGCTGCTGGCCGTGTCCATCCATGCCTGCATGATCTGTCTCTATCATGGAATGACTGCAGGACGGCTTAGGTTTTGTGATAGACCTTTTCCCTCTCCCTCCCTGTCGTGCTGTGTTGGCGACTGCGACTGGGTTCCATATCACGTTCTACCCCCCTGGCTGATTGGCAGACCGAGCATCGTCGTCCATGTCGTCGTCGGGTATTTCGCGGGTATAGCCACCATAGCGGATCCAGAAAGGGTCATCTTTTCCGAGTCGGATAGCTGCTGTGGAGGGGAGAAATAGACGGTAGACTCAATGGTACTGCACCCAACCACTTACATGGATGGAATGCTTCTTGCACCGCCCTTCCCTTCATGCTGCGTTGAAGTATTGACAGCGCTGGGGTTCCACGACAGCACATGCTGACCTGACAGGAAGGGCTGACCGCGTCTCTTATCGGATTGGTTTGGTACCTTTTCTTGTGTCTTTTGCTCACCCTCATCGCCGAAGTTTCCGAACGGTCCGTTCCTTTGGTACCGAGCCCTCATGTCTCTGTCTCGTGCCACCCCTCCCTCGAGCAACCTCCCCTTGTCTCTCTGGCCCATCACGGAGGTTTGATATGGGACTATCATGATGGATTTGGAATAGCATATCCAGCTGCATAGTAGTGGGCGCGAGTGGGCGTGTAGATATGTATTGTATTTTGTATTTACACTTCAGGGGTTGTCTGTCGCCGGTCTCCCACCTCCGCTCTTTGCTGACCGTCGTGGGCTAAGCTGAACTGGCTTAAAGGCATAACTAATAACCAAGATGTATTATTCCCCTTTGCGAAGCTGTGCATGGCGCACATGCATCATCATGTAAGAGCACAGGCAATGCAATGTATGTATGCAGTGCAGCGTGGTGTAGTCGAGGTTCCTGTGTGTTACGCAGACATGGGGGAGGGTCATATCGAATGGGGCGTGCTTATGGCTGCATCGCATTAGGGATCGGAGACAGAGTCATTCTGAATGGACAGGTTAGAGCTGGGACCCCAAACTCGGCGAGGGGAATCACCAGGGGTACGGTGGACAGAGTGGTGGTTGTGTCGATCGGCCCAGTCACAGACTTGCTGTGGTTGATGGAGGCTACGCCGCTAGAATGCCGGCCAAGGGGTAGTTGGTGTGTGCATACGAAGTACATACAGATACTACTTCGTACCTACCTATTCTACGCCGTGTCCATCCATATCCGCCAGGGGCCTTGTCTAGAGGCACGTAAACACGACATCGCGTAACACAATAGCGACAGCTTTATTGCTTCCTTCCTGCTCGATTCCTTCATCAAGGTGCCCTTGGCAGCTTTGTTGTGGAAGCAGTCAGTGTATGCACTCGGCCCGGCGGTTGCTGGGCGGATCACTTCAACCACGCAGCTTGCCTTCCGTTGATGCCGCAGTCGCTGCCGGGCGGCCGCCCTTTTATTACGTGCCCTATCTTACATACTCAGAGTACCGTGCCTTGAAATTAGTATCTTGGTGAGCCTTAGCTTGTAGTACTACCCCTTCTGCAAAGTGAGTGTCGTTTGCAGAGAAACCCAAGACAGAAAGCGCACGGGCAGAAAGCGCATCGATGCAGGATGCATGACAGGGGTAACTGCGGACGTGTACCGAGTATGGCAGTGTAGTTATAGTGCATATACTCCGTAAATACCATACCAATACATATCGGTGGCTGACAAAGGGGGCAGGGGTATTATTGACACGGCCGCCGCAAGAGCTCACCGTGGCCCGCGGCCTCGATCTGGGAAGCCTATTTGGATATCATCATGCAAGATACCCTCTTTGGCTTGGGTGTACAAACGATGTGCGAGCAGTGAGAGTGCGCATGAGAGCCTGCGAAAGAGAAGTCCAATCAATTCCTATTCCGAAAGCGCCTTGCTGGTGATGGTATCTGCATGAAGTGTAAATCCAGGGCTGCCGCCGTTGCCTTACGCCCATGCTAATAAAACGCCTTGATAATCTTCGAGATGCCCACCCAAACCCCTGCAACGAAACAACACCGAGAAATCAGACCATGCCACGCCCAAGATAGCCTCCAAGAAACAAGCCACTAGCCCAACCTTGCTCGATGAATTCAAAGTGCCACAGCCAAGTGACACAGTGTTGAAAGGAATGACAGAGATACCAAGCCGAAAGTCGGTCGGGCACTGGATCTGTAGCGACGCTCGCTGCACGAGGCTTTGGCTTTTGGGCGTATGAATGGCCTTCCGTCGTACTTGACGGAAGTTCCCGCCAGCCACTGAGTTCCTCGCCGCATCAATGCATCAGTCCACCGTGCAGGCCACCGTCAGCCTTGCGTCGCCGGGTAGCTGCTACCCAGACGGAAGGAACGCCGATCGTTTGGTCCTCCCACGAGCCAGGAGAAGCGTGAACAAAACGTTTCATCAACCGCCGATCCAGGTAGTCTCCGTTTGCTGAACAGAATAAAGCTGAATTGTCCGATGCGTATCGTGTTTCCAGTTTTCGCAGGGAAGAGAGACGAGGGTCTGAGTATCCCACAAGATGAACCAAAGGCGGATGAACCGATTGAGGACGATGCCTCAAGGGCAAACTAGGGGTCCAAGGTACAGGGGACGAGGAGTGAGGACGATGTAACGCCACTGATCGGCTATCTCCCAAACATGTTCTTTGTAGACCGGCGAGCGGAATACGTAGCAGGTGCGGGAGAAGGCCTGCATACTGCGTACTGTAGTGCGATATGTTAAGCACAGGAGGGCGGCGTCCCATGCAGCTCGCCCAATTGGGCGCCGCCGGCCTGCCTGTGCTGCAGGAGCATGCCTTGCCGCCTTCAATACGGGCAGCGGGCGCAATGTGCGTTGCCAGGGCAGTAGTCGTGGGTACCAAAGTCAACGGCTTTGCAGCAGAAAGAGCAGCACTCGTCGACGAGTTCCTCGTACTCCTTGACGGCCATGTTGATTGATTTGTCTTAGATGGTGGGTGGAAGAGTGAGGGTGGTGAGGGCCGAGGATGACTAAGTGGTCTCTTGATAGGATTCGAAGCACGGAGGACAATAGTCTTTCTTAGGAGGGATCTGTATGTATGGTACTGATGAGAACAGTTGCAGGGCTTGAGCCAGAGTTGAGACAGGAGATGGAGAGACGAGTTCACTTGAGCAGACTGAATAGAGAGGTGAAGAGGGTGGCTCAGGGGCTTTAAGTATTTTGGTGTTCAAGGCGCAGGTCCTGTGAATATCCAACTCCCTAAAACGGGTAATCGAGTGACAAGCAAGAGAAGGGATAGAGGACGGTGGGGGTTGGCGACGGATCTTGGGAGTCAGGCAACAGGGAGTCAGGGACGGGGAGAGAAGCCTCATGAGGGTACCTCCGTACCTTCGTCCGCCTTGCTCTCCTTTGTTCCATGTAACTGGGACATGCCCACCAAGGTACCTGCCAAATCATGAACTTGAGCCCATGCGTCCTGCACCGAGAGGCTTTCGGGTTTGGACGGATGGGGCACCACAAAGACGCACGTCAGAGAGCCGAGATGAAGGGTGCCAGCGGGGAGCCAGAAAACAAATAAAAATAAAACAGAGATTTTTTAGGGAGAGAGAAAAAAAAAGTTTCCAATGAGAGTTGCGATTTCACGCAGGTCGTGTCTCCTCGCCAAGACCACGTAATCCCAGCAGCACACAGCCCGCCAAGCCGAGAAAGGAGAGCTGATGAAGGGAACAAGCACGGAGAAGGAACGAGAGGAAAGAAGACAAGGGGTTGGCCGATCCGGAGAGCGGATGGCTCGAATGCGGCGGTGTGGCACGATTCTCCGGGGACAGGGTCACGAGGCAGGGCAGATGGGATAATTTGGCCTCTTCAATTTGTCGACCGCCAGTGACGACTGACGACCGTCCCCTCTTTTTTAGCGACTTTGGACCCCCCTCCGGCCCTGTCACATCCGGAAAGAGCCCTGGTGAGCGGCTGCCCTAACGTTCCGACGGAAACGAGGCCGTGGACTGTTCAAGCCATGATATCACTTGTCAACCGTTTTGTGCAATCAGATTCCAAGGACAAAGGGGCCTGGAGATGCTTCGTTTCGGGGGACGTGCCAAGCTCGGGAGGTTGAAAGCAGGGACTCTGATGATCTCTCGGGGTTAGCGCTAACGCTTGCTGGCCTCACTGTCTCGGTGCCCGAGCCAAGGGCCCAAGGTGTTAGACGGCAGAAGATGGCCTCCGCATAAGGCCCGGGATGCAGCAATGTTGTGAGGCTGATGATAACTAGACGACAGTCTGGGGAGGACATATTCAAATTTAGGTGGCTGCAGTATACCTGGCCTGCTTGAACGCAGCGGGCTGGATTGGGAAGTCAGACGAATCGATCGACTCGCTCAATGCTTGCTGACTGCGTACATACATCCTGCAAGTCTTGAATTGTACGATTACACATGAGGTAGGCGAGCATGTATGCACAGCGCCTACCGAGCATCGCCTAGTCAGCGAGATCAGCCGGCTCAGCTCACCGAGGCATCATGGGCATGGCAGGTCTGCCGGGTAGGTCGGCATCCGTGCAATGTGTGAAATGGTGCCATCACAAATGGTTTGCGAAGCACACCGCTCTTGCCTTGTAGAAAAAGGCATCCAGAAAGTGATTTTGAGGTGCCCAAGAGATAGGGTGGGGTTTTGAATTACATCGATCTCCACGGTATATTACCCTTGAACTAAGATTATTACAGTCATGATACGTAAATACAGTACAGGGAACGTACTGGCAGGTCCTGTACTCCGTACGACAACGGCGGTTAACTTAAGGGAGAACTTAGACGGGGGCTTGCCTCCTTCTTTACAGAAACGGTATTACGAAACGAACCTATGATGTTGTACTGTAGACCATCTTGACTTAAGACGGCATCCAACGCAAGACCGCTCTGCTACAATATTGATGTGCCGGAAGGAGTACGGATACCTATGTTACAAATTTACACTACCCAAACGCTATCTTACCATACTTGTAAGGATCTCAGTGTGTGTTCCCTCAACATAGCTCCGTACAAGACTGGACAATGAGATACCTACTCCTGTTACGGGACATCCTGGAAGCGTCGGATTGAGGGTCCCTGGCCTCACCCAGCGTACGTGCACGTATTGTGGTCGCACCAGCGCCAACTTGGGAGTGTTTCCGTTGGCTACCCCAGGGTCTGCCCTGTGCCGTGACGTCTTCGTGTTGTCTCCCCATGCCCAGCTCTGGGGTTCCCATGAGCCAGCGGCGTGCCCAATAACGGGACCCGCCAAGAAGGTCGCCGAGATCCTGCCTCAAGCCGCAGGTTTACGTATCAAGGGACCTCAATCCGAAGCGCTTGCTTCCAACAATCCGAGGACAAGTCAAACGTCATCCTTCCCGACACATTGCGTTGTCAAGAGGGCTGAGCCCGGATAGCTGCGTGCTACGCCGGGCGCTATCATCGCCGAGGACTTGTGCAGACTGTTTACTGTAGCACGTCGCTACCGCACCTTACGTTAACTGGCATCGTGACGGATCGGGCTCGCAATAGTCTCAGCCAGGGTCCGGAAGAGCGAAAACGGCAAACTGAAGCTGCATGCGGCCTTTGTTCCTCGGCAAAAGACTGCAGTGGTATCATCTCGTGTAGCGTGGGGGACGAGGTCTGTTTTGCTCTTCATGTCGCCATCGTCACTATCGTCGCTTGCTTTCCCGCGTCGTAGCGAAAGGACGCCGCCAAATTTGGGGGGAATGCACTCCACGATAACGGCTCTGCCGGATTGCCCACTTCGGCCCGTGCTCCATTGGTTGGTGCCCCTCGTTTCTCCCTCGGTGCGAGTCATATTAGTGTCCTGCAGGGTACACATTGTCGATATGCTCAAGATCCTTTGTGACCAACAAGGAGACAAATCTGCCGGTCAAGCTGGGAATTGGTTGGAGGATCTTCGCTGATTGAAGGGTCGGAGTGTGGATGTCGGCAGCGTTGCTCCGTGGCCCGTGTCAGAGAAGAACATTTCCAGAAGATCCGACTTTGATCCAATCAGAAACGGTACTGTCGTACGAGAGATGCTTCCCGCTGGCCGCGCCTTCGGGAGCCCGTTGATCCACCGATCTTTAGTTGGCATAGCCTGCCAGCGTATGTACTGCATGAACATACAGGTCAATACTTGTTTGTTTGTTAGCGCGGTACTCCGCCCCACTAATCTTTCCTTCTCTGCAGGTGGTATGGCTGCACCGCCGTTGTATCCAACAAAAAACGCTAGATTCGACCCACCTCTCCTCGAATTCGAGGTCTCTCAGAGGTCTCTCTCCCCAAGCCAAGAGTTATCAATGAGAAACCTTCCATTCAACTTCAATGCAAGTTGGAACCTAGCTTCAACAACTTCAAGGTGCCAAAGGAGTCATTAATCGAAGAGATTATAAGTCGAAATCGATGCCGTTCAGTTCGACCTATCCAAAGTACCACGCTAACGAACAAACAAGGGTTGTCCTGTATAAAGGGTTCAGGTACTGTCCAGATGTTCCAGGTTCTGTTAAGAGGGGTAGTCGAGAGGAGGATTTTTACATACAAAAATTTTGCCAACACTAACAGCGGTACAAGCGCTGAACGCGGCTGGAGGAAAGGGCGCGACTTCCTGGTTTACCGCAAATACTTGGTGAAGAAAAAAATACGCTAGACCTATTACCGCTAGCGAGATCTGGATCCCCCGCGACTACTCGCTGGAGCTCCCGTTGAGCTCTCCTTGGCTCTCAGAAAAAAACTCGAGACGCGGATCAAAAGTGGGTATGTGCGTACTTTGGTTGGTTGTCGTTGAACGGTTGTTAGAGAGCGATAGTGGAAGCGAGGCCTGGCGGCAGTAGCGTTGATCCTAGCGTATGTTTTTTTTTTTTTTTTTTTTTTCACCAAGTATATGCGGTACAATGTCCAACCTCCCGCTTGCCGAGTAGCTAATCATTCATCAAATGGGACGAAACCCTGGTTGATCAGACGAGTCCCGTGAACACATGCCTGGACGTGGGCGAAGCTATGCCGGTACCCGACGACCATGGGCTCAATCTGGGGCAATCCACGGGGTTAGCAATGAAGATCCTTGAGCCGGTCGAGACAAGAGGAGGCGGAAGCAGCTGAAGCTGAACCAAACCGATCATCATCTCGGCCAGGCGGGGCGCAACTGGGCAGTAGCAATCCCGATCCTTCACCTGCGTATGCCCAAACGGTGAGTCAGATGGGAGCCAGGCCGATGATGGTACGTTGATAGCCTTCCGACAACAGTCGCTGCGTGGGGGTCAGCCGGAAAGCTGCTGGCGATAGGCAGTGAGAGACATGGTGAAAAGTGATCGTCAAGTAGCACTGCTGAGGTCAGAAATTGTCATCAAAAATGTCTGAGCCCATTGTGAGCATCCGCCCATCCTGTGTTCCCTTGTTAGTTCTGTTGGCTTATGGCATCGCAGGTAAAACGGGGCTAGTCCGGCAAGCGAACCAAGACTCGTATCAGAATCCTACAGGTGTCCGTGGTGAACGTTATCCAACTTAAGTTTCCCAACCCAGGGAAGAAGCTTCTAACCACTCAAAGTTCACTATCAAGACAGCTTGACCTCAGTCAGTACAGGTCAGAAACCCCCAGCCAAGCCTCTCGAGGCCATGATATCAATCCGATGTCGCAGGTGCTCGGGTCCGGAATCTGGAGTGGACGGTAGTGAAGTGTAGGGTTGCGGCTTGCTCCACCCACGTGGTTGTGACAGCGAGACCGAGGGCGACCTGCGACTCTGATGCATCCTCTCCGCACGCCGCAAGGACTCTGCATTGGATCCCCAACCGCTGGGCGGTGAACGTCTTGTGCTGACTGGCCAGGGCAATCCTTGCGACGACCCAAGGGAATGGATGCGACATGCAGGCTGACAAGGAGCCTGCCTCTGCGATTCTGTACATTCGCTGACAGGATCCTCAGAGCTTCAAAGTCTGGGGATGGAGCAGAGGAGATGTGATGAAACTAGGTGCGTTATCCGCCACGTCACCCAGGAAAGGGAGAGAAGTTGAGTCCATCAGCAGCTTGATTCGGGAGGTTGTTGGCCTTTACAACACAAGTTTTATCCGTGAATAACCCTACGCAGCAGTGGCACATACGAAGGTAGTGTTCGGAAAATCAACAAGACAATAAGAAGAGTGAAAAGAAAATAGAAATGGAGGAGAAAGGAAGGGCAACGACATTCAACTCAGTTGATTGAGCGAGAAAGGCCTAGCATAACACTAAGGGCAGCCTTGATGACCCTAACCTGAACCCTCGATACCCGGAACCCAGTTTTATCCCCGGATTCCCTAAATTCTCCTGTCCAACAACTGTTCTGGGAAGAACGATTTTCCTCAATTCCAGGCCTAGCAACCTCTTGCCCGTGACAGCGGCCCCATGAGGCCCTTTTTTATGGTCTATTTTGCTTGAATCATGGAGACCACTCGGTGCTCTATTCTCCCTTTGTACTCCGGCCGTTTTGCCGTTCAAAATGGCCGGGCTTAGAAATGGTCGTTTCTTAACACATAATGGGCAAGAGGTACCTTAACTACTCAACCAGGGTTTGAAGAGTTAGGAACTTAGGATACGCATCTATCTTCCTTTCCTTCCCTTTCTCTTGATGTTCAGTCGGCGTCGATGTACAAATACAGCCTAGTAATTCTGACTGAATAACCACTCCCTCCAATCACTCCGCCTAACGCTTAACGACCCAAGATCTCTCTCAAGCAGTCGTTATCATGTCTCCTGCCGGGCCCTTCACGTTGGTCACTGTCAACACCGCTCCAGACCGGGCCAAGAGGTTGGTTGGCCGTGTTGTCGAAGACGTTAAGGAGAGATATACCATTATACATGCTGCCAACGCAGCGAGTAAGTGCCAACCACCGGTCTATGGGGAACCACGGAAGTTTTCTGTATATAGGGGATGTTTTAACTAACACAAATAACAATAGGCATAGAGGAAGTAAAGAGGACAGTGGAGGAAGCACGGCCAAATGTCCTTGTAAGTATGATTTCGATCGAGGACTGGACTGTTCTCTAATACAGAAGCAGTTCACAGCTTCTATGTGGACGCCCGAGGAGGCTCAACAAATAATTGCCATCGCCAAGGAGGTCATACCTGATCTAAAGACATTTTCGTTGCCACAGGGCTTGCAAGTAGAGAAGGGCCCGGATGCGGTAGTTGAGTACATCAAGGAGCATCTCCCCAGTATCCTAGACTAGAATGGCAGGCAGAATTTGGCATCGAAGCCAGGCAGAATTTGGGACTCTAATTAAGTCATGTCTTATCTTGAGCTCGGGGTGTATGATGAACATCAGAAGTGGGAATTAACAAAACAGACAGACTCCCAATTTGGATTCATTTCTCGTTTTGCATCACGTTGTACAAGCTCCCAATGTGCGGCAGAATCTCCACCACAAACTCATCCCCGTCGTGCAGGAACTCCTGCGGCTTCTTGGCGAAGCCGACCCCAGCCGGCGTGCCGGTGATAATGACGGTGCCCTTGGGCAGTGTAGTTCCCTGCGACAAGAAGCTTACGGTCTGGGCAACCGAGAAAATCAGGTCACTATTGATTGATACAGCGAGTCAGCACCACCATTCAGCACGGGGTTAAGGGGGTAAGGGGGGTTGTAGATCTCACGTCAACGGGCTCTCCTGCATCACCTTCCCATTCTTCAACCCTCTCATCTTGAGCTGGCCCACGTCCGGCACCAACTTCTTGGACACGAGGACGGGACCCAGCGGGCACGCCCCGTCAAACCCCTTTGAGTAGCACCACTGCGACTGGGCAAACTGCGACGCCCGGCTCGAGATGTCGTTGCTGGCCGTGTACCCGAGCACGTAGTCGAGGGCGTCCGCCTCGGACACGTTCTTGGCGTCTTTGCCGAGGACGACGGCCAGCTCCGACTCGTAGTCGGCCGAGTCACTGGCGATGGTGTGCTTGGGTATGATGGTCGGCGCTGGCCACGGGTCCGCGAGGCAGGTTGCAGGCTTGCTATATTCGGGCGGAGTCAGCAGGTTGGAAAGAAAGCAATATTGGGCTGCCCGGGCTGAGACTTACAGGAAGAGAGTCGGGATTTCCGGAATGGTCATTTTGGCCTCTTCTGCATGTCTCTTGTACTGCGGTGGGCGTTAGCAGTGCTATCGGGCGGTTAGAACGGTCTTGAAAAGGGGGATCTCACGTTCAGCCCTATACATCTGATGGTCCCAACCTCCTCCTGCGCTAGAGGGGAGAGAATTCGGTCGATGACAGCGGTTTCACCCGTCGGCGAGCCAGCGTCCAGCACCGACTTTCCGCTAAACACCTTGACCTGAACATCCTCGCCCTTGCGGACCGCAGCGCCGACGTCGACGGAGCTGTCAACTGGCTCGCCGATAAGAACACTGCTAGCGCCCTTGGGCACGAAGCGGACGATACCTGGCACGGCGAGGTTAGTACCAGTCACTACCGTATTCTTCAGCGAGATTTGGGGGAAGGCTGCTCACGATCGAACGACATTTTCAGGATTCTGGCGCTGCTTGTGCTGAATTGACGCAAGAATGGCATTCAGGTAGAAGGAAGGGCCTTGAACGGGACAACAGCACGCCAATTGATCAATGGACTTGTAGTCTGTGGCCGTCGGGACTTAAATAAGACTCCCGAGATCGCAGGTGACGTTTCTATCCCCTGCCTTTAAAGTTGCTGGCCAGCAATGTAGTAAATGTACCAGTTTGAGGACCACAGCGGCTGTGATTCGGACTACATCAGCCTAAGGGACCTCCTGTATGTCCACCTCTCGGCAGTACAGGACCTACCCGCGCTACTCGAATTGATTCGCCGTTGGTTTCACTTTGCTTCCAGCTTCGTGTGCCCTACCGCGGGAAAGTGCCGTGATAACGGGCCTTGAGCGGGCCTAATCGGAGCCCCCACATCCCCCGCAGAGGGGTAAGCCCTAGATCTGAGATCTCCCCGCAGCTGCCCCGCGCCAATCCAAGGGATCTCCGATGCCGGGACAATACTGAAGCACCCTCACCGCCTTCCACATTGGGCCCAGCACTCTACATCGAGCTCACCCGCCCTTTGGCGACAATGTTGTCGTGGTTGGTGGCTTGAGTTAGGTTGGGTCTTGAGAATGATGTCACGAAGGGCGCCTGAGCAGCTCGAGCATGTCTTCAAACTCAATACGCTATCCACGTCACTGTGACCGGAGTTGAATCGTGGTAGGCATCGATCGACGGGAGCTCAGGCGTAGAGATCTTGCAGTGGATGATTCGTTATGGATAAGTCGGTCGTGGTGGGAAACTTGCGGAAGTAATATTGATGGGGAATAAGGGGGTATGTATGGGTAATGCGAGGAAGCGCGGACGGGATCCCAAGCTTTCTACTGCCCATGGACACTCAACTAGGAACTGCTGCTGATGAAGTTCGTCTGAGACAGGGATTTGCAAGAATTTGCCTACCGCTACCCCTGGCTTCCAGGTTCCTGTTCCCATACCCAAGCTGGGTAGCAGGCTTACATTAATCATAGCCTAGCCCACTGTTGCCTTAACCAACAACCGTCACAGGTATAAGCAGCCTCATTCAACGTACCGGTCTCCATTTTATAGCTCATAGGCCCTTGAGTCCTTGAATATCAAGTGCGGTTTCCGTTTCGCCAAATCCAGGATAGTCTCTGCAAAAACGCCATTCGCCCAAGCAAACCAACTCCCTGAGTGCGGTCTTGTCAGTTATGCCCCCGAGACTCCCAAAAGAACAGGTACTCACGTGTATATGAATGCGAATAATTCACATCGACACTCTCATGCACTAGACCAAGCTTGCTCGACTTGAGCACCAGCTCCAGGCACTCGAGGATCTCCTCGTCGTCATCTGAAGTCTGCGCCTGGACCAGCAGACTCATGGGCCACGCATTCTGTAATCCGATGTGCGGTCCTACCATCAAGCAGTTAGTCACTCCGTCCAAAACCACGGGCGCTTTTCAATCCTGATCACCAGAGCCAAAACATACCCCCGATACCCTTGAACTGGCTCCCCTCAAGATAGTACGGATTCCCAGCCTTCTCCAACAACATCCGCCTAGTATTCCGATACGTCGGGTCATCCTCTTTAACGAAACCCATCAGCGGCAGCGCCAACAAGCTCGGGTAATTCGCGTCGTCCATGAGCAGCGAGCTGCCATAGCCATCCACCTCGTAGGCGAAAACGTCGCCGTACTTGCGGTGCTTCACGACGCCGTGCTCCCATATGCCGTCATTTATGCGCTGGCTGCGCTCCTCGAGGGTCTGCGCCAGCTCCGCGTCGGCGGCCCTCCCCGTGAACTTGAGCACGGCGGCCGTGCGCTTCAGCTCGACGGCCATCTGCGCGTTGGCGGGGATAAAGAAGCCAAAGATGGTGGCGTCATCGCTGGGACGGAAGGCGGAGCGCACGAGGCCCGTGCCGTTGTTCAGCGGGTTGCCGATGCCGTTGAGGTTGAGCGTCTCGGTCCCCGTGTTGGTGTGCCGCTGGAACGTGTACTCATTGTGCGAGTAGTGGCCCGTCTCTGGGTCGAAGGTGCTTCTGCTCTGCGAGTCGAGCACGTCGAGGACATTGGAGAGCGCCTTGCGCCACCGCCGCGTTATGAACTCGGTACTGCCGGTCCGCCGGTGGAACTCGTTGCCCAATGCGAGGAAGTGGGCGAGGGAGTCCAGCTCGTACTTGCACTCGAAGACGACGCTCGGCTCGTACATTGGGTGCACCGAGTCCTCTTGTCCGTTCATGCTGGCGGGGAGGCCGGAGATGGGGGGCGGCTGGAAGGCGTTGCAGTAGGGCGACTGGATCACATACTCGCTTTGAGTGTTGATGGCGCCGAGAATGAGCTGGTAGATGGCCGGGTCCTTTGCCGCCAAAGCCTGGTACGGCTTCAATTGGTTGGTGCTATCGCGCAGCCATTCGGCAAGGATATCTCCTGTGATAATGAAGGACTGGGGTCCTTCCCACTCACCCTCCTCGATCCAAGCATCCCGTTCCCTGCGGTGGCGCAACCTCTCCTTGATCTTCTCGTCTCGCCCGTCGGTGTGGAATTGGACCGTTGTGTCGGTTGTTGATGGGAACGCATTCTCGAACAGCCGCGCGAGATCGGCATCCTTCATTCGCGAGGTAATGTCGGTTATGACTTTCTCGATAGCATCCGACCGAAAGCTGCGGCAACGAGGATCCGGTCGCTGGAATGGGAGCCCGAGCGGCCCATCACTTGCGGGAGGACTTTGAATCCGTTAGTACAGCGCTATGGATATGTCCAGCTCGCCGGATCGCGGGCGCGTGTCCACTTACTGCGGGTATGCAGCATATATTGTATAGTCCGGACAAGCTGCCCTGTCGAACTTCCCACTCAACGGCCCCTGTCTGTCATCCTGGCCTGCTACCAGTGCCGGGAACCGCACCAGCAGTGCTAAGAAGAGCGTGCGCCACGAAGTACGAGCCATGGCGCCTGGATATGCGTGTTGGTGGCAGTACAGGGCGTGTCAAGAAGTCGTGGAACTGTGACCCAATTGATATTCGGAATATAGACAATGGATCCGGCTTCGCGTCCAGAACAGAGCATCGCCTCGCTAGCACCCCATCCCCGAGTAAATGATCTGGCTAGGTCGCGCCAGCCAGCTCTGCGTGTGCGAGTTATCTTAGTTGGCTGGACCTTCTGGATGAAAGCAGACAGGCGTTCCCTGCGGCTAAAAGGGCAGGTAGCTAAAGGTACTGTACGGTACGGAGTAGCTTCAGCCGTTACACGCACTGACGGCATCTGCGAGTCACCTAACCACTGCAGCGGGCCTCCGGGCTTGGCAGGGCGGGGAGAGAATTAGCGCCGATAGGACGAGCTTTGGAACTGCATCCCACATACCGTATATTCTCGAGGAATCCAGATACCGCTTAGGCACGTACTAAGCCCAGCGACCAATCTCAGCCTGCACCCTGCAATGCGCTTCAACTTTGCTGATGCGATGCGAGCTCGAAGTTAGGGTTTGAAGTGGGTGGAAGTTCGATTAGAGACGTCGCTTGACTTAGTTCGTGCCTAAGCGGTATCTGGATCCCTCGAGAATATACGGTAGACGATGTAAGTGGCGTGCTGCATTAATCAAGAGGCTATTTCCTTCTTCAAGTCGCACCTAATCCAGCCATACATTTGCAATTCAGGTTCATAGCAAAATACGCAGATTCAGCTAGTGTAATGGAGGCAGTCCCTCAGCGAGGAGCGGACAGGGGTCACCTCTGAAGCTTGGCTTGCTTGGTCGAGCAGAGCTTCAATGACAGATGGCATTGTGCCTCGCTCAGAGGCTCAATTGTCTTTTCTAGACCTTCAGATCCGCGGTGAACTTGGTACACAATAACCTGCTTAGCCGTAAAAGGATTCTGATAGACCGCATAGCTGGATGATCACTTCTTGGAGAAGAAGGACATGATGCTTCCCTGGCTTCCTTTTGGCCCACTCTTCTTTGGTTTGGCAGTCTGAGCTGGCGGCGCCGAGCTCATCGTCTTTGGCTTGGTGGGCGGAGGAGGCTCGTCTTCTGAGAAAGACTCCCACCCTGGTTCCTGGATTGTGACTGTGCCCGAGCGTTAGTTCTAGGATGCAAGCTTGGGGGGTTGACGATGGCGTACCAAGGTATCCCTGATCGTCCATAATCTGCTTTTTGCGCATGACCCTCCTCTTGCCGCGACGTCGACCGTTGGTGGATGCAGTCACAATTTCTGGAGTCTCCTCCTTTGCCGGTTCTGGTGCTGGAGGTTCCTCTTCCATTGGCTCCTCAGCAGACTCATCTTCGGCTTTCTCCGGCGGCTCTTCTTCTTCGTCGTCTTCTTCCATCATACGCCTAAGCTCCTCCTCCCTCTGCTTTCGGCTCTTCAGGTCGGAAGCGGCATTGGCCTTCGGCTGCGGCTGCGGCATCTCTTCGTCGTCCTCTCCATCATCGGATAGGGGCTGCATGTTCGGATTCTCGCCACTGGGCGTAGTAGTCTCTGGAGTATCCGCCTCCTTTTTGACCTTGGGCGTCGCTTTAGAGAAGGCTTGCATGATGCCAGAACTAGCGCCACGTTTTAAGGGCGCTGCTGATTTCTTGCCCAGTGTCGGGGCAGCAGATGCTTTCTCAGCCGTGGTTGGGCCTGGTTGAGCCGGCTTCGAGTCTTCCTTGATATTTGCTGCAACCGGTGCCGGGGCTGGTGCCGGTTTAGCAAGCGCCGGCTTTACTTGCGCCTTCGCCGTCGTCGTCGCTGCGGCTGCGACCTTCAGACCGGCCCCCTGCCGTTCTCTACGGCGAGCGCGGGAGTTAGTAATGACGGCCAACTTCTTCTGGTCCTCGCCGGCCTGCAGACTGAGAACTTGGTTGGCTGCATCAATGATAAGGGCAAGATCCTGTGGAATGGTTAGCCGTGAGTTAAAAGGCTCTTCCAGACTGAAATCTGACCTTTGTCGGATGAGGCCCAACACTGTAGACATGGATCGAGGATACCTCATCATACTCGGAAAGCGCCTCTTCAGGCCGAATTAGCAGGGGTGACTAGAGGCTGGAGGGTATAGCTAACCATCAAGGCGTTCCTCGGGGACCAAGCTAAGCGAAAAGGTAGGTATGATGTCTGAGGATGATTCGAACTCTGGAGGTGAGCTTGTCATATCGATGTCGCCATCGGCACTATCCCGCGCCGTTGGCTGTTCGTTGCCAGGCTTTTTTGCTCCATACACCAGGTAGGTAGCATGCACAGATCCGGGACGTTTGGCATTCTGAGATTTATGGAATTCATACAGCATCCTGCGGCGCGTCAATCATGTATCCGCAAATTAACACAATCAGGAGTAGGATCGTACTGTTTTGCTATGTTGACGTGAACTTGTAGCGCCCGGCTCAGCAGCCGGTAAGTGATCTGATGTTGGGTGCTTCTCAATATACAGCTTCAAAACCACTTTCATTCAATAAAAAGGCTTGCTCACCACTTTCTCCTCAGTGAGGACACTCTCCGCAAGAAACTTATTGTAGGTGTCCATCTCGAATCGTTCTTTTGGTTAATGCGCCTAGCTGACCCAAAATCCCAAATTCGCTGGAAGTTCTGGTGATGCGGGTCGCGTCGCGACTTTGATGCAAGGGAGTTTGGAGGGTCGAATAAAGTGCTGCCGCGAAGTCACGTTCTGGGATGTCACCCACGGGCCACGAACTGGTGCCCCTAGTGAGTCCCATTTTTGAGGGGGTACTTCCCGGGCAGGTACGAACTACAAGTACCGTACATACACCAATTCCGAGTGCAAGTAGAGGTTGCGTCAAACAGTTGGTATACATCATTCTTCAGCTTTATGAATATCCGTTTTCACGTTAGCAAGGTTGCAGATAGGATTTAGGTTTCACATATGCCTCTAGAGTAAATCAAACTATTCATCAAGGTTCCTAACAGTTTTGGACCTATACCCAGGCAGTAAAGTACTGGTACTTTGTACTGTGGCCGTTGAGGTGCAAAAGTGCAGCGGGCTTGACGTGGGTAATTCCACTACCGTTAGCGTTACCAGGGGGCGCCGAGCCGGCTCTGTCCACTCAACGAGGCAGAAAATGCAAGGATAGTTCGAGTCCATAAATCAGCCTGCCACCTACTTCCGTACACTACGAAGCATCCTATGTAAGTGAGGATTCTGGCCCTCCTTTTCGCGACGACTTGTTCCTGAGGGGTACTATACATGCTCAGTGGTCGCGCCATGACGCGCCCAAATCCGGTCCTTTCATCCAACTAGCTCGATTATCCTGTCCTTCAGTCTCGCAGAAAGTGCATCCTGCGACGCAGTGCGCCGACAGACACCATGGCCGGCCTTCTGCGGTTCCGGTTCCTGGCGATCGCCATCATCTTCCACTTCGTGTACATATTTTCTATATTCGACATTTACTTTGTCAGTCCCATCGTTTCAGGCATGCGCCTCTTTCAAGTAGAACGACCAGCATCGCGTCCAGCACCCGCAAATCGCCTGGTCCTCTTCGTCGGTGCGTCAAGTCAAGATGTATTGAGGTCTCTCGGTCCGTGAAGACAGTCGCTTATGAAATTTGGGCGCAGGAGATGGTTTGCGCGCCGATAAAGCGTTCCAATCGCATCCCGAGCCTTATCCCGAGTCCGATGACGACCTTGTGCCGAGACCCCTTGCACCTTTCTTGCGGTCCAAGGTGCTGGAGCAGGGGACCTTTGGTGTTTCCCACACCCGAGTCCCAACCGAATCGCGACCCGGCCATGTCGCTCTCATTGCTGGCCTCTACGAAGATGTCTCGGCCGTCACGACAGGCTGGAAGATGAACCCTGTTAATTTCGACAGTCTCTTCAACCGTAGCCGGCACACGTGGAGTTGGGGTAGTCCCGACATTCTGCCAATGTTCGAGCACGGCGCCGTCCCGGGCAGAGTGGACGCCTACACATACGGGGCCGAGCTCGAGGATTTCTCTTCCGATGCCCTTGTGTTGGATTACTGGGTGTTTGACCATGTCAAGGATTTCTTTGCGCAGGCTCGGACGAACAAAACGCTTAACGATGCGCTGAGGGAGGACAAGATAGTCTTTTTCCTCCATCTTCTAGGATTGGATACCACAGGACACTTCTACCGGCCCTATTCGAAGGAGTACCTCAACAACCTCAAGGTGGTCGATAAGGGGGTACGCGAGATTGTGGAGTTGATCGAGAACTTCTACAACGACGATCGGACCGCCTTTGTCTTTACGGCCGACCATGGCATGAGCGATTGGGGCAGCCATGGCGACGGCCACCCGGACAACACCCGGACTCCTCTGATTGCTTGGGGCTCAGGGATCGCCAAGCCCCAGCTGTACCCAGGGGAGGTGGCGCCAGGTCATGACGAATACTCGGCAGACTGGAATCTCAACCACGTCCGGAGACACGATGTTGCACAGGCCGATGTCGCAGCGCTCATGGCCTACCTCGTAGGCGTCGAATTTCCAGCCAACTCTGTCGGCGAACTTCCCCTGTCATACTTGACTGCTGACCTCAGAGAAAAAGCCGAGGCATCCCTCGTCAACGCGCAAGGAGTCCTCGAGCAGTACCGCGTCAAGGAGGAAAAGAAGAAGGCCACAGAGTTGAAGTACAGACCCTACAAGCCCCTGAGCGACCCAGGGTTAGATCCGGAGAGCCGTGTTGCTCACATCCGGCAGCTCATTGACACTGGGAATTACGAGGAAGCCATCGAGGAGTCAGCCGCTCTTATGAAGGTCGGTCTCGGCGGTCTAAGGTATCTGCAGACGTACGATTGGCTGTTCTTGAGGGCTCTCATTACAGTAGGGTATCTGGGATGGATAGCATATGCACTGACTGTTGTCATTGACCTGCATGTGCTGCATGGACGTCTGCAACCATCCAGGACCCTGCCTGGGGCCGTCATATTTTCGTCCGCCTTGGCCGCGCTCTATGCGTCCTTCGTCATTTCGAAGTCGCCTCTCACTTACTATGCATATGCCTTCTTCCCTGTATTTTTCTGGGAAGAAGTATATGTTCGCCGAGAGAGCCTAGTAGAAGGCCGCAAGCAGCTATTTGGACATATCAAGTCTGGTGGGAACCTCGCTTCACTGGTTTCCAACTGCGCGGTCTATGTTGGAATCATCGAGTCGCTGGTAAGTTCCACCGCAAACATTTCACCTTCTTGAAGTTGCGAGGCTAAGACATGCAGGCTCTGGGATATATCCATCGCGAGATCCTGACAATCCTATTCATCATCGGCTCCTTTTGGCCGGTCGCCTACGGCCTCTCATTCTTGCAACGACACCTCGCCCTCTCCGTTACCTGGTTCCTCTCGTGTTTAGCCATGAGCACGTTTACGTTGCTTCCAGCCATGAAAACTGAGGATGTCAATCTCATGTCGGTTGCCCCTGAAAGCGTGACACTGTAACGCCGGCTGACTAGTTCATCGCAGCATGATCGGTGGCGCATTGATGGTCCTCGTCGGCGTTCTCTACCTAGTCTTGGAGGACTTCATCCTCTCTGACTTTGGACGCTCAGAGAAGCCTCCCTCCCCGAGGAATCATACTTCGAGGACGATCGTAGGCATCCAAGTTGGCCTGACCTTGCTCTCCATGATCGTTACCCGCTCGAGCGCACTGTCGCTGCAGGCCAAACAGGGCCTGCCCCGTGGAAACCAGATTGTTGGTTGGGTCGTTCTTGGTAAGATTCGCGCCAGGGCAGGGCTTGGATATCGGCTAACCTTTGCAGTCGCCTCGTTCCTGATGCCACTGGCATACCGCCTCCAGCCCAATAACCATTACATGCACCGGATCCTAGTCATATTCCTCACCTGTGCACCCACCTTTGTCATCCTGACCATCTCGTACGAAGGCCTCTTCTACCTCGCTTTCTCAGCCATTTGCGTCAGTTGGGTACGACTGGAGCATGCCGTATATAAGTACCCGTCCTCCTTCTCCGCAACGACGGCCAACGGAGCTGCACCCATATCGGCAGCAGCAAACGGCTCAACTTCAGCCAAGAAGACGCCGTCAGCAGAAGACACCCACCATCTGCCCGGCCCGTTCCGCGCCTTGACGGTCCACGACGCGCGCGTCGCCCTCTTCTTCTTTGTGCTCCTCCAGTCGGCCTTTTTCAGCACCGGCAACGTCGCCTCCGTCTCGTCATTCAGCCTCGAGAGCGTCTGCCGCCTCATCCCCATATTTGACCCCTTCTCCCAGGGTGCTATGCTCATTCTCAAGCTCATGATCCCCTTTGCCCTTCTTTCGGCCAATTTGGGCATACTCAACAAGCGGCTCGGCGTGGCGCCCTCGGCGCTCTTCATGGTGGTCATGGCCATCAGCGACATCCTGACGCTCTACTTCTTCTGGGTAGTCAAGGACGAAGGGTCATGGCTCGAGATTGGGTCGACGATCAGCCACTTTGTGATTGCGAGCTTGTTGTGTGTTTTTGTAGCGGCCCTCGAAGGGGTTAGTGCCATGTTCATTGCCGGGGTTGAGGTTGAAGATGATGTTGCGAGGGTGCTAGGGGGTGGTGAAGCTGCGGAGGTGTTGCTGGAGAAGACTAATGAAAGGTTTACGGAGGACGTGACTAGTGAGGCTGCAGTTGACGCTCCCGCCGCCGCCGCCGGTGGGAAGTGAGATGACACTTGATTTTCTTGTACATACATATGCCCTTTAGACGCACGATATTTAGAGCATAGAGTGCAATTGATATGTGATGGTCTTGTAAGTGGCAGCTGGCAGGACCAGCTAGAGATTGGCTTGTCACTCCGTCTCGTTCCACGGCGGATCTCGAACTTGGCCAGAAAAAGGCTCAATGGGGTGTCGATATGTCAAGCAGTTGTACTGCATCGTTCGGGACCCAACTGATCGATTCACCTTCTGGTCTCCTCTCGCGTCATCTCTGGACTTGGAAAGATTGTGTGGATTGGTGGGATTGTCTGCCTGTCGCATGTTACCCAGAAGCAAGCCAACGGTTACTTGGCTGGAACGAGACAGGTCAACCTGGAAGTTGCAGCCGTCGCTGGTCTAATGAATCCGTCGAATATGACAGGAATCTCAAGCATGGAATTACCCACCGGTGTCGACCGACCCAGTTCGGCCAGCTTCTAACGTTATGCTAGCAGATCCGAAAACAAACCGGACTCATCAGAGTTACTGTACATACATACACATACACTACCTCTGTGACCGGAAAACGCCAGGAGAAAGCGGGTCCTACTTTTTGTTACAACCTTCCGAGTCTCCCAGCGCGCAGCAAGTCAGCTCAACTACAGTTGAGCTCCCTATATTGGCCTGTATATAGCATGCGCGTACTGGAAAACTACATATATATAGGTAGTCTAACCTGTAGAATCTGAATCTACCGTTGGATTGATGGCGCGCGTGATGCGCGTTGAGCTATTGAAGACTGTTTTTTGTTACAGCCTTTCACGAGATATCAAAGGAATTTTTCAACGAAAATTTCAGTCTTCTTGGCGAATCTTGGCAAAAACGCTCGAAAAAGAGGCCATTTTCAGGTCATCAATACCTCTACGCGCATTACGCGCGCCATCAATCCGACGGTGGATTCAGCTTCTACAGGTTAGATAACCTATATATATGTGGTTTTCCGGCACGCGCATGCCATATATAGGCCAATATATAGGGGGAGAGTTTTGGGCTCAACGTCAGTTGTTGCGCGCTCGCGGGGCACCCTACTATGGCCCTGGGACCCGCTTTCTCCTGGCGTTTTCCGGTCACAGCTTATACATACATACCAGTGGTACGCTTCGTATCCGTACCCCGGAAACGAAACGATTCCGAGTCCCAGAAACTGACGCATGCATGGCGGGGGATTGCTTTCGGGGGCTTGGCAGACGAATGTGTGCAACTGAAAGCGAAGGTCGACATGATCGCCAAGCAGTCAGAAGCCGGTGGCCTTGAGCAATCGGTGGTGGCTTCCAGATCTGGCGGATAACTTAGTTCCGCATGATAAATCTCGGTTGACCCTTGCCCAAACTCACCTTAACATTAATTACTTTGATGAAAGCTTAGGAATCGAATTTCGTACTTTCCTATCCATATCGACGGGCTCATCTTCACGTGAAAGGGAGTCCCGCACCTCTATTTCAAGAAGGGGTTGGCGCCATGCAGGCGACTCCAACGACGGGCCGCACACGACCAGACGAACCACTTGACAACCTTGTAGGACTTTGGATTAAAATGAGGGGTGCATTGTATGTTAAGACTACAGTAATGGAGCTAAAGCAACTTGAATACACTTTAAGGTAGTCCTGCAGTTTGGGCTGGTGACCCTCAAGCAGAGGGCTGCAGTGACCCTAAGGCCAAGAGAGCAAGTTGAACCGAATTCCTGTAAGGTAATGACCCGTATTGTGATAAGCAGAGATCGGTATCGTACTGTAATCATGTACAGTACAATACGCTCCGTACCATACCGGTACTGGGGCTCCATCCAAGCTCCAAAGCCGCGCCGTTGTGCGCCAAACCCGCCCAATCCGGGGTTTGTAACTTTACACTGGTCCACCCCCTTCCCAATCTCCATCAAAGCACACCCGCCATCAACTTGCGACCGAAATCAAATTTCGGTGCTCCATTCCTGCTCTACCTTCATTTAATGAAACAAGCTGAGAAGAACTACACTTTCGCGAGAAACGATACGCTGCTCTCCCTTACCCTCACCTGTTTGTATGTAAGGTATGCGGGCAGATAGCGAGTAGCCTTACGGCCCAAACCATCTTCAGCAACGTCTATACGCCCTTCCAGCGACGACGAAAACCGACGACGATTAGGGGAGCCAGGTGGCGACGCATATCGGGAGCATCGGCTACATTGATTTAGTCCCTCGCATTTCACATACCTGTCAGGGATTTCGCCGTACAGCCGTTCGAAACAACCACTGCAGAGCGATTGCCGATCCCGTTACTCGGCCGAGATGGTGCTCGAGTCGTCAACTCCGAGTGATGCCGGCCCGCCGAAGCAGTCGTCTGCATCGCCTTCGCAGCATTCCACCGTCTCTCCGTCGGCTGGCACGACGACCACAACAACGACGGCGGGGCATATGAGCTTCAGGAGGTTAGTGTTGCGCGCCTGTGCCATCTCCGTGCTTTGAGCAAGGGGGTCCGTTCCACTAACCGGGGCATTCTCCACGAACAAAGACAACGAGCTTCAAGAGCGTGCGAGGTGAGCATTTATACCTTGTTGCATGTTGGGGCAGTTGGTGGATATGATGGGGCCGCTCCGAGGGCCCTCGGGCGGTTTGCGACCACCCCGCGTATCATGCCTCGGCTCATCCTCCCGCCGGTTATCTTCGCAATCTGGAGCTGACCAGTCAACGCCACCAGACATGCCATGCCCGCAAAGTACGAATCCTCTCCGTTTGATATGGCGAACGAATCCCCCGAAGCACCTCCTTCAGATTGGAACGGAGATACTCACATGAATCTGCGCAGGTCCGCTGCGACGCCGCGAGCCTCGGCGTTCCATGTACCAACTGCGTTGCCTTCCAGATAGAATGCCGCATCCCAACACCAAAGCGCAAGAAGCTTCAAACCAGCGCTACGCAATCCAGAGACTCTGACAGGTATAACAGGCCCCCTGAAACCATGACATTTCTGTTTTCCACCACAAGACTGTGGCAGCCGTCGCACTGGGTCTGCTTTCTCGCTGCACTGCTTATGCCTCTCCTCAAGCTGCTCGGGCCCGCAGGAGCTCACTTCTGTTCTGTTCGCATGTTGTCAGCGATGATACTGACCTTGGCCAGCGAGCGAGCTGACAGCGAGGACCGATCCCAACTTCCGCCTGGCGCAGGCACGTTCCCAAGCGGAACTCGACCCCCTGCCGTCTACCACACCCACGACGGCACGCCTTCAACTGCAAACACCCAGGAACAGCAAAAGAAGGAGGAGTTTGACAATGCGACGTTGGCAAACTACATGAACCTCGTCATGAAGCCCAAGTTTACGAGGGCACCAATCACCGAAGCAGGAAGGGTGGCGTATCTGGGTGAATCGTCCAACCTTACACTCCTGGTCCATGACCGCCAGAGCACCGAAGATGTGGTTCACTACCCCTTGCCCGAAAACATCAGGGGCTCAAGGGCACGATTGACGGAGCTGGACAACGTCGAGATCGACATCCTGCACCAGCGGGGCGCTTTTCTGCTGCCGCCCAGAGCTCTTTGCGACGAGTTAATCGACTCTTATTTTCGATGGATTCATCCGATCGTTCCGGTAATAAACAGGACTAAGTTCATGCGACGGTACAAAGATCAGAAAAACCCGCCGTCTTTGCTTCTGCTACAGGCAATGCTGCTCGCAGGGTCACGCGTCTGTACGAATCCACAGCTGATGGACGCGAACGGCTCATCTACACCAGCTGCGCTGACCTTCTACAAGAGGGCCAAGGCGTTGTACGATGCAAACTACGAGGACGACAGAGTGACAATCGTCCAGGCTCTCTTGTTGATGGGCTGGTATTGGGAAGGCCCCGAGGATGTGACTAAGAATGTTTTCTACTGGACCCGCGTTGCAACCACAGTCGCCCAAGGCTCGGGAATGCATCGGAGTGTAGAAGGTTCACAGCTCAGCAAGTCGGACAAGAGGCTATGGAAGCGCATCTGGTGGTCCTTGTTCACACGAGACAGATCTGTGGCTGTTGCCCTTGGACGGCCGTGCCATATCAACCTCGAGGACTCGGATGTCGAGATGCTGACAGAGGACGATTTCATAGAGGATGAGCCCGACCAACCAAGCGAGTACCCACCAGATCCGGTTCATGTTCAGTTCTTTATGCAGTACGTCAAGCTCTGCGAGATCATGGGCCTCGTCCTATCCCAGCAATACTCGGTGGCATCAAAGGGGCGACGTCAGAACGCCATCGACCTCACACACAGCGACATGGCGCTTGCTGACTGGCTCCAGAACTGCCCCAAGATTGTGTACTGGGAGATGCCACGGCACCATTTCTGGTCAGCTTTGCTTCATTCAAACTACTACACCACCTTGTGCTTGCTACACCGGGCCCATATGCCTCCAAGTGGCTCTCATAGGTTCCCGGAGGATTCCCCGTACCCTTCGCGGAACATCGCCTTCCAGGCTGCGGCCATGATAACATCCATAATCGAAAACCTCTCCGCCCACGGTGAGCTGCGGTTCTGTCCCGCCTTCATCGTGTATAGCCTATTCTCGGCCCTCATCATGCACGTCTATCAAATGAGGTCACCGGTGCCTTCGATCCAGCAGGTTACGCAGAACAGGATACAGACATGCATGGCTGCCCTGAAGGATGTATCTAGAGTTTGGCTCGTGGGAAGGATGGTTCACACACTCTTTGAGTCCATCCTGGGGAACAAGGTCCTCGAGGAGCGGCTTCAGAAAGCGGCAGGCAAGAGGCACCGTAAGGTGCAGCAGAGTCTATCGCAGCTTGAACAACACCAGCAGCAACAGCAGCAACAGCAGCAGCGCTTTTCTCACGAGCAGCAAAAGCGCAAGTACGATGAGATGGCGATAGACTTCAGCGTCACCACGCCGCAGCCGCAAGAGTCATATGAGCGTTCAAGGCCCCAGACGCCGAGCCACGCCACGAAGAATGAGGCGGTACCGAGCGCGATGCCGCCTCCTTCCAACGCATCACCGCATACCCGCAGCAATGGCGATACATTCATGGGCGGGACAGCGTCCCGGCCCCACACCCGGCCCGCGACTCCGTTCAATCCATCGTTCTCGGTACCAGCGACGCCTCCGGACCTGTATCTCGTTACTAGGAATTCTCCAAACTTATCACAGTCGATATGGGAGAACTTCCAACCGGACCAGCTCTTCCCGGAAAGCGCCCATGTTCCCTTGTTCCCGCAAGTATCGCCCCCTCAATCGCAGCAAGCCCTCGACCCGAACATGATGGCACAGATGCAAAACCAAAACATACAGGGGCAGTCCATGGACAGCGGGCAGCAGAACTCCTTCGGTCAGGGGATGCCAAAGAGAGCCATGGGTGGCAGCCCACTCCAGCACAACGCCTTGCTGCAGCCTGGCATGGCAGGTTATCAAGGCCAACAAAGCGGCAACATGTGGCAGCAAGGATTCGAGGCACCCATGGGTGACGGCCAGAGCCCGAGCGATAGCTGGAGTACCAGCTCTGTTCAGGGCCAGCCTGTTCCTTCGACGCTAAATGTAGAGGACTGGTGAGTATTGCCCTGATTGATTGCGCCAAGTGTGGTAACGTGGTTCTGACTCGTGGCGGCAGGTTCCAATTCTTTGGCATCAATGGTGAACCGGGCCATACGATGAGTCTTGATAATATGCCCCCGTTGGTTTAGTTGACCGCGAGACGGGCAATGGAGTCTAGGTCACAAATTGGCTGGTCTGGGGGTTGCGGCGTATGGCTATGCTGTTTTGTCAGTGTTTTCGTCGTTCTGTGTACAAATAGGTGTTGGTGGAGGCGGGCGCGGGCTGGTATAGCGGACCAAGCTAGCATACACTTGCAATTTTCGTGGCAAGGGGTTGTTGTAACGCAACTTTTGACGAGCAGAAGCAAGCCTGCAATTGATCAAATGTCGTCTACCGGTCGTGTATGCGGTATTGCGGGTAACGGTTCTCGGCACTCGTTTGACGCACAACATCCTCCAAAAGTTGGGCCGCATGTTGGGCCGCGCGTAGGCTTGACAGGCCTCTTAAGTCGGACTGAGCGGCGAGGATGCGGATACGTACCTTCCTACAACAAGGCTTGTTGGTTCTGTCCACGGAGAATTTTCCGATTCATCAACTACAGTGTGCATGTGCATGTAGGTAGGTTTACCCGGGACTGGCTCCTACGTCCTTCACCCTATCTTTTCTCGGCCCGTTGGGTATCAGATGGGCGGATGCAGCAGTCGTTGGTGTAAGTCCGCCGGGAAAGAAAGGGGTGGATTTCTTGTCGCCAGAGCGGCCCGCTGGTGCAACCATGAGATCCGGTTCGGCTTTTGGCCCTTGCCCAGGTTCGAGAAACATCCATCTCATACATGTATAGAATGTGTATGTACACGTAGAGCAGTGCTGTTCTACCCGCCTGAACCCCTTGCTCTTGGGGGAGGTCGTGTCCTGCCGGCGCTTCGGTTTCGGAGACGAGGGCCAATCAGCTGTGGCGGCAGCCCTCTGCTGGTTGTGAGTGGATGAGAGGGCTGCGGCAGTCTTTGGAGGGGCTCCGGTAGGTATTTCGTATCCATGTACATAGGTAGGTATCAAGGTATGTACATAGTAGTGTGTCGAGAGCGAAATTCAGTTAGTATTTCTGTTGCTCGAAGACAGGAACAAGGAATAGGCAGTGTCAGCTTCAAGAAATCTTTAGAAGCAGTGAGTGCAAGACCGTGAAGCTGACTGCGATCTTTGCATGACGGGATGCGAGATAATCGGTGTGATATGAAGAGGAAGTGCTCGACGCTAAATAAGCGCGGTGCGGTGTCAACCGCTCCGTGCCCAGGGTGATCACTGATCGACTAGAGACCGCATGCACCTCGACCGCGAGAGGAGCTCAGGTACAGTACAATACGGATTACCAAATCCGGTCTGTCCCAATCGTGATGTTGTGAAGTGTTCAGAAGTGCAACGAACCCAGCGGCTATTGTGGATTTGCCGCGGCGTTGAACTCCCGCCATAGGTATCCCAACTGGGCAGATGCTGGCAATTGTTGGTGTAGGATGGAAAGTTCTCCTCATCGAGTGGAAGAGGAACTGGCGCCGTTGCGGGGTCGTTGACAGGGATCTCTCAGGTACCGAGGTACCTATATCACAGTGAGGGGCAGTCTGCAAGCACCCGTTTTGCGGGTCTCCCCGCCGCCCAACCTGCTGTAAGCTCACTGCAGCAAGTACCTTACGGATACGTACATAATTACGCCTCAGTACCTTACGAGACCTGCCTGATGGATGCCACCTTCTGCCGTAGAACCTCGACTTGGCGCCTTCATGTGCTGGATTGATGACCCGGAGTTGCAGTTGAGATTTTGTCGGGCGATATAACGAGAAGAGGGCTAAAGCTCCCATATAATACCTTGCAAGACCAATCGTCTTCCCTTGGTTACCAAGAACTTGGATCGACCCGCTTCGCCTTGACGTAAACCTAGCAGCAGCAGCAGCAGCAGACCGACCCCGCCTGGCCAAACCGCTCGATCCTCACGATTCCACAACTTCAACCCTTCGCGTCAGCCTATTCCGACCTCGCTGAGGCCGAGAGGCAATCTGCTCTCCCTCGCGGGACAGACGCCCACGCCCAGGCGACCATAACAGCGCGAGAACCCGAGCGACTCCTTCCCCGCGCTGAAGCCGACGTCTGCCCAAGATGACGCAACAGGCACCCATGATTTCGGTGCCTCTCAAGGCCACCAACGAGATTGACTGGATCACGCCGCTCAAGTCCTACATTCAGAACACATACGGCGACGATCCCGAGCGGTATGCCGAAGAGTGTGCTACCCTGAACCGCCTCCGTCAGGACATGCGGGGGGCTGGCAAGGATAGCACTGCCGGCCGGGATCTCTTGTACCGATACTACGGCCAGCTCGAACTGCTAGACCTGCGCTTCCCCGTCGATGAGCAGCACATCAGGGTTTCTTTTACATGGTAACTTATCCCTAAGGTTTCCAGGGCGCTTCTGGTGGCCTAGCACATGCGGATTCTGACCTGGGTGGGACATAGGTTCGACGCCTTCACACACAAAGCTACTTCCCAGTACTCGCTAGCTTTTGAGAAAGCCTCCATCATATTCAATATCTCGGCCGTGCTCTCGTGTCATGCTGCGAACCAAACAAGAAGCCAAGATACAGGTCTCAAAACGGCTTACCACTCGTTCCAGGCCTCGGCCGGCATGTTCACCTACATAAACGAGAACTTTCTCCACGCTCCTTCGTCCGACCTAAGCAGGGACACGGTGAAGACGCTCATTAATATCATGCTTGCTCAAGCGCAGGAGGTTTTCCTAGAGAAGCAGATTGCCGACCAGAAGAAGATTGGTCTGCTTGCGAAGCTATCCAGCCAAGCAGCCACACTGTACGGGCAGGCGCTAGAAGGAGTGCAAGAGAATGTCAACAAGGCCATCTTTGAGAAGGTCTGGTTGCTGATGGTGCAGTCCAAGTTCAACTTCATGAACTCCATGGCCCAGTACTACCAGGCGCTTGCCGACGATGACGCCAACTCACACGGTATGGCCATCGCCCGTCTTCAGGTGGCTGAGGGTTTTGCGCGAGAGGCCAACAAGATCGCCAACAATTTCCCGAGCTCCATACCCCCCAGCTCGAATCTTACTGCCGATTGCGGAATTATCTTGGCCGACATTACGAAACGACAGCTTGTATCGGTTCAGCAGAAGCTGAAGGAGCTGACCAAGGATAATGATTTCATCTACCACCAGGTAGTTCCTCCTGAGGCGAGTGTACCTGCCGTGGCCAAGCTACCAGCAGCAAAACCCATTCCTGTCAGCGAACTCTACGCGGGCCAAGATATTCAACGAATTACGGGGCCCGATCTCTTTGCAAAGATAGTCCCGCTTGCCGTCACCGAGTCTGCTAGCCTGTACGACGAAGAGAAGGCGAAACTAGTGAGGGCTGAAACGGAGAGGGTCGACACTGCGAATAGCGAGATGGCAGCGAGTTTGGACTACCTCAGACTACCTGGCGCCCTGCAGGTTCTGAAAGGAGGTTTCGACCAAGAGATTCTTCCCGACGAGGATTTCCGGACTTGGTGCGTTGACGTTGCCGACCACGAAAATCCCGCCAAGATATTTGAGTTCCTACACGCGCAGAAGCAGTCGATAGTGGCTATTCTGGACCGGAGTAGCAAGCAACTCGACATGGAAGAGAGCGTGTGTGAGAAGATGAGGTCAAAATACGAGTCGGAATGGACCCAACAGCCAAGCTCGCGGCTGACTACAACGCTGAGGGGTGATATCAGGAATTACAGGGAAGCATTGGAGGAGGCCGCAAGAAGCGACGGCCAACTAGCCACAAAGCTGCGTCAGAACGAACACGAGTTTGATGAGATGCGCGCCGCAGCCGAGAGCGGAGAAATCGATGCCCTGTTCCAGAGAGCAGTAAGTAGAGGGCGGAAATCGAGCACTGCCAATAGCCCTTCCGGGGAGGGCAATCTGCTGGATGCCGACTTTGACGACGGCGGGCCAAGCGTTATGGAGCAGATTGCGAAGGTGGAGGATATACTCAAGAAGTTGAACCTCATCAAGAGGGAGCGGACCCAGGTGCTCAAGGACCTCAAAGAAAAGGTACGTGATTTGGAAATGGACGGCATCGCCGAGCTGACAAGAGGCAGGCGCACAACGACGACATATCACAAATCCTCATTCTTAACAAGAAGTCCATTGCCAACTACGAGCAACAGCTCTTCCAACAGGAGCTTGAGAAATATCGGCCGTACCAGAATCGACTTGTTCAGGCGACCCACAAGCAGGCTGCCCTGATGCGAGAGCTAACGGTAGCCTTCAACAGCCTCCTGCAGGATAAGAGAGTCCGGGCGGAGCAAAGCAAATACGAGTCTTTCCAACGGCAGCGGGGGGCGGTGATTGGCAGGTACAAGCGGGCATACCAAGAGTTTTTGGATTTGGAAGCCGGGCTGCAGAGCGCAAAGAACTGGTACAAGGAGATGAAGGAGACGGTGGAGAGCTTGGAGAAGAACGTCGAAACTTTTGTCAACAACCGTCGGGCCGAGGGCGCCCAACTTTTGAATCAAATCGAACAGGATCGGGCGGCGAACAAGAGCGCGCAAGCCGCACTGGAGCAGGAGCGGCTGAGGGGCTTGATGGAGCGCATGTCGATGGAACCGCCGTCGTCTTCACCCAAGCCACCCTCGACACGGCCAACGCCGGCTCCCCTATCTTTCAGCCCGGCGGCCATGTACCCCAAGATGAACCTGGTGGGCCAGTATCAAGTTCCGAGCTCACCCCCGCCCAACCAAAGTAGCGTACCGCAGTCATACATGCAGCAGCCAGGGCAGACAGGGTACAACAACATGACGTACAATCCCAGCTCTCTGGGCCGCATTCCGGGGCCAGCATCCCCTCCAGCGACGCAGGCAAGCTTCAACATTGGGCCGATGCGGGGAGGGCCGGCATCTCCGCCGCCGACGCAGACTTCGTTTGCAACGCAAGGCCGATACAGCGGCTATGGGAATCACGGCACCCAACAGCAGCAGCCGCCGCCGCAAACGCCCTCGCAGCAGCAGCAACCGCACGGGGCTTACATACCACCGAACTTTGTGCCCCCACCGCCGCCTCCAGGACCTCCGCCGCTCGGACCCCAGCAAATGATACACTATGGCTCGGATTACTACACAGGCGATCCGAACGCGGCAGGGAGGCCAGGGTCGACGCAGCAGTACATGCAGGCCCAGGCTCCGAGTCAGGATCCCTGGGCTGGGTTAAGTGCATGGAAATGAGCTATGGTTGCGGGGCGGACAAACTTGAGGGTGCACGGGAGAGTGAAAGCGGAAGAGTGTCGATGAGTTCAGGTATATGGCCATTGGAGGTGAATCCACGAGGGTGGGGGCAAAGCTGTGTATTGCGGGCCAGAGTGGTATGGTCCTTGAGATACGCACGCAATATACATACGATGAATGAAGCCTTCTGACGGAATGGTCAGGATTTGATGACCTTCATTCAGAGCGCCGACTTGGTTCATTTGCGTCAGCCCAGATTCTGATGAGTCCTTAACATCTGAAGTCCGTTCCCAACGGCTCCAGACAATTGCTGAATCTAGCTACAGCCGTACACGGCAGCCCGCCCAGATGGACTTCCTGTCTCTGCTCGATCTGACGATGAATCCAACCCGCTCTATCCAAACGCCATTCCTTCTCTACAACCCATTGCGAATGTATATATATAATTATCTATATACCTGCCCCTCGATCATGATGCCTCTAGATCTCCTTGCTCAACTGCACCATCAACTCAGCCAACCTGTTTGACACCTCGGTCGACCGGGGTATATCATGCCCGCCGCCGTGGTCGTACATCTTGCGCTTGTCCTTGTCACAGAAATACGCCAGCTGGATACTCGCCGGCCACCTGGGGTCCTTTGCACCATAGACATGCACCGTGGGGATCTTGATGCGCGCTTGCGGGGGCATGGCTTTGAAATCCAGCCCAAACACATCACTCCCTCTCTCCTCGGGCAAACAATCCGGGTCATGCAGCAACACGGCCGTGTCATCCCACAGCGACATGCCCATCTTGATCTTGTCGCGCTCCTTGGCGAGCTCGGTCAGCCTGCCGGCTTTTTCTTTGAGCAGCGCAACCGTCTGCTCGTGGATTTCGTGCGCTCGTGGAGAGACTGGTAAACCAAGCCCGTCTTCGAGGAAGCCCAAAGGTAACCCCCCGCAGATCAGGATGGCGGCTTTGAAGGGGAGGGGTTCGTCGGGCGTTTCCAGGGCGTGGTAGAGTAGGAAAGTGCCGATTAGAGAACAGCCTTGTGAGAAGCCCATGACGGCGTCAAAGGGACCGTGTTGGTCGATGTAGTCGACTAGCCACTGATGCGCGCCCTGGATGGCGTTGGCGGTGGGTTTGGGCCACCATGTGTAATGCCCGGACTCGAACAGCACGCGGATACCGGGGGCGGGCGCGCAGTGGAAGGGGGCATCGACGAAGTCGAAGGTGAAGGAGGGGGGGAGTTTGGAGCGGAAGGCGACTGGTTCATGGGTTGTGTGGTGTTAGTAGATGTTTGTTTTCGGATCAGTGGTGACAGTGCAGTTGAGATATGAAGCATACGGACCGGTCTGGGCTTTGAAAATGTAGGCGCTTGTGCCTTGGCCGTGGAGCGCGAGGATTCTCATGATGGTGGATAGGCGCTTTATGTACTCGAGATCTTATGTAGGTGAGTTGTCGTTATCGTTTTTACAAGCCTAGATCAAAATGTCTGTCTCGCTGTCTAAGAATAGTGCAGTTTGTCGTTATCATCAACTGCCTAGACTGAGTAGCATGTTACATGTCTATGAAAAGCGCCGAGAATTGAGACATTTGTGGTTTTAAGTAAGGATATGTAAGTGCATGCTATGGCCTATGCTGATTGACGCTGGGCTGATGTCTGCCTCACATAAGCCACCGGGGTTCAACTGGAGAGACTCCGGGCAACACTCAGAGCCTAGGGGGAGCACAGCAACCTAACAGGGAGGAGGGGCCCGGGACTTTTTGTTCGGCATCGGAGTCCGAAAACTGCTAGGCCGGGCCCAAGCCGATGCCCGCATGCCACCTGCCTGCTTGTGGTTGGGGGTTGGGGGCCGGGAATTGGGCTGCGAGGCTGCTTTCCGGGTTTGAGTCTTGAAATTCGTACGAAACTTTGACGTGAGGATTCAAACCATAGATGTGAAATCATTAGATGATCGTGTATATGCTATGCAGTAGTGCCATTTGGAGGCATCCGATGTTCTTGACATTTGATTTTCAGCTTGCTTCCCCCGGACCGATGCTATTAATAACCATGATGAGATATGCAGCAACTAATGTTATGGCACTGGGCAGCTATACCTACTGTATGTCTGTATCTCTATGTGCCAGTTGCCGCCCCTGCATAGAACACCTAGGATCAACTGGCATCTGATCCTGCTGCTCACATGAAAGGGCCATTACAAACAGCTGCCGCCAAAATCAATGGCATGTCCACTGTCCTTGGTGGCAGTAAGATATAGATGAGAAAGGGTTCCTGGCTGGGGACCAAGTCAACTGGTCACGGGCAACCGGTTTCGGAGAACAGACGACTACCTTCAATTCAGGGGCGGACTCTCCTTTTCCTGGGGTGAGCAGGCGAGCCAGGGAATATCCAAGAATCAACTTTCCATCTCACTCGAGCATTGATGCCTAATGAGAACGGCGCTGATAGCGTTAGCTCACATCTCGCACCAACAACCATATGCTTGCCGCAGACCTACCGCATCACGGACGGAGCTCATTGTTGAGCCGCTGCTCAGTAGGCATGGAACCCAAGCAGAGAAATGCAGGTAGGAATTTGGGCCTTGCGCCGCAGCTAAGACCGCCTAGCCCGTTGGAATGTGTCAACCCTCCAACAGCCTCGGCTTCTCGCTGCTCAGTGTTCAACCGTTTGTGAATCTTGCTCCTAGAAGCATGGTCTTGAAGCCATAGGAAACAAAACACCGAGGAAAGAAAGACGAAGCGCCATCGCCATGAGAACGTCTGACAGGAGATCGAAAACCCGACTCCAGCAAATTCCTGAAGCGCTGATGAACCCAGAGACCATGAGGCTAGCGTTAGCGGTGAACTTCCCATCATCGATCCTCTGACGTCAGTCTGCTCCAATGTACGGAGTATGTGATATTAGGTTGTAAACCTACCACCCACATGCCGTGGATGGCTTTACCGTCAGCATGCTCTATTATCACCTCACTGTGTGGGCTAGCTCAGAGGGTGCTGTGCTATGGATGTGCTGTAAGACTTTGAGCCTGCAGGGCTACCGGGATTTTGGTCATGTTGCTTCATAGGGAGGTTGCCGCATGGCTTGCGGCGGCGTATATGAACAAGTCGAGCTCGCCCGCGTGTAAGCCGTACCTGACGAGCTGTTAGCACCTCGACACTCTCACCCTCTGCACAATCCTCTGTTGGCAAGCTCGTATCGGAATCAGCTTGGGGCTCTTGGGACTGTGGGAAACTGGGTGTGCGCGGCATCCCTCCCCGGCTCACTGAATCCAGATGTCTGGGATGCTGATCACGTTGGTTGGCTATGGGAAGCTCCACTGTTGCCTCGGGCTGCGCTTTCTTAGCAGGCTCAAGTGAGTACAATTCCGATAAACCACACTCCAAGCTCCCAGACCTATAGGCAGGTGCTGGGGTGTTGCTAGCCGAGCCTCCTCTGACGGCACCAGCCTCGCAGAGGTTCAAGTGCGGCTCGTCTTGCCGCATTGAGGAAACTTGTGAATCCCGACGGCATTTGCGAATTAGAATAATCAGTGCAAGCGTAACAGCAAGGAGAGTTGTGCTTGCGATAGTTATACCGACGATAGCCCCTGTTGACAGAGCTTCCCTGGGTTCCCGGACGGCATACTGCTTGGCGAACACAAGATTCGTGATGGTCACAGTAGGCTTCGGGGTTATTGGGGTAAGTTCGCTGGCTATGGTAGGCGGCGGAGTTGTTTCCGGAATGAGAGTGCTTATGCATGGTGTCTGCCCTCCCAACGGACGCGTCCATGGGGTGTAACCACTGTTGAGACCGGGTCTTAGTTGATGCTCCTGTGACAAAGAACTCCGAACATACCTGGGGCAACAACTTCCCAAGGCGGAGTAGTAGGCTAAGGGACAGCTGTTCAAGGTAGTGTCTTTCGCATCTAGCGGTTGGGGTTGCACACTTGGGGTGGCGCCAGGATTCTGCGTCGTCTCTGCGGGGGCCAGTGAAGCGAAAGGGCAGCAACTTTCTCTAGCGTTGATGCAGCCAACGAAGGGGGCATAATATACGGTCAGCCCGTCATCGACAAAGGCGTACTCGGTCGACGTGCATGGGTCGCTTGTGGTGGTCTTGCTAACATATGATGTTGAGAACGAAGAAGCAATCGGGCTGACAGGATTCGTTCAGAGACGGTGGCATTAAACGGGAAAAGGGGTAGTACTAACCTAGGCTGGTAGCTCATAGCCGGAGTGTCAGACGACGGACTATTCAGGATACGTAAGCACACAAGGTTCGTGATACCACTGAGATTCTCATACCCAGATTCCGTTGGCCCTGGAAGCGAACTCGACAACGTGGTAGCCGGAGTGTACTCTTCATCCGGATCAGAGGATGACAATATGGTGTCATAGGCCGGGTCATCGGTGTCCATACCCAGAACCCGCGTGTAGAGCGGTGGAGAGGCAGCTCTCGCACCCGTAGACACGGCCCTTCCCCCTCTTTTGAAGCGTCGGAATGTTGGAGAGCGGATGGGGCTCACAATCCGCCCGCGGTGCCGTGAGGCTTTTCCTTCTCCTTCCTCGTCCCCAGGGTTAACGGCTGCATGGAACGCAGCTGAACTGGCTGACTCGTTCATGCTGAGCGGCGGGACTACCGTAGTAGTTTTGGAAGGCTGTTGCAAGATAACGGGCATGATGCAGCTCAACGTGAATTCTTGCACCTTTATTTACCAAGGCTTCGAGAGGAAGGGTTTTGCAGTAGCCGGCACCAACTTGGGCCCAAGGAGAATTTAATAGAGACGCCATGGGGAATCTGTATTCAGACATGACGAGAAGAACAGCTTGTCTTCTGTGAGTTTGAAATGCCAACCTGGCTTAAAGCGGATGTCCTTGTGCTCGACGAGCTTAACACTTGAAGACGTGGCTTGGATCCTGAGAAAATTGAGACGAGTAGAGATAGCGAAGAGTGGCAGCACGGCAACTCGTGAACCTGGGATAAAATAGAAATGGAAAACAAGAGAGATAGCAGAAAGCAGTGTGGCCTATGACCAAGTATCCTCGGCCGGTTTCCTGCTGAACATTACGGATATACATGGTTTCGTTTCGGTTGTATCGAGAGTGTTGTAGGAGATAGCTGTGTCAATCAATAAGAAGATGAACTTGGAGTTCAGACAAATGGTTCTCAACTTGAGTTGTTGCACAAGTTTGCTCGATTGTCCCGCTGTTGTTTGCAAGTGGTTGACTCTCTCCTGCTGTGTTCTTGTGCGATCATCAGATGAAGAGAGAATTGGAGGCAGGAGTCAGCCAAGTCAGTGACACCAGCTTGGCAGCTTGCAGTAGTAGTACCAACTGCTTGGGTCAGACAGTACGCATATCCACAGTATATACTGTACAGAATACCGTACGCTACAGTGTACAGTACTACAAACACCCAGAGCCAAGCTTGTAATTGCATCATTTGGCAGCGGGAGGACCGCTAAACGACCTCTGAAGCTCCCTGAAGCACCCAGTCGCCGACCGCCTAGACAAATAAAACAGTGCGATATTCATTCAACGTCCTCTCCTCTCCTCAGGTGCGATAACGTACACGTCGGCGTGCCCTCCGAATCCAAAGCTGCCAGGAATGGAAAGTTGAAGTAGGTTGATGTGAAGACCATGGCAGACGCCGTGGAGACGGACATTGATAGCGTCAAGTCGGCCGTAGCTGCGGCCTCACTCTCGGATGGAGCCCCATCGCGCCGGAGCAGTGGTCCGCCCGAGCCCAAGAATGTCTTGAATGGGGCTATTGTTGCTGAGCCCATCTTCCCCCCGCTGCACAATGCCGGCGCTGATGCCGATTCGATTGCGGGCGCTTCGCCCCCCTCGCGCAATGGCGCCGGCGGTGTTGCCGATGATAACGACGAGGAAGAGCCTGCTGTGGCCCGCCCTTTCCAGCGTACCTCGAGCCCGGAACCTTCCTCACGTCCAGGCTTGGGAATCAAGTTAGGATTGGCCGCTGAGGACGATGATGACGACGGCGATGACGACGGTGAGGGAGGTAACGGCGAAAGGCCCAACGGCGGCCGCCATGGCCCAGGCCCGCGCCCCAGGCAGATGCAAAAGATGCACCGCTACAGCCTGTACGAGACGGCGAGCCGCTTCTACATCGTCGGCGGCGACGTGACCGAGAAGCGATATCGCATTCTCAAGATCGACCGCACCAACGATGACGCCTCTGAACTGAGCATCACCGACGACAAGACCGTCTACACGCAGAAGGACATGAACCAGCTGCTCGACACCATCGACGACGGCAACAAGGGCACGGGCGGCTTGAAGCTGCGCTGCACCACCTGGGGCCTCCTCGGCTTCATCAAGTTCACAGGTCCCTACTACATGCTGCTCATCACCAAGAAGAGCACCGTTGCTATGATCGGCGGGCACTATGTCTACCAGATTGACGGCACTGACCTGATCCCCCTGACGTCGCCCAACTTCAAGATGGACCAGCGCAACACCGAGGAGTCGCGGTTCCTGGGCATCCTGAACAACCTGGACCTGACCCGGTCCTTCTACTACAGCTACTCATACGATATCACCCGCACCCTTCAGCACAACATTTCGCGGGAAAGGGCTGCCTTGATCAATGGCCAGCCCTGTGCTGCTGACGACGACCTCAACTCCATGTTCGTCTGGAACAACCACTTGCTCCAGCCCGCTGCCAGGGTTCTCAACAAGCCCTACGACTGGTGCAGGCCCATCATCCACGGTTACATTGACCAGGCGGCCGTGTCCGTCTACGGGAGAACGGCCCATATCGCAATCATCGCCCGCCGCAGCCGATACTTCGCCGGTGCCCGCTTTCTGAAGAGAGGAGCCAACGACCTTGGATACGTCGCCAACGATGTCGAGACGGAGCAAATCGTGTCCGAGGCCCTGACTACCTCATTCCACGCGCCGGGCCCCAAATTCTTCGCCAACCCTGCATACACGTCATACGTGCAACACCGCGGCTCTATACCGCTGTACTGGACCCAGGACAACACAGGCGTCACCCCGAGACCGCCCATAGAGTTGAACCTGGTGGACCCCTTCTACACAGCTGCAGCACTTCATTTTGACAACCTCTTTGAGCGCTACGGGGCTCCCGTCTATGTCCTGAATCTGATCAAAGCCCGAGAGCGAACCCCGCGCGAGAGCAAGCTGCTGGAAGAATACACCCGAGCCATCGAGTACCTCAACCAGTTCTTACCTCCCGGCCGCCAGATCATCCATCGAGCATGGGACATGTCGCGCGCCGCCAAGAGCCGCGATCAAGACGTCATTGGCACCCTTGAGTCCATCGCCGAGGACGTCGTGAGGACGACTGGCTTCTTTCAAAACGGAGACGGCCACACCTCGGAGATCCGAGTGCAGAACGGCGTGGCGCGCACAAACTGCATCGACTGCCTGGACCGGACGAATGCCGCCCAGTTCGTCATTGGGAAGCGGGCACTCGGCCACCAGCTCCACGCCCTCGGCATCCTGGGCGACACGACGATCCACTACGACACCGACGCCGTCAACCTCTTCACCCACATGTACCACGACCACGGGGACACCATTGCCGTGCAGTATGGCGGGTCCCAGCTGGTCAATACCATGGAGACGTATCGCAAGATCAACCAGTGGACCAGCCACTCGCGTGACATGATTGAGAGCTTCAAGCGCTACTACAACAACTCGTTCCTCGACGGCCAACGGCAGGAGGCATACAACCTATTCCTTGGCAACTACATATTCGCTCAGGGCCAGCCGATGCTGTGGGACCTCGCCACGGACTACTACCTCCACCACGAAGACCCCCGAGCCTGGCTGGAGAAGCGCAAGCGCGATTATATCAACTGGTACACCCCCGAGTTTCTCGAGCCCCGCGTGCTCCCACCCTACCCGTGCACCACAAAAGCAGCCATCAGCAAACCTGTCTCTGCCTACGACGACTACTGGCTCGAGTACTACCGGCCCTCCACCCTCTCCTCCTTCCTCAAGATGTTCCCTTACAAAATGAACTCAACCATCAAATACATCCCCTTCAAGTCCACCCAGGACGGCCGCTACGACCTCAGCCCGTTTCGCGTGCGCACCGATTCAGCCGACGGCGACGCCCAAGACAGAAAAAGGGCCAAAAAAGAAGTCACCATTGTCGCACCGCGCGACCTGGCTCGCATCGCCGACCACGCTGAGGCGTCGTCCGTCTACGAGAAGGCGCCCAGTCCCAGTACGAACGGTGGCGGTTCAGGTAGTAGCAACCCCGACACCACCAGCGCCAACCGCGGCATCTCCCTGCACCGCTGGCTGCAGCAGGGCGGCACCCCCCACCCGCACCACCACCACCACAATGGCATCATGAAGGACACGGCCGCTTTCACCAACCACAGCGGCGGCAGCACAACCGAACAACCACCTAAGTCCTCCCACCACGCTACCAACAACTCGGAGCCAGGACAAGGGCATAAACAGACCCCGCTGGAAAAATCCCGCGCCGCGCAGTGGACTTTTGCCCAGGTCGTCCACTCGAGCCTGAACCCGTCCGTCTCGGCGGCCGAGGCCGACGACTACGCCCGCTACGTCAGCCACCCGCAGAACCTGCCGCTGGTCGTTTCGGCCGAGCTCCCCGCCGACAACGAGATTGAGCCCGAATACCTCGAGTACGTCAACAGCGGCTATGGCTATGGCAAGTCCAACTCCAATGGCGGTGGCGGCGGCGGCGGTATGTGGTACTCGCAGCATCATCAACACCATCACCATGACCACCATGACGGAGGAGGTGGTGGAGGAGGGAGCGTACTCTCGCGGGCGGTGCCACATAGGGGGTATCTTGGCTTTGGAGGTGCTGGTGGGGCAATCAATGGGGAGGAGAAGATGAACGGTGGTGGTGGTGGTGGTAATGGTAATGGGGCAGTGAACGGGCTGAGTGGAAGCGGGGAGGAGGACTCGGACAGGGCGCTGTACGAGGAGACGGTGCGCGTGGCCGAGAACCCGCTGACCGTCACCGAGGAGGACGCGCAGAAGAAGCGGTACAAGGCCTACAGGAAGTGGCTGAGGGGCAAGAGCCTGTTCAAGCAGCAGCCGGTGGACTAGGAGTCCTCGCCTTGTCTGTCGCCGACTTCGCCTGTTTTTGGCTACTACCTTGATGAATGGGTCGGGATGTAAAAGGGTGGTTGTGTGCTCCTTCGCTTGGGACAGGAAGGATTCTGCTGTCTAGACGGCTGACGGCGGTGGCGATGGTGATTCCTGGCCGGGGAAGAGCCCTGCTAACGCGGGTTCCTTCTCGATCACAGGAGCGACGTGCTCGGCAAGGTCGATGTTGCCTGTCTTGAGAACCGCGGCGAGCATCTTGGAGCAGGTGAGCAGTTCCTGCTCGATGAGGCTTTGCGAGGTTGCGGCCGGCGGCGCGCTGTTCTTTTCACTATCATGGCTGGGCAGATGCAACCAGCACAGGACAAGGGCGTTGATGATTTCGTCTTGCCAGGGGGAGGCGGGGATTCTGGGCCAGCAGTTTGCCAGCACTGCCTGGAGGGCCTGGATGGCCGCGAGGAGGGTTGCGGGGCCCATAGGGGCAAAGGGATCGGCCATTATGGCCGACAGCATTGGTATCAGGTCCTGCACGGGTGTCGGGTGAGCTTCTTCTTCTGGTCTCAAGGGGTGTATGTCAGACAGCTCACCTTGAGGTGCTTCACAGCGTGGATACCCATCTGGTTCAGAATCAGCGCCGTTTGCTGACAGAGAACTTCCACGATGCTGATGTACTCCTTGGCGTGGAAATATGCCATAAAGACACCCTCGCGCAGCATCTTGTCTAGCAGCCGGTTCTTTGGCCCGTTGCGGACGCCGTCGTGACTGGTTGTGGCGGGCTGCTTATCTGCCAGGCGGAGCAGCACCGTGTAGGCAGGGACAAGAAGCTGTATGGATTCGTCGGTCGGTGTCAGGCTGGGGAGATAGGCTAGCGTGGGGAACACTGCATCCTCAAAGAGCTTTCCTAGGCCGTTATTGTGGAGGATATGGTTCGGAATTTTGGTAAGGAAGTCGGCGAGAATTAGCAGGCCCAGTCGACGAACGGGAGTGCTGGAATCGTCCACTAGGGTGAGCAGGACCGGAGTGAAGAGCGGCCAGAGTTTTGCAACGAGTTGATCCTTGATGAGGCGTGGCGTGGCGTGCCGTTGTGTTAGCATAACTAGATACCCCTTCCCAAAAATCCTTACTGAATCAGAACATGGGTCCAATCAAACAAACATACATCTGCTTCGCTGACTGCCCAGGCAGCAGCAGTGATTGCTCTGAGATCGGTGTACTTCCACGGCTTGGTCCGGGGCGAGTCGTCCGGTATGTTACTGCCGTGGCCGCCCCGACTATCTGTGTCAGGATACTCTGCTTTCCGGCCGGATGCTGTAACGGAGGGCGGCTTGGATTTGGAGAAGAGCGGGCGCAGGTACTGTCGAAGAACCGTCTCGCCGATGAACCGTTCCTTGGTCAGGCTGTTGTGGTTGATATCAAATTGGTGTACGAGGAGTGCCCTTGCTGTCGTTGCAGTGTCCGGGCTCGTCCACTCTTGAGACTCGTCTGTGAATGCAAGCAGCGTAAGGAGCACGTCGTCATCGCCGAGCGGGACTCCGTTGGCGTTGACATGCTTTGCGAGGGCTTCGAGGACTGCCAAACCGGGCCCGGAGACGGCTTGACAGTGTTCAAGTCGCTGCTTCAGGGCCTTTTTCAGGTCATCGTCAAAAGCTAGGGAAGGTTGAAAAGTAGTAAGTTTCAGCAGCAGAGATAAGTCGAAAACCAAGGATTCATACCTGCTGGCAGCTCTGCATTTCCTTCCTTGAAGGGCTTCAAGGAGACTCGCGGTGCGATGACCCGCTCTATGATGCTCGCCAGCGCCAGGACGACGCTGGACTGATCTCCTGATTCCTCGCGGATGCGTTCGCCGCAGCGCAGATATGCCAGGATTTGCAGCAGTGAGTGCCGTACTTTCGTCGTCTCCTGGCATGTGTTAGCCAGTTGTTGAGATTCACGCCCTGAAGAGAGACGACTCACTTGAGATTCTGTCGACTCGGCCGTACCCAGCGTTCTCTCAGCAATACTCAGGAGTTCTTTAAGAGTATAAGAGGGCAGCTCATCTTATAGCATAATATAATGTCAGATGTTGAACACCTTCAACCTGAATTGGGGATTTGATAATGGGACAAACGTTGGATAAATTCAGAACATTCCTCCTCGATTATCGTGGGTTTGTCAAGATCAACATCGGCGTCAGAGTTGAACTTCGTTCCCATTGTGACGTGCCGATAAACGATCAAGGCTGAGGTCAATGTGAAGATCGGCAGTATCCTCGGAATAGAAGCTAGATGCAAGACAATGTGAACAGATATCTCCGCTTGTGAGAAGGAAAGAGAAGAAATGGCTTTTTGATGTGTAAGGTAACTGAGGTGTTGCCCAAGAACCTGGAAAGTTCGAGTTGCTGGTGTTCCAGGCAGCGCCAATCTGCCATCAAGTGCCTGGACGGCTGTGGAGCAGGGAGCAATGGTGCTGAAAGTGCGCTGATAATTAGCGGCAAGCCCACTATTTCAGTGATACAGGCGCCTAGAGCACAGAACACGGTGCAGATATCAGGCGTACCTAACTAGGTTACTTGCTTCCCCTGATTTTTGTCTACTGTGAACTGTGCCTAAGGTACTTTCCACAGGGCAATACATGACCATCAAAAGTGAGTATGAGAGCAGGCCTCATGAAAACAGCATCTGGGTATTCCATTCCTTTTATGACCCGGCTCCATTCGCGCCTTTCCTATGCTCGAGATACCTATCTTAGGTCAAGGTTCAACGCTTAATGAATGCCCAGCTCCCCCCTCCTCTTCCTGACTTCCTCAACAGCCCCTGCCGGGTCCGTGGCCTTCGGATTCCGCAACTGCCAAGCTAGCGCAACATCCAGCGCCGCCGCCATCCACTTGCCCGGCTTCACCCCAAGCTCTTTGGCCAAAAGCTTGCCATCAACCAGACGCTTGATCGAGGGCGCGTTCATGACATCCAGCTCGGCGAGGTGGTCCAAGAACTGCTGCCACTCGGCCAGCACCGCCTCCCTATCACTCCCGGCTCCTCGTCCAGCCACATCAACGAGAACGGCAAACAGCACCTGAAGGCGCCAGTGTCCACCACGGCCGTCCCAGTCTCGGATAGCCATGCCGAAGCGGTCTCGCTCGTTGACGCCTTCCTTCTTGTCGCGCACTACCGTCATGAGCTCGACGATGGCCGGGCGGTGACGGTGGGCGGCGGTGATGAGGTCGCAGAGCTTGTTGGGTGCTTTGAAACCCTCCCTGGCAGCTTGCGTCGGGAGCGGCAGCGACGCCTTGCCCGACGGCAACGGGGGCTCGTCGGGCAGCTGTTCCCATGGTGTGAGGGTAGCCAGCGCCCACGTATAGTATCGCGCCTCCTCGCTCGTGACGAGCACGTCGTAGATGGAGCCGGGGGTTTTATTCCTCTCCAGAAAGTTCAGGCACTCGTAGGCGGCACTCCACGTAGCTGTATCTGGGGCCGGCATGTTAGGTCGTTCGGGGTCGGTAAAGACCGCATGGTAAAGTCCCAGCCTGTCGATGAGTCTCAGCGACGCAACGGGATTCAGGCCTGTATCAGAGGTCAGTCTCCATGAAGAACATCACAAAACAAGGAGAAGGCAGAGTGCCAACCCCAAAACTCAGAGAATACTCACCCTTCAGCATCTTCTCCAACTCAACCCCGATCCTCTCCCGGCTGATCTTAACCTTCAAATTCCCCAGCACCCTCGCATCACCCATAACCCTCTCAGCCTCGGCATCAATCTTAAACCCAAACCGACTAGCAAACCTCACCAGCCTCAACACCCTCAACGGATCATCCAGAAACGTCTGCAGTGGCTCCATCGGCGTCCGAATCAACCCCCTCCTCAAATCCTCCACCCCGCCCACAAAATCCTCCACCTGTCCCGTACGCAGATTATAAAACAGCGCATTAACCGTCGCATCCCTCCTCAGTGCATCCTCCTCCGGCGTTCCAAACTCCACAATCGGATTCCTACTGTCCTCCGTATACGTCTCCTTACGCAAATTCACAAAATCCACATCCAACCCACACAGGCGAATGGTGCTCGTGGCGAGATGCTTGGACTTGTCCGGGTTGCGGGGCACCGTGTGCAGGCGGCCGACGTCGTCGTTCCCGAGGTTGTGGCGCGCGCGGTGTGAGGGAATGTCGCAGTAGTCGCGTAATCCGTCCACAAAGGACTCCCCCGTCATGGCGTTGATGGCCGTGTCAATGTCGTGCGACTCGATCCCCAGCAGCTTGTCCCGCACCCACCCACCCGCCCAGCGCAGTTCTAGAGGGGAGGGGAGGTTGCTGTTGGGCTGGGAGTCGATGAATTTGGCGGCTTCGAGGAGAAGGGTTTTGAGTTGTTCCTCGCGCGGGGTGAGTGTGATGGTGAGGGGTGGACCTTGAGGGGCCGCCATTGTTGTCGTTGTTAGTTGCTTGGGAGAATTTGGGGTAGATGTGGGTGAGGATGCAGATGTTGTTCCTCTTATTGCTGGTCTCTTGGACGAATTCGGAGTCAATGTAGGTGAGGGCGGAGATGATGTTGTTTGTGGTGTTTGTGGTGTTTGGGTTGGTGATAAGGCGCCAAATTTGCGCTTCATGGAGAAGATACAGTAACAGTTTATCTTCTGCGATGCCCTCGTGGGGTTGAGTCGGGCAAGGCGATAAAACATCTAGTCGAAATTGGTTGCTTTATGAGAGGCTCATGTTTCCCTTGGGAGCTCACTCTCACTCGTCGCTTTATGACTCGAATGAGTCAACTGAAACGGAGCTTCAAGTTAGCAACGCAAGCACGTGCTTGATGTACCTAATTAGTTGGTGCAACACTACTTGATCTTGAATTGATCGTGTTTGAGCAACCGGTCCCTGATTTGGCTGCGAGTATTGTGGTTCAAGATGGTGTTTGACATCCAAGGTTGCCGTGAGAGATCCAAGTTGACCTGCACCTGAAGGCTAAACCAAAACCGTACATAGGTATATCGAACCAGGACTGTGTGATGTACTGTGCAGCACCCCTTAAGTTTGAATGCGGACCACCATCATGCCGATGCCTCCGTACGAGCAACGTATATACACTACGAGTCCATCTACTAGTACTTCTATTCCAGCGGAGGGCGAGACTAAAACACTCCTAGCAAGACTCCACCAGATGCGACTCTAAGAATCCCACTTCCCTCTCCTTCAATACACAACATCCACGCGCCTCTTGGTATTACCGTCCCGTACCCCTTTCCTAAACCAAAAACCTTAGATCCTCACGCCACGGCGTCTCCAGTCGTTTGTATCCCTTCTGCTACCTGAATTGGTGCAGCTGCAGGCGGCGGCGCCTCCTCCGCTTTCGGGGGCTCCTCCTCCAACGCCAGATCAGCCCTCAGGTTTGGCAAGAACCTATCAATCCTCTTCCACGTTTCATTCCATAGATCCTCCCGCTCCGGATTCTTGTTGGGCGGCACCAAGTATCCGTTGCTGGACATGATGAGGAGCACGTTCTTCAGGTTCTCCGGCACGGCTTCCTCCTAAAACACAACCACCTGCATCAGCCACTCTGGTCCTGCTGAGAAAACTCTGTGCTTTGCAGAAATGAAATCAAACTTACCAAGCTGTCCCCTTGCCCGCTATTCATGAGCCGGTCCATGATCTCAATGATTTTTAGCCACAAGTCGAGCATGCCGTCCCATTCGGACAAAATCACCAGGTACTGCAAGAACACCTTGGAAAGCAGCGACGCCGCCTGCACACGTGTCTCGCTCATGCCATCGCGGTCCGACGAAAACACCTCGGGCTTCAGCAGTCGCAGGATGAGCGGGAAGAGCACCTCCCCAAATATGGCCGTCCACTCTTCGTGGTCGCTTGACGTCAGCTCTGGCGATAAGAGCGACCGCTGCAGCGAGGTAAAGGCCAGATGCCGCACTTCGCGGCAGGGGTTGGTGCATTGCGTCGTCAGGGCCTGAAAGATTGGCAGCCAGTAGGCAGACCATGCTTTTGCTTCTTGTTAGCTCCCGCGCACGTAATATTGAGCCTGCAGACGGCAGAGACGGCTTACCTTCGTTGCTCTCCAGGTGAGACTGCTTCATGAGATGCGGGATGCGGGTAGTCAAGCGATAGATGTTCTCCACGGCCTTGACGCCCCGTTCTACCACAGCATTCTCACTATCAACTCACAGTCAGCACTTAATTATCTCCACATAGAAGAAGAAAGAGTCGGACCTCGGTTTCTCCTGCTTTACAGGCCTCCCTCCCTTCCTCCCCTGTCTCCGGTCGTTCTTCTGCTCCGCAACGGCGCCCACGCTAGCCATCGAGGCAAACTCATTCAGCAGCGCCAGAGCCGCCTCGTAGTTATCCGCCATGATGGCCGGTGGCGTGGCCGAGACGCCGCTCTCCAGAATGGCAAATACCACGGGCGCTGACTCGGCATGCACTGCGAGTGCCTGTAGTATTGCCCAGAAATCCGGCGACGTCATGATCTCATTCCTCATCGGGCTCGGCTTCTCGATGCAGAGCTTGAGTCCGCGCAGGACAAGGCCGGACGTCTTGACTAGCGTGTCATTAGGGAAGCTTGAAACGGTGTGCAGGAGAATAGGGACCCGGATGTAGTCGTAGTCCTGGCAGCGACATTGGAGTGAGCAGATCTTTCCTAGCAGTAAAAATGCATGGAGAAGGAGCCTTACGTAGCTAGCCTGAAGTAAGGAGAAGAGGTAAAAGGTTGCCCGCTCAATGAGAATCGGGTGGTACCGCGGCACATCCCTCAGAATAGCCTGGATCGCCTCTGTCACTCGTTTCCCGAGGAGCTCAACGGTACTATCGTCGCGCAGAGCGAGTACAGTGCAGAATTCAAGGATGTAAACCAAGGCAGGGTCATAAACAGCGCTTCTCTGCCGCGGTTTCTGGCCATTGGCTTGAGAGGGAGGAATGTTTTCGGCCTTGACCGTTATCACAACTGACCCGCTGTCTTCAGGAATCTGGTCAAGCAGAGCGTCGACCAGAGCCTCGAGGCTACTGCTAGGAAGATTTCTACACCAGGGTCAGATATTGCCGCGAAGGAAAAGCTCGACGACTTACGCAATGTTAGCAAATACATCACCCATGTGGCATTGGTTCACGCAATCCACGGTGCAGAGCGTGCTCTCCAGCTCCTCGTCAGACGGTTCGGGCGGGTCGTCAGCGGCATAGCTCGAAATGTACGACGTAAACGCCGAGAAGAAGCCCGACTCGTTCTGCTTAGCGCCGCGGTCAACCACTTGCGACGGCGGTTGCAGGGGGATCGATGGTAGCGCAAGCTTGTCAGCCTCCGTGGAAAAGAACGGAGGTATGAGCTTGTTCACAAAGAGGTTGAGCCATATACGGATGATCTTGTCCACATTAGCGCGGTCGCAAATACGCATCGTACACCAGAGAAAATACTCACATGCTTCCAGCTCTTCTTAATGACGTGCTCGGAGCCCGTAATGACACGGAACAACACCAGCGTAGCTAGCTGCGGCCGGACATCTCTGCCAAACTTGACGGCCAGCTCGCTTACCATGACGCTGTTGTCGCCAACCTGCACCTCGGTATTGAGGGACGTATTGGAGAGGGTCTCGCTGCTTAGCGTCGAGATGTACGAGAGCCGGTAGATGATCTCGTCCAGCGCCTCCGAGTTGCCGTACTTGGTCGCAATCCGCGCACACTCGTCGAAGCCAGTAATGACGCGGGCATAGACCGTATCATCAGTAGCTGACATGAACACGAAGAAGAGACATGAAACGATGGGATTCCAGGTCGTGGCGAACAGGTCTGCGTCGTAGATGTTGGTGTCGCAGAGCACAAGTGGGCCAGCTGACTCGGTCTTGAGCAGCAGCTCCTTCCAGGCATAGTCAAACGCGCGCTTGTTGTCATGCTCATCTGGGAGGATGATCTCGTTGGTTTTGATTGCGTCGAAGATGTCCTGAAGATAGTCAGGCGGGAAGTCCTGACCACCGTTCTGGCCCCTAAGGTTGCGGGAGAAGTCGGCATAGGCCATGCGGGCCTGGTTTTTAATCGTGGGGTTATGCTGATCAGTATTTAGCATGATGATGGCATATGTGAGGATAAAGACAGAGTCCTTGTTTGCCACGCCTTCAGGGACCGAGCTGGCGCAGTATTTTTCCGAAAAGGAGGTGACAATGCGCTCAATCAACGGCGACTCGCCAGGGAGACGGAACGTTTCTAGAACAACTCGAAGAGCCTCGTCTACCCGCTTGCCGGTGAAATCGAATTGGTCCATGAAGGCATCCAGGATCGCTTCGTTGCCCTTCTTCGACAGGAATTCGCCTAGGATCTTTTTATTGATCCTCGACGTCCCTTTCAAGAACTTGGCGACGCACTGCGGATCGCTGGCATTGTCAATCACGGCCTTTTCTTGGAGATAGGCAAGGCCGCCCTTAGGGTTCTCGTTGAACATGGTGGTACCCTTGATGATGAGCCTTTTCCTGCGCCTCCTCTCCCTCAGCATTTCCGGGTCAGGGTATCCATCCGTCTCGGGTGTCTGATCTAGTCTCTCCGCTATAAACTGTATGAAGCGTAGAAGGGCATCAAGGCAGAGCGGCGGAACGCTCGTCGTGCTCCAGGTGGCCGAGTCGGGAAGCGCATTCCTCGATAACAGGCCAACCAGATCTTCGCACAGATCCGCGCGATCTTCGTCGCAGTCGTAGTTGACAAAGAGTTCAACCATGAACGTAGGCATGCGCGCCAAGACGCCAATATTTTCAACCATTGCCTGTCTTGCATCGGGTTTGCGAGCGCTGCCCTCCAGACCGAGTTTCTGACGGTCCTTAACAGCCACGGGGGTGGAGCGGCCACTGCTGGCTTGTGACGGGGAAGGCTTAACCAGCTTTGGGGACTGCGGGATGCCCGAGTAGAGGCTTGGGTCGATCCCTGGCTCTCGGGGAATTTCCACAGCGGGGTGAAGGCAAGCTACAAGATACGACAGATACAGCTCCTGTTGCAGCTTGAGAACTCCTCTGCATGTTGAGAGCAGCGTGCTCGCTACAATCAGCGCTTCTTGCAACACAGCCATGTTGTCGGACCGGACGAGCTGGAAAAGATAGCAACACAGCTGATCCTCCGCGATAGTCGCCAGCGCAGGATGGCGGGCGATTGAGGGCCCTGCCACTTCCAGCGCGACATGGATGATGCGCAGAGCCATGACTCTCATCTGATCAGGGTGTTTCCGGTCGTGAGGATCCAGGAAGCTCACCAGCACGCGGAAGAGCTCCCGCACAGAGGGAAGAGAGTAAGGGCGGAGATCGACCGATTCGGAGCTGTCAGTAACAGAACTTGTGCTCGGTCGTCCGGCATCCGCGCTTGCCCTGGCGCTCGCGCTCGCAGGGGCGGCCGAAGCGCTGCCAGCCTTCTCCGAGCTTGATGACCGCCTTGGCTCCACAGAGGGCTCGGGAGCTTCGCTAGCTTCGTTCTGCTGCTCCCCTGAAGCAAGTACACCGGTACCGTTAGTTTCCGGGTCCATCTTGACATTATTCATGTCTCCGCTTGTCTGGCGGTCCAGCGCCTCGCTTTCCTCACCAGCCTCTTCCTCAAGATGTTTCAGATCCTCGAAGATGATCTGCACCATCCGCACCATGGATGCCTCGGCTGTCCGGCGCAGCACCTCTGAGAAGCGCGGGCGTGAGCAGATGGTCAGACCGCGCCCCATCATGTCGCACACGCTTTCGTCGCTCAGAATATCGCCTCCCGGTCCCGACATCATATCCTCCATCAAGTGTAAGATCATGAGCAGGACCACTTCCTCCTGGGCCGGGTCGCTGATGTCGAACTGGCAGTGCGTAATCGCGGCAGACAAGGACTGCATGGCGAGGGCAAATCGAGGCGAGATGGGGGCGATAAAGCCGTAGGCTAGGAACTTTTGGATGGCTCGCAGAGCGAGGACCGTGACGGGCGCAGCGGTGCCCTTGGCTTGAATGATTTGCAGGAACGGGTATAACAGCACCAAGGAATCGAACTTGTGGATGTCTGTCGGCCCTTGTCAGCAAGATGCAGCCCAAAAGCACCTCTGGTGGTGCCATAGGTACCTTTGACGCCTGCCAGCTCCTGGCGCAACCTCCCAAAGCCCGAAATCAGGGGATTGTCCTGCATGCTCTTGCCCTTCTTCCCCCTTAACCCCCACCGATTCGTAGCCACGTCGCTCGAAGTGTCTCCAAGCGGATCGGTTGCCGAGGACTTGCGGTCGCGGCGGGTCCCGGGACCCGGAGGCACGAGCTGGATTAGGTTGGGGCTGCCGCCGAGGATGGCCGACACGGACGAATGCGGCGAGCGGGCATGTTTCTGGAGAGCCGAAGAGATGGCTATGCACTCAGATATGACGAGAGACACGGGGTCAACGGCTACCGACACAGGACGGCTCCGATACTGCATGCGCGAGGAAGTTGCCAAGGTCCGTCGAGGAGGCGGCGTCCCGGGTCTCGCTGGCAGAACCGGGTCCATTGGTGGGGCATGCTGGACATCTCGACTCATGCTGGAGAGAGACAAACGCTGCCTCGCGGCGAGGGCCAATTATCCTCGAGATCCGAGCGATTTATGAGTGTTGTTGGCTGCCGCGGTGTCTCGTGGCTCGCGAACAAACTGTCCTTGTGACAGTAGCAACCACGAAGTCGAAGGTTGCGGTTTAAGGGACAGCGCTAGTCCAGGACTCTTTGACCGGTGCTGGCTCTATCACCCAGTTTCTCAAGAGAAACGAAACGTTACAACCTCGAATATCGTCTTGCTAAATCCTATGCCATTAGGATGTTCCTTCGTCGTTGATCGAGGGCCAGGTACTTTACATGATGGCAGCTATAGATCCCTGCCCTCTCCAATGGACACTTTCCTTTAGCCTTGAATTTAGGCCAATAGGGCACTAGCGCATTGCTCCACTCACTGGCCAGGGTCACAGAATCACTCAAAGAGTCAACAGCGACGCCATCCCCAAAACTTCGATCACAAGCCCAGCGCACTTTCCTGAGTGCTCAACTCAAGCTCTCAAAAATAGACAATGTGGTAAGGAAGAAGATCCTTACACATAGTTTCCTACGTCAAAGGTCAAGTGCATCATATTGGCCCGGATTGAATGTATGAACCAGTCATTGCTGAATGATATCTCAACCAAGATAACGCCCCGTTACCCCTTTACCATGAGACTCGGCCTCACTCACACCGTTCTAGCCTACACAGTTGTATTATCCGTGATTTGTGTCCCTTTTGTCTTCCTCCTGTTGGAAATGCATATGCGCAAATCCGCTCCGTTTTCCTTGTCCCGAGGGTTTCTCTATCGCTTGAAATCGCGGAAGGGGAAAGAAATAGGTAATGATCAGTCCGGGTCAGCAGCCGGCCCAATTCATGTTTTGCCACCCTCCTGCTTTCCATCTCTTGCAACTACCTTCTCTTTCTCCTTGGCGGCGGGTGGTTTCGCCGCGCCTGGCAGCTCCTTGGCAGCGTCGACGACGGCCTTGGCCTCCTTCTTCTTTTCTTTGAGCGCAATGTCTTGCAGTTTTGTTTTGTCCTGCTCCCATTGCCCGGCAGGATTCGTGAACTCCTCCTTCATCTTCTTGGCCTTCTCAGCCTGTTCCTTCTCTTCTTGCTCTTTAGCGAGCTTCTCCTGTTCCATTTGCTACAGTATATTAGCGAGTCTTCATACAAGTAGCGGAGCCTATCACTTACCTCCATGTGTTTGATGTCATCCACGCTGGGCTCGTACATATGCCAGATCGTATAATGGGGTAAGCCGACAACAGAGAACTGCATCTTCTTGGCCATCTGTTGCTGTGGTTAGACAAAGCTAGAACGACAGAATCATTCCTAAGCCTACCTTTCCGAATCCCTCCGTCTCGGCATGCTTCTCGAAGCTGAAGGCCGGAAAGTGAACGCCGTAGCGGAAGACCTTGGCCTTGGCCAAGATACTCACACCACCAACACCATCAATCTCCATCTCCATGTCGGGATCGCCATAGGGGTCTCGTAGGTATGCCAGATGCGGCCGCCAGGTCGCATACTCTGCGTACCCTTCCACGATGACAGCATCTTCGTCGAGGGTATCGGCGAGGGCAAGCGCCGTTTCCGATTCCTGCCATGAGTTAAGATCGTAGGGCTGCTCTCCGCCGAGCCAATCGGGCAGTGGTCGCCAAACATCTGCGCAGTTGGTTAGCATCCGGAACAGAACCCTGATTGTCTCAAGAAACAAGCCACTCACTCGGTACTATCACATCCTTGTTGTGCCTCATCAGGTCCTCCAGGATCGTAAAGGGCGCTGTCTCGACATCGACGTCTCGCCAGTAGACCCACGAATGGGACGGCCGGAGCGCAGCACTCAGCAACCAGTTTCGTGCCCGGGCCATAAGCTTTCTCCTGCTCGCCTGCGCCGCGAATCCATGGCGGCTCTCCACGTCTTGATTGACGGTCTGACCAAAGTCCTTCTCGATGATCGATATCTCCCCAAAGTGCTGTGACTCATTGTCGCCGGCTTGGATCGCCTCGAGATTCTCCGTCAGCACCTCCAGCGTACGGTCCTTGGAATCCGAGACGAGGAACGCGAGGTCGATCAGGTTATGCGGGTACGTGAAGTTTCGCAGATGAGAGAAGAACATGGGTAAGTGCTCCTCGGCGTCCCGCAGCGGCACGCAGAGCAGGATGCGCTCTTCCCTCTCCCACCCCCGCGCGGTGCCCTGCACGTTAGACAGGTCGTAGTACCGCACCGTTTCTAGTTGGATGCCGTCCCCGCTCGATATGAGGCCAAGCGAAAAGATGGACAGGAAGGAGGTGCCGGACCAGGAGCATAGCACGAAGAAGAAGATGACAGCCGCGACTATGCCGAGTCGCACGAATAGTCGCCTACGCCGGACAGCCGATGGTGTTGTGCCTCGTGGTTGGAACCTGGTAATGTGAAGGCGCATATTCGTCAGCAATCTCATCAAATGCCTTGTTTTGGGGATGAATTGGGGCGATTTCCCGCGGTGATCGGGGAATAGCAGGAAAGGACGACGGCGATTGCGATTGACAGTATTTACCTGTGAGGAGACATCTCGAGGGTGTTCCCCCGGGGATATCCGTTCGAATAGCCGCTCACATGGTGGCGGGGGATCACCTTGGACCCCGAAGATGTGAAAGGCAACATTTGGTCGCGTCCCTAGATCGGGGTTGCCCTGCAGGCCCGACACGGAGCTTCCACCACCCCCCCTTTTCGCGCACTCGCACTTGCGATCGCCAGACGGGCGTCAGACGTGTAAAAGGCCAAAGGTTCGGGTTTGGCAATTGATTCTCGGATCGGCCAGGACAAAATCGATGTCAGTCGGGGCCGAATCTGGGGCAGTTGCCGGTCGGCGCAATCCCGGCGGACAGGACTGAGCGGTGTTCTTGTTGAGGGCGCCGTGTGCGAGGTGATGAAGTTACATAATACGGGGTGGGCAAACAGCCTCACGACCTTGACCCAATTGTTCGTGGCAGTTTCGTTTCTGCAATACGTACCGAATACGGCATACGCACACTACGAGGTACCCCGGGCGGCTTGGCGCTGCATCTTCGGGTCCTTCCCAGAAATTTGCTGCCGGACTTCGGTACTGTATTGTACAATACATTACCTAGTAGGCAAATACCGGGACACTTCGTGTATCTTACATACAGTACAAATCACCAAATCTACCCCTAGGCAAGAGCATACGGAAGGCGAAAGGGGGCCGTGGTTGACCGGACTATGTATAGCCTACGTCAATAATCAAGAGCGCCTTAATCGGCAGAACCTGGTTACATGGAGCTGGGATAACACCTCTGAGGCAAGATCTTCCTCTTGAATCCTGGTTCTAGTTGGCGACGGCAGGTTAATTGAACCTTGGTTTCATGTCGATCGTATCACTTGGAGAGACCATACTGTTGAACTTCCATGGTAGGCAACTCTGGAATACTGCTATGGTACGATGACATGCACAGCGCGTCACTAGGACGCCTCAATGGCTCTGTCTCAAAACGCAGAGTGTCATCTGAACAACAGGTGCATTGCGGGTATCCATTATGGGTACCGGCTTTTACCGTTCTCGCGGTCATCTCGTGATGGAGACCGCTTATCTCTCCCAAGATGAGATTTAGGCAAGCTGAGCCATTCGGGATTCCTTCGAGGAATAGGCATATGGCGGTTTATCGATACGTAAACCAACCGTAGGGCACGATTCTCCTCCCTACATGTTGTGACCCTAGATATCAAAGTGCCGACTTGTCAGCAAATGTCCCATAAGGAGAGTGCATGAGAACCAGGTAAGCATCAAAATTCAGTCAAGCCAGTTTAACTCAGCCCTACGGGCCGGCCCGAGCTGCCACGCACCATAACGATGCGAGTCAGACCCAGACAACGGAAGCCAAATTACGTCTCGAGAGAGACAACACCACAACTCGTCATTGCACCCAAGGATGCTAGAGTGCGGATGGATGGCTCGGCCCGTACGTATCGTTGAATGGATAAGCTATTGTCATCAGGGAAGAAGAGAATCATGCCGGAAAAGGAGGGGTGCCTACCAAGCTACTTTCATTGCTTCCTGGCTGTATGGGACATTCTGAGTATCAAACTCGGCACCTTGACTGAGTCAGCATGGATTCAGAGATCAACTGTTGGTTAATCAAGATAATGATATTGGTAACATCAGAGGTATGTTTTTTGGTATATAGGTTTCTTCATTCTTTTCAGAAGCAGAACTGAAATGAAAGGTATCATCATGAAAGAGAGGAGGAACTGTAGGAGAAGTGGCATTGCTTACCTTTTGGCTGGTTGAAGCATTGGCGGTGAATTCGTGGCTATCAAACTTTCAGTTGATGTCAGCGAACGCTAGTATCAACACAGCAATGGCAAGTGGTCAGGACGGATTGTCAGATGGTAGTGCATGTGTGTTCGTTCGCTCATGGAATTCGCGTGAACTGTGGAAAAGAGATCATCATGAAAGGGGCTCGGGGAACCGGTTCTGTGGCTGGGGTGAGCAGCGTAACTTACCAACCCTCATGCAATCTGTGAAGCGGGCATCCCGTAAGTAGTTCTCAGATCTCTTGGTCAACTCCCTCAAGAAACCCTACACCAATGCTGGATCGACACCACGGCCGGGGGAGCGACAGTCGGACCGCTTGCAAGACAATCCCGATGGTCTCCATTGCGCTTCACGTCATTGGGTTCTTTTTTCTGAGTCGCTTCTTCTCAAGCGCGGGCGAGTCGAGGAGCTTCGTGTTGTGTTGGGTTTGGGAAGAGAAAACGGAGTTTGCACTCGATAAATTTTCAGTTTAAACCCCGTTGTTGTGGCTTTGATTGGTCTATGCTCTCGAGTGGGTCCAAGCACTGTGGCTTGTTCACGAATTCAAGCTCAACACTTCGTCAGGTCCAAGCGGAAGTTTGAACGTTTGCGAGCAAAAGCACATCGGTTTTCAACAGTAACTCTAACTCCTGACTCCAAAAAGACTATCTGAGTCTTGGTTGGCGTATTGAAAGTCATCCTTGGTTGCTTACGCCTTTTTTTTTATTGGTGCTGAGCCCCCAAACTCTTGCGGCTCTTGCCCATTCGAAGTCATCGAGATCCTAAGCCAAATCAAGCCTACACAGTCGACTCTTGCCATGACGGACAGGAGACGGATCAATGGCCCAGTCGGGGCCACGATCCCACCAGTATTTGAAGACACGCTTACCCAGGAGTTGAAGGCCGTGAAGAAAAGATCCCGGCCCCCAAATGCGATCCGTAAAATGTGTATGAGCTCTCCCATCTTCATCGTTAACACACTTGCTCACGACAGTCAGATCTCAAGACGGGCGTGACTCCTTCGGCTTCTGGCTCGGCGTATCTGGAGATTGAAACAACTGGGAAACCTGGTGTATCTGGGTTGAAGCTGAGCTGCTCTGTTCATGGACCCCGGTCACTTCCGCGATCCAGTCCATTTTCTCCTCACATGGTCTTGTCCACCCATGTCAAGTATGCCCCGTTCGCAACAAACAAACGGCGTGGCTATCTACGTGATCCAATCGAGCGAGACCTTGGGACTCACCTGGAGGCCGCTCTCCGCGGCGCCATCATCGCCGACAGGTGGCCCAAGAGTGGTGTTGACATCATCATATCGATCGTCGAGGGCGACCAGGACAGGGAAACGTCCAAGTTCCAGGGCGATGAGATGTGGGATATGATGAACGCCCTTAGCGGCTGCATCACGGTTGCATCCGCCGCACTCGCGGACGCCGGCATTGATTGCGTTGATACCGTTGCAGGGGGTGTTGCAGCTCTTGTTCAAGAATCCGGCGACGATAGTACTAGCCCGAATATCGTCGTTGATCCTATTCCCTCTGAGCACGACAAGATCCTGGCGGCTTGTTGCGTCGCATACCTGCCTACCAGAGATGAGATTACGAATCTTTGGTTCAAGGGTGATCTCCCTGCCTCTGAAATGGAGCTTTACACGAAAATGGTCGAAAAGGGGATACAGGCGTCAAGGCATGCGAACCGCGTACTCATCGAATGTCTCACCGAGACTATTGGATAAATAGGCGGTTGTTTATACACAGAAGCTTGCACCTGGCTATTGAGGCGACTTTGCGTTGGTCAGCAGGTAACCTTCCATTGTATACACGGTGATGGGTAACCTAGGCTCACTGATGTGTAGAGCAGTCCTACTGCGAGAGCCGGTTGAGGACAACGAGCACTGCTCCCAAATGCCTGTTGTACCCTGGTGAAACCTGCCGTATCGCACCCGTCACTTCCAGTGCAAGACGGGGTTGGAGGAACTTGGAGGTGAAACCCGTAGTCACGGAGGGTCCATCATTTTCGATATGACCACCTCGATCATGCATAATATGAAAGAGAGGCGCTCTGTGACAGCTCTTTTATCCGATCTGTCTGTCGTCGAGCAAGGTTGGAATACGACGGATGCTGCATCGGCCAGCCTGTACCACATGTGTATGTGTACCATATTGTGTGTATCTCAGGATATCTGTGCTTCATCAAGAGCCGATAGTCTTGGCAGAATGGATAGAGGCCACCCGCTTTCAGAACCATGGAAGCATGGGGGAACGCGGGAGAGAGCCCGAACATGATGTTACGCTTACGTGTCGTCGGTTGCATGTGTCAGATACCCCGCCAATCTGATTGATTTCCCTGGTCATGGCCAGCATGGACACCCGAAGTCGGTCGGTTTCCTGGCCTCGGGCTGTCGCCCCCGGAAGCCGGTTTTCGAGACCGCAAATACGAACATCAAGATGGGACGCCATAGAGTGTCATACATACTGACAATCTATCAATGGGGGTCCATGATGCAGTTCCTATGTAGAATGTAAGTTACCGTACTGTAGTGTGGACAAGAGGAGAGGGAGACTGTATGGGCGTAACTTACCTTCGTGCCTACCTAGTGTACTGTACTGCTGGTACAGTAATTGTACCGATTATTCCTTACCCTTCGTATGGAGTAAGCTGATCGGACTGAGGCGTTTGCGGCTTGCCGAACGTGGTCCACCGTGGACTACCTCAGAAACTGGCACCTGCAGTAGTGAAAGATAGCGCCTCTGCCTTATCATTAGGGACGTATCGTACTAGGTCCACCACTCAGATAATTACGCGCTAGCGATGCTGTCCTGTTTGCGATGATTCGCCGCCCCCTGACGTTAACTTTCCCTGGCGTTCTGTTCGTCTCAAGAGTCGGCCAATCTTCAAGACAAACCAGAACCACGCACCAATTCAGCTCACCTCAGCCAGCCAGGCTGTGTACGTTCGTTTCAACAGCCACCTGGAGCCGCTCCTGATAACCTAATACTTGTGCTTGCGCACTACAACCTTTTACTTCGAGTTGACTGTTTTAACTTCTTCGAATCACAAGATTTACGTATCCAATCGCTCCGTTTCCGATTCGATTCGCGACAATTCCGCCGAACTCTTGAACCGACGCACATGATTCTGGACGCCGACAAGCTGCCTTAGTTCGCGCATCGCCTATCGTTCGAGCGCTGGCCAGCGCGACCCACCATCAATCCAGCTTCGTTCGTGCCCGCGCTCTTCTTCCCTCGCTTCATGGGTAAAAAGTGGCGATGGGGTGTCATTCTGGACGCCGGGTCCTCCGGGACTCGGCTGCACATCTACCGATGGAAGGACCCCGAGAAAGCGCTCAAGCACGCATCCAAAGAGGATCTTAGAAGTCTACCGAAATTGATGACGGAAAAGCATTGGACCAAGAAAATTACGCCAGGAGTGTCTACGTTTGCGGACAGCGTGGAAGATGTCGGCCCATACTTGCAGTCCCTGATTGAGCATGCGCTCGAGTACGTGCCCGAGGACAAGGTGAAGGATACGCCAATCTTTCTGATGGCGACGGCGGGGATGCGGCTGCTACCGCAAGTCCAGCAAGCCGCTTTGACGCGCGAAATATGTCTCTACCTTAGGCAAAACTCCCAATTTTCTTTGCCCGACTGCGATCTCCATATCCAGGTCATTAAGGGCGAGACGGAAGGGTTGTACGGCTGGATTGCCTCCAACTATCTGCTGGGAGGTTTTGACCACCCCGACAAGCACCAGCACGGCAAGGGACATCATACATATGGGTTTCTGGATATGGGTGGCGCGTCGGCGCAGATCGCTTTCGCTCCGAATGCTACAGAGGCGGCGAAGCACGCCGACGACCTCAAGCTACTACGATTGCGAACGCTCGATGGGTCCCCGGCGGAACACAGAGTCTTCACTACCACATGGTTGGGGTTCGGTGTCAATCAAGCTAGACAGTCTTATGTCAGCAAACTCGAAGAGCAATATGCGACTTCCGATGGCGAACTACCCGATCCCTGCTTACCCAAGGGCTTACGGACGACACTAAAAGGCGACCCAGTTTACGACTCCAAGTCAGGCATTCCGATCCTTGTCGGCACCGGTTCGTTCGATGAATGCCTGAAAAAGACACACCCGCTTCTGGGCAAGGATAAGCCTTGCTACGATGATCCCTGTCTACTAAACGGGCAACATGTGCCCGCCATTGATTTTGACGTTAACCACTTCGTCGGTGTCTCGGAGTATTGGCATACGACACACGGAGTATTTGGTGGCAAGGACGACGAGGCGTATGATTTTTCTACTTACCAGGCCAGGGTTAGGGAATTCTGCGGGCGGGACTGGGATGACATCGAACCTGAGATTGACAGCAGGAAGAAACACGCCCTGAGAAATGCGCGGGAGGCGTGCTTCAAGGCTTCCTGGCTGATCAACGTGCTACACGAGGGAATTGGCATTCCGCGTATTGGCCTCGAGCATCTGCCAGCGGCAAATGTTTCCAAGGGGGCACTCGAGCACGGGAAGGAAAAGGGCTTCCTCGACCCCTTCAAGCCGATAGACAAGATTGACGGCATCGAAGTCAGCTGGACACTAGGCAAGATGGTGCTTTACGCTGCGGGGCAGATCCCCCCGAAGAGCGGCGACGACAGGTATCCGGTTGGCTTTGGCAGCAACGTGGCCGGAATCCCACCAGATTTCCAATTCGCCGGATCAAGCTGGAAGCCCCTCGACCATCATCACGGTAACCACACGAGCGACGACGATGACGACTGGGACCTCGACGCCGACGACATTCTTGACAAGGCAAAGTCAAAATCCACAACCGGCTTTTTCCTCTTCCTGATCCTCCTCATCCTAGCTCTGTACTTCTTCCGTAAACGCGAGCGACGCATGCGCCTCTACAGCAGAGTCAACTCCTTTTGCCGCCGGGCTCGCCGACCAGGAAGCGGCGCCCGCAAGGGCAGCGGCAGCAGTGTCCGCAGTCTGTCCGGGCTCACCTCCAAGCTGTTCGGGCGCCCGTCAGCGGCGTATGAGCGCGTGCTGGAAGAGGGTGACGCGTCTCACTTTGAATTGAGCAGCGACATCGACTATTATTCATCGTCGTCATCGTCGGACGACGGCGCCGGCAACTACGCCCACGACTACTACTCGGACCACCTGAGTGAAGGCGGTGTGAGCGCCGGCGGGTCGTCGCGGCTCGGCCGGTCTTCGGGCCTGGCCACCCCCAGCGTGGTGGCCGATCTGGCGTCGCCCTCGTCGGTGTCGTCGTCGGCGCTGGACCGGAGTGGGCTGGTGGTCAGGACCGAGAGCCGAGAGCGGTTGGCGCTGCCGATGCACTTGAGCGCTGCCGGGCGGAGGAGTAGGGCCGGAAGTCCGACGCGGCTCAAGAGTCCTCTTTTGACGCCTCTGCAGGAGACGTAGTGGTTTTGTGGGTTTTCTTGATGGAACGAGCGTGTCTTTGATGTTTGGGGCTATATACCTGTCATTATCTTCTTTCCCTGTGGGATGTTGTTTGGTGTTCAGGTGGCAGTAAAACCTTGTTAATTTTGGTCTTGTATCTTCACTTGTCTGGGGAGGAAGCGCTAGATTCAGCGGGTTAGAAGCCGGAGATTTCGGAAAGGGAGAACAGCGACTGCAGTCTTGGAGCGCATATTGGCGTCATTTTGGGCTTTCTCTGCCCCTTGGGTGGTTTTGGGGTTGAACTGTCGGTCGGATACAGCGCTGGCCTCTTAGCAACGAGGTTTGTTGCTGTCATGATAGAATCATGTTAGAAAGATTATAATTCATGGACAGCTTCCTACGCTTCCAATCCTCACCAAGCTACCGAGGCGAAGTGATGAGCATATGGCACCCGTCACGGACAAGGCAAGTCAATAGCACATCCATCCAATTGCAGAACTTGTGATTGATTCCCCTGACTTTTTTGACATGCGCCTCTACCACCGTCTAATCGTCTTTTACATACAATCATCCAACTACATCCACGCTTGGTTCTGGTTTACTTCGCTCAACTCAGTCATCCCTCTCCAAGAATCCCGGGTCGCTCCGCACGCGGCTCTCAAACTTGCGCCACCAGTCCTCAAACGCCTTGAGCGGCACCACCTCGACCTGGCCCGCGGTGCCGCTGAACGAAGCCAGGAAGTTGAAGGCGTTCTTGATGATGCGCTGCGCCAGCACCAGCGTGCTCGGAGGTTGTCTTGCGGGAACCAAGGCAGTGCTGGTACCACTTGCACTGTTGCTGTTGGTACTGCTGCTGGTGCTGCTGCTGCTGAGCTCTGCTATCCTCGCGGCCACGGACTCGGCCGCCTCGACCGAGATACCGATCGCCACGTTGCTGGTGCTGCTGCTGTTACTTGTCACCATCGGTGAGGATGAGGAGGGGTTGTTAATCTTGAAGATGGCGCTCTCCTTGCCCGGGCCGATGCCGCCCAGGAACTTATAATTGGGTTGCGTCTGGCTGGGCCCGGACGGCGGCGTGATCAGGTAGATGGCGGCTGCGGAGCCGGCGGGGAGGACGACGCCCGGGAGGAGGAAGACTGTGATGTGGGTGAAGGGCTTTGTTGCCGCAGTGGTGGTGCCGGGCTGCTGTGGCGCGGGGGGGATGGCGAAGAGGAAGGTTGTTGGCGTCGGGGTCTCGGTCGGGGTGACCAGCACGGGTTGGCCCGCGGGCACAAGTCCGAATAGGGGTTGGGACATTGTATGGTGTGTCTTCTTTTAACTTTCGCGCGCAGGTACACGTAGGGTGGTGATGATGATGTCAGTATCCCTGGCTCGGTTCGGTTGGTTGTCTACCTGAGGAGTCTCGCCGTGATGCGGCGACGAGGCTGCCAGATGGGTTACGCCCGATGTGACACCAGGTTCGGATAGGGCAAGCCCAAACGTATGGAATCGTTGGACGAACCGCGGGTTTCTCGATCCCAATGGCGACTGCCCAAAAAAAATGGTCGGGCTCAATGACGAGATACTGACGGAGCCTGCGATTAGGAGCGTAAGACTGCACGCCTACCCCCCTATAACACGCCAAATATGTGATTACGGTCAGACTAGAGCTGTCCAATTCTGACAGGTGACTTCCTGCGAACCGAGTGTTCCCTGCGACCGGTGAGGACGGTTACACGGATCGGTTTCTAAAGCCCGGTTCCTTTGACGTTCCGAGCCGCCCTTTGCTGGTCGCCTTGGTCAGTTAGCCTCCTCACCGAAAGCCGATTGTGGCTGAATCCCTAAATGATTGAGCGGATGGAGGAGGATTCAGGTCCGCCAATTCAGCTTCCATCGGTGTCTTTCAAGTACGTGCACTGATCAACATGGTGCTGTTTTACCAGGCACCGCCAGGAAGCAGCTCCCAGGTTCTAGAGCGATCCGCGCGCCAAGCCGAAGGTTTCATTTGGAAGCACAAGGACCACCTAAGACTGCTGCCGCCCCGGGCCGTTGTGGGGTCAACGTTACCTACACTCGAGCTACACTAGTTCAAACGTCCGGGCGACAAGCATCGCATGACACTGCAGCACCGAGAACCGAGCCGCTACACTTCACACTACAGGTACTAGTGTAGAACCATGCAGCAGAAATACTGGAGATCCTCTCTCAGGGCTCCAATGGGTTGATCGCCTCGGCCACTGTTACACGGCAACCGTTGAGCCATGGTTCGCGCTATCCATATCAGTAATTCCAGTTATCTCGTGTCCTTGTTGGTTCGAACTGCATGTCGCCAGCCTCAGAAAGACGAGAGAAAGGATAGGCGACCCCCTCTCTAGTTAAGGATTCTGCAATGTAGATTGCGCCAACGCTTGCGGCTTTTTCTCACGGGGCCCTACTTAAAGCAATAAGCAGACCCGGCGTCCCTCCGGCTTGGATGATGCTGTTTTAAAACTTTAAATATCTCTTGACTCCATGAGCTAAGTACTGTTGTGTTCTAGCGCAGACTGTCGTCGACCCACATCTCTTGATGATAACCTGGAACTTACTCCGTACACTCCCGTCTAGATACAAACCACAGATTCCCAAGTCCTGAGTTTCTCAACAACAGGTCTATCGCACGCGTCTAAGTGTACGAAAACTTACAATCAACTTACTCAAATCGGGTGTTGAGCCGATCCGGGTTCAACATGGCACCACGTTTAACCACCTTGGATTTGGTGAGCAATTGCGATGCGTAAGTTTCCCCTTGCACATTTTCTCTCCTCTGCCCCTCCCCCCCTCCATATGTAAGGCGAGCGATCGTCTCGACGTTGCCAAGCATCCTGTACGACAGTGGCGCGTTAAGACATGCCGAGCCGGCGGCAACACAAGCTGCACCTGCAAGCAGGGCAGGGTCCGCTCAATTCATAAGTCCCCGCATGAACATGTTACAGTGTACTCACGCGGCGACATGCAATCTATGAAGATTCCCCCATCCCCACTTGGACCCTACCGGCTACGCAGAATGGATGACGCGACGACTGTACACCCTCAAGTGGGAGGACAGCGAGGGGTCGTTTGCAATCGGCTACCTGCCGTTGTCGGTGGTTGAGGCCTTGAAGACTGTCCCTGAGAATATTAGCGGTCCCATTGAGATCGACCCAGTGGCTCGGACCGTTGCGCTCTTCCGCGAAGCAGCTACCGAGGAGGAGCGCACCAAGCTCGCTGCCCAGCTGGCGGCCTACTGGCGCGAGACCAAAGCATTCCGCTTGCTCAATGGCTGGCGCAACGAGCTGTGGCCTGTGTATGGACGGAACGGCGAGCTGCTGTTCAGTATGGAGCGCTCGGCTGTGGGACTTTTTGGGGCCACCCGCTACGGTGTACACATGACGGCCTTTATCCGCCAGAAGGACAACAGCAGCCGCTACAACTTTAGAATCTGGGTCCCCAAGCGGGCCGCAAACAAGTCTACCTATCCGGGCATGCTGGACAACACGGTCGCCGGCGGCCTGATGACCAACGAGGACCCCTTCGAGTGCGTCATCCGCGAAGCTGACGAGGAAGCATCCTTACCCGAGGACCTTGTGCGCAAGCACGCCAAAGAAACAGGCATCATCACGTACCTCTATATCACGGACGAGCGATCAGGTGGAGAGCCCGGCTATATCTACCCGGAAATTCAATGGGTATACGACCTCGAACTGCCCGCAGATGGGAGTGTCATCCCCACTCCAAAAGACGGAGAAGTTGAGAGCTTCAGCCTACACACGGTCGAGGAGATACAGGAACAGCTAGCCGAGGGCCGGTGGAAGCCCAATTGCGCCATGATAATGCTCGATTTCTTCGTCCGCCACGGCATATACACGCTCGAGAACGAGCCGCATTATCGGGATATCTGCGAGAGGACACACCGCTTCATCCCCTTTCCCGGGCCCCATTGGGATTATCGTCCTCCGCAGGAAACAACGTCTTGAAGTCGAGGCAACTTGCCGCATCAAAGTTGTATCTTGGGTATCCTGTTGACTCGTGATCGCCGAGGTTTTCCTGGCTATTCATGCCATTTCCTTAAACGCCTGGTCGTGTTCCCCCCCTCATCCTGAAACTGCTTTAGCAGACAGGTTGCAAAGCGTCATCGAGACATCTACTCCATAAATATCGTTTTCACGTCCTGATGCAAGCTTTACGGCCCATGCCATGATCTTTATCAAAAAATTTCGCAAGAAAAGCTCACATCACCGCTTCCGAGCAAGCAGGTAGACATAGTCCACCCGCAAGGGCGTGAGCTTCTTGTACGGCCCTTCAAGTGACATTAGTAGGCCACCGAAAGAGATATAGGCCTTACTGTATCACCAAAAACTCAACGTCAGCAACCCGACTCGTCGGAGACATCAAAACCAGGGGCGACTCTAGAAGGGCACCACACAACTCACATTGTCTGCCCATCCTCGGCGTCCTCAAACTTGTATATCTTTCCGTAGCAGACATACTCAAAGATGTCGGCCAGAGTCGCCTCGCTGGAGCCGGCCTTGGCCACGTCGCGCCACCCGCGCTCCTCGTCCTTGCTGCCGTCGTAGTGCAGCGATGTGGCCAGCGCAATGTGCAGCTCGTCGTCCACCTTGCAAGGGAACAGCTCCTTGTTGACGTCAAGCGTCATGTCGATGCTCTTGTCCGGCTCCGACTTGCAGTAGATACGGTCAACGCGGTCGTACTTGGGCTCGCTGAGCCTCTCGACGCGAAAGTGCTCCTCAAAGAGCTGCGCGTCCGAGGCGATGGACATCTTGCCTTGAGTTGTGTGACGGTGGTGACACTGGGGTCGGGCAGGAAGGGCTGAATGAACGCTGGTGGAGATCGTCGGGCAGCGGGCTCAGAGCTCGTTCGTAGGGCAAATGACGGACGCTAGTTGGTGAGGCCGACAAGAAGGACGATGTTCAGGACGGTGAAGTATTGAAAATTTCGGGAAACATTCAGTGACAATGAACACAAAGCTGGGCTGGTGGGGCATGCAAGTCCAGACCAGACAGGGTTGGACAAGCAGTGGGGCACCGATAACAACTTCAGTTCTTATCGTATTAGCTGCCCCTCCAACCCCTCCAAAATCAGCTTTCGCAAACACATTTGGACCCAACATGTCATTCGTGAAGAGAAATACAGTGCTCTCGGCGAGACCGGGGCGGCCGGTTGTCCAGGCTGGCCCTGCACCGGAAAAGCAGCAGCTTGCGCCAGGGATCCGACCCTCTCCTCTCGATGGCAGGCCCACAACATCAACAGGAACGTCATCTCTCGACCAGCTCCTTGCCGGGCACGGGGGGCTACCGCTAGGGACTAGCCTGTTGATCGAAGAACAGGGCACAACAGACTTCTCTGGTGTCTTGTTGCGATACTATGCTGCTGAGGGTCTCGTCCAAGGCCATCAGGTGCATCTAGTCGGTCTTCCTCCAGAATGGAGACACCAGCTTCCCGCGCTCGCTTCAACCGACGGCAAATCGAAGACAGCTCAGGCTGCAGCACCACCTCCTGAGGAGAAGATGAAGATTGCTTGGAGATACGAAGCCTTAAGGAACACGGCTACTCCAAGGTCAGTTGCGGGAGGGGACGCCAACCAGGGCACCTTCTGCCACTCGTTCGACCTCACAAAACGCCTGTCACCGAGCTCTTGCAAAGGGTCGCTGCATCCTACCCCTGCCACAAGCCCGCCAATGTTTGATCAGCCGGGCCATGGCACCCAGTCAACCCTCAAGGCCATCATCAGGCACCTACAGACCAAGCTAGCAAACTCGCCATCGACAGACATCCACCGCGTGGTCGTACCCAGCCTGCTATCCCCAACACTCTACTCTCCACAATGCAGCCAGCCTGCAGAAGTGCTCCAATTCCTCCACGCGTTGCGGGCGCTGCTCCGACAGTACATCACGCAGCTGACCGTGTTCATCACACTTCCCAGCTCGCTGTTCCCGCGGAGCTCAGGGCTGGTCCGGTGGATGGAGCTGCTGTGTGACGGCGTCCTCGAACTGATCCCTTTGCCAGCCACCCCAGGAGCCCCTCCACCGCCTCCCTCAGGATCAGAGAAGGGTGACCAGGCCCCTCAGGGTCTACTCCGGGTTCACACCCTGCCCGTATACAGCGAGAAGGGCGGCGGGGGAGCGGAGACTAGCTATTTCCGGGAGACACTTTCGTTCAGCTTGAGTGCTTCGAAAGGGCTCACGATCAAGCCTTATAGGCTTCCTCCGCTGGAAGGGGAGGCGGAGGAGAAGTCGCCTGCTAGCGCGATCAAGGATGGCATTGATTTTTAATCTTCGGATACCCTGCTTGGTAAAAGAAATTCTTTATCTTTGAGTAGTGTCCCGCTATACTGGACTTAGATGTTCTTGGACTCTTGGTTCAGCACCCTCGACTCACTAGAATATTTTCCAGGAGTCAATCCCTTTACTTTAGTCCATTGCACGGGATAGGCTGCGGAAGGCCTCGATATGAAAGTTACCGTGGCAGAGGACTCGTCCGGCCAGAGGTGTTAAGTGTTCGAGCTTGTGTCTACGAGCTTGTTTGAATAGCATGAAAGACGGAAAACAACTGTGGAAAATATATCCGTAGTGTAAGTTTGTTACACAATACTGTAACATTAGGTATAATTACAGAACTCCGTTGCATCAATCGGCCCCACTGACAGGGCGCTGGTTTTTCAGCCCTCACCAGTATAAATTCTTCCACCGCAAATCAACCGCCCTCTCGTCCATTCATCCTGTCGGTGCTGCTGTGTAGAGCAGCATCCTCAGCGCCCAAGGTGAGTTCTCTTCCCGTCCCCGTCAATCCACATCCTGCACGAGCATATCATGATTATAACAATCGTATTCCAATCTGTCAATCCACTGAAAATCTGTGATGACCTACATACGTGTCCAAGGCTTATGAATTCCCTACTCTGCTCTCATCTTTTCCTCAAACATCCACGCTTATTTCTCTTTGAATCAGCGTCTAACCGAGACCCAGGGATTCTTGATCAAGTCAAGGACAGGAGAATATGGCAGCCGCTGCTTCGGAGAGACAGGTCCGGATCTCGCGCATCGCGGGCCGGTATCTGGTCTTCGACATCGAAGACGTCGTGCACATGCGCCGCCACCACGGCATTTGTGCCGTGCTGACGGGCACGATGCCGCAGAACCCGACGCAGAACCTCTTCCTTGGCCTGCCCATCGAGCTGCACGCCGAGGAGGCCAAGCTGCTGGTTGACAAGAAAGCCGGCTACATTGCCGACGAGCTGTCCGAGCACCTGTCGCGGCTGACTGGCCCGGACGAGGCAGCCCGTAAGGCATACATCCAGTCCCTCAAGCGGCAGCGCAGGGCTGCGCATGCGGCCTTTGAAGAGGAAAAGGCAAAGGTACGGGCCCAGCATCAGGGGAAACGCAAGGCCGGAAAAAAGGCCAAGCAGACACCAGCCGTCGCTGCTGAAAGCGCGGAAGATGATGCCTCGACCATAGGAGTAGCAGCAGCAGCCGCAGCAGCAGAGGGTGAACAAGGCGAGTCATTATTTAGCACAGCTCCTCCCAAGCAGCCAGCAGCAGCAAGGGAGTCTCCCCTCCCGGGAATTACCCCTACTACAAGCAGTGACCTCCTCCTACCATGCCCAGCTCGCACTGTTGGCGACAGCAGCAGCAGCATGGCAAAGGACTTGTCACCTTCTTCGTACCCGTTCTACAGGTATCTCAACTCGCGGGGCTACTACACGACGCCCGGGTTGCGGTTTGGTGGGGATTACAGTGTCTACCCGGGGGATCCGTTCCGGTACCACGCGCACTACCTGGCCAACAGTTACGGATGGGACGAGGAGATCCCCATGCTCGACCTCGTCACCAGCGGGCGGCTGGGCACGGCCGTCAAGAAGAGTTTTCTCTTCGGGGCGGAGAAGCCAGCCAACGAAGGAGCCGTTGCCGGTGCTGGGGGTAGTGAAGTGCGAGTCTTCTGCGTTGAGTGGGCGGGCATGTGAGGAGGGTAGTGTGCAAGGCGGTTCTGATAGTCAAATGAGATACCGCTTTCGATTCGCACTCCGTTTCTATCTTGCTCCGTTGCCCGTTTTCTGATCTGATCTGCGAAAGCAACAGCGGGTTCAATCACCGCAACCGATAACGCTCTAAAAGAGGCCAAGCCCATATTATTGTGATGTTGAAGTCTAGGACAACCCTGTTGACTAGCATTGGTGTTGCAACTGATTTAGCTTTAGCCTCCATATCTATTGTGTTCAAGCGAAGCCCCGTTCCTGACAACAGTATGCCTCCTTCCAAACGCCATCCCGCAAAATAGCATCATCAACATGACGAAATCAACCATACAAAGACATAGAACGATAAATAAGCACACAATCAGAGAAGGCAGAAGTGTACCCGCCAGTTCCCATACCATGCCATGCGATGCCATGCAAAACAACAGAAAGTTTACCCCCAAGGAGCACCAAACCCGACAACAGGGAAAACACCCTCACGGAACATAAATCCGACTAAAGCTGATCACCTCCCTCCGACAACAGACACACTTGTCAAAATTATTCATGGCCAATGACACCCTACAGTCGTCACACAAGCTCAGGCACCGGCACGGCCAGACGATGATGGTCCGGGGCGCGCACTGGCAGACGACACACTGGGGCCCGTCCGGGCCCAGGCCGGCGGCACCTGTCGCCCAGGTACCCTGCGCCGATGCAGCACCACTTGTTGTTGATGATGAGGATTCAAGCGCAGAACCAGCAGATTTGCCTGCAGCGCGGCGCGAGAGCAGTAGCTGCTCGAGCACGCGGGCCTCCTCTTCGGGCGTCATTTTCTCCAGGGGCCGGTTTGGATGGCGAGGGTTTGGGCGGCCGGTGGCGCCACTCAGCAGCACCTGCGCCCGCTGGCGTTGGACGTGTTGCTTGAAGCGTGAGCGGGTCATAATCCCTCCGCTGGTAAGATGGGCGGCGAGGGCAATGGCTTCATCGCGGTCTTCGGGGCTCTGCGGATGGAGCAGACGGGCGAGGTCGGCGGCTGCGATGGGGCTGTCAAAGACGGGAGTTGATTCCCGGGAGGCGCGGGCCGAGGCCACGGCTGACGCGAAAGAGAATGGTGTGGGCGCAGGGCTTCGCTGGGTTGGCGTGCGCTGGCCGCTCTGGTCGTTATCGATCTCGGTTCCGTTCCCATTATCGGATTCCCAGTCGAATTCGCTGTTTACATCGGTAGTCTCGGTCGTGGAGATGATGCTGGTCGTGTCAAAGTCTGCATCGTTGTCCTCCGCATCCTCTGAGTTGGCGCTATGGCGGGAAGGCGGAGAGTAATCGCCGCTTGAGTCTGTGTCACCCCACCAGCCGCCCCTGAGGAAGTAGCTGTAAAGCCTCGAGTCGACTTCGGTCTCATCAACAGGAGGTATCTCCCCGCCTGCGCTATCAATGATGTTATTGCGCTCCATCCGAAGGCGCAGCTCGGCCTCCACATCGACTCGATCGGTCCGAGGAATGGCAAAGAACACTTTCCCTTCACCAGGCGACAAGACATCCACATTCAGCCCACTATTTACGCGATTGTGCTTCTTGCTCACTGGGGCTTCGGACTTGGGTCTCTGTGACAGACCCTGGAGCCACCGAGGCGGGGTCCGCACACCGAGAAAGGAGATCGTCCTCACGGTAAGCAGTGCCCAAGTGACGAGCAACAGGCGGCCGATATGCAACACGTATTCAACTGCCATGAGCCAACGGGAACTCCTTTCTGCAGCCCCAACGCCGTCCCGGATTCTCCTTGCAGATACGGTGTTCTTCGGGATCTGCTGCGCGGCTCGCTCTCTCGCATACCCGCTGGTGGCATTTGCCTGTCCGTCTTTCACGGGCACGAGGCCGATGGTTCCGACCGAGTCGAACCGCGAACCAGGTATGCCGCCTCCTAGCCACTGCATTCTGAGCCCCTCCATCTCCCGAAACCTCTCGTCCTCTAGCCAGGTGAAGCGCTTCAGGTTCACTCGGTGGTCTTCGTTCAGGTAGACGGCCTCGCTCGCCATCGTGATGGCGCCGAAGCCGGCCCGAAGAAGGGCAGTGTAGAAGTCCATGTCCATCCGGATACGGATATCGGACAAGGACACATTTGCTTGCATGTTTCCGTGGGCGCGGATAAGGCGTTGCTTGAAGGTAAGCCGTTCACCATCGCTGCTTTGCTCGGGGAGAGCGAGGGCCGAAAGTGTGAGCGCCATGGCGTAAACGATACCGCACGCGTAAATCCCTGTCAGGATCAGAATGTGTGGAATGAATCCAATAATGCAAACGGTCGGGTATCTCAACAACCCCTGGGTGGAGGGGTCGTCAACCGAGAAGGTAAGGGCGCTCCAAACAATGCTTGCCATGAAGCAGAGCCCCCAAAAGCCGGTACTGACGAGCCGAAACTTGGACTGGAGGTTGAAGAGTCCAAGGACATGGCTGGTGACATGGCTCATAGAGGATAAAAACGCAACCAGTAGGACTTCGGGGGGCGTGTTGACCCGCTTCATGATCATGGACCGGGTAACGGCGATCTTGGGTCCCAACGCCTCCTGCGAAGTAGCGTTGCCGCCGGCGAACAATCCCCATCCCAATTGGTTACTGATAGCAGCATCAGCTTCGGCAAACGCTAGCGAATGCTCGAATAGCGTCATGCCCGTCTCGGCAGCTACGGGCCGACCTTGAACGGCGCATGAGAGAACTTCGATGAACTGACTCAGGCAAAAGGTCCCAAAAAGGGGCCAGAGCCGAGAGAGAGAGCCCACCAGTTCCGGCTGATCCCGGCTATCCCACGGCACCATCCGTACGGAGCGGCAAGAGTCTTGGTCACTTGCCCCGAGCAGCAAGGATGAACTCATCCCGTGGAGAAAGCCATTCACCTGGGCGAACATCAGGTCGGAGCTCTTGCTCGCATTGCCCCAGCGCAACTCGGCAAAATCAGGAGATGTCTGGCACTGAATCGACTGCAGCAACCTCCGGGATTGTAAGAGGAGAAGGACTATGGGCGCAATCCGGAGCAGCAGGCGGACGGGCCATCGGAGGCGTAGTCTTCTACGGGTCGCAGCGAAGATATGGGTGCGGTTGAAGATTATAGCCATAGCGATGCAGCATAGCGCCCATTTGCTTGTCGCGTAGCTAAAAACACTCCCTATCCCCTTTGCACCCTCCATCGAGAATCGCGAGACAAAGGCGTTGGGATCTTGGGCGGCGGCGGCCAGAGAAGCGGTCGACGCGGCTGATGCTGACTCGGTGAGCGTTCCGAGGTTGCCCGCGGCCACGGTTGACGAGGAGAAAATGTCGGTATCGGTAGGATCGGGTATGACTCGATGGCCGAAGCCGTCAATGGCATCTGGAAACGAAATAAAAGAGCCCAGTCTCCCAAGCCGCATGACCATTCTCGGCCCCGCCCAAACAAGATCTTCCAGCGACGGCGCCAGTTTGGACATGTTCATTGCCAGACCAAGATGCTGGGCCGTCCAGGCGGTAAAATTATGCCAGGCGCTGACATTGCTAAAAATCGGGGGCGAGACCGACGCTGCGACGGCCTCTGGAAGGTGGATCTTGTCCATGGTCTATAGAGAAAGCCCAAGGGCGCCGGCCAAACCGGGAAGGCGCGGGCGATGACAGGAAGATAGGAGACAACGGCGGTTGGCCCTCCGATAAAAGAGGAAAGGGCGTATTACCGCGCTGCCGCAATGTGTTGCATCCGCGTTGTCTGGGATTCTACTCAAACATAATGCCGATTGTTGAGGGGCTTAAGAGAACCCAGAAACTGGAAGGTCGTTGAACTTGGAAGTTTGGCTGGACCTAGGCTTGGCCCTCGTGTCACCCTTATCCTCGGCGATGCAGATGGCGCCGATTACCTGTCGCGTGGTGGGACTGCGTCATGATTAACCACCTGCACAGTGTTGATTGCAGGGCTATCAAAGCCCAACGGCCAACTGAGGCCAGGGCGATGGGGCTGTCTTGGCGTACGGCTAGAGGTAACGTTCCCGTAATTACTAGCTAGGCTCCTAGCAAGCGCTAGCCCGTTTGATTACCTTGAACCTCGCAAGCGCATGAGTTTTGCAATCAACACCACTCAAAGTATCCAGACATCTGAACCAAATCTACAGCCTTGCAGCGCAAACAGAGATGGCTCCAGCACAGCAAGCCATTGCTACGTATGTGTCATTGCACTCCGACACATACAAGGCATCCCGAATCTCGACGCGCAGATGAAAAAAACTAACCGGCGATTTCCAGGGTCTACGTACGCAACCTCGAAGAACGCGTCAAGCCGGAGCCGCTCAAAGAGGCGCTGCGCGCAATATTTTCCGAGTTTGGCAATGTCATTGACATTGTAGCCAAGACGAACCTCAAGGCCAAGGGTCAGGCCTTCGTCGTCTTCGACAATCCGGAGTCGGCGTTGGCCGCCATTGACGAGGTGCAGGGCTTCGAGCTCTTCGACAAGCCGATGCAGGTTGCTCTGGCTCGCACGCGGAGCGATGCCACCGTGTTGCAGACTGGGAACGAGGAGGAGTTTGACGCGCACAAGCGCCGGCGCATGGCGGAGAAAGGTATTCCGTTACCAACTGCCACGATGCCATACCCGCGATATGTATCCATAGAAAGCTGACCACTTGGTTCAACTCCTACAGACAAGAAGAAGGCCCTCGAGACGGCAGAGGAGCAGAAGCGCCTCAAGCACCCCATGCAGGGAGCACCCGCAGACGGCGGTGCCCGTCCTGCCAAGAAAGTGCGTGGCGCCGGTCTCAAGGCGACTGGAGCTGGCCCTGCTGCTGTCGTTCCCGACGAGTATCTGCCTCCCAATCGGATTCTGTTCGTACAGAATCTGCCCGCAGACTTTGACAAGGATGCCCTCACTGCTATCTTTGGCCGCTTCGAGGGCTTCCGCGAGGTCCGCATGGTTCCTGGTCGCAGCGGCATCGCATTCGTCGAGTACGAAGCCGAGGCTGGAGCTATCACTGCTAAAGAGAACACGGCTGGGATGGCCCTGAATAATAGCGAGAAGATCATGAAAGTCACCTACCAGCGCCAGTAGCGCGGTGGTCACACAAATCATCTTCACGATGCATATCCCATGTGGGACGGAAACGATGCGAGGATGAACAGTTTTACGGATAGCTCAGGTGAGGCGTTTTGGTTCTCTGTGGCCGGGTTACGCTCAGGGAAGAGGTTGAGATCAGGAAAGAACCATAGATACCCATTGCAGCCCATGCAATACACAACAGAATAACTCCCTACATGCGCCTATGCCTATGAAGCGACAGGTATAACGAGAAATTTACAAACCAGACAGCCAAACCGGAGGGTGGCCCTGTCCATTAGAAGATGACGTCTTCGTCTTCTTCAGCTGCTAGAATATCCGCGGGGCCGGTTTCTTGTGCCTCTGACGCTTGTTTCTCCCGATCACTCGCTTCATGCGCTTCCCTCCTCTTCTTGATCTCGGCATCCTGCTCGGCAGTGTCCCGTTGCTTCTTGTTTGCAACCTACACGGGATAAGTGTTGGGCTCTTCAGCATGGGTAGCAGGACCATACCTTTTTAAGTCTGTAGAACTCTTCTCTATCAAGCTCGTCGAGCTCTGCGTTGATGTCTACAAGAATCAGCATATGAGTGAAGGTGGAAGGGTCGGAGGGGTATCGGCTTACACTTGATAGTGTTCTCAGTCCTCGGGATAATGACATGTTCGCTGTCTGGTGTTAGAAACGCTGTAACGGTATCACAAAAAGTCCCACCTCAACTCACATAGCATTCACTAGCACGCGTTAGCATCCGCTTGTTGTCATTTCCCACAAAGAACGAGGAGAAAAGTAAAGCACTCACCTCTCCGATTAACAACCTTGATGACCTCATCGAGGATGACAAACGCCGTCTGCAAGCTGGCGAGCTCGACCAGGGCCTCGACGGCCCGGGCGTACGTCTCCCGGCACCGCTGGACCTGTTGCCCGCCCTTGCCGAGCCCCGTCATGGCGAAGTCGTTGTTGCCCTCGGTCAGGTAGCTCTCAAAGGCCGGGAGCAGCACGCCCGACACGTTGTCCTGCTTGGCGCGGATGCGGAAGCGCGCCGACTTGGCCGACTCCTGGATCTGGTACCCAATGTTTCCCCCAACCGCGTACGTCACCTCGGCGAGCGATAGCGACGCAATCTGCATCACCCGCCCCATCTTGCGCTTGGCCTCGTCGATGCGCCGGGTGATTTCTGAAGAGAGAGAGAGAGAGAGCGTGGGTGTTTAGTAGATGCGATCACAAGTGGCTGTGGGTGTCTGTGAAGGGGTGATTTGGGTAAGAAGTACCTCGGAAACGCCTAGTAGGGGGAACGTTGATGTTAGTTATGGTGGTTGAGTTCTGTACAGGAATCGTCGGACGGTAGAGGCATACTTCGTTAGAGCTTCGCTTTTCCTCTTTAGTAGACTGTGTCCCGTCTCAGCGCCCTTGAGCTTGGCCTTCATTATGCCCAAGGACTGCCGTGTGGGAAAGACGGCCTCGCGGTCCTGGGTTGGCAGCACGTCAGCGATGCGTTGCGGAGGGGTTCCGTAGGTTTGGGCCCTGGTGCCAACATACCGCCGCCCCCGACATTGTCGCAACTCCGAGTTAAGCAACGGAGATGATAACAGAAGAAGAAGACTATGCTGATCAGGAGTAGACTCGCTGCAACGAGTGGCACGCTATACGCTTGTGAGGATAGTGTCGACAACTGAATCGATCGCTTGTACCCCCGTAGCGAAAGAAGGTATGGAGTAATGATGGAGCTTCCAGAGCTGGCAATTGATGGCCCGAGTGACGGAAGGTGCAACCAACTGCAGTGCTATTAAGTACTGGATCTTACTGTGCTTGCCCCACCGAAGCACGTGGCAAGGGGTCAACGAAGCGTTACGTTCCGTTACATAGTACTGTATCAGGCTTTTCGGTGTCAGCGATGATCATATATTTGATTTCTATGGCCGGGGTGGCTGCAACAATCAAGACACCAGGTCTTGCTCATGCCGTCCTTTTTCCCTCGCATATACCCTTAACTTGTCCGCAAGCCATCTTATACCCTCACCGTATCCCCGCCTTGTGGCTACCGAGCACATGAATAACGGAATAGGTCGGCTTGTAATTTCGTGCGCCCGAAGTCGATCCCAGATGCCTTTCGCCGACGTGACTGTTCAATAATACGTTCGGTTAGCAATAGCATGAAACGGCAACTATCTTCAACGGACGCTAGGGAATCATCACGTACTTGCACAAGGGTGGTCGAATTTATTGGCTAGCACCACGGACGGCACCCCCTTGAGTTCCTTGGCAGCGGAGAGGGCGTGAAGTTCTGCTGCGGCTTCGTCGAATCATTCAGCATCCTGGGCGTCGACCATGAAGACGACAGCAGAGGCCCCACAGATGGTCTTTGTCCATAGCTCACGGGTTTGGTGATGACCACCAACGTCGAGAGCGGTGAATGAAATGCTGCCTCTGACCAGCGTCTCTAAGCCGGGGTGCGATGTGTCCACAGCGAAGCCTGGCGGACGGTTTGCGAGATTTTGAAGCAGGCTTGATTTCCCGGCGTTTTCGAGCCCGACGACGACGAGCTTCGCTGTCTTGGGCCGGTGCAGTCCGATATAAAAGAGTGTGTAGTCGAGACAAGAGAGAGAGTAGTAGAACCAGTCAGATATCCCCATTGTGCGAGATGATATTAGAACCAGGGGTCGAGATGTTAGTGTTGGCCAATTTTGTGCATCAGTCTAATGGTCATGATCGCTATGAGAGTTCGTCTGGTTTTATACCTGTGCTTGGCCCTAGGCTTAACTTTTACGACGAGTCAAAGCGGGACAACCAGCACAGATCTAAGACTTCGACGCTGAAGTTAGCTCCGGCAGTTTTAGTGTAGCTGGCCCATGTGGGCTCTGTGCGGCGAGGGGCGTCGCACGAGACATAAAGAGGTCGCCGAGTTCTTATTCCGGTCGGCATCAAGGAACGGAACACGCCAACGCAATGTTACCCGGCGGTGGGAAGTTGCTCGGCAAAGGGGGTTGTTTTGCAGTGCTGTCTTCGCGAATGCCGGCGACCCGCAGAGTCGCCCAGTATGGTACAAAGGACGTGTTGCCCATAGTCACCGTTTGATGCGTTGCTGAGCATGTAGCGACCAGTGACGCCTGCTGTTGAGAAATGACTATTAGCTCATCATCACTCATCCTTCCCGGTATGGAGAGATGGCTTACCTGAGGCCTGCCGGCACATCTTGAAGTCCAGCACCTCGGTGACTTAGGGCTCAACCATCCACATTCTCACGTATTCTTCAAGACCGCAGACAGTGATCCATCGGGTTGGGGCACGGAACCGTCTGAGAATCGGAAATTTTTATCGCAGAAGTCCAACAAGTTGGGGATGCGTTTCCAATCACCGGCAATCCAGCCTTTTTGAGCTCGGGGTTGGGCTATGAGTTTGAGAAACGCCGCACCGGCCAATGTTTCCGAAAAGGTCCAGGTCGTCGGTAGCCAGGGGGAGTCTGGCACTGGTGCCCTTTATCTCGTTGCCATTGATCCCAATTCATAACTCTGCCGGATTCCTGAGTTCTTGTTGTGATGGTTACGGGAATAATTTGAACGGGTGACCCTCTGCTCTCTGAGTAGGGATCTTTGCCGTCTACAAGTCGGAAATTCATCGCTGACATCAAAAGCTCGCAACTCGAGAACCCAAATATTCCCCCGGTACCTGCGTACGGAGTAATAAAGACAGATTTATGTACTGTACATACCTACAAGTACCATAGCGCGCCACCCGGGTTTTGCAAAACGGTCACCATCAGTATAATGGGCTTGCAAAATCGTTTTCGTACTGTCAATCATGTGGTGATCTTACAGTGTAAAACCTTTCCAGTGAAAAATGGTCATACGGCCGGATTACCATTTTGTACTTACGGCCATTTTGGGAATTGAAGACCATTTTGAATTGAATGCATTTTCAGGGTGGATGACAATTCCCACTCTATGATATCTTGGATTGAATCTTGTGACGAATCTCGGTCCCCTACCACTGAAAGGGACTCCTCAGACTGAAGGTTGACTTAGACGGGGTGAGGTTCGGTAGAGCCAAAGGGTCTACAACAAGTGCACAAGCAAGTGTTCACAAGTAGTAAAGACAACTGCTTGCATTGCTTACTGGAGAACCTCTGGCAGGTCCTCCAAGGGAATAGCTAGCTATCTAATATACTAATGATTGTCTTTGAGGATCACTCCTTGCTCCTAGTGATCTCCTTGCTGGCTCACCTGGCTCACTTCGTGATCCCAGTGATCCTTGTGCTGGCTCACCTGGCTCACTTCGTGATCCCAGTGATCCTTATGTTGGCTCACTCTCCTTCCCTAGTGATCCATTCTGATTGGTTAGTTGAGTGATTGGCTGCCGCGGCTCCCCGCGCTGCGGCTGTGACCATGCCTGGCCGCCAGTAAGGTCTGTTCGTGACAAATCTATTTTACTCCCGAATGACCATTTTCTAGAAGGGTAATTGTCTTATAGTACTAGGTAGTAAAGGAAAAAATATATACTACCTTCCTTTTCTTCCTTACTACCATTTTTCTACTTTAACTTTTTTCTTCTTTTTTATCTTCCTTTTACTAACTTACAATTTTACTTCTTAGGGGACTTAAGAAAAATTTGAACTACAAGTGGAATCAAACAGAGAACCTTTGTATTTTCTAGCTAAAAACTAACCACTATACTATACTACAATACTATTTACAAGTACATTTCAAAATCTAACCTATATACCGTGGGTGCATTGCACAATCGCAGTACCCAGAGCCTTGCGCAAATCCAGCGCACCATGCAGGGAGGGGGGGTCCCACAACAGAGGTTTGGATCAGTCTGTTACGGTCGGAACAGAATATTTTGCAGGGTATAATCAAGACATTCCCTTCACAGGCACATTGTAGCCTCCGGGCCAGTCTTGGCTTGTCGTAACAGCATGTTCGCAGAACACAATGTTGTATACTGTTTCCTGAACATACTGTTGAAGCAAGAACATACTGTTTAGACAGCAATAGACTGTTGTTAGCTCTGTTGCATGCACCATTGTAGGCCAAAGGTTAAGGGGCCCCTA